TGACAGTGATAGATGTGTCTGTCATTTTAATTTCAAAGTAGTTTATTTTATTTTACAAAGAAATAAGTTGGTACAACTGGAACGCATAGCAGGAAATATTTAAAATTTGATTGACAAGATGACAAGTGATTACTTCAAAATATTGTGAAAAAAACTGTATAAAACTGAAAAATGTAATCGAGTTATTTTTATTTAATAAAACCGGTATGTGTTAATACAAAACAAACAAGAATAAGACACTACATACCAAAAAAATATAAAAAAGAACTATTTTTTACTTTCAAGCTTTATGAAACTACCCGCATTTATGATTATATTTATCAATATAACTTATGTACAAATACAAATTTGTAATATTCCACAGGAATAAATAAAACAACATAGGTAAATAAAACAAACTATTTTATTAATAATAACACTTACCAAATTTTATACCTTAAAGGTTGATTAATTAACTTTAATCTTAATTTTTTTAAACCAGTACCTTTTGACATTATTTTTCTGCAGTACTAAAATCCATTATTTACATATCGTGTGATGTCGATATTTTATAGCTACTCCAGTTTTTAGTATGTGTTTAGTTTGATCCTTCTACCATATACGAGATGCACTTATCTACGACGAGATGGTATACAAACTTTAACGATGGGGTGTATAAGACTTTCTGCCTGGGCAGCGAGTATTAACCATAAACTGTGCTCTGGGTCTACAGTTAATTTTCACTGGATTTTTCCTCCACTTGACTTGAAAGACACAAAACACACGTAATAATACGAATCAAAATGCATCATCTTCCAAAACGCAGGGTATTTAACAAAAGTTGACACAAAATTATAACCTATAATTTGGCAAGACTTTGACAAGCGTCAAAAATGACAAAAATCTAAAAGCGAGTTCATACGCATCGGCGTCCGTTTATCGTTCATCGTTCCGTCAAACCAATAAAATTGAAATACGATCTGTCATTTTTTAAATAAACCAATAAAACTGGTTAAAAACAACAAGACACGACGTATGACGGATTTATATTTAAACCCATCCATAGATAACTTAAAATTATTAGAAACTTTTTTTAGTAAAATAAATAGATTGGTATGGGACGTCATCTGCTTTTCTTCTGTCATCGTCTGTCGAAATCTTACCTGAGAAAAAAAACAGAGTATAGCTGTTAGTTCTGAAATAAGTATAAATCAATTTACTCAAATACTTACTATTTGCTTATACAGGGTGTTTCCTCACGTAAAATAAGATAATACCATTATTTTTTTGGGGAATATGCTGTAGGTAGCACTGTACTTCAGTGTATATAAATTTTAATAAAATTTAGTAATAAATTACATTAAATAATTAATTTATTAGTTTTATTTTTATTTTATTAATTGTCAATAATAAAATTGCGTTTATCTCATCGAAGAGATGGAAATGGACAAAATATCTCAAGATACAACTTTTAATGGCATTAAATTAAATAGCCTACACACTTCTGCTAATAAGAGGAAAAAAGTCACTGGCGCACACACATGTTTTTTTAGAAAAATATTCCAGTGATAACCCGTATGCACGTCCCTGATGAATCTGTCGACACTTTTGAGTTTAGCATTAAAATATGTCGCGCTTATAGGAACATTTACCCTGAAAATTTCATTCGAATCGCTAGAAGCACACACGAAGAAAATTATGATAAATCGAAAAAAGATGAACACTTACGTGAGGAATCTCCCCACAAGAGATGGCACATGTTTTTTGAAACACCCTGTACTTTATAAAATGATGTACAGCTGGTTCCAATAAAAATGAATACGACTCTTTACACATTTTTTTCGAATATTTGGGCAGTGTATATTTATGTGACAAATATTTTGACATGTTAAGGTTATTGTGACATTGTATAAAACAACTTTGCTTTTGACAAAGTGGCAAATAAATTTTTCAGAACGTCAGCATGACATGAATGGAGAAATGGAGGACTGGTATCATAGAATATATACTGCCCGAAATAATAAAAATATGTTTTATGTCGTACTCAATTTTATTGGAACCAGCTGTACAGCTGGTTCCAAAAAAAAATGAATAGATACGACTACATTTTTTTCGAATATTTGAACAGTGTATATTTATGTGTCAAGTATTTTGACATGTTAAGGTTGTTGTGACATTGTATAAAACAACTTTGCTTTTGACAAAGTAGCAAATAAGTTTTTCAGAACGGCAGCATGACATGATTAGAGAAATGGGGGACTGGTATCATAGAATATACTGCCCGAAATAATAAAAATATGATTTAAATCGTACTCAATTTTATTGGAACCAGCTGTACATTTCCTCATAATTCATTTAAACATTATTGCTTTTTTATAGGAATATAAATATGTAATCATTATGTTAGTAAGGCATTAATAAGGTGACAAATGCAAAAAATATTAATGATGAGAATAATTAAGCGTTATTAAAATAGCGACGAATGACGTATTGAAAAAAAATATTAATTAGTATCGGTGTTTACAAAATCCGTATTAATCTGAAAAATATATATTTAACATAATAACTATACTACAAATACTGAGACTAGAGCCAACATGCAATGTTAAGTCGACCGATTATTTAGTTGCAGAATTGATAGTATAAATTTTGATCAGTTCTATCTGACATACAGCTGTTAAAACTTGACAAGTGAAAAAAATATTGATAAGGAAGTTTCGATAGCAAAGGTGTATTGTGCCAGGTATGCTATGGTAATTAATAAAACAGATGAGCGAGTTGACGTTACAGAACAACGACACAGAATTAACGACATCAAATTATACAGTGGTGTCCCAAAAATGTAAAAAGGCCAATGAAATTCCAATCTAAAATTTAGCTGTGAGATTAGAAAACAACCAAATAGCATCAACCGAAGCATCAACAAAGCAGTACAACAACCAAACAAAGTGACTGAAAATGAAAGAAGGATATTCTAGAGAGACATCGCCGTAATTTACGGTAACATAAAACTGATATGTTGTTGAATTTGGGTCAGTTTACTATTGGTAAGTATATAGACGATGACGCAAATATTATCTCCAATAATAGAGACTTTATTGGGTATTTTTAAGTGGTAACTTTTATACGGGATTATTTGAAAGTAACCATTAGTGTAGAGCTGAGTAAATTCACTGAAAAAATTTTTAAACCAAGAATATGAAAATTCTTGAAAATAATATATGCTTCCATTAAGAATATTCTTCTCTACTTAAGACACACACATTATTCTTCAAATTAGAATTTCAGATATTTTAATGATAGAAAAATATTTGATTAAAATTAATTATTACATATTTCTAAATGAAGCATGCATTTTTCTGCCTTTCTCTTGTGAGTTTTTTTAGGGTACGCACAGACATGTAATTTTTAGTCGGCCGACTATTTGTTGCAAAAGTGAAAACAATACATTCTTATTTGAGCCGATGATCGGCCCAATATTTGATTACATTGCATAGCTTTAGGCTATGCGCTGACAGACAAATTTTAATCGGTCGACTATTCAGTTGCATATTTGTAACCAATATATCCTTATGGAGCCGCGTTCACATGTAATAAAATAGTCGGCCGATCGACTTCATAAGTATGTATGGTTTTCACTTTTGCAACTAATTAGTCGGCCGACTAAAAATTACAGGTTAGCGCGTAGGCTTATTATATCGAATGTCCCTTCACAGCATCCATACTATTTAAAATCGTAAGTCAGGGAATTCAAAGTGTCTTGTTTTTCAAATTAATATTATTTTTTTAGAAAATATGCGATAATTGTTTTGAGTAGTTTATATTTTTAAAAGATTTACTTGTTTTAAAACTATAAGTTTTAATGAAGAAGTCTGGTATTCTTCGTTACAGTTAAATATTTTTTCTTGATTTAAATACATTCTAATTTTCAAACAATAATAAATAATTTTAATACAAGAATATGATATTTTTAATAAGAAAATTTAATTCTAAGAAATTTAAAACAAAATTTCTGCAATTTACTTCACACAAAACAATGAAATCTTAAAAATATTTCATCCAAGAATATCCAAATTAAATTGTTTTAATATCATTTCTCTTAAATTAAGTAAATATATTTTCTTGAACGGAAGCGAAGACTTTCTTCTTATAAAAGTATAATTTTAAATTAAATAAATATTTTCTCTGATGAAAATAATAAATCTAGAATATCATATTCCTCATAGAAGAATATATTCTTTTCGTTATATAAAAAGCATACATTATCTTAAAATAAAGCAAGTTGCTTTGAGGGAAGGAATTTATTTTTCTGTGTGTACAATTACAGAATATTAATATTGGAGTATTTCCAAAGCCATTTAAATCTTTGAAACATCTGTACGGGGCGTTTCAAAAAACATGTGCCGTCTCTCGTGGGAGATACCTCACGTAAAAATAAGATTTATTTTTTATACATTCCCTCCTCACCTTAGATATATTATACAGGGTGTCAAAAAATAGTGTCTTTAGCATTGTTGGGTGATTCTACAGATAAAAACAAATCAAAAAGTTCCTATAAATATATGCCCTAAAATGCTTTCCGAAGAAGTTACAGCCCTCAAAAGGGTATATAAAAATAATATATTTTGTTTATTTTTAAGAACATTGACAAACCGTTTTTCCTGAAATGTAGTACTCTTACACAAATTTTAATGCCAAAGCGAATGGCAATTGTGAAAAATTGCGTAACAGCCATGAAAGGGTACTTTCCATTAGGGTTCAGAGTACTACTACTGGTGGTATACTTCTTTTATCCTTATAGATACAGTAATTTCAACAAATGATATAAGAAGCTAGAACTTTATTGTTTTAGGTATATGAACTACAATAAGGATGGGTTGAATTTTCCGTTGCCCTTTTTTTGTTTAATCCCTCAGTGCTAAGTTTTAAACAGTTTTACTCTTTTTTCTGTTTAATTTTGTCAAGAATTTAATATTGAAAGAATTCAAATTTTATAAATTATATGGTTCATAATAACTCACCTTGGTTTTGTCGATGTCCTTGTTCTTCTCTTGCTTATTTTCAACAAAGATGATTCCATTTTGTGTCACGTTCTCCATTATCCTGCTAAAATAAAAATTAATAGTCTTAACGACATGATCAAGTGCCCCGAAAGTAGTTACGTAGAGAAGAAATGTATGTATAGTAAACGCCACGAATGTTTGGGAGTAATTCATCGCTTGACGAAGTTAGAATAGACACGCGCACTATGATTTTTACATTAAAAACGTAAATTTTTACCGCAGACGTAGGTTTTTAAAGGCCCGGTCTAATCATCTGCCTGCGCTCCTCCTACTTATTTTAAAATGTTAATGTGCTTGACAAAGACGATACTATATCGCGTTTCTTTGATTAATTCGTTTTTGTGCGTCAGTCCATTGGTGTGCTTGCAGTGCGACCAATGGGGCATTCCAGTTTATATTTATAACCAAATATATTTGACTTGTTTTGACAAGACTTTGACAGTTAAAACAAGAAATTACAACAGCTTATATATTGATTATTATATGACTTGAAACACCACGGCACTGGAATTAAGTTTTATGTGACCTTGAACAGATTAGTTCACATGGTAGCGACCGATGAATTACTCCCAAACATTCGTGGCGTTTACTATACTCCCTAAAACCTTAGGTTTCTTTGTTGGTTACGCAAATTTTTCTTCGTGTAAAAAAGCTAGTGACAAGCTGAGTTCCGTTTGGATGCAAACGCAATGGCATTTTACAAAAAGTAGCTATTTTTGTTTTTAAATAAACATATATAGAATAGATCAAAATAGCAATGCAAGTACCATACGATCGAAAAAAAAGGTGTCAAAGACTGCTGAGGAATGACAATAGATAATAATTTTAGTGATATCAAGCCCTACAGACGTCATTACTTAGCTCTTGGCTCGTACTATTCTTTATGTTTTAATGGCGCTTACTGCCAGTTGGCCTTAAGAAGTAATTTTAATTTTGGACCTATTATATTATAACTAAAAGAGGAAGATAAGAGCCATTATGGCTACTAGCAACAGTCATATTAAGAGATAATAAATAGAAAATAAAAAAGATTATACTTGAATATTAAATTCTAATTGAATAAAAAATTGAATTTATATTTTATGGACACAAGATTTCATGAGTTTTTCGCCTTTCGTTGGATTTAGCAATAACCAGCATATTATACAAGGTGGACCGAACTGTATTCCGGAAACTTCGGAAGCATATTCTGCAGATAAAAATAAGTAAAAAAGTTCGTATAATTGTATGTCCTAAAATGCTTAGTTTCAGAGATACAGGGTGTAAAAGTTTCATTATTATTTCGATTTTTTCTAAATAATTTCTAAAGTAACATCAATATTTGGATGAAAATTGGTGTCTGGGAGTTTTTTGACATGGGAAATTTGATTTTGATGTCAATATGACTCCTACTAGTAGAGGGCGCCATCTACATGTGTTTTGACTGTTTTGAAGAGTAATAACTTTTTGTCCGTACCTGTATAAAACTACCGAGCGAAAAAATATACATCTGTGTAACTTTTTACGTAAAAAATATCTCTTCTTAAAAATCGCTACGAGCAACCGTTCTCAAGATATTTAGAATGGAAATAGTCAATACATGTCATTATTGACAAAAAATAAACACGTTGAGTAGATAGTTATTTCACTGAAATGATAAATTTGGGAAATTCTTATTTTTTTAAATTACTCAATTTTTTTTTTTGCAAAAAAGGACGTGTTTTATCGTCCTTTTTTGCAAAAAAAATTTTGATTATTAGTTTCTGTTGAACTTTTAGCACAAAAATATTTGAAATTTATGATTTCAGTCTAATAACTATTTAGTCAACATGTATAATTTATGTCAATGATGACAGGTTTGATAATTTCCATTCCAAATATCTCGAAAACCATTACTCGTAGTGATTTTTACCAAGAGACCTTTTTTTATGTCGAAAACGTTGTAAATGTATATTTTTTTACTCAGTAGTTTTATACAGATACGGACTAAAAGATATTACTCTTCAAACCAGTTAAAAAATATCTTTGAATAAGAAGACTAAGGAAGGAGCATAATGCTATCCATGTATTCATGCATGGTGGGCGGAAAAGCCACCATAAAAGCTCTCTAGGGTGGGGATCCTTGACAGTTCTGTTTGACGATTCATTTGACACATTTGAATTTGATTTGAAATTTTGTGGATTTGTCAGTCTTTACGGAGCTTATTTTATGTTATTTATTATTTATTCTACTACTGATAGTTGTATAAAGGTAGTAAATCTAGATGGAAATTGTGGCAGAACTTAAATTAACAGTGACACTATCGCGATTTATCGAAAAAGACTCTAAAATAGTTGGTTGTGTAGCGTGCGGTAGATCTCGGCAAAAATTGAGTGAAATAATGGAACAACTTTTCGCTAGTAAGTGACTATATAATATACATACGTGTAGTAAACCGATCATTTATGAAATTCACTTAAATTAACTAAATTATATATTTTTCTTGCATTTTAGCTTTTATTTATTTCTTGTCAAAGATTAGATGTCAAAGAATTTAGATACGTTAATTTGACTTACCTGCTTCAGTAGCGTATCGGATGTTTGTGTTAATAAATACTTATTATAACTTATCTATTTTTAGAATTATATATTTTTATAACAATTTTAATAACTACCAACATTTATTCACAACGTAAAATAAAACAACAAATTATTGAGTCTACCCCACGTCTACCCTACATCATAGTTTTACATTTTTTAAATAAAATTAGAACGACACTGATAAACCGGAATTTAAGTCGGTCATATTTGAGGCCCATCGCGGTGTACCTAAGATTTTTGATATGCTCCTTCCTTAGTCTTCTTATTCAAAGAAAAATATGTAGGTGGCGCCCTCTACAAGTAGGAACCATATTGACATCAAAATCAAATTTCTCATGTCAAAAAACTCCCAGACACCAATTTCCATCCAAATATTGACGTTACTTCAGAAATTATTTGGAAAAAATCGAAATATGAAAAATGAAACTTCTACACCCTGTATCTCCGAAACTAAGCATTTTATGACATACATTTATAGGAACTTTTTTACTTATTTTTATCTGCAGAATGTACTGCCGAAGTTTCCGGAATACAGTTCGGACCACCCTGTATAATTTATATATATGTAAATATAAAACATTATCAAAAAATATTCTTTAGCAGTATGTTCAAACTAATAATTAAAAAATGCACGCTTTCTAAATTGTGTGGCAATGTAGATACACATATCCCTGTAGAAGATAAAAGATATTTGGTAATATTTACAATATTCTCGTCAGTTATTATCTCATAAAAATAATGATGAAAGCTCATTGTAATGCTACAAATCAAAAACTAATTAATATAAATAGGTGTTATTTAATTTTCAAAATTGCTATTATTTATTTTTTTTACTTAGAGTTTTTTTTAGTTTTGCTGTTACAACTTTATTTGCATATACAGGGCGTTTCAAAAAACAGGTGTCATCTCTCGTGGGGAGATTCCTCACATAAAAATAAGACTTGTACATATTTAACATCTTGACCGATTAATGACATTAAAAAAAATGAAAGGTCCCTATTAAAATTATTAGATAAATGCAAATTAATTAAATTGCGTTTATATCATCAAGGAGACCGAAATCAACAAAATATCAAGAGACAATTTTTAATCAGCATTTAACGGTCTACACAATTTTGCTAACAAAAGGGAGAAAAGTCAGAGACGAGCATATTTTTTTTAGAAAAACATTCCTGGTGATAACTTATATGCACATCCCTGGTGAATATATAGACACTTTTTAGCACTAAAATATTTCGCACTTTTAATAAATTTTATCCTTAAAATTCATTTATAATCGCTAAAAGCATTTGAAAGGAAATTATAAAAAAATCCAAAAGAAAATGAAGATTTTAACCCCCTGTGGCTACGAAACAAGACAGAATCGGACCTACGTTGATATGAAAAATAAATCTTATTTTTACGAGTCGAATTTCCCCACGAGAGATGGCGCATATTTTTTGAAACACCCTCTATAAGCAGCCTTTAATTTATTAGTTATACGTGCCTGAATAGAAAGCTTCGTATCAAAATAGAACCCAAGATGTTTAGTCTCTATAACAGCAACAATTTCAGAACAACAACACAATGCGAAAACATGCGAATATCACTTACCTCTTCTTTCTAAGTCAAATATCTGTTTCTTCGCGTGACAAATCTCAGATGGTTTAAAGAAAATGTCGTTATATTCAGGTTTTCGAGCGAACAATTTCTGACCCGCAGCCAAATTCCACCGTGAAATTTATTCAGACGATATGGTTCGCGGTGTCACACGTAATGGTTACCGGTCCGTACGAACTAATGTATATGAGTAACTATTCGAGCACGAAGCAAAACATAAAACAGGAACTGTTTTGGAGAGAGGAAGATTTCCTTCTAGACGAGCACCGTTGTACCGCTGACGTTCAAATAAAAACACAGTACCGGTTCTTTAGCAAAGTTCCTTTAGCTTTAGAGAGCAGTTGATGGTACGGTGAGCGGAACAAACGAAGCTAAGTATAACCCTTGTATAAGGGTATAACTTAGAAGAAGTAACTAACTTAAGAAGCTGTTTGTAACTTATTATTTATATTATTGTATGTTAGTATATGACATAAGTTAGGATTGTGATTGACGAATTTAATTGTTTTTAGTCACTTCCTGTTTCAACGTAAATTACTACAGCTTTTGATTTTTTCAATGGCATAATTGGCCTCGGTATATTTCTACTTTATTCGATAGAGAATGACACTCTGAATAGAATGTTATATGATATATCACCTTTTGACATATTCGCTTTAAAAAATCGTATTTTAAATTTCAATCTAGAGTACCATGGTTGTGTTAAAAACAGGAATTTTAATCAAGGAGCTTTGTAAAAATTGATTTGATAGTCTAATGTATTTCGTGTCTTGTTCTGGCCGGTTAAAAGATGCCTAAATCGTATTTTTAATCATATCTCAATTTTTCAAGTGGAACAAGGGTGACTTATTAACATATTTGGAAAAAGCATTTTTTTATTGATAATTTGGTACCACACATTTGGTATTTCGAGTCAAATTGTCGTTGTGAACCGCATGTTACAATTTCAAATAAACCATATGCGAAAATGTCAAAAGTTGACATATGATATATGTTATTCTATTTAGAATATAATAAAATTATATAAGGATTCTTGCCACTTAACTGCTGATATAGAAATTTAATTCTACGCTGTGTTTGTCATAATGCGGATCAACCTGCTCTCACTACCGGCTTCGGAGCCCTACTCCATCATCAGGCGAGCTTGGGCAGATCCACAAAATGACAACCACAGCGCAGAGATAGTTAATTCCGACTTGTCGGAAAGTGTCGGTTAGACACACAGCGTAGAATTAAATTTCTATATCAGCAGTTAAGTGGCAAGAAACCTTATATAATTTTATTATATACCTATACTGCAAGAAATTTGTTTTCTATTTTATAATTTGGCTTGCCTGAAAAAAAAACCTTTTACCATTCTTTTACTATCGATAGTGCGCATCGGTGGTACGAAAGTACTACCATTGCACGCAGGCCGCTATCTCCCGTTCGGGACTTAATGGGCGCGTTCAGGGATGGTCAGCTGCTGAGTGGCTGAGTAAGCGGTTTCCCTAAACGGTCTCTTTTTACACGCAAAAACAGTCAGCCGCTGAGTAAAATACTCAGCGGTCGGTCAGCCGCTGTGTTCCCTCAACGCGCACACTATCTAACCGACACTTTCCGACAAGTGGGAATTAACTATCTCTGCGCTGTGGTTGTCATTTTGTGGATCTGCCCAAGCTCACCTGATGATGGAGTAGGGCTCCGAAACCGGTAGTGAGAGCAGGTTGATCCGCATTATGACAAACACAGCGTAGAATTAAATTTCTATATCAGCAGTTGTGTGGCAAGTGGCAAGAATCCTTATATAATTTTATTATATACGTATACTGCAAGAAATTTGTTTTCTATTCTATTTAGAGTGTCATTTTCTATCGAATAAAGTAAAAAAATACCGAGGGTTTCATTTAAAAATCAAAAGTTGTAGTCATTTCCGGTGAAACAGGAAGTGACCGAAAACAATTGAATACATCAATCAATCCTAATTTAAATCATATACTAACATACCAAATCTCTTTTTTTTTATCTAAAAAAAATAAACAGTTATAGGGGTGAGCCACTTTTGAGACGCACGCACCCAGAATATTAATTGATATGCGGATTCTGGGAAAAAAAATAAAGGGAAGTTTAATTAAAGCATATAACTAAAGCATATGACTAAAATGCAATGTTTTTGAGATATGACATTTTCTAAAAATGAAGAATACATTTTAAATTTCAATAAAACTTACCCCTAAATCGGAATTTATCCAGTACCAGCCTAATATGTAGTTAAAATAAACATTCTTCAAAATTAATAATTGTCTTTAAATCAAACTAAAATCTGACCCGAAAAATTATACAGGATAAAGCAAAATTATTACTGAACATATTAATATAGGGTGATCACTTTTAAAAGCAAGTTGCTCTTTTACTTCAAATGGAATGGCGTGAGTTTGTCCATAGAGATTGCCCGCATTGATGCGTTTTATAAGTACTTGCCATATCGTAAAAATTTCAATACTTGAATTTCTAAAAATAATATTATTGTTTGCTATAAAAGCCATGTTCCCTGTGGATAACCCGGACTTCCGACTAGTTTATCTTATATGTTGTTTGAACCACACTTGATCTGCAATGGCATATTTTGCAATACTCTTTGCGTATCTTTCTGTGCGTAATGCTCGTTAAGTTATACATTTAGAGGATATTATATCTCTCCGATATACAACTCACATACAACTCATGAAATACACATCTATAGTTCATATCAAATAAACTATTAGTCACGTGATCAACCTTGACCGACACAGAGTATATAAAAGCACAGAGATATTTTCTTTTAATCAAAATATTTTAGAAAATAAAAATAAATTAATTATAAATATATAAACAGTTACTATTTACATCAACACAACTCAAGTCCTTAACAGCACTTGAAGGGCATAAATGGCCATTACTACCGCTTTCCTGTTCAAAATATTCTAATAAAGTTGCGGTGAGTTTTTTACAGCTCTTAAGCTATCTTGTGCCACTTCGCACTAAAAGAGGTTCTAAAAAGAACAATGTTCGACTGTAAGGTCTGCTAGTAAAAATCTTTAAGCTTAAAGTATCACAACACAATTCATTTAAACCAAAAACTCGTAATACAAAACTAAAGTGTCAAAACAAATGACAATGTCAGAAAATAAGTAAATAAATGTGGCAACTTGACATTTTTTACAGCAGAACTACCATCTGTATCCCCAGCGGGAATATGTCCATGGTTGGCAACAATGAATTTAAAAATCGCGCCCTCGATTACGTAACTAAAAGTTTAATTGGTATCGAATATACTTCCATACTTTACCTTCTTTTATATTTCTAATCCTATGTAGTAGAGAAAGAAAGTAAAATCAATGGTAAAGTAGAGATATGCGCAGATACCACGCATACAAATCGAAAATAATAAAATAATCGAAAATCTACACAGATATTTAGATGGGGATTGAATAAGCATACACTCATTACACTTTTCTGATAAAAAAAATCCCTACTAGACAATAATTATCCAAGATTCAAACCAAAAATGTTAAAACCGTCATAGTCATTTTTTTGCACTTTGGAATATTTACGTTTATATAAGAACTTAACACATTATATTTTAAGTAATATCTCCATCCTTGTTACGGGTTCATTATTGCAATCTTCTATAGATAAACAATATAAATGACTGACTGTATGTTGTCGCACATTTTTTCCAAACGGAATATTTTAAGTAATCTTCTAAAAACCATTTAAATTTTTACAATTCTTCAGTGATAAACCCGATATTAAAAATAAGTAGCTCAAAACACCCAAAATTATTATTTTTATAATCAAAACATACTTATAGGATTAGTTATTTTTTATAAATTTAAATAAATTATCTTTAATTTTGGATACAACGTCAAGAGTCACAAATTAACATACAATTGTATATGTTATATTAATTAATTGAATAAATATAAATATACAGGGTGGTCCGAACTGTATTCCGGAAACTTCGGCAACACATTCTGTAGATAAAAATAAGTAAAAAAGTTCGTATAAATGTATGCCCTAAAATGCTTAGTTTCGGAGATACAGGGTGTAGAAGTTTCATTTTTATTTCGATTTTTGCCAAATAATTTATGAAGTAATGTCAATATTTGGATGAAAGTTGGGGTGTATTCCGTTGCTTACCTTGGTTATGGTTTTATGTTCCGTTTCTATCGGTTTCCTGAAAGTTTTCTTAATACGGAACACGGTTCCTGAAAAATTCGGTTATAACTGTCACCAAACTAACCAGCGCGGGAAGGCTAGTTTTTCTGGTTTTGTTTGTCAATCAATGTCATTTATGTGACAGAAATCAAGCAAATATTGGAAGTTCGAGTGATATTCTCATTTAATTTCTAAAATTTGTAATAATATTTTGTATTTAGGTACACCCAAAAGCAATGGAGGTAGGCAGTAAAGGTAAATAAATTTCATTAACTAAATAGAATTACTTTTAGGACCATTTAAACTTATCATGCAGCCATTGTTTCTTAAAGTCAGGAACTTTTAAAGAAAACATGAAAAACAAGTAATCGTGAATGTTTTGTAAGCTATAAAAATATAAATATTGATTAGATTTGTGTATTTATTATTGATCTGTTTTAATATTGGACCTGCAAATCTTCACTTAAGCTGTCTAACGAGTTTAACAGTTTATTAATAAAGTACTTTTCAATATTAAACTCCATTGAAAAGAAATAGCAAACGTAAAAGCAGAGAATAGGCAGATTAAAAATGCAAGAAAGATAAATTTTATAATAGAGGTATTGAAATTTAGAAAACGTCAACATTTGACGTTTCCAGTATTTTACCAAACCGTTCCGTATCAAACCAATGTTTTTCAGGAACCGCTCTTTACCGTAGTTTACCGGTCTGGTTCGCCTGGTTTTGTAAGGGAATTCAGCCTTGGTGTCTGGGAGTTTTTTGACATGATAAATTTGATTTTAATGTCAATATGACTCCTATTTGTAGAGGGCGCCAGCTACACGTAGTTTAACTGTTTTGAAGAGTAATAACTTTTTGTCCGTACCTGTACAAAACTACTGAGTGAAAAAATATACATTTCCGTGTTTTTTTACGTAAAAAATGTCTCTTGGTAAAAATCGCTACGAGCAACCGTTCTCAAGATATTTAGAATAAGAACAGTCAATACATGCCATTATTGACAAAAAACAAACGTGTTGTGTAGATAGTTATTTGACTAAAATCAAACTAAAATGGTAAAATTTGGAAAATTTTTATTTTTTTAAATTAATCATAAATTTTTCTTCAAAAAAATGATGATCAGTTTCTGTTGAACTTTTGGCACCAAAATATTTGAAATTTATGATTTCAGTCTAATAACTATTTAGTCAACATGTTTAATTTATATCAATGACGACAGGTATTGATAATTTCGATTCCAATTATCTCGAGAACCATAACTCGTAGCGATTTTGACAAAGAGACTTTTTTTACGTAAAAAACGTCGTAAATGTATATTTTTTTTACTCGGTAGTTTTATACAGGTACGGACGAAAAGTTTGAGGGCAAGAAGCAGGGCAAGACTCAGGGCAAAAACACGTACTAAATTCATCACTAATAATTGCAAAAACGTGACAGCAACTCTTCAAACAAGTTAAAAAATATGTAGGTGGCGCCCTCTACAAGTAAGAGTCATATTGACATCAAAATTAAATTTCTCATGTAAAAAAACTCCCAGACACCAATTTTCATCCAAATATTAACGTTACTTCAGAAATTATTTGGAAAAAATCAAAATAAAAATGAAACTTCAACACCCAGTATCTCCGAAACTAAGCATTTTGGGACATACATTTATACGAACTTTTTTACTTATTTTTATCTGCAGAATATGCTGCCGAAGTTTCCGGAATACAGTTTGGACCACCCTGTATAATAATTTAATTGAATAGACTCAGGGCAAAAACACGTACAAAATTCATCACAGAACTTCAATACGCTGATGACTGCGCTCTAATAATTGCAAAAACGTGACAGCAATTACAAGAAATGCTGAACCCATATACCTGGGCATACGAGTATTTGAGCCTTAAGCTGAACATCGATAAAACTAAAATCATGTACATTCCCCCGGAAGATCACAACAATGCTATAAAAATCAGAGAAGAACTATTGGAATATGTAGCGGAATTCAATTACCTCGGCAGTTTGATTTTGAAAAAGGCCAATATATCGACTCTGAAAATCAGCACAGGATTAGCAGCGCCTCAAGAGCATTCTAGAAATTAAGATAGGGTTTTCAACAATCATGACTTGAGCACAAAAACGAAACTTGCAGTGTACCGAGCAATAATACCGGTCGTACCGCCGACACATGAACGCATTAAACAAGTTGTAACAGAGACACCATAGACAACTCTTATGAATCAAATGGTTCCATCATGTCTCAAACGTATCGGTCCTTGAAAAAACTAACTGAGAGAGTATCGAAGTCATGATTACAAAATCCCGCTTAAGATGGGCTGGTCACGTATGCAGAATGCAAGAAAACTGCATACTAAAATCTCTATAATCTTTACGGTGAGCTTGTAGAGGGTAAGAAGAGGCCGGGTGGGTAACTCAAAAGATACAAAGATATTTTCCACGAAAACTTAAAGGGGATTAACATGCAGAATGAGTGGGAAGAAGCAGCTCACAACAGAACGCAATGCAGAAGAATTGTAAACTCAGTTAACAGCGACAACCAAAAAGTAAAGAGGCAACAAAGCAATGAGATTTTTGAATGACCGGAGTGCGGTAGACAGATAACATCACGTATCGGGCTTTTGAGTCACAGAAAAGCTCATGAAAGAAAACGCCTTACATAACCATCTTCTGATGCGTGTCAAATACTCGCAATGGCAGTAGTAGTACCATAGAGTTAAAAATAAAGTAGTACTATACCCCGCTGGCAAGCGAACCTTTAGGTCGGCGTTTACATGTATAGAAGTGAGTCGTTATGGCGATCTAGTAAGTCGGAGTGAGCAAAAATACGAAGTATTTATTACATAACTACTTAATCTGACGCTAGATTCCAAAGGGAAGCGATTCGATAAAGTTAATAAAAAAAGTCGAAAAATATGTTTAACAGATCACATATAAACCACTACCCTAAGATTCATATTACTTGCTATGAATTATTAATTAAAAAGCTTGGTCTCAACGTATAGGTAGCGCCGGCGCCGCTTCCCCCGCTTCCATGGACCGCACGCGCCTGGTATTATGTTTATAAACACTCTGTATACTAAAAAATACAACATAACCTTAGGTAATACTTAGATATCTTAGTTATAATGGTCTCTCTACTTTTTAGTCGTTTACAGCGCTTTCAGATGGAGCGGACCGTCCGCGACTACGAGCAAGTACCATGAGTTTATATGAACAATTTCACTTGTGTCGCGTATGCTCCGTCCGGATGATTTCGTCCGACGCCGACGGGTTTCTTGAAAAAAACACGCGTACGGACAGCGCGGACACTCCTCTCCATCTGAAAGCGCTGTTAATCTTAATTATCTACTTAAGTATATTGGCATCACAGCCTATTCCTAACCAGCCTGCCGAAAATAATGTGCATGAAGCTCTGCGTACTAGCCTAGATATTTGCTTAGCTGCTGTTATGTAACAATAGAGACTGGAGTTCTGACTATAGGCATGCGTACAAGCTCGGCAAGTGAAACGAGAATACTCAAAACCAAGCGGATAGGTTTGTTCTCACAGCGTGTTCCCAACATTTTTGTGTTCCTTCATCAGCTCTTCTAGGTCTGTGTCTGTATCCGAAAATTCGGACGCCTCAGATTTATCGGAAGATTCAAAATCGCTCATTTCTTTTCTTTATTTTTTGAAGAAAAAAACACTAAACAACACACGTTTTGTAGGTTAAGTTTACCTCTGAGTTTACCAAGTAATGACATCGGGTCGCAATACGCATGTGCCGGACACTTTACTTGCAAAAGATCCGCGAACAGGTCTGACTGTCAGCTAACAATCAGAATTTTCTGTGTGAACAGCGTACTGTTGGTTGGAAACCAATCAAAAATTTCTATGCGAACGCGTTTTGCCCTATTGCGCATGATTATCTGTTGGAAATATGTTTCTTACAGCTGTGAGAACAAACCTAATGACCAGCTGGTACTGAATAAAATCTGTGATTGGCACAAAACTTACTTATTTATTCTCAGTATACCAAAATAAATGTCAAACCTATTTTCAAAATAAAAATACTAGATTTACTTCACCGGCACTTACTACTCACATAAATACGAAAGGAAAACAACACAAAACCGATATTATGTAATATTTTTACGCCAAACAAAAGCTATTCGTCCAATTAACTGCATTTGTTTGCGTTTTCTGATACATTAGTCGTGTTTTCGAAAGATTACGAGCCTCAATGAATAATGTTATTTTTTTGTTAGTGATATTACACATATTATAAAGAATTAATACTGCAGATGTAGAATAAAAAGATAATTTCTTTGTTTGTTTAGTCTAATTATTATTAGATTGGGGTAAGATAAAATTCCTTTATACAATGTCCCACACTTGAGTGTTTATTTTGTAAATATTAGAATGATTAATCCAAATCTAGTCTAGAACACGCTACTACACAGGGTGTGATCTATTCTAAGAAAAAAACTTCCTATGAATGCATGTCCCAAACATCTTAACTTTTCAAATACAGGGTGGTAAAATTTTCTATTTTTTTTCAAAATATATCTGATGGTATGCCGAGTCCAGACCAAGGCGACAAAAACTAAACACGATTTTGGGACAAAAACAAGACAAACTTGCAACAAAAAAATGGAGACTTCTGACAAGACAAACTTGAGAAAAATTGTCCACACCGCAAAGTCAAAAGTTTAGTTCTTGGAAATGAGTTTTATTAACCATGTGTGATTTCACTGGTCTCCTACAGTTGGCAGCACACGCCATCCACACTGCGCCGACAACTTGTCGCAAAATATACGAACATAGACACTTTGATCTTTACCGACTCGAGACGGGACATTGAAAAGTCTCCGAATTTTTAAACAAAACAAAAATGAGACAAAAATGTTGCAGAAACGTATTAGATATGTCGCAATTTTGTCGTAAAACATGAATGTTTCTGTCTTGTCGTTGTTTTGTCTGCTTGGTCTGGACCCGGCATAATATACGAGTAAATATATTTCGATAGTTTCAGAGATATTAATAAATAAAAATGTTCTTAAATTATCTGAAAAAAGCACTATTTACTACGAATATTGGGACACCCTGTATTAATGCCGATGCCGGTTGTTTACGATATTCTCCGATGGTGGCACCACAAGTGCACGATTTTTTGCCAGTGCCACGCAACGGTTCGCACAAGCATAAATGAAACGTTTATATTGAAAAGCCCGTCGCGAAATTCTTTTGGGTCGCGACCGTTGTACGTGATCTGGCGCTGCTATAGCGGTTACTAAGAACAACCGCAAACAAAAACAGAAATAATTTTCTCTTGTCCATATCTCTTGTCCAAGTCAGAATCTTCAAAAATTATAAAATCTTTCAAAATCTAAAACGCCCTCATTGAAAAAAATTCCGAAAAGTGTTTATAGCGTCCATTTTCAAAGTAATTATTGCCATCTTGTGAGCTTAATTTAAGTTTTATTTACTCCAACCCGTGTAAAAAAGTGGCATTAAAAACTTAAAAAGCTGTGCTATGAACTGTGAATTGCAAAAACCATCGTGGATCGTGGCATAACGTCGCCGTCGGTTTCCAATGTTTCATAGGTATTTCATACATGTCCTTATATAAAATAAAGTTTCTTGTATGCAACACACTGTATTTTATTTTATATAATTAAAAGAAAATAATAATAAATTTGAATAAACAATATTTGGCGACATAATTCCGAAAAAAGCCGAACCGATCCGAAATTATCAAAAGCTTTGCGTTGCGACCGTTGCAAGAATAGCGCCAAATAGTATTTACATTGTCCTTATGGGCACTTTCCAATCTAAACTTGTTTCATTTATCTATGTGCACAAGTGCGTGACATGCAGTGTCAGACAGTCTTGCAACTGCAGTCTAACATGCGTACTAAGCATAGTGCTGCAAAATCTCTGGCAAAATTACATAGCGCGGCACTGCATAACACCAAGGAGGCCTTCACGGATAAAACAATAACTAGCTTTATCTTTAGATGCGGCGACTATAGACACAAAAGTATTATTATAAACTTTCTAAAATTAAAAAGTATAGCTTAAATTAAGTTTTATCTAAATCTAAGGTATATTTGGTAAATAAAATATATTAATTTTTTAAAAACGTTTATTTAGTTATATCTATATTTTTTTATTTGTTTTTATTCTTTTCGTAATAACTAAAAATCACAAGAGCACAATAACTTAATTTTTCCTCCGTTTTTATGATCTTTTTCTTAAATGTACTTTTGTAGTTACTGAAAGGTATGCCAAAACTGAAGACTAGTAATTTTTTAATAATGACAGTAATAATATTAACATATTAACAACTATATTCTTTTTTTTGAAAGATCACAATATTTATACAATAAACTAATCTTATATATTTTACAATTTTTATTAAAGTTTTCAATTCAAGTGTCTAAAAGATAAATGAAATAAAATATTATTCACAGGCATTTCCTATACCTAAAAATATAACAATTTCTGTCAATATTTGACAAATATTTAATTATTTACTATTACCTATCAAAATTTCATTCTATTAATTATAAATTAACATATTACAGGGTTATAAAATAAATTATGCAGAAAGCAAATTTATTTGTATGTCACAAACCAATGTCAAAAGTATGTCAAAAGTAAATATCTATTTTAGATGATTTTATAGATACTGATATCCACTATATAATCAAAATGTTGGAATAATGCTTCGATATCAACAGTTAAAAAAGCGTCAATATTCCAAACCTCATTCAGCACTATTATATTGGCGATATAGCACATAAATTTAAATATGTTTTCTATTTTATTTTTTGAACATATACTTATTGTAAAGTATCATATGAAATTTTGATAGAAATGGTATATAATCCGTCTAATTACCTAATAGTGCATATCCCCCCAGTATCATTGCTTAAGTCTAATTGTTGCGTTTATTTCGTCTTCTTCCGATGCTTCCGCATTGTTTTTTACGTACATAGGCGCACATTTACCTTTAACACAGTCTTCATTAATGTGAACTTCGTTTATACTTTCGCCAGGAACTTCGAACATCGGTTCTAAGAGCAAGCCTTCCTATAACGAAAAATAAGCCTCTTAAGAATCTCTAAATTGTTAAATACCGGGAGATAATGAAATTCTAATTAAATTATCATAAAATAAATATGTATGGATATTTCACTACTTGCACTCTTAGAAAATCTAAAAAATAAAATAGTTATTTTAAGCACCGCTGCGGTAATACAACGGAGACCAACTTGTCAGCAGTGACTTACTGATAAACAAATTTGCCTAACGGACAAAAAATGCTTAACGATTCAGGAAGTATATCTCTTCCCGTCATCAGAAGCAAAAACAGAAACAAATAAAAAAAATATTTAAAATATCTAAAAACAACTATTCAAGAACATTAGTTTTTTTCAACAGATACGTCTATTAAAACCGTTGACGTTCTGCTACCTGATACAATTATTACTTAATGAACTAAAACCAAAAAGCCTCAAACTTTCTGTATACGATTATTTTTTATTTGTTTTTCATGCTTTACTTATGTAAATGTATTTATCTTATGTTCATTAAAATCAATAATTTTTTGGATCTGTAGGCAGGTTTATTTACCTTTTATACCGGGTGCGTCCCAAAAGTGTTATGGAAAAAAAATAGCACATATCAAGTACATATAGATGTTAATTGAAATTGAAGAACAATTATCGAATTCAATAAGAAAACGCTAAAAAGTTGGAGTGGACTGTTTATTTACCTATGAAACGTAACTCCTGGCTCTTTCTTATCGCTGCTGCTTTTACACTTGAAAGCTGAACAACTAGTCACCATTGTAATAAAGTTTATACACAGAAACTATTAAAAATCGCTAAAATTGTCGCTGGTGACCAAATGATGACTCATTGTTTGCCATCAAAAGAATGGCCTCTTAGGTCACAAATTCTGCAGCAGCCCGTATATGGGCGTTACATGTCCTTATATTCTTTAGTCATTGGTCGGGACCCATTAGGCCACATTCCACGCTATCCCACGTGGGCCCACGTTTTACGCGGTGGGAAAGAGTGTCCACATGAAATCTAGGACATATGAATCGCCCATCACGTGTGGTAGCGTGGGATATTTTTCCAAATATGGCTAATGAGTCAACCTTGTTCCGTTTAAAAAAAATGAGATATGATTAAAAATACGATTTGGGCATCTTTTAACAGGCCAGGACAAGACACGAAAAAAAAACAATCAAATATATTCTTCCAAGGCTCCTTGATTAAAAATTAGTGTTTTTAACACATCCATGGCACTCTAGATTGAAATTTAAAATATGATTTTTTTTAAGTGAAAATGTCAAAAGTTGACATATGATATGTCATTCTATTCAGAGTGTCATTTTTTATCGAATAAAGTAAAAATATACCATAGGTGCCATTTAAAAATCAAAAGTTGTAGTCATTTCCGGTCAAACAAGACTGGCCAAAAACAATTGAGTACGTTTTCGTTTTTTATCTGAAAAAAATAAAAAATTATAGAGGTGAGCCACTTTTGAGACGCACCCGGTATAACCTTCAATTTGCGTAAAATTAAAGGTTATTATTTGTATCAAATTATGCCAAATAATCGTTCTGGAAAATGATAAATATTTTCGAATCGCTTTTGCATTTTGATTTGTGTTATTACGTGTGTTTTGTGTTTTTTAAACTTAGGTAGAGAAAGAATCAAGGGAAAAGTGAATGTAGACCTTAGAGTAAAATAAATGTAGACACAGGGAGTTGTATTAGCCACCAATAAAGTTTGTATACAATTCCGTATTGAATTTAGGTACATTATGTGTATGGCGATTATTGCTTAAAAATGGAGGAATAATAATTGATATATGCAATAATATACAGGGGGTTGCATTTAAAAAAAAATGTGCCATAACTTTATGACCGACCCTGTACACTTAAACTTACTACTATAGTAAACGCCACGAATGTTTGGGAGTGATTCATCGGTCGCTACCATAGACTTAAAATAAAATATAGACTACACTATTTACATCTCAACGCGGACAGACAATATTTTTTGTACACATGTTTACTTCTGGGTACAGTCGACCGAGCCTTCCTCATCCAACCTATGTTGTCACGTCTTTAATATTATCAATATTTTTTTTCTTGTTATACACATATATTGAGATATTAATACTACAGTTTAATAAAGTAGGTTTTAATATTCCAGAGATGTATTAAATAGTCCTTATACTACTAAATTATAAGTCGGATACTGTTTAAAAAGGATAAGTTCTTTACAATATGACAACACCGATTAGAGGCGAGGGAGCCTATTCATTCATTTATTACCTTGTAGTACGTGTCGCACGTGTGCGGTAAAGCTTTGTTGCCGCTATCTCCCCGGCTGTATTAACGCATTTTCTTAGCTTGTAGTGCTTAAGTGTTTATTTTATTGACTTTTTCTGTTCAAGAACTATAAAATATGGTTCACCAGTGCCAAATTTGCAAAAGAAATTTGACTTAAATAATCCATTTAAGTCTTGAAACGACTTTTTGACCGGTAGGCAACTCTCAATTTACCCATTGGGAGTCAGTGGCGTTGTTGTAGAAAGGCGCTTATTTAGATAATATTTTAGTAAAATGTAAAATCTGAATTTTTTCTCTTACATTACATTATTTACTTACTTACATTGTAACAAAATCATAATTATAACCCTGTTAATAATTAATAATGTTTTATTAAAAATATATTCCGGTTTATTCTAAAATTATCTTCAGAATCTAAAATAACATACAAGAATTTTAGAATGATATTACATTATGAAACAATATTTTTAATATACCGGGTCGTCTCAAAAAGTGGCTCACCCCTATAACTTTCTATTTTTCAGATAAAAAAAAAAAACAGATGTTAGTAGGTATATGACATAAATTAGGATTTATTGGCGTATTCAATTGTTTTTGGTCTCTTCCTGTTTCACCGAAATGATTACATCTTTTGATTTTTAAAGGCACCCTCGGTATATTGCTACTTTATTCGATAAAAAATGATACTCTGAATAGAATGACATATCATATGTCAACTTTTGACATTGTCGCTTAAAAATAAATCCTATTTTAAATTTCAATCCAGGGTGCCATGGTGTTGTTAAAAACTAAGTTTTAATGAAGGAGCCTTGGAAAAATAGTTTTGATCGTCTAATGGGTTTCGTGTCTTGTCTAGGCCGGTTAAAAGATGTACAAATCGTATTTTTAATCATACATATGTCAATTTTTTCAAATGGAACAAGGGTGACTCATTAGCATATTTGGAAAAAGCATTTTTTTATGAATATATTGATACCACACATTTGGTATTTCGAGTCAAATTGTCGTTATGAACCGCGTGTTACAATTACAATTAAACCATATGCGAGAATGTCAAAAGTTGACATATGATGTGTCATTCTATTCAGAGTGTCATTTTCTATCGAATAAAGTAGAAATATACCAAGAGTGCCGTTTAAAAATTAAAAGTTATAGCCATTTCCGGTGAAACAGGAAGTGACCAAAAACAATTGAATGCGTCAATCAATCCTAATTTATGTCATGTACTAACATACTAAATCTTTAAAAAAAATATGGGGATGAGCCACTTTTGGGACGCACCCGGTATAATAAAGACAGTACCGAGTTAAATAAATGTAGTTTTCATTTTATCCACTTCCTATCACCTTCCTTGCTTTAATGGAACAGATTTATGTTTTCTCTAATTTACATAAGACATCATTTAACCAGAAAAAAAATTACAACAATCATATTTTTTTTCTCTCCCTGTCGCCGATTCTATTATATCTGTGGAATAGATCCTGTTTTGATTAATATTAGGGGTTGTAAATGTGTGACTAAAGTTAATAATTTATTATTAATTTCAAAAATTACGTAATTTCGATTATAAAATTCTATAACGTGTATTTTATTATTTTTATCCTTTTTGGACTCTAAGACGATTTTTCTAAACTTTTATTTAAAAAACCTGTCCTAAATCTTAATAAAATATAAAAAAGTTTAAATACGATATATTTTTAATTTAATTATAGCTTCATTAAAATAAAAAAATTACCCATACGGAGAGTTCAGGTGTACTTGAGAAACGAAAGACAGTGTTGTGTTTCTCGGCAGAGTCGTCAGGGAACGACCGTTACGACAGAGACAACCTATCTATCGCTCGTGTCGCACTCGTTATAACCTAAAACAATAACACAACAATAACAAGACAGTGTCTGACCGCATGTTCCAGCTATTTATGAATGAGATGCTCAGTCTATATTTTATTTTAAGTCTATGGTCGCTACCATGTGAACTAATCTGTTCAAGGTCACATAAAACTTAATTCCAGTGCCGTGGTGTTTCAAGTCATATAATAATCAATATATAATCTGTTGTAATTTGTTGTTTTAACTGTCAAAGGCTTGTCAAAACATATATTTGGTTATAAATATAAACTGGAATGCCCGATTGGTCGCACTGCAAGCACACCAATGGACTGACGCACAAAAACGAATCAATCAAAGAAACGCAATATAGTATCGTCTTTGTCAATCACGCTAACATTTTAGAATAAGTAGAAGGAGCACAAGCAGATGATTAGACCAGGCCTTTAAAAACCTACGTCTGCGGTAAAAATTTACATTTTTAATGTAAAAATGATAACGCGCGTGTCGATTCTAACTTCATCAAGCGATGAATCACTCCCAAACATTCGTGGCGTTTACTATAGCTACTAGACATTTAAAAACCTTATAACTTTTGTATTTAACTTTTTGCGGTACCTTGTATATTTTACCTAATAAACGACCGTTCCCATATAGCGACCCTGTATAATACTAAATACTGGGGTAGCTGTAAAATAAAGATGTCATACGACAGATAAATAAAAATATACTTTTAGTACTACTGAGTGGCTTGCAGAGAGGTCAAAAGGTACTGGTTTAAAAAAATAAGATTAAAGTTAATTAACCAACTTTGAAGATATGCAATTCAGTAAGTGTTTGTAAATAATTGATATTATTATTAATAAAATATTTCGTTTTATTTACGCTTTGTTTTATTTATATTAAAAATACTAATAAGTCACAAAATAATTAGAACATTAATAAATTATACGATCTGATAGCTCGATTATCTGTGGCCGTCATTAAAAAAAATAAGGCCAGTATTGTGAATCTTACCATTATGGCCCTAAGTCCTCTAGCTCCGGTTTTCCTTTCCATGGCTAACGCGGCTATGGCTTTTAAAGCATCTGGTGAAAAACTCAATTGGCACTGATCCATCGCTAGTAATCTTTGATATTGAGGTATTAAGGCGTTCTTAGGCTCAGTCAAAATTCGCACCAACATGGTGTGATCTAATGAATGGAAAGGCACCAAAACAGGAAATCGACCCACAAATTCCTGTAAAATAATAAACCAAAAATTAATATAAATATACATCTCATATGTCTTCAAGTATTACCGGTATCATGCCAAAATCAATGAGATCTCTTGCTTGAACTTGTCGTAACGCAGCATCTTTCTCTGAATTTTCTTCTTCTGCCGATTGTGTTGAAGAATGAAGAGTGGCTTCTTGTGCCACTGCCCTTCTACCTTGACCAGCTGACACTGGTGCACCAAACCCTAAATACTTAACAGAAAAAAAAAATTACTGAAGGACCGTTTGGACATTTAAATCAAATAATTTACGTTCTCGTTATTTCTTCTTTGTATTAGCCTTTCCAGGCCATTATATGCTCCGCTAGCTACAAATAAAATATTTGTTGTATCGACTTGGATTGTCTCTCCCCTCAGTTTCCTTGGTGAGTTTCGCTCGGGAACATTGACTACTGTACCTTCTAGCATTTTTAACATACCTTGTTGTACCCCTTCACCGCCAACATCTCTAAAAAGATTCTATTAATTTCAGTTTATACTTGTATCCGCCTAAAAATCAAACAAAAATATCGAAAGTAAGATAAAGCATGTAATACAAAACACCCTCTTTAATTAATTTATCATTTATTAAAAAATCTATTATGTGCTAGACATGCTGTTCAATAAAAAATGTGCACTTTCTATTTCTTTTAACTTTAGACTATATTTTCATACAAGGCGAAGCCAAATCTGTTATGTATGGGTTAATTCACGGTCAGCAGCACATAGGCCAGACGCATAGTGCTGTTAACCAGAAGCTGATCGAAGAGCTAACAGCAGACAAGACAAGACTTGATGCAACAGCTACGAGGTATAGCTACAACAAATTTAATATAACCATGCCAGGAAAGGAAGACTGGAGTAAAGGTGTACCCATTCTAGTGATGGGCAAAACTGTTATTTTTAGATAACAGTTGAAACTGTTATAGTTATTTATAAAAAACAGCTTAAAATAACAGCTTAAAAATAACAGGTTTCTTTATTTTATTGCTAAATATCTGAAAGAATATGAGGCGGTCACCGCCAGGCGTATTAACGCAGTTGCAACAATGACATGCTCGGTGGTAGTATTTCCAGGGTGTCATAACATTTCTAAATATCGATTGTTATCTAAAATACCTCTCTAAAAACGGGGGTTGTTTACAAATAAGCGCTGTTTACAAATTGCGATATAAAAAGCCAAAATACCGCCACTCGTCTATATCTATAAATTCCGATCTACCTACGCCTCCTCTTCTAACATACAAACTGGATAAAATTTTCTCACATTTGCCAAAAATATGCTTTAAACGTCGAGAAGTTTAAGCAGAATCGTAGTTAATCAATTACTCAACTTTTGGAACACCCTGTATTATTTTTAAAAATTTCAAAATATGTAAAAAACAAAATAAATTATGCGTGTCCAATCGTTTTCCCGAAAGACTAACCGTTTTTAAATAATAAATATTGTAATATTTGAGGGGCGTTTTCACCCTCTTGGAATTTGAGATTCGAGAAACCCCTCCTTATCGCACCTCTACACCCCACAGTCAATCCGTTTACTCAAAAAAATCAGCTTTAAACGTCAAGCAGTTTAAGCAGAATAGTGATTACTCAGTGGTCATATTTCATGAAACACGCTGTATATATTTTGTAAAAATCTCAAAATATGTAAAACAACAAAATAAAATATACGTGTTTAAGAGTTTTTTCGAAAAACTCACCAGTTTTTAAATAAAAAATATTCTAATATTTGAGGGTGGTTTCACCCCCTTAGAATTTGAGTTTCGAAAAATCTCTTCTTATCGCACCTCTACACCCTAACGTCAATCCGTTTTCCAAAAATCAGCTTTTTACGTCAAGGGCTTTAAGCAGGATCGTGATTAATCAATGACCAGATTTTTCAAAACACCCTGTATACATTTTTAAAAAATCTTAAAATATTATTCTGAAAATTTTTTAGAATAAATAAATACTTAAATATTGAAACTTAATAACAAAGTATTGAAACATACAGCGCCATAATATCTCGACCTCCGCCCGTTATGCTCGTAACAGGTTGAAAAACAATATGTATCTAAAACAACTGACGCGTTATTCTCCAACCTGTTTCAAACCTCCGATTATCTCGAACGCCGTTCTGTTATGCTCGTAACAGGTAAAAAAACAACATAGCTAAAACAACTGATGCGTTATTCTCCAACCCGTTGCGAGCCTCCATCGACAATCGATCGATGCAGCAGCGCTCCTTTCCCACTCCTGTTATCTCGACAGCCAGGCGTTATGCCCGCAACTGTTTCAAAAAAACTGCTTCTTTTATATCCTATTATTTTTAAGCTGTTGTCAGCCCAACACGACGCGCCGCGCCGTAGCGCATACCCCACTCCGTTGTCCGTTGTATCTCGCCGCCTGTATCGATGGTTGTCGAAATAATAGGTTTTCCATCCATACTAGTTGTTTTTTGGAATTGTTTCGAGCAGCATCGAATTTCGTGGAGGTGCAGAGCGCCGACTTCGTTTCACGAACACTCGATCTCTGCGTGTCGTTATTTTATATCTGTTATTTTTTAAAAGCAGTAACGGTTGCGTTATGTTATTTCTAAATAATTGTTATAAAATAACAGATAGTTAAATAACAACCCATCACTAACCCATTCAAGCTGAGGCAACCTGGTATACAGACGGCTCAAAAACGTCAGAAGGCGTAGGAGTTGGGATAGTAGGGCCGAAACAAGGGAGATCTTTCCACGTAAGCCTATCTAGGGATGTCACAATTTTCCAGGCAGAAATAACGGCAATCTACTATTGCGTAGAAGAAATAATAAGGCAACAAAGAACAAATCGTTCTGTGGTCATCTTCACAGGCAGCCAAGCAGCGCTGAAGGCACTTGGCTCCGCGGAGGTCAATTCTGGACTAGTGTGGGACTGTGTGCGTGCTCTAAATACTTTAGGCGAACGTAGCATTGTTAGGTTGGTCTAGATACCAGGTACACTAGATACGAGAGTCACAAGGGTAACGAAAAGGCAGATGAAAGGGTCAAGCAAGGCTCATCAATGTCATTCATAGACCCAGAACCGTTCTGCGGCGTTGCAAAAGCAGTCACGAGAATTTCCATGGAACCAAGGGTGGCCAACAAATCTCTAGAATGGTGGAGACTCACCAGGGCAGAGACAGACGAAAAAGTTCACTGTAGAACATTTGCTAAAATGCACGGTAGACCTGATAAGCAAGGACAGAAAGACAGTCAAAGCTGTAGTGGGTTTACTAACAGAGCATTGTAAGCTGAATAGGCATCTAAAGCTGATGGAACTGACGGACGAAGCTATGTGTAGGTTCTGCCAATCTGAATAAGAAACGACAGAACACATTTCATATCGGTGCGACAGCCTGGCAAATGTACGGTTCTCGGTAATAGGCAATGATAGGCCATTGCCAGGGAGCTACATGGAGGGTTCAGTCTCCAAGTTGCTAAACTTTGTGAAAAGGATAGGACTGAGGAATGTAATCTAAGGATCAGACGAGGACCACAATAGATCTGAGAAGATCGCAGTGGATCAGACCGAGAGCCACCTCTAGGAATCTATCTATTTATATCTATCAATTTTAGACTACCGGTGCATCCTTTCCTTGGTAACAAACTGATTTTCAATGATTGCGTTATAAAACAAATATAAATAAAGTATTTTTTTTTAAATGTAGTAGGTTAAGACTGGCAAGTATCCAAAGAATATACTGCGTCAAGTACCGTAATTTTGCAAATGTCAAATGATGACGTTTTTAAGGGCTTGATAGTGACATCATAGCTTATACAGGGTGAGTCTTAAATAAGTGCAAATGTTTTCAGGGCTGGTAGATCACGATAAAAGAAACATATATTTTCTCTTTATCGTTTTTCAAATAAGTCCAATATTAACCGAGTTATTTTACTTTGAAAATTTCCAAAAAAAATGATTTTTTGCTAAAATTTTGAAAACCATTGGATCTTTTTTGGGTTTTCCTTCTTGTAAATTTAATCTACTACCTATGTTGCCATATTATCAAGAAATTATATTTTTTAACTAAAAGCTAAAATAATTTCCAAATTTTTTTTCATAAAATTCCGAATTTTCATATTTTTTTCGCCAAAAAAAAATCATAATTGTGTTTCTGAGGTCGAAATATAATATACCTAAAAATATTTGCACTTAAGACTCACTAAGTGATGGTAACTCGTCGCTTTAAAAGCTCTTTAGTATATTTTAAGTCTCTGATAATTTTTAAAAATTGACAACTGAACAACTTTTTCTCTTCCATCCTTTCCAATATCTTGTTATCTAACCCAACTTTTCACACCTTCGACGTGCAATTTTACAATTTGTCGCATGACTTAACAGTTGCCCTATAACATACACATATCTGTCAAAATGACATTTTATGTTAGTGAACATAATAAATTGACCACATATTTTTTTCAATAACTCAATAATAAAAACTGTTCCATTATTTGTAAACATATTGGCATACAATGTACACAACTGACTATAATCTGTCCAACAATAGAACTCTGACAGTAACAATTGTGTTACATTTTAATGCAAAGGTTCTTTTATGACACATACTTATAAACATTTCACTTACCTTAATTGGTGGATCCCAGGTACAGCACCAATTTTATCTACTTCATCCAAAAACACTATGCCAATTTGAGCTTTATCCACACTGTATCCAGCATCTGAAATAAAATAAAATCGCATTTTGTATTTATAAAATTTCATATTGTATATTTTTTTAAATTACCTTGAAGAAGTTTTCCTATAACTGACTCAATATCTTCACCTACGTATCCGGCTTGTGTCAAAGTTGTACAATCACAAATTGCAAAAGGAACATCAAGACACTGTGCAATTGTTTGAGCCAGCAATGTTTTACCTATCAGAACCTTTTATGTTTAAGTAAATATGTTAAATACACATTCCTAACTTATGTTCATATATAATGGGCTCTTTCACTATATTTAGGAATTTGCATAATTGAATAAAGCAATTAATTCTAGAATTTTCTGCTATCTCACTTTCGAAAAACTTGAAGTCGTTCTTAAGAAAATAAATAAAAACAAAAAAGCCCAGAATAAAAATCCCCACTTTATGTTTAATACGTCACACATGTTGAAAAGCGGCAACACCGCCGGGCCACCATGCCGGCCCATTTAAAATTTAACCATTTCGGCGTCAACTTTAGGAAGGTTATCAGATGACGCCTTTTCGAATCCAGGTTCTGATACAACCATGTCGGAACAAATTATCAAAGAATAACAATTTAAAACTTAAAATTTGATTACACGCTTTCACAAATGGAGTAAACCTTTGAATAAGAAGACTAAGGAAGGAGCATATCAAAAATCTTAGGTGCACCGCGATGGGCCTCAAATATGGCCGACTTAAATTCCAGCTTATCAGTGCCGTTCTAATTTTATTTAAAAAATTTAAAACTATGATGTAGGGAAGACGTAGGGTAGACTCAATAATTTGTTATTTTATTTTACGTTGTGAATAAATGTTGGTAGTTATTAAAATTGTTATAAAAATATATAATTCTAATAAAAATAGATAAGTTATAATAAGTATTTATTAACACAAACATCCGATACGCTACTAAAGCAGGTAAGTCAAATTAACGTATCAAAATTCTTTGACATCTGATCTTTGACAAGGAGTAAATAAAAGCTAAAATGCAAGAAAATATATAATTTAGTTAATTTAATTGAATTTCATAAATGATCGGTTTACTACACGTATGTATATTATATAGTCACTTACTAGCGAAAAGTTGTTCCATTATTTCACTCAATTTTTGCCGAGATCTACCGCACGCTACACAACCAACTATTTTAGAGTCTTTTCGATAAATCGCGATAATGTCACTGTTAATTTAAGTTCTGCCACAATTTCCATCTAGATTTACTACCTTTATACAACTATCAGTAGTAGAATAAATAATAAATAACATAAAATAAGTTCCGTAAAGACTGACAAATCCACAAAATTTCAAATCAAATTCAAATGTGTCAAATGAATCGTCAAACAGAACTGTCAAGGATCCCCACCCTAGAGAGCTTTTTCCGCCCACCATGCATGAATACATGGATAGCATTAAGCTCCTTCCTTAGTCTTCTTATTCAAAGGAGTAAACAAAAAACTTAACCTCAAATTTATTATTCAACATGCACGTCAAATCAAATCGCAATGTTGCCAGTTGTTGGCTGGCGCACGAGCACGGTTCTGCAATGTGATTGGGCGTATTTTTCATACGTCATCAATTGGTACTTTAAAATTATTCCAAATTAAAGCAATTTTGCGGGCCTATAAAAAAATTATTCAATGTCATGGAATTATTTTTTTTTTGGATAAATATACTAAAAATAGTTGTCAATTTCAGATTTTGTCCTTGAATTGGGTATTTTATTTTTTGTGAAAGAGCCCATTTTCATGATTTTGTATGAGAAGTTAATTATCATTAATTGATGTCATTATTACATGAAATGTTTAAAATAGAGTGAATCCAAATAAAACACTATATTTGATATCAATTAAACTTTTAGTTACGTATTGCCAACCATGGATATATTCGGCGCCGGGCTGACAAACTGGAATTTAAATTATATTTATTATATTAAAATTTCCCGCTGGGGATTCAAGTGGTAGCTCTGCTGTAAAAAATGTCAAGTTACCACATTTATTTATTTCCTGACATTGTCATTCGTTTTGACACTTTAGTTTTGTATTACGCGTTTTTGGCTTAAATAAATAGTGTTGTGATACTTTAAGCTTAAAAATGTGTGTTTACTAGGAATAGAACACTTCTTTTTAGAACCTCTTTTAGTGCAAGATAGCTTAATAGCCGTAAAAAACTCATGGCAACTTAGAATATTAACATTAGAATATTTTGAACGAGAAAGCGGTAGTAATGGCCCTTTATATCCCTTAAGTGCTGTTAAGAAGGTGAGTTTTATTGATGTAAATAATAACTGTTTATATATTTATAATTAATTTATTTTTGTTTCGTAAAATATTTTGATTAAAAAAATATGTAAAAAAGGTCAATCCTGCGCCGGTCAAGCTTAATAACGTGACTGAAAGTTTATTTGATGTGAACTATATTTACATTAAAGTTGGTGAGGTTCAGATACTTTATTATATGAATACTTGATTTTTTGTTTAAAAATAAATATTGTAGTATTTTTCTTATCATTAAAGTTATAATTTAAACTGTTTTATACCTGATCCTGTAGGGCCCAGTAATAAAATATTGCTCTTTTCTAGCTTCAATTCATGCGTAGTTCTATCAAGAATATCAGATCCAACTGCGCTTTGCGACGTCGTCTTTGAATAAGGAGGTTCTGTAGGGCTGAAACTGAGTCCCATTGAGCTATGTGCCATGCCTGTTATATGGAGCAAATCTGTGTTACATAAAAAAATCATTGACGAACTTTGAGCAAAAAAATGAATAGGTACAGGCTGATTTAAATTGCCGCCTTGAGCAACCAACGAACTGGGTAATAAAAATAGTTGTAAAATGGTAAATAAAATTGAAAAATTTATGGAGAGGATTCAAAAAGGAGCTTTGGAATTGCTTAAAAATAGTGAGTGTGATGTCATCACAATTATTTTACGACTAGCCTAGAAAATGCAGTTTGACACACGGAAAACTCTATCTGAAATTGGCGTTTTGCAAACTGTTGTGTTGTGCAAAACGACATGTGTCATTTTGCACAGGACATGTGCCAACTTTAACCTTTTTAACCTCCAATGTTTAGCTGAAACGCCAAACGCAACGGAGCCGTCAGAAAAGTGTCATCATTACATCGCAAATTATTTCACAAAAGTGGCAAAAACTGAGTGAGTCTGCTGCTAATTTGTAGTCGTAGAAAAAATAGCGTAAAAAACTCGTTCGAAAACTTCTTTGTACACTCGTTCGACTTGTGGCTCGAGCCAACAAACTGTCGAACTCGTGTACAAAACGTCGTTTTCGAAACTCGTTTAATATACTATTTCGTTTTTCATTCATCCGCGTTTTGTCATAATCAGAAAAACATATTTTTTAAACAATTTATAATTACAACTTTAGTAATTACAAACTAAAAAGTTTGTTTTTTTTTTATTTATTATAGAATATTAATTTTAAAAATTATTGCTCACACTGTCCAACTAAAACAGAGTAAATACATTAGTGTAACTAGCAATTTATCCTGGGGTGGGTCTAGGGGGGGGCCTGGGGTTGAGCCCAGGGGTGGCTTAGGGCTTTTGTTTTTTTAAAAATGAAAAATAATTTTAAAAAGCATTTTTTTCAATAAAACGTTTACATGAATTTCTCTATCAATAAATTTCATAGACTTGGTTATCAAACCGTGTTCCCGTAGATTACTTAAATACCTACAAATTTTCAAAAAAATCAAAATTAACACATTTTTTGAACACAACAAAATAATATTAACTAAACAAATCTAGAAAACGTCATTTTTACTGTATCACAAGCAAATAAAAATTAATACGTAGCCAAGAGTTCAAGTAATTCAGGATTTCTTGGTGGGTGCCCAGCAGTACGGGGGGGGGGTCTGGGCCCCGGGCACTAAATATCTAAAAATTAGCGTGTTACAGTTTTCCGAAACGGCTTGGCCGATTTTGATTCAATAGGTTTGAGAATAGATTGTTATATCCATTTTCTATACCCCTAAGTGATAAGGGTGTGGATCATACTTTTTGGACAAAATTTGTTATTTTTACGCAGAAACAATCCTGGGTGTTTGGGAAGCCTTGAAAGGAAACAATTATGTTTTGGCAACGTTTCGCGACTTTATTGTCGCTTCTTCAGGCACTATAAGAGAAGCATTTTTTTTAAAACATACCCCAAAATTTGGGCAAAAAAATACCCCAAGTTTTTGTTCGTTCGTCATGTGTCTTAGGGCGGTTGGAATCGCCATGAATGTTTGTAGGCATATGGATTAATATATGTTTTGGGTAAGTGGCTAGTTGATTTTATTTTCATAATTTTAAAAAATTGCTTCTCCTATAGTGCCTGAAGAAGCGACAATAAAGTCGCGAAACGTCGCACACATAATCGTTTCCTTTCGAGCCTTCCCAAACATCCACGAATTTTTTGTGCATACTAACTACTGGGAACTAACAATAATCATTTGTTATTTTTATTTTTTTATGATGTGGCATTAAAACATACATACAAGCCTAAATTTTCACCCTTCTAACATCAACCCCTATTTTTAATAGGGGTCGTTTTTTTAATACCCTTAGTTACTATACTCCTCCGAAACGGCTTAACCGATTTTGATGAAATTTTATATATGTATTCAGTAGGTCTGAGAATAGGTTGTTATTTTTTTATACCCCTAAGTGATGAGGGTGGTCCATCCCATTTTTTTTTACTTTTTGGACAAAATTTTTTATTTTTATTTTTTTTATGATGTGGCAATAAAAAATACATACAACCCTAAATTTTCACCTTTCTTCCATCAACCCCTATTTTTAATACAGGTTGATGGTAGTTTAGTTACCATACTCCTCCGAAACGGCTTAACCGATTTTGATGAAATTTTATATGTATATTCAGTAAGTCTAAAAATAGGTTGTTGTCTATTTTATATACCCCTAAGTGATAACGGTAGCCCACCGCAAATTTGTTTTTACTTTATGAACAAAACTTTTTATTTTAATTTTTTTATGATGTGGCATTAAAAAATACATACAACCTTAAATTTTCACCCTTCTTCCATCAACCCTTATTTTTAATAGGGGCTGATGGTAGTTTAGTTACTATACTCCTTCGAAACGGCTTAACCGATTTTAATGAAATTTTATATGTATATTCAGTAGGTCTGAGAGTAGGTTATCTATTTTTATACCCCAAAAGTGATAAGTGTGTGGATCATACCAACCGATTTCAAATCGGTGGATGCAATCCAAGTGGCGCACAGTGGCACTTGCATATGTTAAAGAGCGGTCATAAGTGATTTTGGAAAAATTAAACTATATGACACACTGTTAAACTTTTTGAATAGTAATAGCATTGGTTTAAAAAAAAACAACAAATTTTTTGAATAAAATTTGTAACCATGTTTTTTTTTCTCTTAAACCCATCACATTTAATTGTCTTTTTCGCTTAGTGATAGCAAATAAGAATCTAAATATTCCTGGAGGCTTTAAAAAACCCGAGATGATTATTATTTTTTATACTTTAAAGAAAAGGTTTTCTCTACTTTTGGACTATTACTAAGAAAGTTCTGAAATTATTATTATGTATTAATTTTTCATGTTTTTTTTAAACGTCGTTTTTATCCATATTTTTATAGTTTTCAAAATACCAAAAAAATACTATCGACGCTTATCTACGTTTCCTCTTATCGCAAATAATATTGTTTGAGGAATGTATTTGTATATAAACAAAAAATGGTTTGCCGAATTCTGCCTATTCATGCGATATATTTATTTGAAGTAGTCCGTGTTTCTTAATAGACCGCAACACAATTTTAAGTTACGTTTTTTCAGAAAAGACAATAGAGAACAACGGCATACGGTCGAGTCGGCCGCTGCTGGCACGTAGACGTAGACGTAAAGAATCTTTTACGTGTATAAAAAATAAAAATATAAGAAATGCGCATGCGTACGTAAACGTTTACGTGTTTGTAGGCCGACTCAACCGTATGCCGTTGTTCTCTAATAGAGAACAACGGCATACGGTCGAGTCGGCCGCTCCTGGCACGTATACGTAGACGTAAAGAATCTTTTACGTGTATAAAAAATAGAAAATATAAGAAATGCGCATGCGTACGTAAACGTTTACGTGTTTGTAGGCCGATTCGACCGTATGCCGTTGTTCTCTATTAGTCGAAAATGTTCACGGTATGCCACAATTCAAGATGTTTTTAATTGTCTCCTGATATCCTCTGACCCTTATTTTGCTGCATTTCGGCATATGTGAAAGAAAAGTGAATGTTTAGAGCTGGATGATGAAGCTAAAGAACTCCTTTTATAGAACATATTACTGAGTTGGTTGAGAATATGTTTTCTTAAATAAATATTATTTTCTACTTTTACGTTCAGAGTTGTAATGGTGGTTTAGTTTTTTTGTTTTGTGAAATATATATTTTTTTAATTTTATACTTCAGGTTTATTTTAGTATTGTTTAAAGTTTCTTTTAAGTATGGAAATCACTTGATTTACAAAATAAAACTTTTTACAAACATAATTAAATTATAAACACTTCTTCGTCTGCACGGATATAACATATTTTTTGGATCCCATTGTTAAATTAGTATCTTGTTATTTTATTTTTTCACGGGGGAACTTGAATTTTTTTATTAAGGAAGGTCTAAACAAACAGCTAGTGATACAAGAAGTGATTTTTAAAGTATTTATAAACCTATCTCTTTCACCTTTCACTTGCTCACCCAATCCAAACATTTCCCGAAACCCATCCCCCACGTTCACCCTTTAAAGGAGGGGGCGTGGGGCTCTTAATGTAAGAAAAACATTTTTTGGAGTTCACCAGAAATCATTACTAAGCGATAACGGTAAATCTACAGGTGTGTACCTTTACCGATATTATTAAATGACACGCTTTACAAAAAAATAATTTTTGCAGTCATAATTAGACCGGCGCGACGTTTTGCTAAAATTCAATTAAAATTATAAAAAATTCTATAGATATTTTTCTTTTCACCATAAATAGAGCAGCTGGGCTACAAATTACTTATTAAAGTATTTTTTTCTATTTATGACCGCTATATCCCTATACCTCGATCCACCGTGTGGCGTCCAAGAGTATTTGATGCGAGTACGCTTTGACAGTGTCAACTAGGCTTTAACAAATTTCTTAACTTTAAAATTGCTAACTTTTTAGGGATAGAGATATTAGATTTAGATATATAAAAACTGTTTAAATAAATATATTATTTTCAATTACAAGAAAAAGACAGTATAGTTTCAGAATAAAATACATTTGATCGTGTAACATTCTTCATTTTAATTCCAAAGATATACGCTATATGCAAAAAAATATACTTTTAACCAGACTCTTTTCGATTCCCTCTACCAACTAATTAACCCAAGGCGCCAAGTTTGAATCGCCCTGTACATTCAGGTGAAAAAACTGTATAATCAAAATAAAAATGAAAACAGACAAAACAAATAGAATAGAAAAAAAAAATGATACTGAATGATAAAAACAGAAACAGAATCAAATAAGGCATACCTCGATGGGTCATGTTTTGATGAGGTCCCTGTTCCATTACTGCCATATCTTGTCTATTATTTGTCGGGTTTGGTGTGTTGTTATAAATTCGTTTATAATGATTATATACGGCTACAGATAGGACCTATATAAGATATTTATATACAAAAACATTCACAAAACTCTATCTAAAGACCATATATTAAAAAACACTTGCAAAAAAATTATACCTTTTTAGCATATTCTTGGCCCACTACATGCTTATTCAAATAATCATAGATTTTCTTAGGAGGCGGTGGTGGTTTTCTGTATTGTCCATTTTTCAAATCAACTCCCTCTTTTTTCTTACTGTCAACTTCACTTAACACAACAAAAAAGTGGTGACATTTCTCACATTTAACAAACCTATTAAGGGAACAAATATCAAATATAGACACCTGACAATCTTATTTTAAATATTTACCTTGTTGAACTAACAAATGTTTCAACGTGAGTGCAAGGATCTCCACATTTTGGACAAGACAGTGTATTTTTATTTTTACCATTACCCCCACCACTGTTAGTCGTAGTATTATTTGTAGGTGGTGTAGTATTTGTCGGGGGTTCTCCAGCACCAATAGTTTTTAATAAAACTATACCTGTAGAGATATTCTTATTCTGACTAATTTGCTTTTGGTAAATAGCAGCTAGAATGCCTATAAAAAACAATTTAGATATATTACTGTAACATATTATTCAGAATTACTAAGAGATACCGTCTGATGTATTTTTCTCTTCTAATTATAAAAATTAATACTCATTATATCTTTGATAACAAAAAACTAGTGCCAATAAACCTCACTGTTTTCGTAAAAATAAAGATGCAGATTCACTAGTTGGTGACAAGTCAAATTGCAAAGTAAACATGTTATTTCTTTCAGTGTACAGATAAATATTGCAAATGAAAGTTAACGCTTTCCCTAAGCTGCTTTTTTTAGTTTAGAATTTATAGAATACTTTATATTAAGTTATAAATACATGTATGATTTGATCAGGTAGGAGATAAATACATTTTACATATGTGCATAAATATCAACAGCTCTGAAGCAGCCAAAAAATTGTGATAGTAATCATGTAGTAACACAAACGTAGGAAATACGTCAGTATGATTAAAAATTGCTTATGAAAATATTTTTAAAAGAATTAATTAGTGAAAAGTATTTTTTAAAAACGAGCTGACAGAAATGGTCTTACCTTGCTGTAATTTCGAATTACGAGTAGCAAATGCATATTTTCCAGCAGTAGCCAAACTGCACCGAACACTGGACATAATTAATATATTTATTAGTTTTGTATGAAATAAAATTGTCTGTTTTCAAACACGTAGTCCTTCAGATTGATCAAGGTCTCAAAATGACATGACGCAACGAGCCTTTAATAAATCGTTTTTGCACTGTCCAAAATACACTGGAGATCACCAAATATTTTTCAAAAAGAGAAAAGGTAACAAAAGAATATTTTAGATATTATTTCACTGGAATTTTGATTTCAAGAACTGAAGATGAGATCTTACACTGTCAATACTTGAATGAAAATGTTTATTTTTGAGAAATTTGACAGAATTTCTCATATTTGACGTTTTTATTTATCCTTACATGCCCCATCTCTTGAGTAATCAGGTAAGCATTGAATTAAAAAACTAAGAGTTTCAGTTATTAGCTGATAGATGTCGCCTATGTAGTTCGATTAAAAACTGACATATATATTTTTTGACAGATAGATGACAGATAAGCGATTGAAATTGTTGGGTGCGGTGTGCTGTTTTCATAAAAAGAATATTTTTAAATATCAATAAATAAATTTCCAGGCGTTTTCAACGAAACCTGAGTACCAATATCGATACCTGTTCTGACTAAATTATTGGAGAATTAAAAAGTAAGTAAGTTAGATTATGTTGGTATTGAATTAATTATGCTACAGGAAAGTAGGAATAGGCTCACCACACCCAAGCCATTTAATAAAAATAGGTATACCTTAAAAACTTGGAATATTTTAACGTAGATCAATTTTATGCATAAAATTGTTTGATAAGTGAGTTGGAATACAACAAAAATATATTTTTTTAACAGCATCCATTCCTGTTGTGTATACAGGAAGTAACTCATATTTCATGATCTAAATATAAAAACCTGAGTCTTCTCTGTTACTTTTTGTATATCGTAGATGAAATCTTTAGATATCCATTTATTTATTGATTCTTGGGTCAATTAAACCGCAGAAGGAATGCAGTAACCCAATGAAGTTTCTAGGTCAGTTAGTATGAAATCAATAGACTATAGACAGTTATCTTCCATTATTTTTCAGGGCCACTGTAATGATGAGGTCATAGCACTTTGTTATATCATTTCTAAAATTGGTTCAAATATTTTTAAATCGACTTTAATTTCTTTTAATTCTCTATATTTAATATTTTTTGTGAGTTGATGATTTCTGATAATTCTGAAGCTTCTGATAATTCATGGGTATTGAACACATTTATGGATAATTCATGGGTATTGAACATTTGGTACTAAACACTTTTATGAAAAAAATATAAAATATGTGATAAAATATTGAAAATTATACAATGGCGCTGGTTATTGATTTATTATAATATTATAATTAATAAATTTTATATACAGTGTGATCAAAAACTTCTATTGAGTGGTCTTTGGACCTTTATACAAAGCTTTAGACTCATATAAATATAGAGTCTGTGCAACAAGTCAGGGAAGATTTTGACAGACGACATCCAAAAAATAACAGGAAATACAAGTCACCTATGAATTAAACCTTGTTCTTCAGAACTTTGTATTGTTGCCAGCAACACGCCAAAGAACCAATGAGATTTGTATAAAATTCTCTTCTTTGTGTCTTAAAAACGTCTGAAAAAAAGCGTCTTAAAAACAGCTCTCGATTTTAAATTTAGTACAGCTCTCATTGGTTCTTTGAAGCGTCAGTCAACGACAGAACAGCACGCGACAGCGCGTAGTTCTGAGAACGGGGCTTTAGAATGAGAGACAATTGTCACTGTTATACTGGTTATACTATACCAGAGTAAGTAAACCGACGAGTAGCGACAGTCTCGTTTTCAGTTTTCTTTGCGGCTGCGCGAAATAAGTAGGTTATCTGTCATATGAAGAAGCGAAGTTGCCACTGTTGCCATTTATCAAATATCTCTATACACTTTATTTCAAGTATACCTCAGGCAACGAATCGTTTTTTTTTTTAATTATTTATTACCTGTAAGATATTTTATACATTCAAATTTAGAAATAAGGATAAAACAAAACAAAAAAAATATGTATAAAACTTTATAATTAATTCCACTTCAAATTATGAGCAGTGTATACCATGTTTATAGGACCACTTCATAAGTTGAGCAGTTAAATACATAGTCTATCTGTCAAACACATCAAAAGACCGACAGTTTTTGTCGCTACTCGGCGATCTACCTACTCTGGTTATACCTTATGATCGAATAAAAAAGGCGTCAGCGATGGCTATGAAATGAAGATGGCTGTCATTTTATATGTAAAATTATATGGGAAATGTCATCGATCGTCATTTCATAGCCATCGCTGACGCCGTTTTTATTCGATCATACGGTATATCCTCTCATTGGAGCTCATTGGACAGACTTAACCCTATAATTCATTTCAAATAAACATTTAGTCACGTGATTAAGTTTGACCGGCACAGCGTTGCCCTCTTTTACATATTTTCTTTTAATGAAAATATTTTAGGAAACAAAAATAAATTAATTGTAAATATATAAACAGTATATTATTTACATCAACAAAACTTACCTCCTTAACAGCACTTAACGGACATAAAGGGCCATTAGGTACTACCGCTTTCCCGTTCAAAATATTCTAATAAAGCTGCGATGAGTTTTTTACGGCTATTAAGCTATCTTGTACCACTTCGCACTAAAAGAGGTTCTAAAAAGAACAATGTTCGACTGCAAGCTCTGGTAGTAAACATTTTTAAGCTTAAAGTATCACAACACTATTTATTTAAGCCAAAAACTCGTAATACAAAAATAAAGTGTCAAAACGAATGACAATGTCAGGAAATAAATAATTAAATGTGGCAACTTGACGTTTTTTACAGCAGAGCTACCACCTGAATCCCCAGTGGGAAATTTAAATTCCAGTTAGTTAGCCCGGCGCCGAATATATCCATGGTTGGCAACAATGAATTTAAAAATTGTGCCCTCTATTACGTTACTAAAAGTTTAATTTATATCAAATATAGTAATATAGTATTTTTTAAGCTTATGAATGACGATAGTCTTATCATTTATTGACAGGTAAACAAATTCTAATGAAATATTGCATAAAAATTGTTTATCTCTCAATATTACAGTTGGGGGTTGGAACCTTTGGTGTTACAACAGCAAAATAAAACTCTAATTCGCCACAATACACCAAAACACTTTTACTTTGGCACTGGACGGGCGTTTCGCTAACCCTGTTAGCGTCATCAGCAGATGATTAAAACTAAACTAATGTCTACAAATTGAGCGTTTATATAGGCGCTCAGTCGGCACTGATCAAGCGTAGCAAAGTTAACATTAATTTTTAACAAATCTATCTACACACATAGTTACACAGTAACAGATATACCTACATATTTCTAAATAGTAAAAAATATCTGGAACATTTTTATATTCGTTTTTAACATATTTGTTATTACTTATTTATTAAATTATACTGCTCCTATTCTGGGAAACAAATATAATATAATCTATAATAGAAACAGTTAATATCCTTAAGTAATCCCAAAATCTATGAATGATATCACTATATTTGCTTAAAAATAGATTTCTAATATAATGGTATATTTACTTATAAAGAAGTTCTCTGAATGCTATCTTATATCAAGTATTTTTATAATAATTATGACAATCCATTTATCAGACAGATTAGATAATTGAAAGTAGTTTTTTTTTGCATTTGTAACCTTTGCTGTCGTACGTCTATTGGTGACTAAAATTTAATTTTTAGTACAATTATTTTGTTGGACATAACGTGAAAATGTAATTTAAAAATTTGTATAATTTTTTTACAAAAAAAAATGTAAAAAAAATTAATGTATGATACTAAAAGGTTTTATTTTTGTTTCAGATATCAGTTAAGGAGTTCCTTAATAATTACTGAAGATGGATCAGATTCCACCTCCGAAGGAGGTTAAAATCCTTGAAACAGCGGAAGATATTCAAGAGAGGCGTCAACAGGTTTTAGCTCGTTATGACAACTTTAAGGCGGACGCTAGAGCAAAGAGAGAAAAGTTAGAAGATTCCAGGCGTTTCCAATACTTCAAAAGAGATGCGGACGAATTGGAATCTTGGATACTGGAAAAGCTTCAAGCAGCTTCTGATGAAAGTTATAAAGATCCTACCAATCTTCAAGCTAAAATTCAGAAACACCAAGCTTTTGAGGTTAGTATAACTTCTCTTGTTGATATATGTCTTGAGATATATAAGTTATATTTTATATATTTATTGTTATACAGGCCGAAGTAGCAGCTCACAGCAATGCTATTGTTGTGTTGGATAATACTGGTCGAGAAATGATCAACCAAAATCACTATGAATCTGAAACTATCAGGAGACGCCTGGAGGAGCTTCACCGTTTGTGGGAACAACTACTTTCCAAATTGGCTGAGAAAGGCTTAAAATTACAGCAAGCCTTAGTTTTGGTTCAATTCATCAGGTAATAGTATAAAATGTTTATTTTAAATAAAAATAAAATTGATATTCTTTGTTCTTGCAGACATTGTGACGAAGTTATGTTCTGGATAAATGAAAAGAGCGCATTTTTATCAACTGAAGAATTTGGACATGATTTAGAACATGTTGAAGTACTCCAAAGAAAATTTGATGAATTTCAAAAGGATATGGCATCACAGGTGAGAAAAGTATTCATTAACAATTAAAAATACAGTAGTTTCAGAGACCCTAGAACGATACTTCGTTGCATTACAGCGCTCGGCTCAAGCCAGTCTCTGGTTTATGAAACAATTCTCAAAAAAAAAAAATAGAAAAAAGATAGATCTTTTTTTTTTTCTTCTTTAGGAATATCGTGTCACTGAAGTTAACGAGTTAGCTGATAAACTTATACAAGATGGTCACCCTGAACGTGATCAAATTACCAACAGAAAGGAGGAATTAAACCAAGCATGGCAACGACTGAAGCAGATGACCGTTTTACGTCAGGAAAAACTATACGGCGCTCACGAAATTCAAAGATTTAATAGAGACGCTGACGAAACCGTAAGTTTACTGATTTACACTATAAAACAGATTACATTTTTCCTTTAACCTAGGTTGCCTGGATTTCTGAAAAAGACGTTGTACTCTCTTCTGATGACTATGGTCGAAATTTGGCTAGTGTTCAGGCGTTGCAGCGCAAACACGAAGGCGTTGAACGAGATTTGGCAGCATTGGAAGATAAAGTTTCCACTTTAGGGAAAGAAGCTGACAGGTAAAAATATGCCATAGTTAAAGGAAACCAGTTTAGATTGGAATGCTCGGCTTGCCGCCAAAACTTATAATTGTTTTAGAGCGCATACGTTGTAGGGCGCTGCCATAGCGGTTGCTAAGAACACCCACAAGAACAGAAATAATTTACTCTTGTCAAAGTCAGAATATTAAAAGTTATAAAATCTTTCAAAATTTAAACCGCCCTCATTGAAAAAATACCGAAAAGTGTTTAAAGCGTCCATTTTCAAAGTAATTATTGCTATCTTGAGAGTTTAATTTAAATTTACTCAAACCCGTGATAATTGTGAAAAAGTGGCATTAAAAACTTATAAAGCTGTGTGGCCTGTGAACTACAAAAATCATCGTGGATCGTGGCATACCGTCGCACAGTGGTTCCCAGATAGGTCATTACTTAGAAATATTAATTTCAAAATGTTTGCATGAAACTGTTGCTAATACTTTTCTTATATTCCCCTGTAAACGATACATAATAAATAACAAAATCAACTCAGCCTAATGTAGCGCTTTTTTATTAGAGATCTCACATTTTTGCTACTGGTATCAAGCTGACATAAACAGTTTTCAGATAACACCAATTAATTACTTATTTTATTAAAATTGATAAAAGCTGTTGCCTTTTCTGTAATGGACGTTCGAAAAGAAGGTAAAAAGAACTGTTTTTTTCTTTTTTGCACTTAATCAAACCTAAGTAATATTAGTTTATGGCAATTTATTTGAAGGCAACAAAAATAGTATTTTTACATTTTGCTTGTCACTCTACTTTAACTACTTTCCCTTTCAAATCCTCTTAAACGGCATGATAATACTTGTTGCTTAAAGTATATTGCATATAAATTAATTGCCACTGGCTGCCGCGAATTGCCGCCGGATGTTATACCGGGTGGTTATTTGACTTTTTGTCTTAAAATAAAAGTAACTTATTTTTTCCTCTTTGTGTCAACTTATTTCGTGGACACACTGTATATCAATTGACTTGAATTGAAGTTATAAAATGGAACAACTGTCTCTTTTATTTTTTCAACATTTAAAATAAATTTGACCTCTTCAATATGAAAAAACATGTACGTATGTGCAAACATAATCTGTATGCCTTTCCGAATAGTTAGAACTTGAAATGCAAATCACACGAACTGGGCCCAATTTTTTTAATACATATTACATTAAGTTTTTTAGGCAGACAATAACTGACTAGTGAGAAAGAAAATCTGGGAACTAGTGCGGTTGCAGTCGGAAGGGTTTGAAATAGAATTAATACACTTTGTTAATTGTCAAGCTTTCGGAATTTATTCATTCCTTCCTCAGGACATCAACGTGGTACAAGAGACCTTCATAAAAAACTACATTAAAAATCCCTCAAGCCAATTTGTTAATGTAGTTTTTATGAAGGTCTCTTGTACCACGTTGATGTCCTGAGGAAGGAATGAATAAATTCCGAAAGCTTGACAATTAACAAAGTGTATTAATTCTATTTCAAACCCTTCCGACTGCAACCCCACTAGTTCCCAGATTTTCTTAAGTTTTTTATATACATTTATTTAGCATTTGTTATCAATTTCTATTAAAAAAAGTGCAGTCAAGCTATATCTAGATATCTAGCAGTTATGATAGCGCAGCTAATTAAGGGGAACCACTGTGCGTCGGTTTCCAATGTTTCATAGGTATTTCATCCATGTCCTTATATAAAATAAAGTTTCGTATATGTAACATACTGTATTTTATTTAAAAAATTAAAGGAAAATAATAAATTTGAACAATATTTGGCGACATAATTCCGGAAAAAGCCGAACCGCTCCGAAATCAAAAGCTTTGGAAAGCAACCGTTGCGTTCTAAGAATAGCGCCAAATAATATTTACATTGTCCTTATGGGCACTTTCCAATCTAAACTTGTTTCTTTTATCTGTGCAATTTGTTTTTTTTTTTATGTCAAATGGCAATGTTTTATTTTAATAGGTTGTGTGGAATTCATGGCGATCATGCAGAACAAATTCATGCCAAGAGGGCAGAAATTGAAGATTATTGGCTTCGTTTAACTGCTAAAGCAAAGGAAAGGCGCGAAAGACTAGAAGAATCGCATGCTCTGCATCGATTCTTGGCTGACTTCAGAGATCTAATTTCCTGGATTAATGATATGAAAGCGATTATTTCAGCAGACGAATTGGCAAAAGATGTTGCTGGTAATAATTCGTTATATTATTTGTGTATTTTTATTTAATAAGTCATATTATGTAGGTGCTGAAGCTTTAATAGAGCGTCACCAAGAGCATCGTGGTGAAATTGACGCACGCGAGGACAGCTTTGCCTCTACTATTGCTGCCGGTAAAAATTTACTAGAGAAAGGTCACTACGCTAGTGACGAAGTCAAAGAGAAGCTTCTAGCTTTGGATTCAGACAAAATATCGCTCATTGCTCTATGGGATGAAAGAAGAATTTTGTATGAGCAATGTATGGACTTGCAATTGTTTTATCGCGACACTGAACAGGTAATTTTTTTCTTATCTAATTTGAAAAAATATGCGTTCTATTTCGTAATTTGTTAGGCTGATACATGGATGGCAAAACAAGAAGCCTTCCTTGCAAACGAAGATTTAGGGGACTCTCTTGATTCTGTGGAGGCGCTTATTAAGAAACATGAAGATTTTGAGAAGAGTTTAGCTGCCCAAGAAGAAAAAATTAAAGCTTTGGATGATTTTGCAACCAAATTAATCAACGGTAAATACATTTTACTTTTTTTCAGATAAATATAATTAACGATATTGCAATTAATACAGGTGAACATTATGCTGCTGATGATGTGGCACAAAGACGCGCTATGCTTCTTGAACGCAGAAGAATCCTGAAAGAAAAATCTAACACACGTCGTGAACTTTTGGAAGATGCTAATAAACTACAACAGTTTGAAAGAGATTGCGATGAAACCAAAGGTTGGATTAATGAAAAACTTAAATTCGCTTTAGACGAAAGCTATTTAGATCCAACCAATTTGGGCGGTAAAGTTCAAAAACATCAGAACTTTGAACAAGAATTGAATGCTAACAAATCCAGAATGGAAGAGATAACTTCAACTGGGCAGGAATTAATTGAAGCAAGACATTATGCTTCGCCGAGAATTCAATCTCGTATGGAAGAAATTGTTCAGCTTTGGGAAACACTTGTCCAGGCTACTGATAAGAAAAACTCAAAACTGGAAGAGGCCAGTCAACAACAGCAGTTTAACAGGACTATTGAAGATATTGAATTATGGTTGAGTGAAATTGAAGGACAATTGTTGAGCGAAGATTATGGAAAGGATTTGACCAGTGTTCAGAATTTGCAGAAAAAGCATGTTCTGTTGGGTAAGAAAGCACATATTTCTTAAGTATATATTAATAATGATTTTAATGCGAACATTCGTGTTTTAGAAGCGGACGTGGCTTCTCATCAGGACAGAATTGAGGCTATCACTTCCTCAGCCCACCAATTTGTAGAACGTGGTCATTTTGATGCTGATAACATCGCCCATAAGCAGAAAGTTTTGACTGACAGATATACAGCCTTACAGACTCCTATGGCTGTTAGAAAACAACGACTTTTGGATTCATTACAAGTAATAATGACTTAATAAGTATTTGAGGATTATTATTTATAATCTATTTAGGTGCAACAACTATTCCGTGATATTGAAGATGAGGAATCTTGGATTCGCGAAAAGGAACCTATTGCAGCGTCCAGTAATAGAGGCCGCGACTTAATCGGCGTTCAAAATCTGATCAAAAAGCACCAAGCAGTCTTGGCAGAAATCAATAACCACGATGCCCGAATTACTGCTGTCCTTGAGGCCGGCAGGCAAATGACTGAAGATGAGCATTTTGCCAGTGATGAAATTAAAAACAGGTATGTTCAAGTCTGATAATTTTTGAGTTAATATAAAAGTACATTTGAACTACTCAATACAAGACGCCTTGATTTTAACATGAGAAAGTTTAACAGGTGATCAAACAATTTCGAATTGAAAAGTATATCTAATCATTTGTTATTAGCTGCTTGATTATATATTTACAGGGTGTTTTTATTAGTTTAGTTTCTAAATCAATGTCGACATTTAAAGTAAATTTCTTACTTAACAAAGTTTAACAGAATAGATTATAATAAATAGCATTAGTCTAAACATTTAACAAAAAATCGTAAAAAAGTAACCTGTCAACGTTTTAAAATTACAGCAGATTTAATATGTGTACAGGGTGTCTCATTTTCGTGTTTTTTCACTGTATCTCGGTTATGAGTAGAGATTCAAAGATGCGGTTTTCACATCACCATGCTAGTTTTTTATGAAACTAAAGATGCTACACCTAACCTAACCTAGCCCCGATGTTATCTAACCTAGCCCTCTTAGTTCCTGAAATACAGGACGAAATTGAAAGTGTTGCATTTTTCGACCCCCTTCATATCTCGGTTATCTTATAACTTATCGAAAAGGTGAAAACTGAGCCCAGTAGACATTTTCACGTAGAATCCAGTGGCTAACTAGTTTTTCGTTGGGAGCTGTCATTCTCGAAATATAACCTAAACTTATGTTTTTTAAATGGGACTTTCTGTATATTATTTTTTTATTAAATTTGCCTTGTCATGCGCTTTCTAAAAATATAATATACCCTAGACTTATTTTTATAAATAACACGAAAATGGGACACCCTGTACAGGGTGGCTCGAATTCGACGCTCATCATTGGGATTTCAAAACCGTAAGAGATACAGGATCGGTTAAATGGAGGCAAAGTTGCGCAATTTGATGCTCAATAAAATGCGGTATTGCATTTTTTTTTCATAAAAATATTCTGGTGATGGAATTTTCTGTACGAAACGTCGGCAAATATCAAAGTGACTATATATAGTGTTTTAAGAGTGATAAAAGGATTTAATTAAATTGAAAAAAAAATCAGGTCCGTATTTAAAAAAATTAAGTTGATAATGGTCGCCAGAAGCCGAAACGTCAGAGTCGATATTTAATCACACAGAGTTACAGAGCAGAAAAAGTGGCCATGAAATGTGTTTTTCATTTTAAGTTATCTTAACAAATAAAGCCAGGAAAAAATAGAAAACAAAATTGAAAATTCCGTTTTTTTTTCGAATATATTCGGAAGTAATCGGAATTTTTCAAAATGCAATGCGGCATTTTATTGAGCATCAAATTGCGCAACTTTGCCTCCATTTAACCGTTACAGTTTCCGAAATCTCTTACAGTTTCCGAAATCCCAATGATGAGCGTCGAATTCGAGCCACCCTGTACATACAAATAGTACCTCCTGAATCAGATAATATTAAAACATAAATTTTTCTACTTACCCTGTATTTTTTTATTGGTGATTACAAATTTGTCCGTTTAAAACTGGATCACTATATATATTTTTCTGTATTTGACTTAGAGTTACCGCTCTGAATGAACATTGGGAACACCTGAAAGAGAAAGCACAACAAAGAAAGCAAGACCTAGAGGACTCCTTACAAGCTCATCAATATTATGCTGACGCAAACGAAGCAGAATCGTGGATGAAGGAGAAAGAGCCAATTGTTGCTAATACCGACTATGGTAAGTTTGACTTTTCTTCTAATCCAGCACAGGTAATTGATTATTAATTTTACTTTAGGCAAAGATGAAGATTCTTCCGAGGCATTACTGAAAAAACACGAAGCATTACTCAGCGATTTGATCGCCTTTGGAAATACCATCGATTCGTTAAAGGAGCAAGCCAGGAACTGTCGCGTATGTAATATAAATTTTAATCTAAACAAGTTAAATAAATATCTTATTAATTGCAGCAACAAGAACCACCAGTTGTAGATGTTACTGGAAGGGAAACTGTTCAAGCTCTTTATGATTATACCGAAAAATCTGCCAGAGAAGTTTCCATGAAAAAAGGCGATCTGCTTCATTTACTTAACTCAAATAATAAAGTAAGAAAGTTTATATACTGGGGGGCAAAGGGGGGCAAACTATAAGGGCTGGCAAAGATTAGTCTTGGGTCGAGATTTCTGTATGTAAGAAGAGTACAATACATTTATAATGTACTGACCAAAGAGAGAACAGTAAAAACGTTGCCAAACGTATGAAATACCCCGAGAAACTGTGCGCATTGCTAAGAGACGTGGAAGGGGATAGAGCAGATTCGTCGCGGTCGACCGATCGACCCAATTTGTACCTTAAATTATAGGGCAAGGGTGTACATCATGCGTTCTGCTTCACGATTTAATTATGTCTCGTTATACTTTATATGTTTATTTATTAACGAGTCGTTGTAATTTTCCCTAGAGCTTGTAAATTTTTAAATACAAGTTAGAAACACTTGCACTTTTGGTAAAAATAAGTGGAATTGAGTTGGTGTTCGACAGTGGTCGCGCTATTAGAAATCTGAATTCAAAAATCGATATCTCGAAATCCATTAGAAATAATTGATTTTAGTTTTTTTTTCACAAACTTTCTTAATATTTCTGCTATATTTTCTTTGCAGACAGTATGTGAAAATCTTTATAAATAAAAAAGTTACACAATTGTTGAAAAAATGTTGCTGAAAATTGATATGCACTAAAAGTAAATGGATGGAGTTTTTAAAAAATTTGAGTGGAAAAAAACAAGCCTATCGTATTTTTCTTATTAAACACCTTGTAAAAGATCCAAACTTCAAAATAAAAAAGAAGTTTCAATATCTAAAGTGGTTCTTGAGTTATTGCGTGTTATGTGTTAAAAATTTGAGTTTTTAAATTATCGCGATTACTGACGTTTTCTCGTTATAAAAAAATGGACACCTTAACGATATACTTATAATTCCATTTCAGATGCTCAGAAACATGTAATGATTTTATCTAGTTATCTTTTCGAAAAAAAGTCTTTTTAAAATAAGCGGTGTACAAACGTGATTTTCCTTTACTTGATACGGAAAGGCCGTACCGGCAAAATGTGGCAACGCCACAACAGCACACCGTCACATTTCTCTCACTCTGGCTTAATAAGATCCCTATGCAATTTACTTCCACACATGTAAATACTGACCCAAAAGTAAGAGTTGCCAGCACGGTATAAATGTCATATACAGGGTAGTCCGAACTGTATTCCGGAAACTTCGGCAGCATATTCTGCAGATAAAAATAAGTAAAAAAGTTCGTTTAAATGTATGTCCTAAAATGCTTAGTTTCGGAGATACAGGGTGTAGAAGTTTCATTTTTATTTTGATTTTTTCCAAATAATTTCTGAAGTATCGTCAATATTTAGATGAAAATTGGTAGTGGTATGTTAGTATTAGTAGTGGGTGTTTTTTGATATGAAAAATTTGATTTTGATGTCAATATGACTCCCATTTTTAGGTGGCGCCACCTACATGTGTTTAAACTGTTTTGAAGAGTAATAACTTTTCGTCGGTACCTGTATAAAACTACTGAGTAAAAAAATATACATTTACGACTTTTTTTACATAAAAAAGGTATCTTGGTAAAAATCGCTACGATTAATGGTTCTCGAGATATTTGGAATCGAAATTATCAATACCTGTCACCATTGACATAAATTAAACATGTTGACTAAATAGTTATTAGACTGAAATCATAAATTTGAAATCTTTTTGTGTCAAAAGTTCAAAAGAAACTGTTTAATCATCATTTTTTCGCAGAAAAACTTATGATTAATTTAAAAAAATAAAAATGTATTATTTCAGTCAAATAACTATACTCAATGTGTGCTTATTTTTTGTCAATAATGACATGTATTGACTATTTCCATTCTAAATATCTTGAAAACGGTTTCTCGTAGCGATTTTTACCAAAAGACATTTTTTACATAAAAAATCATGGAAATGTATATTTTTTTAGTCAGTGGTTTTATACAGGTACGGTCGAAAAGTTATTACTCTTCAAAACAGTTAAAACACATGTAGGTAGCGCCCCCTACAAATAGGAGTAATTTTGACATCAAAATCAAATTTCTCGTGTCACAAAACTCCCAAATACCAATTGTCATCCAAATATTGACGTTACTTCAGAAATTATTTGGAAAAAAATAAGAAAAAAAGAAATAAAAATGAAACTTCTACACCCTGTATCTCCGAAACTAAGCATTTTAGTACATACATTTATACAAACTTTTTTACTTATTTTGATCTGTAGAATATGCTGCCGTAGTTTCCGGAATACAGTTCGGACCACCCTGAATATATAGTTCCGTGAACAGTTATTTAACATAAATTGGGTTTTCAGGATTGGTGGAAAGTGGAAATTCATGATCGCCAAGGTTTTGTTCCAGCAGCTTATGTTAAGAAAGTCGATGCTGGTCTAACAGCTTCCCAACAAAATCTTATTGAAAATAGCTCTATTTCTGCGCGTCAAGCACAAATCAATGCCCAGTATGACAGGTAAGGTTATTTAGTGTAGACTCAGAGATAACTTTTTTACATATCCCATTTCATTTTTAGACTACTCGCTTTGGCCCACGAACGACAAGATAAACTTAACGAAACTGTCAAAGCCTACGTCTTGGTACGCGAAGCTGCAGAATTAGCCAACTGGATCAAAGATAAAGAAATGCACGCCCAGGTTCAAGATGTCGGTGAAGATTTAGAACAAGTATGTTTTTGTATTTGAATTATTTTTATTGATCTACATATTATTTATCTGCCAAAAATATTTTATAATTTTATATTGTTCTTTACGCCTTGTGGTACATTTGAACTACTACTTTTACGACTATACACTTATGACTATAAAAACGGGTGTACATTATTTACAGTAATTGTATATATACAGGATGTCCCAGAAATAAGTGCAAGTATTTTAACTGGTAGTATAGTTCAACCCCAGAAACACGCCTATGAGGTTTTTTTCGCCAAAAAAAAATTTTTGGAAATTTTTTTTAGTTTTTTATTTAAAAAACCAATCAAATATCAAATATCTTGATAATATGGCAACATAGGTATTAGATGAAATTTACGAGAAAGAAAATCCAGTAAAGATCCAGTGGTTCTTAAAATTTTAGCAAAAAATCATTTTTTTTTTGTAAATTTTCAAAGTAAAATAACTGTGTTATTTTGGACTTATTTGAACAACGGTAAAGGGAAAATATGTTTCTTTTATCGAGACCTACCACCCCTAAAAATAGTAGCACTAATTTCTGGGACACCCTGTATAATATTGAATAAAAAAGCAATAAGAAAGGTGCAATCATTAATAAAGAAAAATTAAAATTACTGACGTAAATATCGGTTTATCAGTGGCATTCTTTTTTTTTCGTGTTAATAGTTCAAGAAAATAGGCCTTCAAATACGAAGTTTTGGAAAAAACTTGAATTTTTGATATGAGTTACTTTCAAAGATCTAAAAACGAATTGTGAAAGATTTTTTTAAATTCATCCCCGACAAGAGGTGAAATAAATAATTTTTCGAAATTTCGGAGAAACGATAAGAACTAGAAAAAAAGTTTCGAATTGAAAAGTATAAGAGTATAGAGTGTAAGAAGAGTATAGACCGAAAAATTTTACATAAAATAGAATGATCTCTATACTTTTTTTGCACAGATTAAAATTAATCAAGATATGGTGGCTCGAAGCTAGGGGATAATGCAAAAAAATATGAGTTGCCGAAAAATTCATATATTGAACATTTTTATTCAATTTGCTTGGAAAATTATAAATCTCAATTAAGATTTTCTTCAATTCACCCCGAGAAGGGGTGAATTTGAACTTTTTTATAGTCGTTACTGTTTATCTAAAATTTCGAAAAAGTAATTCTATTTATTTATTTCACCCCTTCTCGGGGGTGAATTCAAAAAACATTAGACGATCAAATATTTTTTTCCAAGGCTCTTTAATTAAAAATTAATGTTTTTAACACAATAATGGCACTCTAGATTGAAATTTAAAATACGATTTCTTTTTAAGCAAATATTTCAAAATTTGACATATGATAGGTCATTCTATTCAGAGTGTCATTTTCTGTCGAATAAATTAGAAATATACCGCAGGTGCTATTTAAAAATCAAAAGTTGTCATTTCCGGTGAAACAGGAAGTGACCGAAAACAATTGAATACGTCAAGATATCCTAATTTAAGTCATATAGTAACATACCAAATCTCGTTTTTTGCCAGTTTTGAGACGCACCCGGTATAATTAAATACTAGTGAAAATTAGTTTTCATGTTTTTTTTGTCTGAAAATTATTGCAAGCTGTACAAGAAATTTTTTAAAGCCTTTTCTGGGATTCACAATAATCTCACTGTAATTCTACTTTGCAAAGCAATTTACTTTGCTTAAAACCAATTATAAAATAAATTAAAAAAAACGCAATAAACTCCAAAAATTCAAAATTTGTCAAGTGAAATGGTAAACAAAATGGGTCATAGAAGGTCCCCTGCTTCCTTAGTCATTTTATTCAATGAGGTATAATAACACTCTGGTAATATTGTTTTTATGCTATTTGTAGGTTGAAGTTTTACAAAAGAAATTCGACGATTTCCAAACCGATCTTAAAGCTAACGAAGTCAGGTTGGCCCAAATGAATGAAATCGCTATGCAGTTGGTTTCTTTGGGACAAACTGAAGCTGCTTTGAAAATCAGAACTCAGATGGACGAACTGAACACTAAGTGGACAAGTTTGCAACAACTAACATCCGAACGAGCTCAACAACTTGGGTCTGCTCATGAAGTTCAAAGGTATAATTAGATAAACAGCATAGGCAGTTTTGAGAATAGTATTATAATTAAAATTTCTCGTAGATTCCATCGTGATGTTGATGAAACCAAAGACTGGATACAGGAGAAAGATGAAGCATTAAATAATGACGATCTCGGCAAAGATCTTCGAAGTGTGCAAGCTCTTCAGAGAAAGCATGAAGGGTTAGAAAGGGACCTTGCCGCTTTAGGTGACAAAGTATGTGTTTACTGATTCTAGACATTAAAGAGTTTTTGAAGTGAAACTTCTTTACGCGCGTTGGGAGTAAAAATTCAAACCCGTGACACTCGGCCTTGAATGACGGCCGCGAAACGGCCGTGACGGGAGCTAGCGAGAGAACAAGTGTTAGCGGCAGTGTTGCCACAGCTACCCCATTCGGGGTAGATCTACACCTTTGTAAAACAATTTAACTCCGCTATCGCGTGATAATCTAGCCCGATGAAAAATAAGCTTGTGGCACTGGGTAACGATCTGTGCCATAAGCGCCTAAGAAAATCACTATAAAAAACTTAATATTGGACCAACCTTGTGTGCTAGGAAGCAAATTTTCATGCATATTTTCATCGATAGGTTTGTAGCTTCTGAATACCGGTCAAAGTAACACATCTAGTTCATTTGCCAGCTTAGAATTAGAATTTAGAGTTAGTAATTCGCATTTTCATTGGAGGACATTGTCATATTTATTTCAAACCAATAATCAACGAGAATATTCGTATAATTTAATAAGATTACTGTAAATCACTATAAATAATGAATTGTTTGTAATTGAGCTGTAATTTCTGTATTATTAATCCGGTAAATGATTAGTGATGGAATAACTCGAGCGAATTCGCTCGAGTACTCGATTATTGAAATAACCGACATCGCTCGATTATGAACGGGCGATGCAAGTGACGAGTACAAAGCGACGAACGTAAGCGATCCTAGAATGACATAAATTGAAATCCGATTTTAATGTGACATACTCGATAAAAAGCCGAGCGAATTTTCTACATACATTGCAGGTAGCAAATTTATACGACGCCGTATATATATTTATCCGTTGCGTATCTGAGGGACAAAATTTTACGACCTACATCGACAATGCTTTGAAATAAACTAAAGCAAGCGAATCGCTCGCCGCTTGCTACTTACCATTCATCGTCGAAAGAATATGTGCCCTGCGCACGCAACTTAATGATTGGCGCTTGGCGTTAACGAGTACTTACAACAAGCGACCAGTGATGGGCATAACAGAACAAGTTTGATAACCGGATTATTAGCATTTCAATAATACTAATAACCGAATGATTATTTGAATAATCATTCGAATAAATTCGGGCTCTCCTTTCAGTTTCATTTTTTGTTAGGTTTAGGTTGGCTTAGCCGAATTCCGGTTTGGCGATTCAGTTTCAGTATTCAGTTGTTAGTCCGGCGGTTGTCGTACGTTTTCGATTTACAAGTTAATTTAATAAATTTAGTTAATTTAGTAAATATTTGACATTTGATTAGGCAAGATTAGGTATTATTATTAATTCATATTAAATCTATTATAATATCATTATCAATATCAATAGCTTCTCTAAACAGTAATCACAAATAAATAATAAATAACAGTTGGCGTTGCCACCACCTACGTAAATTTTAAAATTAATTTTTTATTCGAGTGATGGCATGGAAACTTCCTTCATAAATTGAATTTAAAACGTCTCTTATTCCTTACCTTACCCGATTAACCCGATGTTCTGTTCACCCGACGGATCGACGACGAGACTTGTTCGTAGTTCGTGCAGTTCAGCTTTCAGGTTATTTTTTATTCGAATACTTTTAAATGAAAACCGAATTATACTAGTGATTCATTCGAATAAGCCCATCACTACAAGCGACGGGTGAAAAACCGTATTTTAAATACGAGTGATATTTCGCTCGAGCGATCACTCGGTTATTGTAATCGCTTGAAACTCGAGTACTCGGTTATTGAAATTAATCGGTTTCTCCCATCACTATAAATGATGGAGATAAACAATTATTGTGAATGATTAAAATTTTATTTTAAGATGAAACTTTTCTTAACATCATTTTGAAAATTCGAAAAATGAATTGAATAATGACAAGACAAGTGACATCTGTCTAAAAAAGACAGCGATTTAGAGTGACAATTTTGATTATGCAAAAGAAATACATATTCTATGAGTTTGCCTAACAATTAATATTCATTTAAAAATAATATTAAATTTAAAAATAAATCCCCAACATGAATATTGAACAAATCATTTAAACAAAAACAGACCACAGACCAAACAAATTGTTGGTTAGTAGCAGTCAGAGATATAGATGTAGTAGAATTTTGGTTTAATGGACACAGCTGCCAGGCTATCCGGCCGAGTGTTAGAATTGTCGTTTTTTAATAAAAATTATAAAAGCTAGAATAGTATACGGTTTTATATTGACTGTAATTTTTTTGAAGTTTTTAAAAACCATTCATAAAAAATATATATATCCTTCAAATCTTTCAATTTAATAGCTAGTTAATAAGAAGTTTCACTTCAAATATGCGCACATAGTGCACACACAATTTTTTTATATTAATTATATTTTTTATAGATTAAACAATTGGATGATATAGCCGTTCGTCTTAGACAATCGCATCCAGAACAAGCCGAACAAACTCTTATTAAACAAAAAGAAATAACAGAATTGTGGACTCAACTGACAGCTAAGGCAAATTCAAGAAAGGAAAAATTGTTGGATGCATATGATTTACAAAGGTCAGTCCCGAGTAACTTTTAAGCAATTTGCATTTAATTTTTGTTTTGTTTTAGATTCTTGAACGATCATCGCGATCTTTTAGCATGGATTAATTCCATGTTAGGATTAGTTAGCTCTGAAGAACTTGCAAACGATGTTACTGGTGCCGAAGCTTTAATTGAAAGACATCAGGTAAGAATATTTGATTTGTGTTATACAAGAAGCAAAAAGCATTTGCGATTTTTCGATGTGCGTTTGGCTATATAACATATATTTTCGTGCCGATTAAACAGATTTGTCTGATTTTTTTGTGTTTTGTGTTTGTTCATGGGATAGAACTACAAGGCGGAAATTGAGACCAGATATGGATATCCACAGGTAGATTGTCAGAATTTGACATTTGTTGTCCCGTGTATAACATGTACTAAATCTATAAAAGAATAATTTTAATTATCTTGATAAAAATATTTGTCGATAATATAATTTCTTACAGATTAATGAGTTTTTTTGCACTTTTTAGTATTTCACTTTGGTTTTTATAGTAGCAAGTTTGTTCAGTTGTTTTCCAAGTATTAATCTGTTAGAAATTATGAAAACTCTGATTTTGTAATAATATTAATATTATTATGACCTAAACATTATCATCACTTCTGATAGCACAAATGTGGGTTTGGATTGCACAATAACCTTGACAGTGGCTTGTGTAACATTTATACAGATCATACTAAGAGCTGGCAAAGGTTAGTTTTGGGTCGAGATTTCCGTATGTAAGAAGAGTACTGCATTTATAATGTACTTAACAAAGAGAGAACAGTAAAAACGTTGACAAACGTATGAAATAAACCGAGAGACTGTGCACATTGCTAAGAGACGTGGAAGGAGATAAGCAGATTTGTCGCGGTCGACCCAATCAGTACTTAAAATTCTAGGGAATGCTGTACATCATGCGTTCAGCTTCACGATTTAATTACGTCTCGTGATACTTTATTTGATTTGTGTATTTATTAACGAGTTGTTGTAATTTTCCCTATAGCTTGTAAATCTTTAAGTGCTAGTTAGAAACACTTGCACTTTTGGTAGAAATAATGGAATTGAGTTGGTGTTCGACAGTGATCGCGCTATTAGAACTCCGAATTCAAAAATCGATATCTCGAAATTCACTAAAAATAACTGATTGTAGTTTTTTTTTTCAAAAAAATTCATATTTCTGCTATATTTTCTTCACGGACAGTACGTAAAAATCTTTATAAATAAAAAAGTTACACGATTGCTGAAAATTGCTATGCACTAAAAGTAAATGGACGGGTTTTTAAAAAATTTTGAATGGAAAAAAACAAGCCAATCGATTTTTTCTCATTTAAACATCTTGTAAAATATCCGAACTTCAAAATGGAAAAAAAAAGAAGTTTCAATATCTAATGTGGTTCTTGAGTTATCGCGTGTTATGTGTTAAAAAGCTGAGTTTTGAAATTATCGCGATTACTGACGTATTCTCGTTATAATTCCTTAGAATTAAATTTCAGATGCACAGAAACATATCTAATGATTTTATCTAGCTATCTTTTTGAAAAAAAAGTATTTTAAAAATAAGCTGTTTGTCATCGTGATTTTAATTTAATTGATAAGGAAAGGCGTACCGGAGAGATGTGTGTGTACACCATCGCATTTCTCTCACTCCGACTTAATAAGATCCCTATGGGATTTACTTCCGCACATGTAAATACCGACCCAAAAGTAAGAGTTGCCAGCATGGTATACCATTTTCATTGTATGATACATCACTCCTTCAAATCACATTCTATTATTTTCCAAAATAAACGTGGTGATTTTTTACTTAGGAGCACCGCACTGAAATTGACGCACGAGCTGGAAGTTTTCATGCTTTAGAACAATTTGGACAGCAACTACTGAACTCCAATCATTATGCTTCTCCAGAAATTCAGGAAAAACTGGAACAACTTCATCAAGCTAGAGCCGATTTAGAAAAAGCCTGGATCGACAGAAGACTATTGTTGGATCAAAACTTGGAACTTAACTTGTTCTACAGAGATTGTGAACAAGCGGAAAACTGGATGAGCGACAGAGAAGCGTTTTTGGCTGCGGACGAAGTAGATTCCAATGGGGACAATGTTGAAGCATTGATCAAGAAACATGAAGATTTTGACAAAGCTATTAACGCTCATGAGGAAAAAATTGCAACCTTGCAAAGTTTAGCCAAGGAACTTATTGGAAGGTAATTAATGTGTATATAGTTTTCTTACAGTTCTAATTTGATTCGATTTTAGGGAACATTATGCTACAAAACCAATTAATGATAAATGTAATCAAGTCTTGGATAGATGGCATCATCTCAAAGATGCTTTAATCCAAAAGCGGTCTAAATTAGGAGAAAGCCAAACGTTGCAACAATTCTCTCGAGATGCCGATGAAATTGAAAATTGGATTGCAGAGAAACTTCAGTTGGCTACTGAGGAGAGTTATAAGGTATGTTGGAAATAATGTACTTCTAAAGTCAGTACAAGCATCGTTCATTACATCATATATTGTCGTACCGTTTTATTCCCTGGTTAAAACGGGATAAAAATTGTATAGTTCATATCAAATAAACTTTTAGTCACGTGATTAAGCTTGACCAGCACAGTTGGCCGACTCATACCCAACAATGTTGCCGTTTGCGGTCCCTTAATTTCATGATTTTCAATTGTCAGCTAAACTAGAGACGTTTATTTTTACGGTTTATTTCAAAGTTTGATTATTATTTGGTTTATTTTGTTAGAATGTTCTTAATACTAGATAAAGTAAGAATAAGTGAAATGAATACCAAGTTTTGTGCGTTTTAGTGTAGGTTGTTTATTCTGTTATAATCTAATGTTTACTAGAGATTTAAAATTTGTTTAAAAATTAAATTCAGATATTTTTATTTATGAAAATATATGATGCTTTAATGAAAAAACTTTTGATAAGCTACTAGATCTTAATTTTCACTGCATTTTATTCAGAGTGAACGTTAGTCAAACCATCTAGAAAGATTTTTATCTACTATTTTTAAATTAAAATATTATATTTTATTTATTTTGAGAAAACCATGAATTCAATTGTTCTGCTGAGGAAAAGTTCATGTAATTTGTTTTAACACTAATATCATCATCCAGTTTAAAATGTTCGTGTAAGTCATCTTTAAGCCTACTGACAAAATCACACATAGGACATTTTTTTCTAATATTTTGTACAGCGATATTGGTATTATTTAAACCATCACCTTAAACAGTTAGTCTATGCACCATCATTACTAATATCCTAGATGAAATGCTTACACTTGACTCTGCCTCACATCTTTGATAAATTGGTCAATTACCTTGTGCAACTTGTGCATGTGATTTTAAATGCCATGCTCTTCTTTGAACTAAAATGTTAATTACAAAATTTGCCGGTAAATGCATATATACTTTTTAGTTTTTAAAGGTGCTATTTCCTCTAACTGATTCAGATGAAAATTTTTAACGTGTTTCCGAAGCACACTAAAACGCACAAAAATGCGATTACATTCGCAGCAAACACTGCTATTAGAAATACTGGTATTAAGTTTACTTATTTATACCAAATAAATTATATGGGGAATGTCATCGATGTTCATTTCCAAAAGCATACAGTATATGTCTTGCATATATAATCCGTTCATAAAATAAGGCGACAGCGAACAGCAAAATTGTTGGGTATGCAAGTTGACTAGTGAGACGTAAAAGCTAGTCACAGCATTAATAGATAATTATGTATGACGTCACATTAAACGATGATTGTATAGATTATATCAATTTTCTAATACAATTATTTTTAACAGGATCCAGCCAACATTCAATCAAAACATCAAAAACATCAAGCTTTTGAAGCCGAATTGGCCGCTAATGCTGACCGTATACAAAGTGTTTTGGCAAATGGTGGTAATTTGATTGACAAAAGTCAATGCGGAGGATCGGAGGAGGCCGTTAAAAAGAGATTGGAATCTATCGCTGATCAGTGGGAGTACCTAACTCAAAAGACCACAGAGAAGAGCATGAAACTGAAGGAAGCTAATAAGCAAAGAACTTACATTGCAGCAGTTAAAGATTTAGATTTTTGGCTGGGCGAAGTTGAGAGTTTGCTAACTAGTGAAGATGCTGGCAAAGATTTAGCTTCAGTACAGAACTTAATGAAGAAACATCAACTTGTGGAAGCTGATATTCAACATCATGAAGATAGAATTAAAGGTACCAAACATGAAGGATATCTTTGAACTCATTTTATAGTTACATCCGTTTTTCAGATATGAATGACCAAGCTGATTCATTGATTGAATCGGGACAGTTCGACACCGCCTCAATTCAAGAAAAACGTCAATCGATTAACGAACGTTACGAACGAATTAAGAATTTGGCCGCTCATAGACAGGCTAGACTAAACGAAGCCAACACTTTACACCAGTTCTTCAGAGATATCGCCGACGAAGAGTCCTGGATTAAAGAGAAAAAATTACTTGTTGGTAGTGACGACTATGGTCGCGACTTGACAGGTATTCTTAACTTAAAGCACTCCCCAAGTAGCCTTTTTGGGCACATTTTAGGTGGAACACAAAATGGAAACGGTATGCCATAAATAGGAAACATTTTCAAAACCTATATATTTTATATGATTTTATTACATGTGTTTCCGATGTGGTGGCACTAGCCGTTTCCTGAAATGTTTCGAAACATTTTCTGCAATTTGTGTCCAAGATGTTCCCGTTTTCGGCAGCCACTGTTTCTAAAAGTGAAGAAACAAAATACCAAACTAAAATTGTCTATGTCTGTGTGTGGATTTCAAAATGAAAACAACCATCAACAATGTAGACCTACGCCATAATTTTTTTGTCTTAAGATCTTTGTTTTTAGATTTTCTCGCACAAAAAATGTCTGACAAAAGCAAATTCTTTTATAATAATGTACTTTCATATTTTTTAATGCCCCGTGATATATCATTATTTGATGCTACAAAAGATTTTTATTTGAAATATAGATTTTTATTTTTATATCATGGTTCCGAAAATAAAAGTATATAAATAAATGTAAGTAGAACGCGTTCTTATGAGTTTAAAAGCTCAACAGCCGATAAAAGCATATAGTTTTTGTTAAAAATGCTATCACTAGCCAACATGATGGAATTTTAATTTATTATTTTATTAAAATTTATTAAAATTGACATGGAGTGGGACACAAATCATCTACATTATATCACACTTGTGTCTAAAAAGAGAGAAACTCGTGTTTCGAAAATGAATCGACAATAATAGTCACCTGTCAACAAAACCAATAACCTTGAATCAAAACTTCGTCAGAATAATTAAAACATTTTTATTTACTTATTATATCACAATTAAAACATAAAAACATGTATTCCATTGTGGAAAAAAAAAGAGAAAAAAACGTTTGCCGGTAACATTTTTCTTCAGTCTCCTGTTGGGTATGGATAGTGGCTGTTATTGCATTTATTCCTAAAACAAAAATAATCTCTGTAATGCGTATAATAAATAATTATAAAATCGCATAAGCAAAAATATCTGTATTTGTACTCACCATACGTCCTTCCTTCTGCGTTGTTAATTATAGTACTATAAAAACTTGAAGAATGCTTAAATGCAAAAACTGCAGAACAAAATCCAAACAATAAAATAAGGTTATGTTCTCATATTTGACAAAATGTCAAATAAAATTATGGAAACTTTTCAGGCACAAAACGGATACGAAATCTGCAAATGTGAGCCACATCTGTTTCTTAAAAGTTTCGAAAAATTTGTGACACCAAGATCTTTATTGTTATAGCTTATATAGCGAAACCATATTTTGGTAAAATGTTTCAAAACAAAAAGGGATTTATGTTACGAAAAATATGTATCAAAAACGCGGCGAAACTGTTTTGCAATGTTTCTCAGCAGAGATTTTATTTCGATTTTGTGTCTAAAAATGCTACTTATAGACGGCCAGAATTATAGAGATTTTAATGTGAATATTTTAGGTGTTCAAAACCTGAAGAAGAAACATAAGCGTCTTGAAGCCGAATTAGCTTCTCACGAACCCGCTATTCAAGCTGTTCAGGAAGCTGGAGAGAAGCTAATGGATGTGTCTAACTTGGGAGTCCCCGAAATCGAGCAAAGATTGAAAGCTCTGAATCAGGCCTGGGCCGAACTGAAACAGTTTGCCGCAACCAGAGGACAGAAATTGGATGAAAGTCTAATGTACCAACAGTTCTTGACTAAAGTAATAACGTCAGTATCTTTTATGAATTTTGTAAAAATTATTTTTCAATATAGGTTGAAGAAGAAGAAGCTTGGATAAGCGAGAAACAACAGCTTCTCAGTGTGGATGACTATGGAGATTCCATGGCAGCTGTTCAAGGACTTTTGAAGAAACACGACGCATTTGAAACTGACTTCCAAGCTCATAGGTACAAAATCTTCAATAAATTATCTGTTTGTGATGGAAATTTATATATTTATTTAATGTTTAGGAGTCGTTGCAAGAATATAAGTGAGGAAGGTGCTCAACTCGCCGCTCAAGGCAACCATCATGCTGAAAGTATAAACCAACGTTGCCAGCAATTACAGGCGAAATTGGACCACTTGGCTGCCCTAGCAGCTAAAAGGAAAGCTAAATTGGTGGACAATTCTGCTTATTTGCAGTTTATGTGGAAGGCTGATGTTGTAGAGAGCTGGATTGCTGATAAGGTACATTTTGATTCAATGGTTAATAATAATTTACTTAAAAAAAATATTTTTTTAGGAAACTCATGTTAAAAGCGAGGAATATGGGCGAGATCTTTCATCAGTGCAGACATTGCTTACAAAACAAGAAACCTTTGATGCTGGTAAGTTTTCTATTAATACTACATATCACTGAATAAAAAGACTAATGGACAATACCGGTCTGGCGTTCTACCTTTTTTAATTTTCTAATAAAATTAAGAAGTAAAAAAGATAATTATTTAAAACAAACCCAAATTGAAAAAAAGGCCAAACTGGTAAAATTACCGTCTCCTCTATTAAGTCTCTCTATTACAGTTGTTCTTTGTTTTTTCAATTTTTTATTCAATAATTACAAATATATTGAATGTTCTAATTTTTGCTCCCTTGTAGGTTTAACTGCCTTTGAACATGAAGGCATTCAAAACATTACATCTTTGAAAGATCAACTTGTAGCTTCAAACCATGATCAAACTGCTACTATCGTTCAAAGACACGCCGACGTTATCGCTAGGTTTGTCCTTGATATATTTTTAAAATTATAAATATAACAGGACTTATTTATGCGTTTTAGATGGCAACGTCTTCTATCAAACTCCGATGCCAGGAAACAGCGTTTGTTGAGCATGCAAGAACAATTTAAGGAAATCGAAGAACTGTTTCTTATGTTCGCCAAGAGAGCGTCGGCCTTTAATTCTTGGTTTGAGAATGCCGAAGAAGATTTAACTGATCCTGTAAGATGCAACTCCATTGAGGAAATTAGGGCTCTAAGAGACGCTCATGCCCAATTTCAGGTAAAATAACGATATAAAAAATTTTAAAAAATCCTATATGGGTATTTTGCCACTACAAGAAAATCTACAAAATAAAATAGTTATTTTTTGTAAACACTGTTGCGTTAATCCAATGGAAACTAATTGTCAACAAATTGATAAACAAATTTGCCTAATGAACAAAGAAATGCTTAATTTTTCGGGAAGTTTATCTCTTTCCGTCGTCGGAAGCAAATAAAAATACAAAGAATAAAGAAAATAACTATTTAAAATATTTAAATGCAACTATTGGAGGACACTAGGTTTTTTTTTAAACAGATACGTCTACAAAAACCGTTGACGTTCTGTTAAAATGACATATCAAGTTAAACTTCAAAATTAACAATTACTTAAAAAGGTAAAACCAAAATGCTTCAAACTTTTCGTATGATTATTTTTAATTTGTTTTAAATTTTTACGTTATGTTATGTTTGTTTATGTTATGTTCTTTAAAATCAAAGAAGCGATTGCCATACATTACTAACATCTACAGATGCATGAGCAATAATACATTTATTTTTATTAGATTGTGTTAAAAATTATTATTATTTATTAGATATCTTCAGACATATTCATTTACATACCTAATCTTAGACATCATATTTACATACCTTATTATAGCACATTAGGTGCCCGGTGGCGTAGAGGTACAGGCTCTCGTCTACCAATCTCAAGGTGTGGGTTCGATTCCCACACCCGGCATTTCATCAGCCGACTATTTTTATTAAAATAAAAATAGTTTGGGTACCTAGGTCGACTCAGCCTTAAACGAGTACTTGGGATTCACAATCCTGAGGTAATAATAGGCGGTTGAAGCGTAGTGCTAGCCACATTACCTTCCTTGTATACCGAACGGCTCTAGTATAGCAAGCTATACCTTGCTACTCCCAAGGCGTTAAACGCTATATACGGGAGCTATTATTATTATTATTAAAAAAGCCTCTTTTACTTTTCTTTTAGAGACTATCGCTTCTTTCATTATAATTTTGGCGTTGTTAAAATCTATTCTGTGCCCTGTGTCCCATGAATGAAATTTTAACAGAAAGTCAACGATTTTTATAGACGTATCTGTTTAAAAAAAAATTAAAGTGTTCTCGAATAGTTGCATTTAAATATCTTAAATAGTTTTTTTCTTTATTCTTTGTATTTGTTTTGCTTCTGACGACGGAAAGAGATAAAGTTTCCGAAACGTTAAGCATTTTTTGTTCATTAGGCAAATTTGTTTATCAGTAAACCTAACTGCTGACAATAAATAGTCTCCGTTGGATTAACGCAGCAGTGTTTACAAAAAAATAACTATTTTATTTTGTAGATTTTCTTGCAGTGGCGAAATACCCATACAGGATTTTTTCGGCGATAAAAAATTAAATCCAGTTTTAATTATTGTTTTATTTTTAAAGGCTTCTCTTTCGAGCGCTCAAGCAGATTTCGATGCTCTCGCCGCACTAGATCGCCAGATCAAGTCTTTCAATGTCGGACCTAATCCATACACTTGGTTCAACATGGATGCTCTGGGAGAAACTTGGCGTAATCTCCAGAAGATCATCGCTGAGCGGGATGCCGAATTGGACAAAGAGGCTCAGAGACAAGAAGAAAATGATAAGCTGAGAAAGGAGTTTGCTAAGCACGCCAACGCCTTCCATCAATGGTTGACAGAGACTCGGTAATTTTTTTTTTACCATAAAGTGTTAACTGAAATGTTTTTATGAATAGTTATATAGAGTGACAATTTGAAAACGAACAGTATGTAATATTGCCTCTACCGATCATAGTATGAAAATTTGGCGAAACACGTCAATTTACATATCAAGGGGGACAATTTTTAAGGTATTTGTTGTCGTGTTACTTTCAACCCCTTGAACCTCAGGACACCTACCCCTAAAATTTTAAATAGCAACCCCTATTTTACAATTTTTGTATTTCTTATAGAATTCTACATAAACTGCATTATTTTTTTGAGAATTTTATAAGGAACACAAAAATGGTAGAAGGAATAGGGGTTGCCATTTAAAATTTTAGGGGTAGGTGCCCTGGGGGTCAAAGGGTTGAAAGTAACACGACAACAAATGCCTCAAAAATTGTCCCCCTTGATATGTAAATTGACGTATTTCGCCAAATTTTCATACTATCATCGGTAGAGGTAATATTAAATACTGTTCGTTTTCAAATTGTCACCCTGTATAAAAAGCATATAATAAAAAACTTAAATAATATTTTTATATTCATATATTAGAGACGGAAGCTAAGTCATGGTAACCTCTGTTTTGATAGTTTTGTTGACAGCTCTTAACAAATTTGATTTTTTGTATATTTGAAAATCACAAGTTTCTGTATATATTTTTTAATATTCTTGTTTATTTTATAATCGTTTTTATGCAAAGTGTACAAATCCTCAAATCCTGAAGGACATTGTGGTCAGGACTGGATGTGTCTGTTCCTCCAATTATTCCTCCAGCAGAACTGTGTGTGGTAGAGGAATAATTAGAACGCCTGTATAATTACCCAGAATTCAAGTCAGCCATATTAAAATATATTCGCGGTTGCGCTAATTTTGATATACTCATTCCTTATTCTTTTTATTCGATGTATGTAGTGACTTAGCTTTAGACATTCTATACCGGGTGGTGCATCGTCGTTGGAAACATAGGAAATCCCATGCAAATTTTGAACTATTTAATTATTGGCTCCCCTATTGATTTTACAGCGAAGTCGTAAATAGATTTTTAAAGGAGGGTTTATAAACTTGACGCTCTGTTGCCGTCGTGCTGTTCTATTTTCCGTACTCAACTTAAAATTATTGAAATACACGAGACTGTTCATAAACTCCGTTGACATGACGTCTGCCGTACGGCCTGACGTCCACTTTGACGTTCGTGTCGCTCAACATTTTAATGAACAGTGCTTTCCATAAAATCAATAAAATGAAAAATATACGAAATAATATGCATGTACTGATTTCTTTCGAAAATCGACAACTATGACACTATGAACTCTTCCTGGACACAAACGGTACATTGTGAGACAGAAAATTGTAGAGAGAAACAAGCCCTATAACATAGGATACAACATTTTAATGAACAGTGCTTTCCATAAAATCAATAAAATGAAAAATATACGAAATAATATGCATGTACTGATTTCTTTCGAAAATCGACAACTATGAAACTATGAACTCTTCCTGCACACAAACGGTACATTGTGAGACAGGAAATTGTAGAGAGAAACAAGCCCTATAACATAGGATACAACATTTTAATGAACAGTGCTTTCCATAAAATCAATAAAATGTAGAATATATGAAATAATATGCATATACTGGGGGATTTCTTTCGAAAATCGACAACTATGAAACTATGAACTCTTCCTGGACACAAACGGTACATTGCGAAACAGGAAATTGTAGAGAGAAACAAGCCCTATAACATAGGATACAACATTTTAATGAACAGTGCTTTCCTAAACCAATTGTATCTTTTCCGCCAAGAATCCGTCAATCCGAAACCTTAGGTTTACAAACTATGATTTTGTCATTGTCAAAAATAATTTAATTTTAATATTCAGGGAAAATTAACTGAAATATGTCGGATACACTGGGTCTAAGCAATTTCCCGCGTAGTACCATTTTATCATGCTCACTTTTTCTTTATGTGTATAACATAGTGCTGAATATTAAAATTTTATTAAAATTAAGTTACGTTCTATGGTTACGTTCGAAAACGACGCTGACAACTTAAGACATGTCGATTTTTGACTGGTATTTGATTGTTACCTATTCAGTTTTAATTTAAAAATCGATTCAGTTTTTCTCAAATTACTCAAAATCGGCTGGAAAAAAATTGTTGAAATTTGGCATGTGTTTGCCAAACGTAGACCTTAAAAAATCTATTTACGACTTCGCTATAAAATCATAGGAGAGCCAATATCTGCACAGTTTAAAATTAGCATGGGATTTCCTAATCTAAAAAGAAAATCCAACATTAATAAATTTATATTTTACAGAACCTCAATGATGGAGGGTTCAGGATCGTTAGAGCAACAATTAGAAGCTACTAAGCGTAAAGCGGCAGAAGTTAGAGCTCGCCGTTCGGATCTGAAGAAGATTGAAGACTTGGGCGCCATATTAGAAGAGCATCTTATTTTGGACAACAGATATACGGAACATTCTACCGTCGGACTTGCGCAACAGTGGGATCAACTAGACCAGTTGGGAATGAGAATGCAACATAATTTGGAACAACAGATTCAAGCTCGAAACCAATCAGGTCAGTTTTAGATCTTAAAAACCGGATATCTACAATGTATAATGCATTTTTTATACAAGTTCATACCAAATAAACTTTTAGTCACGTGATTAAGATTGACCGACACAGCGTTGCCCACTTTTATATATTTCCTTTTAATCAAAGTATTTTAGAAAACAAAAATAAATTAATTATAAATATATAAACAGTTATTATTTATATCAACAAAACTCATCTTCTTAACAGCACTTAAGGGACATATACGACCATTACTACCGCTTTCCCGTTCGAAATATTCTAATAAAGTTGCGATGAGTTTTTTAGGGCTATTAAGCTATCTTGTACACTTTACACTAAAAAAGGTTCTAAAAAGAATAATGTTTGTAAGGTCTGCTAGTAAACATTTTCAAGCTTAAAGTATCACAACACTATTTATTTAAACCAAAAACTTGTAATACAAAACTAAAGTGTCAAAAGGAATAACAATGTTAGGAAATAAATACATAGGGCAACTTGACATTTTTAGCAGAGCTATTACCTGAATCCCCAGTGCGAAATTTAAATTCCAGTTAGTCAGCACGGCACCGAATATGTCCATGGTTGGCAACAATGAATTTAAAAATGGCGCCCCCGATTACGTAACTAAAAGTTTAATTGATATGAAATATATATAAATTAATATAAAATATATTTCTTCTAAAAATAAATTTATTTTGAAATTGTTATAGGTGTAAGTGAAGACGCTCTGAAAGAATTCTCGATGATGTTCAAGCACTTTGACAAGGACAAGTCTGGAAAACTTAACCATCAAGAATTTAAGAGCTGTTTGAGGGCTCTTGGTTACGATTTGCCCATGGTTGAGGAAGGACAACCCGATCCAGAGTTTGACGCAATTTTGAGTATGTTTTTATTTATACCTAGATAGAAGTTATTAATAATATATTTTTCTTTTAGATGTGGTCGATCCTAACAGGGATGGCAATGTCTCGCTTCAAGAATACATGGCATTTATGATCAGTAAAGAGACGGAGAATGTCCAAAGCTCTGAAGAGATTGAAAAGGCCTTTAGGGCGATTACTGCAGGAGATCGTCCTTATGTTACCAAGGAAGAGTTATACGCGGTAAGACTTAAATGTTTGACTATGTCTATATGTAAAGTTTCAGTAAGAAATATTTAAGATCTAAGTGGTTTTACTATAAAAAAATACTTGGATAGTTGTTAGTTGTCATTATTTTATCATGGTTTCTGCGACAGTAACCAATTAGAACGTTTTGCGCGGTAGTTAAATTTTAAGAATTTTCAATTGAATGTGTCTGAAACTAGAATATATTTTTGCGATTCGTAGCAGATCGTCTATAAATATATCCTATTCCAATGATTTCCTTAGAATTTTTTGTATTGCGTGCAGCTCTTCATATATAGAATGATATCTAGAAATTTTTCTATCAGGGCAAATCATAATGATTCGTATTTGTATTCACTAAGAGTGGGTTCCACCTGGAACCACCATTGCGGCTGCGAGGGCCTGTTCTGGCTCAGTTTCTACAAGCTCTTTAATAGAAACAGAGTGTTAAACTTCACCCTCAAGACCCAACCTTTTAACATAGGCTGTTATGTCCGACGGTGATATGTCTCCTAGGTCTGATGAAACCATAGACTTAAAATAAAATATAGACTACACTATTTACATCTGAACGCGGTCAAACAATTATTTTTGTACACATGTTTACTTCTGGGTACACTCGACCGCAGCCGACCTAACCTTCCTCGTCCAGCCTATGTTGTCACATCTTTAATATTATCAATATTAAAGATGTGACAACATTATACACTTATATATATATATATATATATATATATATATATATATATATATATATATATATATATATATATATATATATATATATATATATATATATATATATATATATATATATATATATATATATATATATATATATATATATATATATATATATATATATATATATATATATATATATATATATATATATATATATATATATATATATATATATATATATATATATATATATATATATATATATATATATATACATATATATTGAGATATTAATACTGCATTTTAATAAAGTAGGTTTTAATATTCCATAGATGTATTAAATAGGTAGTCCTTATACTACTTAATTATAAGTCGAAAACTATGTAAAAAGGATAAATCCTTTACAATATGGCAACACCGATTAGAGGCGAGGTCGCCTGTTCATTCTTCTCAAATACGTTTAAAATAAAGTATACGGAGGGTACCGCTTAAATTCCTGTCCCGATGTTGAAGGATGGCTATAGAATTTCAATGCATTTCCTACATAAGTCTATCCTTGTATTGTAGGAGGTTTGACTAAACAAGGATGAACCTATGTCTTGAAACATTCGACTCGATTTTCTGTTCTCCTTCAATACTGGGACGTAAATCCTCTCAATGCTCTTATGGGGAGGCCGTCGTATATATTATTTAAACGTATTTGATTCTTCTATTAACTTGTAGTACGCGTCGCACGTGTGTAGTAAAGCATTGTTGCCGCTACTTCTCTCTGGTTGTATTATTGCATTTTCTTAGTTTGTAGTCCTTAAATGTTTATTTTATTTACTTTTTGTATTCAAGAACTATAAAATATGGTTCGCCAGTGCCAAATTTGTAAGAAATTTGACTTAAATAATCCATTTGAGTCTTGAACGACTTTCGACCGGTAGGCAACTCTCAATTTACCAATTGGGAGTCATTGGCGTTGTTGTAGAAAGGCGCTTATTTATATAATATTTTAGTAAAATGTAAAATCTGATTTTTTTCTATTACATAATCATTTATATAAAAGTTTTTGTAACAAAATCATAATTATAACCGTGTTATTATACAAGATAAATTATATTAGGCATCGGTTAAAAAATTAATCATGTTTTTATTAAAAATATATTCCGGTTCATTCTAAAACTATCTTCAGAATCTAAAATAACATACAAGAATTCTAAAATGATATTACATTATTAAACATTATTTTTTAATATACCGGGTGCGTCTCAAAAGTGGCTCAACTGAAACACCCAACTCAGCATCACATAATCAATGTTAGATTTAACTAGGTATACTGGGTGCGTCTCAAAAGTGGGTCACCCCTATGACTTTTATTTTTTCAGATAAAAAAAAACAGATTTGTATGTTAGTATATGACATAAATTAATTATTTTTAATTATTATTAATAGAATGACATATCATATGTCAACTTTTGGCATTGTTGGTTAAAAACAAATCATATTTTAAATTTCAATCCAGGGTGCCATGGCGGTGTTAAAAACAGTAAGTTTAAATCAAGTAGCCTTGGAAAAATAGTTTTGATCGTCTAATGTTTTTCGTGTCTTGTCTAGGCCGGTTAAAAGATGTACAAATCGTATTTTTAATCATATGTCAATTTTTTCAAATGGAACAAGGGTGACTCATTATCAATTTCTCTTAACGGAAGATAATATCAAAGGCCAAAATAACAAATTTTGAAGTATAATTAGTGGAAAAATTTAAAAGTTTTATAAATTTTTCTACTAATTGAAAATGTCTACCACTAATTTGACGTTCTGAATGCTTAGACTGAAATTAAAGGAACAAACTTCTACGCTATTTGAAACCACTAATTGCGGGGTTCTGAATGAGACTTAAGTGTCGGTTCTGGGCCCACGAATGGTGAACCTGCACCAGTTTTGGCGAGGGAATCAGCACGTTCGTTTCCCTCTATTCCGACATGTCAAATACACTCGACATTCGCGAGCTCTTCTGCTCTGTGTTGCAAAAAAACAATATTTTCTAACTATAAATACAGTTATTTTATACTTAACAGCAAAAAGGAGACTTTAACTTAAAACACGTTTTTTATAATAGTAATAACTTTTGACTTTTTCCTATTTTAGAACTTGACAAAGGAGATGGCGGATTACTGCGTGGCCAGAATGAAACCTTACACCGAACCTAAGACGGAAAGGCCGATAGCAGGCGCTTTGGACTACATAGATTTTACACGTACGCTCTTCCAGAATTAAAGCTTCGGAACGTTAGAAGATATTTTAGTTTGTAAGGCTTAAATAATATATTTTTTATTTATATAAAGTATACAATTAATGTCTGTACTAATTCTAACTATTTGAGCTTTTGAAAGAAATCAGGTTACGGAAGCGATCGCTTTAATTATCACTCACTTTTGCAGCAGCTCTTTGAACGAAACGATAATCTTTCCCGCAGCTTGTTTTAGTTAGATGTGTTAGTTAAGTTTTGACGTATTACGAATATATATTTTTATGTTCTAATGAATTAAGGGATCATATTATAGTGTTTCCTTGAAATTCAATAAAATAAACTGCTTTATGACATTGACTTTTTTTTCTTATCACTTGATATCACCTTTTGTCGTGTTTTATGAACATTCGAAACGGAAAATAACAACGGTCAATAAAATGTGTATGATTTTTTTACGTGATCATTTCTTGAAAAGGATTATTTTTTATCTATACTAATATATAAAATCCTTAAGTGACTGACTCACTGATTAATCACGATCCTGCTCAAACCACTCAACGTAAGAAGCTCAATTTTGGCATACAGGTTGATTCTAGGCTGTAGAGGTTCTATAAGAAGGGATTTTTCGAAATTCCAGTTCCAAGAGGGTGAAACCACTCCTCAAATATTACAATATTTTTTATTTAAAAAACGCTTAAACACGTATATTTCATTTTGTTTTTTACATATTTTAAGACTTTAAAAATGTATACAGGATGTTTCGAATAATCTGGTCATTGATTAATCACGATCCTGCTTAAAGCGCTTGACGTAAAAAGCTGATTTTTGGAAAACGGATTGACTTTAGGGTATAGAGGTTCGACAAGAAGGGATTTTTCGAAACTCGAATTCTAAGGGGGTGAAACGACCCCTCAAATATTAGAATATTTTTTATTTAAAAACCGGTCAGTTTTTCAGAAAAAACTCTTAAATACGTATATTTTATTTTGTTGTTTTACATATTTTAAGATTTTTTAAAAATTTATACAGAGTGTTTCATAAAATATGACCATTGAGTAATCACGATTCTGCTTAAACTGCTTGACGTTTAAATCTGATCGGGTGTAGAGGTTCGAATCTCAAATTCCAAGAGGGTGAAAACGCCCTTCAAATATTACAATATTTGTTATTTAAAAAACGGTTAATCTTTCGGGAAAACGCTTGGACACGCATAATTTATTTTGTTTTTTACATATTTTGAAATTTTTTAAAAAATCATACAGGGTGTTTCAAAAAGTTGGGTAATTAATTGATTAACCACGATTCTGCTTAAACTGCCAAAATATAATAATATCGCCATATTGTTTTTTCTCATGCTGACAAATATGAGAAAATTTTATCCAGTTTGTATTTTAATGGAAATTGTTGCTTTGCCGGTCACCATTACAAATGATTAATTCAACGCGAACGAAGTCGCGGGTACACGCTAGTAAAGAATATTAATTAAATAAAAAAAATTGTGTGTGCACTATGTGTGCATATTTGAAGTGAAACTTCTTCTTACTTTCGTCTGAGGACTCCATTCGGGTACCTCTATCCACGTGGCGAGTTTGGTTCCAATCGACCAATAATTAAGAAAAATCCTGAAGATTGCGTCCATTTAGAGGCATCGGTTCGAAACTTTGACCCACATTTTTCTTCAATATCAAATCGTTAGTCCCACCCTGATGAAGATGTAAGCGAAACGTCGTATCCAACTTTGCAGGGTGGGACCATGTGCACCGTCGATCGCATAGTCTACCCACCAAATTTGGTCGCGATCAGACGCAATCAACTTTTGACGTTTCTTACGTCAAAACTAACTGTCACAGTGACACGCGTAAAAATTAAATAAAAGTAAACTGTTATAAATTTAAATAAACACTAGCAAATTGCCATGGCGACACCAACCATCTTGATTGCCATTTTATTGAAAAATCGCTTTTTATTCAAAAACTGTGCCAGATAGGTATAGGAAACCCTAATATAATTTGAAAGAGCATTTAAATTTGCTTGGACTTGTTTTAAAATATACATAGCGTTGTATTTGAAATAACGAAGTTTTTATGTAAAATAAATATTTAAAATAGACCAGCAATTTTTGATACCCCTGTATACATTTAAGGAAGCAATACATTTTTTGAGTAAAGTTTATTTCTCTGGCTTCAAAGTCAATACAAGAATTAACTCTGAAAACTAATGTACAGGGTGTTGACAAACTTTTTTATTATAGCATGCATATTTAAATATCTCAAAAACCAAAGCATTTAAACATATTAAAGCCTTATAATAAATGCCTTATTTTATACCCAAGAATAAATCAAATAAAATACAGGGTGTTCCATAAGAAAAAATATAACTTTGGTATGGATCTTAGTTCTGACACACCCTGTACATTTCAAAATAATTTTAAATTATGCACGTTACCTTCCTACATATACCCATAAAATATTTTGTTTCTACATCTTTCCGTTTTCGTATAATCAACCGAGGCGAATGAGGTGCGCCACCCTGTATACAGGGTGGTCCGAACTGTATTCCGGAAACTTCGGCAGCATATTCTGCAGATAAAAATAAGTAAAAAAGTTCATATAAATGTATGTCCCAAAATACTTAGTTTCGGAGATACAGGGTGTAGAAGTTTCATTTTTATTTCGATTTTTTTCAAATAATTTATGAAGTAACGTCAATATTTGGATGAAAATTGGTGCCTGGTAGTTTTTTGACATGTCAATAGGACTCCTACTTATAGAGGGCGCCACCTACATATTTTTTACCTGCTTTGCAGAGTAATAACTTTTAGTCCGTACCTGTATAAAACAACTGAGTAAAAAAAATATGCATTTACGATGCTTTCTACGTAAAAAAGGTCTCTTGGTAAAAATCGCTACGAATAATGGTTCTCGAGATATTTGGAATCAAAATTATCAATACCTGTCATCATTGACATAAATTCAATATGTTGACTAAATAGTTATTAGACTGAAATCATAAATTTGAAACTTTTTGTGCCAAAAGTTCAACAGAAACTGTTAAATCATCAATTTTTTGCAGAAAAATTTATGATTAATTTAAAAAATTAAAAATTTATTATTTCAGTCAAATAACTATACTCAACGCGTGTGCTTATTTTTTTGTCAATAATGACATGTATTGACTATTTCCATTTTAAATATCTTGAGAACGGTTGCTCGTAGCGATTTTTACCAAGAGACATTTTTTTACGTAGAAAGTCATGAAAATGTATATTTTTTCAGTCAGTAGTTTTATACAGGTACGGACGAAAAATTATTACTCTTCAAAACAGTTAAAACACATGTAGGTGGCGATCTCTACAAATAGAAGTCATTTTGACATCAACATCAAACTTCTCATGTCAAAAAACTCCCATATACCAATTTTCATCCAAATATTGACGTTACTTCATAAATTTTTTGGAAAAAATCGAAATAGAAATGAAACTTCTACACCCTGTATCTCCTAAACTAAGCATTTTAGGACATAAATTCATACGAACTTTTTTACTTATTTTTATCTGCAGAGTATGCTGCCGAAGTTTCCGGAATACAGTTCGGACCACCCTGTATATATTAAAAAATAATAAAAAATATATATACAGGGTGTTTCAAAACAAATGCGAAAAACTTCAGGGGGTGATTCCTTGTTCAAAATAAAGGGTAGTTTGCTTTATAAACGTTGGGTCAAAAGTCAACCATTAGGGAGATATCGCGGTACAAAGATGGCGGAAAAATAATGTTTTTATTTTTTATCTTGAAAACGAAAACGATAGACTAATGAAATTTTATGGAAGCATTATTGTTATGAAAACATACTTTCTGGTAATTTTCTCACTTTTTAAAATGAGTGGAAGGTGTTAAAATAAACTACCCCTATCATTCTTGTTAACGAAATTTAAAAAAAAAGCTTATCAAACACATGTAAAAAAAAAATTAATTTGGATAGTTTAGTTTGTTTAGAAACTTTTTTATCTCTTGTGTTTTTTGATAAAACTCACCGATTTGAAATTAAAAATAAAATGTAAAGCATTACATGTCAGGACAAAAAACATTTTTAGATAAAGAATCTTGTGGGCTGCTCTAATTTTTTAGGAAAAATCTAGTCGGCCGCTGTCACTTTTTAGGATGTTTCTAATATTATTTTATTGACAGTACTCTACTGCAATACGTTATTATCTAGATTCTTATTATTATCGTTATTATCACTAGATTCTTTATCTAAAAATGTTTTTGATCCTGACATGTAATGCTTTACATGTTATTTTTTAATTTCAAATCGGCGAGTTTTATCAAAGAAACACAAGAGATAAAAAAGTTTCTAAATAAACTTTGCATGTGTTTGATAAGATTTTTCTTTAAATTTCGTTAACAAGAATGATAAGGGTAGTTTATTTCAACCCCTTCCACTCATTTTAAAAAAGTGAAAAAATTACCAGAAAGTGTGTTTTCGTAACAGTAATGCTCCCATAAAATTTCTTTTCGTTTTCAAGATAAAAAATAAAAACATTATTTTTCCGCCATCTTTGTACCGCCATATCTCCCTAATGGTTGACTTTTGACTCAACGTTTATGAAGCAAACTTCCCTTTATTTTGAACCAGGAATCGCCCCCTGAAGTTATTTGTATATATATATATATATATATATATATATATATATATATATATATATATATATATATATATATATATATATATATATATATAATTATATAATATAATAAATAAAAAAATGTGCATATTTGAAGTGAAACTTCTTCTTACTTTTGTCTGAGGACTCCATTCGCGTACCTCTATCCACGTGCCGAGTTTGGTTCCAATCGACCCATAATTAAGAAAAATCCTGAAGATTGCGTCCATTTAGAGGCACCGGTTCGAAACGTCGACCCACATTTGATGAAGATGTAAACGAAACGTCGTATTCAACTTTGCAGGATGGGACCGTGTGCACCGTCGATCACATAGCCCACCCACCAAATTTGGTCGTGATCGTACGACATCAACTTTTGACGTTTCTTACGTCAAAACTATCACAGTGACACGTATCGTACACACAAATTAAAAGTAAACTGTTAGAAATTTAAATAAAGCCCATAAACTAATGTCGATTTTGAAAATAGCTACTAACTGTCACTAGCAAATTGCCAAAAACTGAGCCAGATAGGTATAGGAAACCCTAATATAATTTGAAAGAGCATTTAAATTTGCTTCGACTTATTTAAAAAAATACATAGTGTTGTATTTGAAATAACTAATAAGTTTTTATGTAAAATAAATATTTAAAATAGACCAGCAATTTTTGATACCCTTGTATACATTTAAGGAAGCAATAAAATTTTTGAGTAAAGTTTATTTCTCTGACTTCAAAGCCAATACAAGAATTAACTCTGAAAAATAATGTACAGGGTGTTGACAAACTTTTTTTATTATAGCATGCATATTTAAATAACTCAAAAACCAAAGCATTTAAACATATTAAACCCTTATAATAAATGCCTTATTTTATGCCCAAGAATTCAAAAATTAAATTTTTATTTAATTTTTGAATTCCCCGGTATTTTTACCGGGTGTGTTCCATAAGAAAAAATATAACTTTTGGTATGGATCTTAGTTCTGAAACACCCTGTACATTTGAAAATAGTTTTAAATTATGCATATTGGCTCTCTACATATACCCATAAAAATTTTTGTTTCTACATCTTTCCGTTTTCGTATAATCAACCGAGACGAATGAGGTGCGCCACCCTGTATAGAAAGTCCACCTGGTAAAGATTTGTTAAAAAAGTTACTTATTAAAAAGACTGGAACCTTCATGAAGACTACTTATTATATAAACTGCAAGACCAGGGAAGTCTTGGTCTTGCATTTGCTCAAGACCACCTTTTGTCTACTGGGATGATGACTTTATTCATTTAAAATTACATTATTACACAGGATAGTAATTTTCAGATTGTTAAATTGTTTCCCACTACTTTTTAAATCGTCCTATTGCTGCCAAAAGTCACTAACTAACATTTTTCCGAACAACCAAATTCAATCACTAACTATGTTTTGAAGCGGAGAATCGATTGCAAAAGTCATTAACTACGATTTCTGGCTATTTATGTTTTATTTTAATACCGAATAGTTACTAACTATAACATCTTTATGCAATGCAATTCATCTTTAGACGCATTTTTCTCAGAAGTAATAAAAAGTAAGTTAGTGACTTTTGGCAGCAATGGGACGAAATAAAATACTCTGTATTTTTGTATGTTGTGTTGAATACAACAGGCGGTGCCAGCGTTTAAAATACCGTATAATCGAAAAAAACGGCTTCAGAGATGGCTATGAAATGAAGATCGCTATCATTTTATATGGGGAATGTCATTGATGTAAATTTCCATGCCAACTGGACGCCGTTTTTTTTCGATCATACTGTAGAGTATATACTAGGTATTTCACACGGTTTCATGTTTGTTCTGACTGTTCTGTTTTGTTCTTTCCTTTATGGTCTAGTGAAAATCTATTACAAAATCTAAAGAATCTGTTACAAAAAAATCTGTTATAATGTACTTTTGTTTCAAATGATTTGAAAAAGTATTATAAGGAATTTAAAAAAATAAAAAAGAATGTCAGAAGTGGGATTCGAACCCACGCCCACAGAGTGGACTGCGACCTGAACGCAGCGCCTTAGACCGCTCGGCCATCCTGACTCATACATCAAATGACTCTTAGGCATTATAAAAACATAACATAAACAGAATTAGCTACACATGAAATTTTATTTTATTTAATTTTATTTAAAGAAAAAATACTTTAAGGTTGTGTATTTATGTAACCTAAATCAACTTCCCTTAACTCTTTTTCTTCCTCTAAAAAATCACTAATATATAATTTTTTAATTTTTTCTCTTCTATAATTTAACGACAATTTTTCCAAATGATGGATCTCCTGTCTCATGTTTATGTAATACGAATTTAATCCAAGACCTTTAACGGGGTTGCATTCTATAGATTGTTTAGGATCAAACTTCATAATCTCATTATTTCTGAAATGAACATAAATTTTTAATGCAAATCGGACCGACTTTATACAGGTGCTTATGTAAATACTTACAATGCTGAATTAAGAGAACGCAATTTTGAATAAGGGTCTTTAATTTTTTCTGCCATTATTCTTATTAAAATGTTATTCTCTGTCTGATGATTATAAATATATCAAATATATGACATTTTGACAACTAGGTACCTATTTCAACTTTAATCTTTGAATAAAAATTAAAAGATCCTAATAAAAATATTATATAGTGTATTTTTATTCACAATCTGTTTGGATTTCAACCAATTCAACCAATGACCTCTAAATGATATGAACGCGTTTAATTTTTGTTAATTAGAAAAAAAATCAACTATATTTTCATATTTTTTATTTTTCTCTTAAACTATAATGTGTAAATTTTTAAAAATATAAACAGGACTTTAAACGGGATTAACATGGAATTAACAATTTTAGAACAAATGTTTGCTTGTTCTCAAGCAAACAAGCAAAAACGAAAATATAACGAAAACTCAAAAATAATCAAAAACGCGCCTTTTTTCTCCTCTGTCAGGCCATCTATGTGACAATTATCTAACCACAAATAATGCGCGTTCAGGGACGGTCAGCGGCTGAGTGGCTGAGTAAGCGGTTTCCCTAAACGGTCTCTTTTTACACGCAAAAACAGTCAGCCGCTGAGTAAAATACTCAGCGGTCGGTCAGCCGCTGTGTTCCCTGAACACGCACATTCTCTATGACAGATCTCTGTGTAAACTCATATTTTTTTTAATAATTTCTGATTATTTCTTTATCAGAAAGTAACCCAGCCAAAACAACGAGCCCTACTACAAAATCCCTAGGATGTTGGTATAAAAAAATGTGTTTTTTGTGTATTTTACACCAAAACATAAAAAAAAATAAAGAGAAGCCCATCCCTGCCCTAAATTATATATGATCTTAGGTGGTAAAGAATAAATAAAATTATGTAATGACATCTGTCACATTGCCCGTCAAATTTTGACATTTGCTGATTAAGTTAACCTAAAAAACGTAACTTCAAAGAGGAAGACACTAGTTTTCATAAATATAAAAATTTATTATATTTATTTTTATTTTTTAAGCTCTAAAAAAATAAATATGGGATAAAAATTGAATATACATATAAATTAGTTTTTTGAGGAACCATTGACGTTAAACTAAGGCTTATAAGTAAATTTGAAGAAAATTCCCAAACATGAATGATAAAAAAGAAAATTCCGGCTTTAAAAGTTATTTAGATGAGCCTGGGCTAGAGGTATTAAGGTTTAGGTCTTGTTTATTGTTATACACAGTTATTTTAATTTTAGAATGTCATACTGGATGATTCCCAAAGAACTAAATTTCTCGATGGTAAGAAATGATTTAACACTAGTGTCAAACTTAGATTTATAATTTATATGTGGTATATCTATAAATAACCGTTATTAAATTGTTTTGTGGTTGACACCTAAGATTTAATAATAAACTTGAATTGTTATCATGATAAGATCACAGTTAATAAATACTGAAATATTTTAAAACAAATAATAAAACTTAATCTCTGTTCATTTTTCCATAATTTATAGATAAAGATGTTAGATTAAGAAGATATTTATATTTAATTCTTAATTATGAAATATCTAGTTTTAATTTCTGTTTTCACTTATTTTTAAGGAGAAACAGTTGTAATGGAAGCTCAGAAAGTATTAATGTACACCCCATTAACAGAAGGAATTAAGAAAACTAGAGGGGTTCTAACAGTTACAACTTTTAAATTGTCATTTGCTTCTGCAGAAGAAACTGACCCTGCAAACTGTTATCAACAAAATTTTCTATTAGGAGTGAATGATGTTTGTCTGTCTCTAATCGATTCTATCTATCAAAATGGAGATAAAAAGAAAAAACTTGTACCTGGTCATAATATTAGTGGAAAAGTTAAAGAATTATTGATAGTTTGTAAGGTGAGATTTTATCTCCTATAGGATGGGACCATTTAAATACTTGTATATTTTAGAATATGAAATATTTTGAATTTAGTTTTATACTAAGTAGTAAAGACAGTGGAAAAAACATTGCCAACGCTTTGTTACATCATGTATATCCAAAAAGGCATCAGCTTCTCTTTGCTTATGATTGCAAGTGAGTAAAACAAGTTAACCTTTAATATAGAAAATTAATAATATACAGGGTGATGTTGCAATATGTACCTAAACTTCTGTTTTGGGAAATTTAATCACCGCGATCTTAAGGTGGGTTCATACAGCCAAATAAAATAAAATAAGAATAAAATAAAATAAGAAATAAGGAATTCTTATTTGTGTGCGTTCATACAGGCAAATAAAATAAAATAAGAAATATATATTTGCTCATGCGCAGTACGATGAGGCTGGATAAAAGTTAACTTTTACGATTGTTTATAGTAATTTTACTATTTATAGTATATTTATTTATTCGTTGCCTACTATATTATACATTTTACTTATGTGAAATTAAAAAATAAATTAAATCCAAACTGAAAATATTTGTAGGTTAGAATTAAGCGTGCGCAAAGCCATTTTCACATAAAATAAAACAAGATAAAGACTTTTTATTTTATTTGTTATTTTATTTGGGTGTATGAACGCATGTACGGTATCCCATCTAACCAACTTTCTTATTTTATTTTATTTTATTCTTATTTTATTTCATTTGGCTGTATGAACCCACCATTACTGATCTATTGTATCCCACTTTCTTGAGTTATAACTCATCATTCAGTCTCAGCTCCGTATGCATGTTTGTTTATTATATGTAAAATTTCTAGGGAACCACATGATGACAGAGCAATTTTTAAAGAAGCTAGACTTTTTCATACAATACAGGATTGGGAAAAAGAGCTTCAAAGAACTGGCTGTCAAAATTGGAGGTTAAGCCAAGTAAACCGCGACTTTCAAACTTCGCCACTTTTATTTGAGGTTTTTATAGTGCCTCAATCTGTTACAGATGGTATTATTATAGAAGCAGTAGAGAAGTTTCGAAACAGATTCTGTCCTCTTTGGGTAAGGATGGTACAAAATTACACTAGCGTCTTACTCCCACTAGTCTACTCGGGCACCCAACAATGTTGCCAAATACTAGATCTTTATTTTCACTACATTTTATTCGATGTGAACCTTAGTCAAATCATCTAGAAATATTTTTACTATTTTTTTTATTCAAATATTATATTTTCTTTATTAAAATATAATATATCTTATATAATATACCTTATATATCTTATATAGCTTATATAATATATCTTATACAATATATCTTACATGTTATAGCTTATGATTAAGTATTAGATTTACATTTTCACTGAATTTTATAGAGTGACATTAAACAACCCATCTAAAAATAAAAATCCTAAAGAATGCAAAAATGCTGATGAACTATTATGTGTGAAAATGCGTTAATACTAACTTATCTAATAAATAATAGGGGTCAATGTATAAACAGTGTTGTTTAATTTTTTATAATAATTTTTGTTTTTGTTCAGATGGTTTAATAAGTTTTCTGGGATTTACCAAAGGGTTTATCTAAGCTTATTATATTCTATCAACGGTGGTAGACACTAGAGAGCTTTTAATGTTGGTCCAATAGAAGCTTGTCTTGTACAATTTACATCAAGTAGAAGGGCAATTGCACGTCATTAACGAGAAAAATTGAAAAACATCACTTTACCAGAGACAACATAGTTATCTCTAATTTTACTAAAGCCTAAAGCAAATGGAAATGCTTCGTGTATGCATATGTAAATGTGCATACATAGGAGAATTGATGGGACAACCAACGGCAACATTGTTGGGTGCCCGAATAGACTAGTGTGTCGTAGACGCTAGTCAAAAACATCATATGATCGAAAAAAAGCGGCGTCATGAATAACAATCGATGATAATTTTGGCGAGATCAATCTCTAGACGTCATTTACTAAAAATTGACACAAAACTTGTCAAAAATTAACACTAATTACAGAAATATTACAAAAGGAAACAACGTTTCCAGACACACAAATCTATTTTAAAAAAATGTTCTCAAATTTTAAACTACGCCATTTGAAAACTATTTTTACTCAATATAAAAGTAAATTACAACCTTCTTAAGACCAACTGGCAGTAAGCGCTAAAGTATGCGCCAAGTAATTATTGACGTCTAGGCCTTCATCTCGCTAAAATTATCTGATTGTCATTCCCCAGCCGTCTTTGACGCCGTTTTTTTTTTCGATTGGATGGTATTTTTTCATATTAAATTTATTTAGGCAATTTTTTTTGGTATTTGTAACATTTTTAACTACAGGTGTGGGGTACTGCTAAAGGTGCTGCTCTTGTTAGAATGGCTGATCTTCTTCCAACCATAACTGATAGGACTGAAGAGAATAAACTCTTAGAACATATAAGGAAAAGTCATCCCGAGAAAAAACCTCCACACATTATCGATCTCTCAACTCCAAACCCTAAAGAGATTCAATCGAGCTATTTGAAACTAAGGGATTTGTGTACCCCCGATACTCCATCTAAGTTTAAGCAACAAGTATGTGACATCAGTAAACAGAATCTTTGATTTTGCACTTATGTGTAAAAAAATATTTAGAGTTACCAGTTTAATAAGCTTAATACAGCGGGATATTTTGTGGATATAGAACTACTATGTGTTTTTGGAATCAAGGTAAGTTCATTGGACACAATTTACCTCAATACAAAAGTGCTTCGTTTTTCCGCTAGAGGGCATCAAACTTTAAAAAAATAAACACATTTTTCCGATATTTTAAGAGCCGTTATTAAGATTTGAATGAGATTTTGGGTGCCTATGTTTTGCTAAGTGCTTTAACATTTTACTTTTAGAAAAATCAAGAAAAAGTCCGGAAGGGTGGAAACTACCTCCACTCCTACATAAATTTTAGTATAAATATTTTCCAACTCCACCGATTACACATTTTCTGTCGTTAAATGGTCTCTCTGGTATTTACTAAATGTTTTGTCTCTATCACTTAACAAAACGTGTAATATTTCGTGTTTTTTATAAGAAACAGAGTGACCATATATCTGGTAGTAGTTTATGTCACTTAAAACACCAAAATAATAAGTTTTTTGCACTACAGTAACAAATAATACCAAAAATCAACCGACAAAATATGAATACAGAATCTAACCGAATATCTAACGATGAACAGCTGATTAAATAAACAAAAGTCCGCGCCGTGGCTGATTTATTAGAGACGGCAGTGGTCCAATAAACTTATTTTGATTCCAAAAATAGGTAGTAGGTAGTTCTATGTCTACGGAATATTGGGACACCCTGTATATTCACTTCATTTTTAGGATTTTAAATTTTATGCATTATTAGACTCAACAAAGTGGCTTAATCATGTAGCCACTTGTCTAAGTAAAGCCGTAGAAGCAGCTAAGAAAATAGATAAAGAAAATTGTACAGTTGTTCTTCAAGAAGGTAAGTGAAATTTTTAATTTCTTTAATTTACAGGGTGCCCCTTAAATAAGTGCAAGTATTTTAAAAATTAAGCTTGATTTTCATGCGTCTGTTATCCGTTGATACGATGGTCCGACGGCGCTCTGATTGGTTATAGCGTTTTCGCGCCACTTTTCATCCGTAAATTTTTTACTCTAACCCGTCAACGGAGAAAGATCGTACGATAACGGACGTTTTGACACTTTTTTGACATATTTAATCTAACCTTAATAAAAATATAATAGTACGAGAGCTAGCAACGTCGGGGAATTTTAAGAAAGCTGGTTCTTTAATGTATCTTTTGCTATGTTCTCCTGACCAAAGTGCGGGCGGTCTGGCTGCCGGTAGATTACTGCGGTTCACTACTACACATCACATATGTACAGGGTATCCCATTTTCCTGTATTTTATGGGATTTCTCGTTTATGGGTATAAAGATACAATGATGCGGTTTTCACATTACTTTGCTACTTTTTTATGAAACTAAATATGCTACACATATGTTTCTCCTAGCCCCCTTAGGCTCTCGTATCATCATATCGCTGGATAACGGATGCACGTAAATCAAGCTTAAGTTGATAAACAAAATAACATCTATTTTCTACTATACTATTAAAAATAAAACAAGAGGGACTCAAAAAGTAATGATGTGGCGATTGGTGGGCCTTAAGGCTAATGTCTCGACAAGCGTGTTTTGATTAGTAGTGGGAAGTATCGAATGAATACTATCGAAACATTCGATAGTTGCAATTCATTCGAATAATTCGATAGTTAGTAAGAAAACATTCGTTGAAAACTATTCGAATAAAAATTATCGAATAGATCCGTCATCTGCCTTGAAATATTGTATTCTAGTAATTCGACAGCAAAAACCATTCATTTATAAAATTCATTCATTTATGAAATTCATTTATTCGTCAGGATCGATTATAATAAAATATTAACTGAATTTTAGTTGTCGCCCGGCGACGTAGGTTTCTTTCCGAGAAGCCCGACAGCGGTCGGTGTTAATGCTATGAAAGAAGCCGGCATCTTTGATTTTTTGCGGAGTCAGATATAGATAAGGATACATTATTTTTTTTATTGAGGTGCTAGTATTTACACAGAAAATACATTATGAAGGGCGCTGTTGCCATATTTTGGTATTAAGTAAGAGGAGGCCGGGTGGATTGTTATGTTACACTGCAATAATACTTGTTATTTTGGATGTAGGAAAATTATTTTTAATGTTTTTAAGCAAAAACTGGTTTAATAAATAATAATAACAGTAATAATTTGTTATACCTATTAACAACAAAATTTAAAATCATTTAATATAAATATTTTTTTTTAAGTAGTAGCAAAATATAAACAACAAATTAGATGTCAAAATTATTTATATTAGATCCTATTTAAAAATAATATAGTCTCTAAATTTTTTGTGTGTGGCAACGTAGGTTTATTAAATAATAATAATTACAGAACTAATTTGTTAAATTTTAAAATCATGAAATATAAACATTTATTAATTTTCTAAGCATGCAGTGTAATGGAAGGAAAATATAAATAAAAAATTAGAAATCAAAATTATTTATAATAGGTGCTTTATATTACTATTTAAAAATTATATTTACTTTTACTGGCATTTACTTTAAAAAATAAATGAAATATTTCTTCGCAAAAAACTACATGTAAGAGAATTAGCATAAACAAAATACAAACATCGTTAACTTTTTTTTAAAATTGACACGTGTAAAACTTTCATTTTAATTTTCTCACCCCATAGTTTGAGTTCGATAACCATTTACTTAAATATGATTATTAAGTTCCAACTAATTCATATTATTAAAACATCTAAAATACAAATATGTATTTTTAAAATTAATTGTAAGTTCACCAAACCAAACCATATACCATATAAAATTAAATAATTGAAAGATCAGACTACGGAAAACCACACAAATTTTCGGAAAAATTTTGACCACCTGCACATGCACACAATCGTCAATAAATAAAATTAAAAAATAACTACTATTTTAGTATTTTAACTATTTTAATAAACGCAAAAATAGCACAGTATTTATACGGCGAAGTTATAAAAATTTGGAAGAACTAATAATACACTGACGCATACAAAAATCAAACGAATACTAAATTTCATTTATCAAAAGCATTCGATAGTCGTGGCTCAACGATAACCATTTAGTCGCACGGCGAGGTTGTCACATATGCTTTAGTATACAAATGAATGAATGATTTTATTCGAATAAAACCATTCGATAGTTGAAATCATTCATTCATTAACCATTCGATAGTCTAATTCATTCGATAGTTCCCATCGCTAGTTTTGATTGCTTTGGTTTCAACATTTTTGTGTTTTTTTCTGTTTTTTAATGTGAACTGCCTTAGAATATTTTTATTCTAAAATTGAATGTTTTACATCAAATTTTTATGATTAACAAATGTCAAGTCATTACTGCTTCGAGTCCGACGTAAAAAAACGGCGTCAGACGGCTGGGGACTGATAATCGATGAATTTTTTGCGAGGTCAAGTCCTAGAAATCAATACTTGGTCGGTACTCTTCTTAATTTTTTAATCACGCTTACTGCCAGTTGGCCCTCAGAAGGTTGTAATTTATTTTTATATTGAGTGAAAATGATTTTTAAATAGTGTAGTTTAAAATTTGAGAAAAAATGTTTTTTTGGAAATAAATTTGTTCTGGAAACGTTCTATCCTTCTTTATCTTTCTATCATCATCAGCTTTAGCTTATTCAACCATTTCCAATTATGGTGTAGTCTCCCTCACATACTCTCTTCGTTGTTGACATTTTCGTATATATTTTGCTGTTCATAATGACAACTTGACTCGAAATACCAATTATGTGGTACCAAATAATTCGTAAAAAAATGTTTTCTCCAAATATGCTAATGAGCCACCCTTGTTCCATTTGAAAAAATTGAGATATAATTTAAAAAAACGATTTAGGCATCTTTTAATTGGCCAAGACAAGACACAAAGGACATTAGATGATCAAATCTATTTTTTCAAGACTCAGATCCCTATAAAATACGTTTGAATCTGTAACTTCCTATATTTACTATAATTATTGTTCACAATTTTTTTTATTATTTTATTTGTATCATAGGAGATGGTCAAGACTTAAATTGTGTAGTATCAAGTTTAACACAGATTATATTAGATTCCCACTTCAGAACAAAATATGGTTTTCAGTCTTTAATACAAAAAGATTGGGTGATGTTGGGCCATCCTTTTGCTAATAGACTGGGACACATTTTGAGTAAGGTAATATTTGGAAATTAAAAGGACGCCATTTTATATACCTACTACATAACTGTTACCATTTTAGAAGCTAGAACAATCTCCAGTTTTTTTGTTATTCCTGGACTGTGTGTGGCAGCTCATTCAACAATATCCAACTGCCTTCCAAATAAGTGATACTTACTTAACGACTTTATGGGATTCTGCGCACATATCACTATTCGAAACGTTTCTTTTTAATTGTCATCATCAACGAATATTAGCAACTATGGTAATTAAATTTGTATACGTATTTTTATGTAAGAAATGTTATTGAAAGTTTATTGATAGCTTATCCCATTTAAATTTGAGAATCATTTAATAATAACTATGGAAGGAGTATCTACATATATAAAATGCTAATGTTTATCTGTGTCGTCTCTACTGAAGTAACGACTTGCTCTAGAAAGTTGCTTTTTTTTACTAAAATATATCTAATTGGCTCTTCTAAAAACTGTCGTCGCCGGATTTTTTTTTTCATTTAATTAAAAAAAATAAAAAGTAGTTTTTCCTGATGTCGTGGCGTATGCGCCAGGCTTCAACTAGTATCAATATAAAGAGCAAAACCACGAAACGGTTTCAATATGCCTAACTTGGTTTCCGGTTTGTCGTGGCTTTGTCATAGTATTTAAGTATTTTATTTTTTTGCTAGTGCAGTTATTGAGACTATAAAACACTCAGGTACGAGGTTCGTGTGATGTAAGGCTGTTTCGGGTAGTAAAAAAATAAGTGACAAAAGAATACGAACTAGGCGTGTTGTTGTGTTGTGACAATTTCAAATGTTAATGAAATTGCCAAAAAAATGTTAACGCGTAAAGGAGAGCGTAATTAGGGCGTTGTTGGGTGCAATAACATTCAATAACTCAACGTTCCCGGATATTCAACTCTCCCGAAACAACATTTTATAGCTTCATAGTTTCTCACCGATTTGACTACGAATCAAGTGTGTAAACAAAGTGCTCATTACATAACTAAAAAAATAAATAGATATACCACAGATTAGGTATACTATATGTATACAGATAAAAATCTTGGCCCTAATTCGTGGTACGAAAATTGTTTTTATGACGATGAGCAAATAAGTAAAATTTCCTGTGCGCAAAAATAAACTCGCGTTTAAACAGCGTAATAAATTGGGCCGGTCAGGCGCTGTGCACAATTTTAGAGGCCGTAAGTGGGCGTGCTATGTGCGCAAGCTAGTAACCTAACTAGTGCGCGACTCCGAAAATTGGAACCACGAAAAACAATGCTTTTGACGATAAGTTTATAATCTGTATAATCTGTGGATATACTATGAGAGGATAAAATATAATTTGCAATATTAATAGTATACTTTTTTAATCGACTAGTAATTAAACGTTTTATGAACATCTTCTAAAACTATAATTATGTACCTTTAAAAAATTTCGTTATAGCCGAAATAGTCCCAATTATGACCTCACTAGCAAAACCGATGTTTAAAACTATGCTCGCTACCGTAGTTGAACTCATCAAAAAAGTTTTTTTTTCGCTCGAATAATAAATTATCATACAAGTTAGACCTTCTGAAGATATCAAAATATTTACTTTTTTTATTTTTAGAATTTTCACAAATTATACTTCCTAACACTTTTAGAATAATAATTATGTAATACATATGTTCCGTATACTCGCTATTTAAACCCGTGTATTTGTATATACTAGTTGTTTACGATATTCTCCGATGGTGGCAGTACCGGCGGAGAATGCACCACAGAAGCATGCGTCAAGCCGGCTGCCGACTGTCGAGTCGACATAGCTTCCGCCGGCAATGTATCAATATAAAATAGTATCACAGATTAGGTATCCTATGAGTATACAGATAAAAATCTTGTCCCTAATTCGTGGTTCGAAAATTGTTTTTAATGACGATGTGCAAACGAGTAAAATTTCCTGTGCGCAAAAATAAACTCGCGTAAAATAACAATAAACAGCGTAATAGAGAAATATCGCTAAACCGAATAGCGTGCATGGACGTTAATAAGGCCAGGTGTTATTTCCTTTACGTGAGGTGGTATTAACTCTCTTCATTTATAATTATCGGATCGGAAAGAATTCTGTTCGCGTCGCGTCCGCTATTTATACTTAACCTAACTTTGAATTTAAAACTTTGAAATTGTTTTGTTTACTAGGTATTTTAAAACTAAAGGGCTAAAGTGCTTATTTCCAGTGCTTTATTGTTCAACGTCTGCCTAAGTCGTCATCTGCTGTAAACCTAAGCCTCTTTATAGGTTCTTTAATATTGGAAGAGGTGGAATCCATATTTTGGGTCATATTTATTTAATTAAAACTAAACCCAGCTACTTAAATATCAAATTACCTAATAAAACTAAAGTAATAATTCAAAACATAACCTAAAATAAAAAATCTCGCCGGCCGGCCCCGGTTGTCAAATACCCGCACCTGCCCATTTAAGCAATTTTTAAACGTTACTTAGAAATAGCGCTTGGTGTAATTGATCCGCAAATTACGTTAGGGCAACAAGAAACAAATTCTCTTAGAAGGGTTAAGTCGTCATCTGCTGTAAACCTAAGCCTCTTTATAGGTTCTTTAATATTGGAAGAGGTGGAATCCATATTTTGGGCCATATTTATTTAATTAAAACTAAGCCCAGCTACTTAAATACCAAATTACCTAATAAAACTAAAGTAATAATTCAAAACATAACCTAAAATAAAAAATCTCGCCAGCCGGCCCCGGTTGTCAAATACCCGCACATGCCCATTTAAGCCATTTTTAAACGTTATTTAGAAGTAGCGCTTGGTGTAATTGATCCGCAAATTACGTCAGGCGGTAAAGTTATTAGCGGGCGTTGCGTTAAAAATTCTCTCACGCATATCGTAACCATGATAAGGTACGCGTAAATACTGCATGACGCTATTCGGTTTTCCGATATCTCTCTAATAACTGTGCCGGTCAGGCGCTGTGCACAATTTTAGAGGCCATAAGTGGGCGTGCTATGTGCGCAAACTAGTAACCTAACTAGTGCCTGATTCCGAAAATTGGAACCACCAAAGTATATAATCTGTGATAGTATTTGACTCCTTCCTTAGATTTTTTATTTGATATTTAGAATGTTTTTTTAATAAATTGTTCTATCGTTTTTGATAAGTCGATATTTATCTTTACAGGGCAGTTTAGGTCCTCAAATAGTTTTGCGGAGTATCTGGGATTGGAGGGAGCAGTTTTACGATCGAGACATCGCTTTATTTTGTAATCCTCTGTATGATGATAGTTTCAAAGGAACTCTAGATCCAAGTCCAAAGTTATACAATCTAGAGGTGTGGGGTCAATGTTACTTTAGATGGATCTCTGATTTAGAAATCCGCAAAGGAGGCAAACCACAAATAGATCTATTTACCAGGTAATTAGTTAAATTAGGTTATTGTTTTTAAGTTTTTATAAGTTTTAATAAACAAATTTGCACATTTCCAGTACAGTATAATATGTACATATTAATAAAGTTATCGGAAATTAGCGATTCTGATTTTAATGAATGACAAATAAAATAATTCCAAAAAATGTCTATAGCTATGTGGCGGATTCATCTCTCCAAAAAAATCCATTATGGGTATTTCGCCACTGCACTGCAAGAAAATCTACAAAATAAAATAATTATTTTTTGCAAACACTTCTGCGCTAAACCTAAACGGATACTGCTTATCAGAAGTTATGTTTACAGTTATACAAATTTGCCTAACAGAGAAAAAAATGCTTAATGTTTCGGAAAGTTTCTCTTTCCGTCGTCGGAAGCAAAAAAATACAAATAAGAAAAAACTATTTAAAATATTTAAATTCAACTATTCGAGAACACTTTACTTTTTTAAAACAGATACGTCTACAAGAAACCATTGACGTTCTGTTAAAATGAACAAAACAACAACAACAGAACGTCAACGGTTTCTTGTAGACGTATCTGTTTTAAAAAAGTAAAGTGTTCTCGAATAGTTGAATTTAAATATTTTAAATAGTTTTTTTCTTATTCTTTGAATTTTTTTTGCTTCCGACGACGAAAAGAGATAAACTTTCCGAAACTAAGCATTTTTTTCTTTGTTAGGCAAATTTGTATAACTGTAAACATAACTTCTGACAAGCAGTGTCCGTTTAGGTTTAATGCAGAAGTGTTTACAAAAAATAACTATTTTATTTTGTAAATTTTCTTGCAGTGCAGTGGCGAAATACCCATAAAGGATTTTTTGGGGAAAATAATTCCAGATCGATTTTTGCTCCTTACATCTACTTAAAAACAACTCTTCAAAATTTTACTACATAAAATACCAGTTTTCAATTTGATACCAGTCTTGATCTTTATAAGATCTAAATGAATAAAAATAAATCTTTATAAGAAAAATGTTATAAATATAAAAAGTTATGAATATACTAAGAATGAATATACTAAGAATGATTATGAATATACTGAATAATACTAAGTATAGTTAAATGTAAAAAGACTTTTCAAAAGTGGAGTTAATCGAATTTTGCGGTGGACCGGGTTGCATATGTCCATAATATACCATGTAAAGAGCATAAGGTCTCTAAATGCCACCCCCAAGCTTAGTTCAGCAGTGAAGATGTCTCTAACGCGGTATACAATGAAATTAGGAAATTCTCCAAAATCGGGTTATATTATAACTAATATATTACTTTAAAGCTGCAAAAATTAGTTAACCGCATTTTATTATCGCTATGTTGGTCACATTGCGCCGTGTTTAACAATGTTGTCCTTTATTATTTGCCAATTATCCTAGTGTCAGTCATTATTTTGTGTAATAGCATATTGTTGTTGAATCTTTGTGAGTAATTCTCGTTTTTTGCTTATTTTCAGTCTTTTTTTAAAAATTGCCCTTTTAAGCACAAACAGTTCTTTTAAGAACTAAATTTTCTAGTTTTTGTATTGCATTTCTTGAAATTGTGTGTTGAAAATATGCCAAAGCATTTAAAGAGTCGAAGCAAAGAGCTTGTAGCTTCCCTGTTTCTTTTAAAACGATTTTATTTTATATTTTGAACGAGAACGTGACAATAAAGGTCCTTTGTTACCCTTGACTGCAGTCAGAAAAGTAAGTTAGATTGATAAGCACTTTCAAAGTTAGTTTTTATTAAATTCTGTGATTATTAGTTTGTGCATTAATAGCACCCTCTTACTTGTTATTACCACTCATGGCGTTGTAAGACGTACATCAATAAATAAATAACCCATAATAACGCTTATAATAATCTTCATAATGGACTAGTTTTTGCGAATATGTAATAAGTAAAATAAGCTATAAAACAAATAAATCAATTAATCAGTAAAATATTAGTTATTAAATTAAAAATAAAAAGTAAAACCCTTTAAAAAATGATATAATAAATATGTTGTTTGTCAATTTTAAATTAAGATTCATCTCATAAATCCATCACAATCTGGCAGCGCTGTCGCCATCGCTTATCACTCAAAGTTGATCACGTGCATCGGAAATTGTTTTGCGACCGCGTTAAAGACATCTTCAATGCTGAACTAAGCCTGGAGGCGGGGCTTAGAGACCTTATGCTCTCTAAATGGTATATGAGCGTTTTTTTACTAATATTGTTGCTAAGAATTGATCTTTTACGTTCATTATTTTTTATTCCAAGGTACTTGGTGTCCGAAATAATGCATATACACTTCAACTTGGATTTAAGCAACGGAAAACTCTCCGGCAAGATGAACCGAAACAAGGACGAATACATGGACTTAATACAAAAAGTAAACAGTTTTTATCCATTTAGCCACAACAACGCTTTAGTAAATAACCCTATAAATAATGTTCTTCTCACGGGGGACACGTTAGATTCCCAATCAATATTAAACCTTAATAACGAATGAGAGAATACTGTAATATAATAGATTTTATTTCGGAATTGTGTCTTATCCTAACTTGTTTCAAAGAAAAATAAGAGTAAATTGTGAGGAATTTAATTTTAGTTCATTTTCTCTCATTTGAATATTATTGAATTTTATTAATACTTCAACAATTATTTATGTTCGCAATGATTAAAACACAGTATTAAAGAATATAAAAGCAATATCTTTATACTGTGACTAAAATAACAAGCGGGTGTTAATTTGAATTTAAAATTCGTTTTTCGTGCGACCTTAGAATATCTGCTAATTTTTACATCACCATATTTTTTCTGTTGTAATACAGGGTCCGGCAATAGTGCGTCGGGCATCTGTATAAAAAACTTGGGAATTTTGTTTTTATATATATACATATACAGGGTGTCCCAGAAATAAGTGCAGATATTTTAACTGGTAGTATAGTTCAACCCCAGAAACACGCCTATGAGGTTTTTTTTGCGAAAAAAAAATGTTGAAAATTTAAAATTTTTCTTGACATTTTCCGGGAAATTTGAAAAAACTTTTTAGTGCCACTTGTTTATTCACCTGAGATTTCTCTACGGTGTATCTAAACCATGCAGTGTTGTAACCTCCTATGTTATCCACATTCTACATAGTTCTACATTTATAAATTCATAGAAAAATTTCTGCTCAAAAATTAAGAATGTTAAATTTTCATCAGTGCTCATTATTAATAATTATTATAGAAAAAAAACACATTAATTATTTTTAGTACTTACCCTTTCAATGAAAACTTAACAAAAACCACCGAAAATTAACTAAAACATTACGTTTATGACGTTTACGAAAATGATTCATTATATTATTCACAACCAGGTCACAAAAAAGAAATTCCTAAAATGTTTATCGTAATTTAGAATTCAATATTTGTTTTCTTTCATGTTTCTCTGTTTTATTTGAACCACTGATTTACAAAACACCTTGAAAAGCGCACATTACTTTGAATACCTCTCTTATCGCTACTTTACGAACTACTTTCAATTTAAGACATGTTTCACTCAACAATTTTAAATACGTATTTTGTTTTTTCGCTATTTTTTCGATGTATTTTGACAGCCCGACCGTCGCGCGTTGGCCAAGAGTGCCACGTGTGAACTGGTCCTTTGAGCCGCGCCGTCGTGGCAGGCTTGCGTCAGACGACGATGTTAAGCAACGTTGCCGTAGTTACAACAATTTCAAATTCAAGAGATTCGAAGCAATCAAATTTGTATTAAATTTTAAAAATAAAACAGAGAAAACATGAGGAAACAAACAAAACGAAAATGAATTGATTATTCGTCGGGCTGTTTTCGATATATTGAATTCTGAATTACGATAAACAATTTAGAAATTTCTTTTTGTGACCTTATCAATAATCAATTCATTTGTGTTTTGTTTGTTTCCTTTCATGTTTTTCTGTTTTATTTTTAAAATTTAATAAGAATTTGATTGCTTCGAGTGTCTTGAATTTGAAATTGTTGAAACTACGGCAACCTCGCATGACGCAAGCTCGACACGCCGGCGCGACAAAGAAGCAGTGAGCAGTTACCAACCAGTGATGCGTGGCTGTCTTGGCCGACGGATGGTTGAGCTGTTGACGGAATTGTCGAAATACATCGAAAAAATAGCGAAAAAGCAAAATACGTATTTAAAATTGTTGAGTGAAACATGTATTTTCTTAGATTGAAAGTAGTTCGTAAAGTGGCGGTAAAAGACAATAATTCTCAACATTTATTCATTCAGAAAGATATTCAAAGTAATGTGTAATGTGTGCTTTTCAAGGTGTTTTGTAAATCAGTGGTTCAAATTGTGATGAAGCCTATACGAAAATAATGTGTTAAGTTAAAAATGGGGACTGTTATTTTAGCAGTTTTTATAATAGCACGTACAAGTAAAGCAGCCAATGAAGTGTATTTAGTTAAGTGTGTATCGAAAAAAGAGAACTGTCGCAGTTACATCGATCTGTCATAAGTATCTTTTTAATGTTGGGTAAGTTTTTTTAATTTAACTTTTAAACATTTAACTTTTAATTTATTTTATGTAATAATATCACAATCTTAAAAATGTAATGCATCTCTGCAAACTCCTCAGGTGTTGTGATTTTATGACTTACTTGTAAACATAGACTTTCTTGTCCATATGGCAACACAGTGCGTCGAATTAACTGAAATCCAGGTAATTGGATGTAGTTGGCAATATCTGCCGGCGGTTCTCAAAATGTTGCGATTATTTTTTTAAATTTTCAAAGTTAAATAACTCAGTTATTTTCAATTTATTTTAAAAATGGTAAAGAGAAAATATGTTTATTTTGACCAGATCTACCACCTCTTAAAATATCTGCACTCATTTCTGGGACACCCTGTATATATACATATATAGGGTGTCTCAAAATAGTGTGAATGGATCGTGATGATTTTTTTTAAATAGAACACCCTGTATATTATTGCATTTTTATCTTCCTTTCAGATCGCTTTACATAATCCTAAGATATGAATAAATATATTTCGATAGTTTCAGAGATATTAATAAATAAATAAAAAATTTATATTTTTCAACCTACATTAAAAAAATTATTACAAATACAAGAACTGTTATTCTGAAATCAAAACTATATTAGGTATTTACTTTAAACGGTCTATACTTAACTTTGCTATTAATATCGTAATCTTAAATCATACAGGATGTTCAAAATTATACGCTAAACTTTCTAAACTGAAAAAATTTTCTTTATTTTTTTAAATGGAACACACTGTATATTATTTTTTTATTGGATGGAGAATTAAAAAATTAACTTTTTTTGTATTTAAAGTATTTCAAAATTTTGAAATACAATTTTGGCGTGATAAAAAATTACTATGGAAAATGCCATTTAAAATATAAAACCGCGAATATCTGCGAAAACGTTAAAAATTGTGAAATACTCTAAATACAAAAAATGTTCATTTTTTAATTCTCGATGTATTGAAAAAATAATATACAGGATGTTCCATTTAAAAAAAAAACGAAGAAATATTATTTTATATTTTAGAAAGTTTGGCGTAGAGTTTTGAACATCCTGTATGATTACGATTAACCATATTTATAACAAGGTAAGTACAGACCATCTAAAGTAAATACCTAATATAGTTTTGATTTCAGGACAGTTCTTGTATTTTTAATATTTTTTTAAGAAAGTCTGAAAAATATATTTTGTATTTATTTATTATCTCTGAAACTATCAAAATATATTTACTTATATCTTAGGATTATATAAAGTGATCTGAAAAGAAGCCAAAAATGCAATAATATACAGGGTGTTCCGTTTAAAAAAATCATCCCGATCCACTCGCACTTTTTTGAGCCACCCTATAGAAGTTAAAATATTTTCCTGGAATGCATCCTAGAATTTCTTATCCCTTAATATTAATAATTTCAGTGTCACAGGCACACATATTCCTGATCTAAATGTAGGCGTATATTTGGCGGCCTAACTATCGGTCTTAATTGTATATTTTTTTAATTTTATATCAGAACTATATTTCAAAATGTTTTCAGGTGTATTAAAAAGAAAATTAAAATACCGATTTGGTTATCGGAACTGTAGGGTCTAGATTTTAACGTGTAAGACAGTGATGTAGACAGATTAAGGCAAAATCAAATGTATTAAAAAGAGATAAAAATTGGGTCAACGTCGACACATTTCTTCTATGCGATATTGCCGGATTTTGCATCAAAATTTCAAACCGCACAAGTAGGCGTTTACGAAAAATGTTGCATCTAGAGTTGGAACTTTATTTTTCACTATTAGTTCCTCATGTTACTACAGCTGTAATAAATTATATTTAGTTTAGATATATTATCATCATTTCAGTAGTATACATGAAAGTTTTTAAAATAGCTTATATTTTTCTACACACATTATCCTACAAACATAAAAACCGGCAACACTGTATGACGCTTTTGAGTTTGTCTCTCTGTCTGCCAACCGGTCATTTTTATTATTCTTTGTTACACGCATTAAAATCCAGACCACATAAATTGGATGACCAGCAGGGTATATCGAGTAGTGGAAAAAGCATATGTGATAAGACCCCTAAAATGCATTTTCAATTGCCAGTAAATAAATAGGCTGATAATAAAAATGACTTTTGACACCACTTGATTTTTGTAAGTGAACGGATATGTTTTGATAGGCAATATACCCCTTTACCTATTACTTTATGGATATTCCTAGATATAGTCATAAACCATACAGTACGTCTATCCGTTTTGTAGCTACGGGGCATCCGTAAGGGGGGAAACCTTTGAATAAGAAGAGTAAGGAAGGAGCATATCAAAAATCTTAGGTCCACTGCGATGGGCCTCAAATATGGCCGACTTAAATTCCGGTTTATCAGTGCCGTTCTAATTTTATTTAAAAAATGTAAAACTATGATGTAGGGTAGACGTGGGGTAGACTGAATATTTTTTTTATTTTACGTTGTCAATAAATGTTGGTAGTTATTAAAATTGTTGATAAAAATATAAAATTCTAATAAAAATAGATAAGTTATAATAATTATTTATAACCATAAACATCCGATACGCTACTGAAGCAGGTAAGTCAAATTGACGTATCTAAAATCTTTGACAAGTAGTAAATAAAAGCAAAAATGCAAGAAAAAATATATAATTAGTTAATTTAAGTAAATTTCATAAATGATCGGTTTACTACACTATGTGTGTATATTATATAGTCACTTACTAGCGAAAAGTTGTTCCATTATTTCACTCGATTTTTGCCGCGATCTACCGCACGCTACACAACCAACTATTTTAGAATCTTTTTCGATAAATCGCGATAGTGTCACTGTTAATTTAAGTTCTGCCACAATTTCCATCTAGATTTACTACCTTTATACAACTATCAGTAGTAGAATAAATAATAAATAACATAAAATAAGCTCCGTAAAGACTGACATATCAACAAAATTTCATATCAAATTCAAATATGTCAAATGAATCGTCAAACAGAACTGTCAAGGATCCCCACCCTAGAGTCCTTTTTCCGCCCACCATGCATGAATACAAGGATAGCATTATGCTTCTTCCTTAGGCTTCTTATTCAAAGGGGGAAACGATATTCTATCGATGTTTCTCGTTAAAAATTAGACAACGCGTCCGATCAATAAAAATTCGACAAATTTGCAAGTAGCCAATGAAATGAGTTGGCCGAGTGTTTTGCGGTGACATACTCAAGTCCACGTGGACTCTCTGCCGCTTCTATTTAGGTAGCGATTTATAAAATATATTGCTGATTGCTTATTTAAATGTTTTTTGTCTCCATTCCTTTCATAGACACAGATCCAGTGTATGCTGTGTTAAACATTTAATCCTTGTAATTTAATTTTAAGAAATTGGCTTGATAAGAACTAGGCATTTAAAATTTAGTTGGGAGTCTAAAAGTGTAAATACATTAGTATACCTTTCAACATTGAACGATGAAAGAACATTTTTATTTATGAAATGATTGAATTCTATATATTTATCTTTCAAGTTGTGTTGAATTAAAATTATTATTACTTATTGCAAGATTTATTTAGTCATATTATACAGGGTGAGTTTCCTACGATGTTCTCTATGGGTATCTCGGAAACTACTGGAGATAGAGAGTAGAGAGTCGGTTAAATGGGGAAAGATTTGCAGTTTTGTGGGGTCATAAATATTCGCCTTTCAGATTTTTGAAAAAGTTCATAGCTTACTAGATATTTCGAAAAAAACAAATTTCGGCTATTTTAAAAATTGTCTCTAATTCTAAAATAGCTTAGAATGGAATTAGGGACAATTTTTAAAATAGCCGATTTTTTTTTTCGAAATATCTAGTAAGCCATGAACTTTTTCAAAAATCTGAAAGGCGAATATTTATGACCCCACAAAACTGCAATTTTTTCCCTATTTAACCGACTCTCTATCTCCAGTAGTTTCCGAGATACCCATAGAGAACATAGTAGGAAACTCACCCTGTATATCGTTGGAAGGCAGACAAAATAATCGCGTCTGTGAACTGTCTTGGTTGTGTTTGAGTTTAAGTTGTAATATGTTCAGGATTAGGAATAGATTCTTTGTGAATGAATATGGTATCTGGATTATATTTTGGAATTTAGTATTTTTTTAATATAATATGTTTTCTATATATTAAATGAAAAATTGCTGCCATTTTACATCAAATTATAATATGAGAAAAATAGTGTGTCTCAAAAATATTTAGATTGTAAATTTCTTCCAGTTTTCCTTTTATATTTATTTAAATTATGTAACATTTGATACTAAATACCTATTAAGAAAATATTATATAAAAAACATAATTCATACAGCTTTAACAGTAAACAAAATTTTTTGGGTATCCAACCTTTAGTATTATATTTTTATTATATGACTAATACAAAGCTGTTTTTTTATTGTTGTATCTAATTTATATTACCTATTTAAGATACTTTTCCTAACAAAAAACGATGTATTTTGTATCTAAATTGTACAGAATAAGCTTTAACTTATGTTATTTTTGTCTATTAAACCAAATATATTATTATTTATGTTTTGTTTATAAGTTCTTGTGAATATGTTTAAAAAATAACTACTATAATAATAAAATAATTTCTGTATAAATGAGACATTTATTTCTGTAGAATATCACAAAATTATTATTTCCTAGCAGGCAAATATGACCTTTTTGTGAACTGACCAAAATCAATAGGATCTCCTACATTAATATAAGGAATATAACCCACATCATTCACTGACATTAATAATGATGGAGGTGTAGTCACAGAACTTAAAATCAAGTGACTTACATTGTCCAGTTCATCTAATGACTCTGGAGTTAATAAAACTAACGTATCATTTTGTAAATCAATCCCTCTCACAAACCCTAAAAATATATTGAAATGATATATACATATTGTTGTAAATTAACTATAATTACCATATCCATATGCATTGAATATTACTGGGTTGGAATTTAACAACGAACATAACATAACTAAATTCGCATTTACAGCTAAAGGTGATATGGTTTCACCCTCTGTATTTGTAATTGACAATGATGAAATATTGATGCTAAAAACAATATAAAAAAGGTTCAGTAAGAGTATTACAGAGTGACCCAACTTTCCAAAAAGCTCTATATATCTGATAGAGCTGAATGTTGGATCACGCTTTATAATTATTTAAAAAAAAAACTTACCAGTACATGTTAATTTCATGGCTATTTAAAAACTTAGTGCTGTGTTGCATCATTTTCCCCAAATAAGAAAGTATACATATTTCTCTACATTGCCTAGCCTCCAAAGACCATGCATCATTGTTTTCTGATAAGCTTTCTAGCGTAACATGTTTATAATTAAGTTTTACTCGAGGGTTAATAATATCTTTGCAAATAATTTCATTTTCATCTATATATTTTGTCACATTCTCTGATGTTAAGTTTATTTTGTAGTTTTTATAGGTAGTTTTACTTTTAATTTCTATAAGTAGACTGGGCTCAATAAGACATATAATATTTAGAGCAATATCAAAGCCAAATCCTGCTGTAAACCCTGGGAAATTTACTATAGTAGGCAAAGGTTGTAATTTTTCAGAAAATTTAATTATATGATCAACAGAGTACAAATATTTCTCAATATCATGCCCTATATTAATATGGCACATAATCATCCTAAAATAAAAGATATATTTATTATATGTTACACTTACTTTAGGAAAATCTTACTTTTCAGGCTTTTGAAGATGTGTATAATTGGGTCCTAATATGTCTGTTTGTACTGTAACAACTGAAATTGTACCTGGAGGTGTGAATTCAGACTGTCCAGAGTCCAAATCTATTACTCTCACTTTTCTAAATTTTTGTAACAATGTATTAACACTATATCTTAGAAAAGTGCTTTTTCCTACTCCTTTACCGCCTGAAACAATTATTTTTGACTTCTCAGTTACATCTTCAATCACCTCTTCCCAATAATCTGAAATTTTCAGTTTATTCCAAATTCCCTTAAAAGAAAAATCAATCCTAGGGCCTGATAAGTCTTCTGTAAATATTCTTTGTGAAATGTGACGTTCCAGAAACTCAATATAAGGTTCGTTTAATTCCTGACATAGTATAATAGAACTGTTTTCATTATATTCCTTAAAAGCATGACTTTCTGGTAGCAAATTTTCTTGTATACATTTGTTTAGTTCAATATTTTTCTCTGTGTACAAATTATATTTGTTCCTAATAAACAGTAGAGATGAACCCCTTGGGGAATAGACCTTTCTCGATCCAGAAAGTTTATTTAGTGTCATTCCAAAAATATCAATCTCCCCATTAACTACCTTGATTGTACATAATCCATGAAAATATGTTTGACAACCTGGATTTAAAATGATTATCTTGTTATTATCTAAAAGTTTTATAAAATCGGTAGGAGGTTCTTGAGACTCAGAAGATATAATATTGGTAGTATATTTTTCATTATTGGCATATTGATTGTTTTCTTCTACATTATCAGAATCATTTGCATAACTATTATCATATCTTTTTACTTTTGTATCCTTAATTTTCTTGTTTTGATTTTTATGTTTACCTAGATTCTGAGTAGCATATCTTTCATCAATATTGTCATACTGAATACTTTTTTCCACATTTAAGGATTCATTTACATAACTATTGTCATTTAAGAGATCTACTGAATCACTCATTATAACCTTTTCTCGTCTTTTAAATTTTGAATCCTTAATATTCTTGTTTTGATTTCTACGTTTACCTCTATTCTGATTAAACTTTTCATTGTCTACTGTACATTCTACATCAAAGTCATCAGCTTTAGTTATGTTAAAATGTTTTTGAGGAATATCTAACATTAAATATTGTTGGATTTGAGTTTCGTTAGGTGAATAACTAAACTGTGTGGAAAATTTATTAAATTTCAATCCTTTCACACTTACACATTCATCATCATAAAAGTCATGTACGGATGAACTAGATAATTCCAAAGATTTCATAGAATTTATACTTTTACTTGCTTTTTTAACTGCAATTTTCTGGTCATTATGTATGTTATTTAAAGAATAATTAGTTATTGTATCAGGGGTAATATTACTGACTGGAATTTCATGCCATATTAATTCTGGTGCTTCCCTTCTTTTCTGCTTTAAGTTACTTTTAACATGGACTTTACATATCTTTTTATTAGTAGTAATAAAAGAATCATCTACAGTTTTTCGTTTTTTACTTGGTAGTTTAATCTCAGTTACTTTATAATTCTCAGTAACTTCCGTTTTTGTAGGGCTTAATTTCATCGATTCTTGGGATGTAAAATAAAAATTATGTGGTTTATTTATCGTTTTAACAGAAAAAGGTTTGTGTTTTCCAAGATCCTGTTGCATTTTAGATGAACCATTTTTAGTTTTCCGTTTAATAAGTGTTTTATTTACAATTTTTGAATCACTAATATGATTTACTTCAATATTATGGGACGTATGACGTTGTATCCTTGATTTTGCTTTAAAAATGCCTTTCTTATTTCTAAAATGTGGATCTATAACATTTTTTGATATTCCTTCCTGCATAGAATCTATCGTTTGGCGACCTTCATTTTTTGAAACCTCTTGTTTCTTGGAATATAGAGCATTTCTTACTAATTGCAAATAATTTTCATTGGATTTTTTCATGATTTTAATTTAAAACACTTTAAAATGCTTCATTTATCGAGCAATTTAATTTTCATTAATATTAGGTTAAGTTATTGTGACGGACTGGCTCTTCTCTTTTAAAAGGAGACTAGGCAGGTCAATAGGTAGGTGAAAAAGTAATATATAAAAAGTTGTATATGATAACATAGTACCAGATCTTGGTTTACGGATCTCTTCTATTTCTGCGAACTTTTTATTGTATGAACCTAAACCAAACCTAAACTGTGGACATAGGTTTTTATGTTTTCATAAAATATAGTTGTAGAACACCTATATTGTAAAAAAATCGATTTTAACAAATAAAGAAGTTTATTACGACAAAGTTCTTTACTCACCATCCTTGAAACTTGAAAACGACTGCATTCATAAATTTGAGCGGAAGAATCGATAACGATAAGAAGAGAAATATTTCTCCGAATTAACCTCAATCTGCCTCAATATTGTCTTGCTCGTTTCCGGATCCGGATTTTTAATTTTTCAGTTATTTCTTATTCTAATCCCAAATATTAAAAAAGCCTTTAAAAAGTAAGAGAAAATGTCGGTGTGGAAAAAAGCTGCTAAAGCACACCAAAAGGTTCACAAGGAAAGACATCAACCTGAAGAGAGGAAACATTTAGGATTGTTAGAAAAACATAAAGATTACCAGAAACGAGCTAAGGATTACAATGAAAAGAAAGAAACTCTAAAGATTTTGAAAAAGAGAGCATTAAATAAAAACCCTGATGAATTTTACCATCATATGATAAATTCGAAAGTTGAAAATGGTATGTGTAGTTTTATAAACTGATTTGAAATAGAAATATCATCGATTCATGCTAAGTGTGCTATAATTTGTAGGTATTCATTTTGAAAAAGAAACAGAATCTGAAGACACACCTGAACAAACACAATTAATGCGTACACAGGATCTAAAATACATTGTTACAAAAAGGACACAAGAGCAAAGAAAAATAGAAAAATTACAAGCACAACTCCATTTAACTAGCGTTGATCATAATGCAAAAAATCAACATATCTACTTTGATAAAGGAAAATCAAAAGTGCAAGTGGAAAAAGAATGCTTGGAAAAATTAGGTGGCCAAGAACTTCCAGAGATTGATCCTGAAATTTTACAAGTAAATATGCTAAACAAAGTTTATTTCTAATATAAGGTACAGGGTGTTATTTAAGTGCATAGCCAAACTTAAGGTGTGAAAGCGGACTAATGATGCAAAATTTAAAATATTTTAATTATGTTCTAGAAATCCTCAAGAAAACGACAGAGCGTATATAATGAGTTATCTAAAAGAATACAAAGAGAGAAAGAACTAGCCATAATCCAAAGAAAAATTGAAATTTCAAAAGCAGTGGAGAATAAAAAGAATTCCATACCACCCAAAAGATTGAAGAAAGGAAAGAAATATAAGGCACCGGTATATGTCTGGAAATATGAAAGAAAAAAATAATTGCTAGGTTTTATTAGTTAAGAAAATTGTTCGGAAAGTACAGGATCATCAGATTTAACGTTACAATTTATATTTTTTCCTACAACTTCATCAAATAACAGTCCATCTAATCCTTTAGGATAAGACACTTTTATTTTCAGATCATCTTTTTTTAGTTTATGTCCCTTGCTAAAATCAAATGCATATACTAAACTTTTTCCTAATTTTTCATAGCAGGACAATTCACAGTTTTGTATTTGTTTTATCGAGTCTCCCATTGCCAGTTCTATTGACCTTATTTGATCTATCAATTGTTTCAATTCGGGTGGTTCTAAAGAGCAATTATGATCGGACCCTTTCTGTTTTTTATCAAGAGTAATATGCCTTTCTATTATCTAAAAATAACAAAAGTTCAATAAAATTGTTTAATGTTACAGTAGTTTTGATACCAACATTACCTTTGCCCCTATTGCTACAGCACATACAGTAGGCTGTATTCCAATTTCGTGTCCTGAATATCCTATTACAATATCGGGAAATTCTTTGATATATGCATTTAGAACATTTAAATTAATGTTTTCGTAAGGAGTCGGATAGGCAGATACACAATGTAAAAGTGCAAAATTGTTATGATACTTTGACACCAAATCATATATACGTTTAACAGTATCAAAATTTATCATGCCTAAAATAACATGAAAGCAAAGAATAACATTTCAAAAGATGAATAAACAGGGTATGTGAAAAGGTTTGTAAGAAACGGGGTTTTTTTATTATTGAGTTTCCATTCTTTGATATATGCATTTAGAACATTTAAATTAATGTTTTCGTAAGGAGTCGGATAGGCAGATATACAATGTAAAAGTGCAAAATTGTTATGATACTTTGACACCAAATCATATATACGTTTAACAGTATCAAAATTTATCATGCCTAAAATAACATGAAAGCAAATAATACAAAGAATAACATTTCAAAAGATGAATAAACAGGGTATGTGAAAAGGTTTGTAAGAAACGGGGTTTTTTTATTATTGAGTTTCTAAAAAAGTTCTTCAGCTTGCCTGATAACTCAAAAAATCTGTGTGGGTTTATGTTTTTATTGATTTTATATACAATTTTATTGGTTTATTTCAAGCGCATGACCGATGCTTTTTTATTTTTTTACAGCTGTTTTAATTTTTTTTTAAATAGCTGTAAATATGTAATAGCAATCAAAATACGCTGTAGACGTGTTTTGATTGCGTTAGTTAGTCTCTGGGGTAAGTTTTTTTTTCTTTAGATTGCACACGAAATACCCGACCGATTGTCGTTTATGCGCGTGCAAAACTGCGAAATTAAGGGACAACAAACGGCAACGTTGGGTATGGTAGTTGACTAGTGGGACGTAGAAGCTAGTTGATGTACAGGGTGGCGGCCTCTCATACGCCGCGGAAAACGGTAGTTTATATGGAAATGAAATTTTGGCAGCGTATGTAGATTAACTGAAAGCATTTTATAAAAAATATATAGAATTATACAGGGTGTCCCTAAAAAAAGTTACACATCAAAGTTGTGTTTTTTTCTAATGGAACGCCCTATATATTAATTGATTTTCGGATTCTAGGAAAAAAATAAAGGTGAGTTTTATTAAAGAAGCATATACCTAAAATCTAAGGATTTTGACATATTTCACATTTTGTGGAAATGAAGAGTAAATTTTAAATTTCGATAACAGCTACCTAAATTTTAGTTGACCTTGTATAGCCTGATATTTAATTTTTATAGTATGTTAAACCGGTGTTCCGGTGTTCAATGGGAAATTTCCGGTGTTCAATGGGAAATATATATGTATATCATCAATATATTATTAAGGTTACCTACCCCTCAGACAAAGATTTTCCCAGATATTTTAATTTATCATTTTGCGTCAGTAAATCTTTAACATTTGAAAAAGTCTAGGTGGCTGTGTGATATACCTTTTGTTAATTTAACAAAAATTAAAGATTGTAATGTAAAATAGGACTGACCGTGTCTCGAATGAACGAGTTCTAAACCAAATGAACAAGGACCGAGAACTCCTCGACATAATAAAAAAGAGGAAAGCAGCCAACCAAACCAAACCAAACCAAACTCCTCGACATAATAAAAAAGAGGAAAGCAGCCTATTTGGGCCATATCATGAGACATAGCAAGTATGAATTCCTTCAGCTCATCATCGAGGGTAAAATTGAGGGAAAGCGCGGACCCGGACGACGGCAATGCTCCTGGCTGAAGAACATCAGAGATTGGACAGGCCTGGACTCACATACTTTGCTGAGAAGAGCGAAAAATAGAGAGGAATTTGCCATGGTTGTTGCCGATCTTCACTGAATGGAGAAGGCACTTTAAGAAGAAGAAGAATGTAAAATACTCCAGGGTATAAAAAATACAGTTTAAAACATATTTTAATTATTACAGAATTAAAACTAGATATATACCTATAATTATGGGACAAAAATTAGCTAGATGAAATCAAATGCTCAAAATGCTTCCGCTCCTGTTAACTGCATAAAATAATTGTCTTTTCAAAAGTCGTAATTCTTTTCATTTTAAAAGGCATATGTGGAGTTCTACCTCGAAAAGCAGCTACAATAATTTCTCTCATGTTATCGACACTAGTTGGTCGAGTTTTGTAAACACTGTCTTAACATATCCCCATAAAAACCAGACTAGATAAAATCAGGAGCATTTAAGTATTCTATTAATTGGTGAATGCACACTGCATTCACCAACATGACATGACATGGTTTTGTAACTAACAGAATCATATCAATTTTCTCTGATGTAGGATAAGTTTGCATTTTCGGCAAATTTCTGAGAAATATGTTTTTTGTCAAGCTAGTTGTTAAAGTTGGTCTATATATCCTTGAGTAGGAGTAATTAGACGGCTATGTTGAAGTAACGTCAGGCATATCCCAACCACCCTAGATTTTATCAAATAATAAAGATCTACTCAGATCAAATCATGTAAATAAAAATATCTAGGAAAATCTTTGTTTGAGGGGTAGGCAACCTTAACAGTATTTTGAAGAGACATCAATTCTCCATTGAATATCGGAATAATATACTGAGTGTTCCATTTAAAATAAGAGAGTAACATGCTTTTAAAAAGGTGACCAATGTTCAATATTATTTTCTTCTCACCCTGTATAACTTTTTGGATCAAGTTTTAATTTTATTTAACGTACAATAGTTAATTTAACTGCATATTAGGCTATACCTGGTAAATTCCAATTTAGGTAGCTTTCATTGTAATTTAAAAATGTTTCTTTATTTCTAGAAAATGTTAAATATGTCAAAAACCTTACATTTTAGTCATATACTTCTCTTATAAAACTCACCTTTATTTTTCTCCCAGAATCAGAAAAGGTGTTCAATTACAAAAAACACAATTTTGATATGTAATTTTTTTTGGAGATACCCTGTAGAACTCTATATTTTTAAAAAGTGCTCTGAATTAACCTACACATGCTCACAAAATTTCATTTCAATACAAACTGTCGTTCTCCTTGGAGTCTCCGCGGCGTATGAGAGGCGCCACCCTGTATATTATTAGTTATAACCTTTGTTATAACTAAGCATAAATAATTACCAGTAGAAATAACAAGAGGTATTCCAGTCAAAGCTGCTTGCTCAATTAAAAGTAAATTATTTGAATCTCCCGATCCAATCTTTATAAATGGTACCGTAATTTCTTTTAGAAAGTTCAAAGATTCTGGATCCATTGCTGATGCAGTTAATAATATGTTTATTTCCTAAAATATATAATAAATACAAACACTGTTTTTAACTAACTAGATTTTTCTTACCTGTGCATAATTTTGGAGTTCAATGAATTCCTCATGAGAAAATTCTAAGTAAGCTTTATGTGCCCCATATGTATCTCCCCAAGAGTTTACAGATTTATAAGGCCTATTAAGACCTGATACAGTAAACTTTTCTGTCAGACATGTTTTTTGAAATTTAGCACAGTCTGCTCCACATTCCTTTCAACAAAATCCCTTTTATTTATATTTAAAAATGTATATAATTTACCTTTGCTATTTTGATAAGTTCTTTTGCAATGTTAATATCACCCTGATGATTCTGACCAATTTCAGCTATAACAAATGTTTTATTTGTTTCCCTTAATTTGTGCATAAAATTCATTTTAAAGCTAGCTTAACTGTATTACTAAGTCGGCCACACCCCTATAACCAAATGTACCATGATGAATACTAATTGGTTTCAATTGAATACATGAAAAATAAAATCAACGAGTTTGTATTAAGAGAGTACGTCATTTATACGTGTGTCTAAGAATATTGAAGAAATCTTAGATTTCGATCGAAGTTTATAAGATCTAAGTAAAAAAACGGTCGCTTTATTTATTTATATAAAAATATTGATTTATCTAAATCGAGCAACCAGCGAGCCGCCATGCGCCAGCTCAAGGAAGGCAATGGCAAACCACCGTATATTTGCCTTGTACAGCCTCTCAAACAGTGCCGTTAGGATTCGGCGATAAACTGTAGATTGCTGTAGATACTCTGTACTTGTGAAATTTCTTATTGCTGCCGTAGAGAGCACTGCGGTCGGAATTTTTTGAAATAAACTGATAGCACCAAGCCTATAGAGTATGGCACTGTAAGAAGAAGAAGTAAAAATACACAGATACGAACACTAAAAGAAAATAATTTTTATAGCATTTTTTTATTGTTGGCCTAATACAATACACAATACACGACATAATATTTTTAATAATGAGATCAGTTAAGAAAACCTATCTATTCTTATCTATGTTTATATATTAAACGATTTTAATTAAAACTTAAAACTATTATAAAATCACTTAAAATATATAATAAAAAAATATATAAAATTTGAATTCTAGTACTAATCGAACTATTACATATTTTAAAACTAAATAACTCACTCTTGTGTATTTTATACGGAGTATTTCACCAGAAACTTCCTCAATTACAAAATATATTCAGGAAAAGTCGCTGAAAAATTGAGACAGTAGTAAGCAAAAGCCGCTAAGGACAATTGAAAACTTGAAGTTAATAATGTTCTAAGTGCCAAAAATGCGGTAAACATGTGACGGTGACAGTTGTATGTACGTCATTTTAATTCAAAAGTAGTTTTTTTAAGCAAGTTACACATAAAGGTGTTTCAAACATAGGGGTCCCTCGGGGGTTACGTTTCTTGAAAACACTGTGTAAAACGAATCCGCGTATATTGAAACAAACTTTTTATTACGTAAAATATACAGGGCGAGTCTTAAATATGTGCAAATATTTTTAGGGGCGGTATATTTCGACCCAAGAAACATGGCTATGACGTTCTTTTCACGAAAAAAAAAAAGAAAATTTTGCACTTCTCGCACGATTTTTTTTTAAATTTTTTAAAAAATAGTCATAAAAAAACATAGGTAGTATAATAAATTTAGAGGAAAAAAGAAAAAAAAATTCTAATTTATAAGAGAAAGGCAGCAAAGAAGACATCAGAAACTATAGACCAATAAGCCTACTTACCAGTAACATACAAGATATTTCGAAAAATAATAAACAACAGAATACAAAACACGCTAGACGCTGCACAACCGCGAGAACAAGCAGACTTTAGAAGCGGATTCCCTCACGACTGATCACATACATACACTAAGAGGAACTATCAACCGAACAAAAGAATACGAACTTCCACTTTTTTTCCAAGTCTTTATCGACTTTGAGAAGGCTTTCGACTCGATATATCCTAAGGCAATAATAGAAGCCCTAGCGAAACAAGGTATTGACAGGCCTTATTTAGAAACTCTCGCCAATATATACAAAGAAGCCAAAGCAAGAGTAATGATATATAAAACAACCCCAGAGTTCCCCACTGGGAAAGGAGTATGACATGTAGACGCGACATCCACAAAGCTGTTTACAGCACCACTTGAAGAAATCTTTCGACATCCGGACTGGACCGACAAAGGATAAATATAGATGGAGAATATCCTAACCATCTAAGATTCGCTGACGACATAGTCCTAATTGCCAATAGTCCTGAAGAACTACAAGCACAAATTAATGAACTAAATACAGCCAGCAATAAAGTGGGTCTCAAAATGCATATAGCAAAAACTAAAGTAATGTACAACGAAAAGAAAAGACATTCTAATAAATAACATAACACTGGAAATAGTAGAAGAATATACATATTTGGAACAACTAATACACAGCCCGGGATTTCTATTACCAGAAATAAACAGAAGAATTAAGTTAGCATGGAGTACTTATGGAAGAAATTCATATTCAAATCTAAAATGCCACTTTCATCTAAAGAAGAAAACATTCTACCAATGTGTACTACCAGTCATGACTTATGCATGCAAAACCTGGACGCTTAAAACGGACATACATAAGGAAACTGCAGGTCACACAACGCTCAATGGAAAGAAATATGTGGGGAATAACCAAGAGAGACCGTAAAAGAATACAGTGGATATGACAAAAGACCTAGGTAATAGATGTCATCCACAGAGTCAAATCCCTCAAATGGCAATGCGCAGGACACCAGGCAAGGACGACGATGGACCATGATAGGACAACAGAGGACAATAAAAATTACAGCATGGTACCCACGAGGAATTAAGAGACCTAGAAGAATACCGAACCTGAGATGGGACCATGATATTAGGAAATTAGCAGGGATAACTTAGGCCCGCATAGTCAACAATAGACAACAATGGGCCCAACTACAAAGAGAGTATCTAAATATGTGAGGGATGCTACACCATAATTGGAAATGGTTGAATAAGTTGAAAGTGATGATGATGGTGATGATAAGTGAACTTTATAAAAAAGGAACTTCTGTATTTGAAATTTACCAATTGAAGCCCATATTGTGTTCCATTTAAAGCTCATTTTATTCAAAGGTTCCAACATACATACCGCACTTATTATTTTAATAATAAGCGAAGTATTTTAGACGAATTGATCGCAGTGAGTTTTATAGTCTCAAATTTTCACACTTCTCCCTAAAGATGGCTTCTGTTACTACCTTAGATCTTATAATCTTCGTAGATAAGTAAATTCGCTTCATTTTTGTTAAAGACACATCAGAGATAGTTAACTATCTGATTGTCTTTGTCTATCATACTGATGGCTAACCAATAGTCTGTCTTTCTTTTGTATTTTTTTTCTAAATTACCATTGTATGATTTTATTTTTACTTAAAATTTATATAAAAGGTATACCTATTCAAATACTACAACAAATATTCTTCAAAATAATAAATTAGTGACGGGAAAAACCGATTAATTTCAATAATCGAGTAGGTACTCGAGCGAAATTTCGCTTTTATTAAAAAATACGGTTTTTCGCCCGTCGCTTGTTATACTCGCAACAAGCAGTTGTAAGCAGTAAGTTGCGTGCGCAGAGTACATATTCTTTCGGTGATGAATGGCAAGTGGCAAGTAGTAAGCTACGACCGACGAGTAATTCGCTTGATTTAGTTTAGTTTACAGCATTGTCGATAGTTTACAGCAGGTCGTAAAATTTTGTCACTCAGATACGCAACGGATAATATTGTTGCGGACCCGTGTGACCTCGGCCTTAGACCTGGCCACTCGGCTATGACTCATACGCCCGGCGATGTTCGAGAACGAATAAGAAGCTGGTGAGACGAAGAACGCCGCTAAGAATTTTCGAAACAAATCTGGATTGTCTGTTTCGCTCATATATAAGCCGGCGCCTGAAGCCTGAGGAGGACAGAGAAAAACAACCGGTCGACGCGTACAGTTACAATCGCCGCGCTAAATTCAAAATAAATTCTTTCTAGATAAATAGTTATAAATCGTTTGTAAATAGTTCTTTAAGTCTTTTATCGTTATTGTTTTTGTTAATTAGTGTTAAATAAATTGTGACTTTCTATCCACACGGAACCGACGAAAAACGTAACAATATATAAATTTGCTACCTACAATGTATGTAGAAAATTCGCTTGGCTTTGTATTGAGTATGTCACATTAAAATCGGATTTCAATTTATTTCATTCTAGGATCCTTTGCGTTCGTCACTCGTAACTCGTCACTTGCATCGCCCGTTCATAATCGAGCGATGTGGGTTATTTGAATAATCGAGTACTCGACCGAATTTTCGCTCGAGTTCTCCCATCACTATAATAAATACATGTATCAGTTATAACTTGATTAAAACTTTTTAATGGTTCATATTTTTAGTAATATTTGTCAACGCAGCGAAAAACCGCTGGCATTGTTGGCATCGTTGGCATTCACGCCCAATATCGTTCTGCGCATGCTCAATGCTCAGTAGCATATGCAGAGAGAAGGATATGCTTATACGATAATCTTATTCTAGAAAGAAATAAGTAGAAAAATGCATGTTAAAGTCCCGTAAACAAAGTCGTATGTAATATACAAACATAATGCATAGCTTTATCCAAGAAGTTTATAAGATCTAAGGTTATACTACTCAATTACTAAATGTGGTTTATACCAATCGAAGTATATCCTGGCAGAATGTATATTTTCGATACAAATTTACCTGGATTGAAAAAATATAAAATATTAATTCTGTAAAATATATACAAGGTTTTCGTTTGTTAAAAACTTTTTTTTAGAATGTAATTTAGATACAAATCTATCATAGTTTAAAACGTTCAAAAGTGCACCCTAATAGTTTAGTCGTTTAATAAGTGGCTACAATTGGCTAATTTTAAATAGAAACTTCTAAATATTTTATGCTTTTTGGATTCTAAAGTTTGTACAGGGTGGGTCAAATTGGACACTTTTAAAGGGAAACAGCCTTTTCTATAGGAGATAGACGAAAACTATCGGTGTCTGTAGCTCAATTTTTATCAAAAACATTATGGTAAAAACCGCCCATCGATATCTGTTACCGTTTCGGAGTTACTGGGTGTTTTCCAAAATGTGCATTTTTAACAAATCGCTGTAACTTTTTTGCTATGGAAAATTTTGTATTTTTGTAACATCTCGAAAGCACCTTTTTACGTAGAATTTAATGGTTTAAGTATAATTTTTTTAAATTAATAATTTAAGACTTTAACTTAAAATTACCAACGATCCGAGCGTTATACACCATGTGCGTTTAGAACTTCATATAAAATCCAAAAAGCCTGAAATATTCAGGTAGTTCTATACAAAATTAAACCAAACTTATTACACAAATCTAATATATTTTCTTCCCTCTACCCATCGGTATAAAAATCATTCTCCAGCCGTTACTGTGTTTAGATATTGATGATATATCTTATTTTAATGCTCAATTCACAGTTTTCAATGATTGAAGAGAAGTACTTAAAAACGTATGCCAAATACTTCTCTGAACTTGAAGTACTGTACTTCAAATTCTGTTTATTTTGAGGTATTATTGGTAAACACATAGAATTATAAATTACTAAATTCAAAAATACGTCTTTGAGTCTTAAAATTAACTAGTCAAATAAGTGTATTGTTTTTTTATAATCTTAAATTGTGTTATTATATGTTTTTTATAAGTACTTATACTCAGTAGTTTTTGACAATTCTTTTTACATGAAAATTTAGGTTTGAGGGAAAAATTATAAATACTGACAGGTAACACACTTATTTATCCTAAATACAATATAATACTACGCAAAAATATAAGATTTTTAAAGGTTTTAAAAATTGCGTTTTTCAAATGCAACATCAACATACACTTAATTGACATAAAGTACAGGGTGTACTATTTTTGTGTGTTTTACGGGGTTTCTCGATTGTGAGTAAAGATATATACAGGGTGTCCCAGAAATAAATCCAAGTATTTTAAGGGGTGGTAGATCTCGATAAAAGAAACATATTTTCTCTTTATCGTTTTTCAAATAAGTCCAAAATAACGGAGTTATTTTACTTCAAAAAAGTCCAAAAAAAAATATTTTTTTGCCAAAATTTTGAAAACCACCGGATCTTTTCTGGATTTTCTTTCTTGTAACTAATGTACTACCTATGTAGCCATATTTTCAAGAAATTATGTTTTTAACTAAAAACTAAAAAAATTTCCAATTTTCAAAATTTTTTTTTCGCGAAAAAAACTCATGGGCGTGTTTCTGGGGTTGAACTATACTACCAGTTAAAATACTTGCACTTATTTCTGGGACACCCTGTATACAGGGTGTTCCGATATTTCGTGGACGTAGAGCTACTACGTATTTTTGGAATCAAAATAAGTTCATTGGATACAATTTACCTCAATACTAAAGTGCTTCATTTCTCCACTAGGGGGCATTACACAAAAAATAAACACATTTTTTCAGATATTTAAGAACCGTTATTCCAGTTTGAATGAGATTTCGGGTGTCAATGTTTTGCTAAGTGCTCTAACATTTGACTTTCACAAAATTGAAGAAAACGTGTGGGAAGTGTGAAAACTACCACCACTCCTACGGCTCCACCCATAGCCGAATTCTTTTCGTAAAATAAAATGGTCCCTCTAGTATTTACTACATTTTTTGCCTCTTGTAAAAAACGCTACCGTGCATACATTTTAAAGAAAAAAAATATTTTTCCAAAGCTGACATCCAAAAAATGTTTTTTGTCACATCAAGTTATGGAGGCGCATAAAATCTATTATGCTCTAATAATCTAGTTGGCGAAAATATGGAATTTTATGTTAAAATCACAAATTATATTTGACGATAAGCTTCTAAAAAGCTTAAAAAAAAATAATACAATTTTGAAATGCAAAATTTTCAAATTCTCTGATCTGTATTTCCGGAACTAAGCTGGCTAGGACAAATATGTGTGTAGCATCTTTAGTTTCACAAAAAGTAGCACTTTTTAAGCCGCATCTTTGTATCCCTACTCACAAACGAGAAACTCCGTAAAACATACGGAAATGAGACACCCTGGACATTACTGTAGAGCTAACGGTGTTTATAATAACCAACTGATTTGAAAAATTGTTCAAATATTACTCATCTACATTTATACCGCACTTAGGACATACTTAGGACTTAGGACTTTTTAGATCACAAACTTTATTTTCTTCGCAAACATTTTCAAAAGCGTTGTTCTCGTGAGCAGTTGTATCGGTATCATTAACCCCGCCTGATGAGCTTGGTGTTGGAGTCATATGACTTGATTGAGAAATATTTCTTACTACGTTACTGTCTGCCGATTCAATTCTCAAACTATTTGAATTTGATTGGATTATGGCTTTTTGCGTATCCACATCTTCTTCTTCCAATGGAGAATTTTTAAATAAACCTTTAAGTTGTCCTACAGTTACATTACTTATTTCCCATCCAGAAGCGTTTGAACTTGTGGCTTCGTGTAAAGACTCTTCTACGGTGTTGCGAACTAAAAACTTGTGAACAACTGTTGGCCTAAAATGACAAAAATACAATAACTACGTACTTAGTAAACATTAGGGTTTCCGGAACCGGAGCTGTTTTTCGGAACCGGGAATCAAAATTATGATTTTGATTCCTTGATTTTTTAAATAATACATAGGATTCAATTTAAAATAACGAAGATTTAAGCAATAATTGTATAAGAAACAGAAATCATTTTTTTACGTCCTTGTATTAGAGTTACATTTTATATATACAGAAACCAAAAAAAGAATAATACTAACTTTGTTTGACCAATGCGGTGGATTCGTCCTATAGCCTGTAATTCATCAGCTGGATTCAATACTGGCTCTAATAAAATTACATGAGTAGCTTCAGTTAAATTCAATCCTTTAGCGCCTAACCTAAACGGCAATAGTAATACTGTAATTTTTTTAAGCGGGTCCTAAAAATATTAGAAGTATTATTATATGTACACTGTACACATATGTTACAGTTAAAGTTGGAAATCAGTGATTATTAACAATTACTAGTAAAAGCTCACATTCACTGATTTGCTAAGATTACGTCAGTAAAAGCTCAACAGCTATTTTTGAAACCAACTTTTACTAGTGAATGCAAGCATTCCCTGGATGATAGCAGTGAGTTTGAAAGATTCATTTACCACGGTTGCCACATGTTGTAAAATATAAGGATAAATAAGGATAAGTTGAATAATAGGCAATATAAGGATAACATTAAATTGGGCTAAACGTTGGCAACGTTGACAGATATCTGGCGTAAATTCGCTTTTTTTTTTTGTGGTTATGTATAATTGTTTTGTTATCGTTGTAAAAAGTGCTGTGCGGTATTTTCTAGTGATGGGAAAAACCGATTAATTTCAATAATCGAGTACTCACGATTCAAGCGATTGCAATAACCGAGTGATCGCTCCAGCGAAATATCACTCGTATTTAAAAATACGGTTTTTCGCCCGTCGCTTGTTGTAACTAGGTACTCGTTAACGCCAAGCGCCAAGTAGTAAGTTGCGTGCGCAGGGCACATATTCTTTCGGTGATGAATGGCAAGTAGCAAGCAACGAGCGATTCGCTTGATCGCTTGATTTAGTTTATTTCAAAGCATTGTCGATGTAGGTCGTAAAATTTTGTCCCTCAGATACGCAACGGATAAATATATATACGGCGTCGTATAAATTTGCTACCTGCAATGTATGTAGAAAATTCGCTCGGCTTTTTATCGAGTATGTCACATTAAAATGGGATTTCAATTTATTTCATTCTAGAATCGCTTGTGTTCGTCACTTGTAACTCGTCACTTGTATCGCTCGTTCATAATCGAGCGATGTCGGTTATTTCAATAATTGAGTACTCGAGCGAATTTTCGCTCGAGTTATCCCATCACTAGTACCGTATGATCGAAAAAAAAACAGCGTCCAGTTGGCTTGGAAATGACGATCGATGACACATTTCCCATATAATTTTACATATAAAATGACAGCGATCTTCATTTCATAGCCATCGTTGACGCCGTTTTTATTCGATCATACGGTATTTTCCCTATGGAAAAAAAATTATGTGAAAAATTAAGTTAAACTAGGCACTCGTAAGAATATAATAGTGCTTGTTTTTCATTTTTGCAATATAATGAAGTCATAGCAAGAGTTAAGCATGCAAGAGAAAAATATATTTTAAGGAACCTAGTGACTATGAACTTATTAAACGTTGAAGAAAATTCGGGCATACTCTATTTTGTCCACGATGAAGAACTTTATTAAAAAAACTTTGTACCAATAAGGAGTCTTATGTTTATGCATGTTTTTTTACTTGTTTTGTACGCTTTAAAACGTTTACTATGTTTTCCCTTTTAACATTTAGAAGGTTACGTCGTTATTTTCTATTATTTTTAATAAATATACTAACGAAGGAAATTGTAATTTTAAGATATGTGGATCACCTTGAATATTGACGTGATCCACACTATTGAGGTGATCCAATATTCTTAGAAGTTTTATTGTGCTAACTTCCACCAACATTCTTCTTCGTCACACTCGCCCTGTGCCAAATAATTTACTGTCAACCTTTAGCAAATGTTACTTTCGCTATAGTGAATGTTAGAAATTATTAGGAAAAGTCGACAAATCTCTTTAAAATACCACATTCATTGGTCCAATGCCTAATTGCTAGCATTTCCTAGTGAATGTTAACAATCACTGAATTTCCAACTTTGACTGTAATATATATACTTTTTAATAGGATGTAAAAGTCTACCTTAAAACTCTCTATTCGATTTTCGAAACTACTGCTTGAATCTATCAATTCCGCTTCAATGTCATTCCGTTCCAAAGCTTTCTTTAATAAATTCAGTACAATCGACCATGTGGAAAATAGTATCACCTTAAAATAAATATACCCTTAATTAATACTGTTTATAAAATAGTATCTTTAAATACTTTAACATGAGGATTTGTGCTTCTCAGCGATAACAAAAGTCTAACGACATCTTCCACTTTTCTAGAGTAGTCGCCGATAACGTCTCCAACGTTATCTTGTGGTCCAGTTGCGCCTCTGATGTACGCTACTTCTTGAATGTTTTGCTTAGATCGACAAATGCAGCATCGTATTATTTCCCTTGCCTACAAATTATATACAGATATTGGATTAGATATTCCAATAACAGAACAGGAAATAAAGGCATCCATAAAACAGCTTAAAAACAACAAATCAGCTGGCTGTGACGCGATTCCAGCGGAAATCTATAAGTGTACAAGTAAAGAACTTATTGGTCATCTTAAGGCTCCCTTCGATGTCATATGGGAAAGCGGAGAGGTACCTCAGAAATTTTCAGTCGCAACGTGAATATATCGAATATCCAGAGTAGTATCCATATAGTGTCCAGAGTGCGGAAGAGAGATAACATCACGTATCGGGCTTTTCAGTCACAAAAAAGCTCATGAAAGAAAACGCCTTGCGTAACCATCTTCTGATGCGTGTCAAATACTCGTCAGCGAGTAATGGCAGTAAGTAAGTAATATACAGATATAAATTCTTTTAGATATTTCATTAGTAGCTCGTTTAAAACTTCAGTTGGTGTAAAAATGTATAACAAATCACCCACGCTTTTTGTATGTTACATCTACTGGAGCCGTTCGATATACAATGAATCTAATGGGACTAGCACTACGTTTCAACCGCCTATTACTACCTCAGGATTGTGAATCCCAAGTACTCAATTAAGGCGTAAAAATTGTAAAATTCATAAAATTTTACAGAGAATTTAAGTTTTGCAATAAAAAATGGGGGTACCCATTTAAAATAAAAAAGTTGTAAGTGTCCCCATATGGAAAATATTTTTAATCGATAGATCTAGTTCTAAATCAATGATGTACAAAAAATCTCCGATTTAAATATTGTAGTTCTCTAGAAACTTGTAATGCACGCTCAGCCTGGGACACCCTGTATATGGTAATCGCAAAACAATTTCCGATGCACGTGCTCAACTTTGAGTGACATGCGATGGCGACAGCGCTGCCAGATTGTGATGAATTTATGAGATGGATCTTAATTTAAAAGTGACAAACAATATATTTATTATATCATTTTTTTAATTTTTCTGGTGGGTTCATACAGCCAAATAAAATAAAATAAGAATAAAATAAAATAAAATAAGAAAGTTGGTTATATGGGATACCGTACATGCGTTCATACAGCCAAATAAAATAACAAATAAAATAAAAAGTCTTTATCTTTTAACTTCTTGTTTTATTTTATGTGAAAACGGCTTTGCGCACGCTTAATTCTAACCTACAAATATTTTCAGTTTGGATTTAATTTATTTTTTAATTTCACATAAGTAAAATGTATAATATAGTAGGCAACGAATAAATAAATATACTATAAATAGTAAAATTACTATAAACAATCGTAAAAGTTAACTTTTATCCAGCCTCATCGTACTGCGCATGAGCAAATATATATTTCTTATTTTATTTTATTTGCCTGTATGAACGCACACAAATAAGAATTCCTTATTTCTTATTTTATTTTATTCTTATTTTATTTTATTTGGCTGTATGAACCCACCTTTCGTTTTATTTTTAATTTAATAACTAATATTTTGGTAATTAATTGATTTATTTGTTTTATAGCTTATTTTACTTATTACGTATTGGCAAAAACTAGTCCATTATGAAGATGATTTTAAGCATTATTATGGGTTATTTATTTATTTACTGATGTACATCTTACAACAAATTTAATAAAATCTAACATAGAAATAACTTTGAAAATGGTGTAATGTGCTTATCAATCAAACTTACTTCTCTGACTGTATTCAAGGATAATAAAGGACCTTTATTGTCACATTCTCGTTCAAAATAGTTTATCGGGGAAGCTACAAGCTCTTTGCTTCGACTGTTTAAATGCTTCGGCATATTTTTAGCACACAATTTCAAGAAATGCAATACAAAAACTCGAAAATTTAGTTCTTAAAAGAACTGTTTGTGCTTAAAAGTACAATTTTTAAAAAAAGACTATGAAAATAAGCAGAAAACGAGAATTACTCACAAAGATTCAACAACACGATATTATACAAAATAATGACTGACATTAGGATAATTGTCGAATAATAAACGACAACCTTGCTGAAAACGGCGCAATGTGACCAACATAGCGATAATAAAATTCGATTTAAACTAATTTTTGCAGCTTTAATCTAAATCAAATATGTTACAATCATTTGCTTTATAATGTAAAATGAAGAGCTCGGTATCTTAAATTATACAACAAATTTAAACATTTTTGCCAAAATTTCATTTAGTCAGGTTTATAGACTTTAGTGTCAATGTCGATATGATTGATGACGTGCATCGGAAAATGTTTTGAGATTACAATAGCTATCACTGGAAAGACCGAGAAAACCCATCGGTAAACCATAATTTTGGGTACAAAACTTATCTTTAACTCGATCATTCCCCTGAAATGAAAAAAAAAATTAAAAACTTACCCTGCCTAAAAATTTCTGAAAACACTCCAAACAAAACGTATGACCGCAAGCTAAAATAGCCCAAGTACTCGTCAAAGCGCATCTACATACGGGACAAGGGTCAGGATTTTCTCCTTGAAATTGTTGCTGACGTAATGTCTGTAAGTAATTCCTTGTTCCCAATAAAGCTTCAAGCCGGGCACTATACCTAATTACGTCGGACTTCAAGGAAAGCTCTTGATGAGGTAACTGAAAATGTTATTTAATTATAATCAAATTGACAGAAAGATTTAGTTCCATACTTCTGCTGGCCTAATAAGATTTATGTTTTCGTGAATTTGTTCTGTTCGGTAGTCCAACTTTTTTAATAATTTGCTTGTTTTGTCCTTTGATTGTTCACCGGTTGATTTTAACTGTAATCTTACTTTACAGATATGTAGCTCGTCCCTAGCACAAACTTGGCTATCTAACATGGTCCAGAATTTTCGAATTTCTTTAAACTCTTTTTTCAGCGTATCCATAAGCAGCACGTGGTTTTCACCATCTTTTATTAAGTTGGGTATTGAGTTTTTCGATTTAAGAAATCCTAGAAGAGCTAAAAACAAGTCTTTTAATAATATCGTCGTTTTATAAATTAAACTATAGTAAACACCGAGAACATTTCCGGCATACACCGTTAATGCCAATATACAGGGTGTTTCAAAAAACATGTGCCATCTCTCGTGGGGAGATTCGCCACGTAAAAATAAGATTTATTTTTCATATCAACATGGGTCCGATCCTGGTTTGTTTCGTAATTACAGGAGGTTAATTTCTTCATTTTCGTTCAATTTATTATAATTTTCCTTCAAGTGCTTTTAGTGATTCGAATGAAATTTGGAGGGTAAAAGATACTATGAGTGCTACATATTTCAATGCTAAAAAAGTATCAACAGATTCATCAGGGATATGCATATGGATTATCACTGGAATCATTTTTTAATTTAAATCGAAAAAAGACGAAGACTTTACCCCTCTGTAGCTACGAAACAAAGCTGAATCAGACCTATGTTAATATGAAAAATAAATTACTTTTACGAGAGATATACAAAGATATACGATTATCTAGTAGGGTGTGTATTTCTAGCCTTGGGTGCCGATTTTCGTGTGTACGCAGTACTGAATCAAGAAAGAAGAGCCAAGTATTTTCCCAAACGCATGAAATCTAGCGTCGGATTAAGTGGTTATGTAATAAATACTTCGCATTTTTGCTCCCTCCGACTTACTAGGTCGCCATAGCAATTCACTCCTATACATGTAAACACCGACCCAAGGTGTCGTTTGCCTGAGGGGTATACCGGGTGCGTCTCAAAAGTGGCTCACCCCTATAACTTTTTTTGCAGATGAAAAAACGAGATTTGGTATGTTAGTATATGACAAATTAGGATAGATTGACGTAATTGATTTGGTCATTTCCTGTTTTACCGAAAATGACAACACTTTTGATTTTTAAATGGCAACCTCTGTATTTTTTTAATTTATTCAATAGAAAAAGACTCTCTGAATAGAATGCCATCTCATATGCAACTTTTAACATTTTCGCTTAAAAATAATATTAAAAATTTCAATCTACAGTGCCATGGCTGTGTTAAAAACACTAGTTTTTAATCAAAGAGCCTGGGAAAATATATTTGATCGTCTAAAGGTGCGTTCATACCGGCTGCGTCGCTCCGCGCAAATCATTTTTTTAACATGTACTTTTGAAGTGTATTAACATTGGAAATATTTATGTTCGTATATGAGGGCCAAATTTCGAGTTTTCTTTCAAGCATTTCAGCACCGATATCGCACTAGTCGCACAGTCGACCAAATTAAAGCATCAAAACTTTGTCGCGTGATGCCTAATTTAGGTGAACTGGCTTGACAGCACGAAACTCTCGGCAATATACGAGGTTTAATTTTATTAGTCACGACGATATTACTTGACGACTATGCTACGGGGGACAATTATAAAATTGAATAGATTGATACTGATATTTATAAAGGTTACAAAACAGTACTATTTTCGTAATTTTTGATTTGGGTTTTAACAATTATTTATGTTGTTTGTAATGAAACGATATTTTTATTTAGGTATTGATATATTTCAGAAAGGATTTAAGGACTAAAATATACATATAATATATTTACTTAATTTCAAGGTAGCTGTAGGAAAAATCATAACGTTAATTATGTCTTATATGTGGAGTTATGATTTCCAATGTCTCTGATGGTTGCAGCGGTTGCGAAATCTGTGAGTTTCTTTTTAAGCGCGCACAAAAGTATATGTTAAAAAATAATATGAGCGGCGCGGCGCTGAGCGGCGCAGTCGCTGTAAACGCACCTTAATGTTTTTCGTGTCTTGTCCTGACCAGTTAAAAGATGCCCAAATCATATTTTTACTCATATCTCAATTTTTCAAACGGAACAATGGTGACTCATTAGCATATTTGGAAAAAAGCATTTTTTACAAATAATTTGGGACCACACACTTGGTATTTCGAGTAAAATTGTCGTTATAAACCGCATGTTACAATTTCAAATAAATCATACGCAAAAATGTCAAAAGTTGACATATGATATGTCATTCTATTCAAAGTGCCATTTTCTATTGAATAAAGTAAAAAAATACTGAATACAAAAGTTGTAGTCATTTCCTGTGAAACAGGAAGTGGCCAAAAACAATTGGATACATCAATCTAACTAATTTATGTCATATATTAACATACCAAATCTCGTTTCTTTATCTGAAAAAATAAAAAAGTTATAGGGGGTGAGACACTTTTGGGACGCACCCGGTATACAAGAACTGTAAACTAATAGGATTGCTCATCCTCATAAGACGTACGTTCGCTTCTTCCCGCGCTTTAGCTGACAGTTGTGACGTCATTGTAGTCCTTGTCATGATAGTGTGTATTATTAGTTGCCTATGGTAAACTTATAAAAGTAACAGCTGAGAAATTTTAAGTTAATTATTTTGTCAATTTTAAATGTGAAAAAAGTGTCTTTAAAGTTTTTAGAGCTATAGAGTGTATAAATACGTTCATTTTGTGTTGTGGATTGTGACAAAGTGCTTACTAAGTGCCTACGATAGTGTTTATTAATTATTTTAGAGCAAAATATGGAAGTACTGTAAAAAGAATGCTTGCAAAAGGTGATGCTGGGAACTGCTGTTCTTAAAAATGCATTATCCGAGTATTTAATACGATTTATACAGTTAATTTTCTATACTGCATACATATAAGGTGTTTAAATAAATAAACTAAATAATGAACGTTTTGTATTCGGCAACCAATATTGCACGTGTGTGTATTATTGGTTGCCGGATAAGGACTAATAACCATGACAAGGACTACAATGACGTCACAAAGCGAGTAGTTTTCGCATGCACCTGGCGGACACTTTTGGCTGAATGAGCAGTCCTATTCGGTTAACTGTTCTTGCCCGGTATGTATGTAATAATATTCAAGTTTAAAACTTTAATATTATTATTTTGCCACTCTTTAGTCTATTTCTGACTTGTTATTGTGAGAAAACCAGGGCTTTTGATAATGTTGGAACGCCACTATTGATATAGAAGTTTACTATATTTGATATACCTTTAAGCAGTATTTCCTCAAATCTAGGTTTCCAACTGCCTACCAAGGACATTTCTTCAAAAGTTTCAGACCTTTTTTTAATTGTGAACAATGCAGTTTCATAATCTTTTAGCTTTACTAAAATATAAAATAAAATAAACCACAACATAAAGTGAACATAATTAAAGAAAATTACCGTTAGATAAGCATATTAAACATTTAGAATTTCCTTTCTTATTTTTTTGTTGTTGAGGTCTCAAATGGCAGTCTCTGGCTCTATTAACTAATTCACTTTTAATACTAATATTTTTGGTTTCCACATCTTCTTCATAGATTTCGTTCAAAGCCTTAAAAAGAGCCTCTCTTAATTCATCTAGATCTAGATGCCAATTGTACGTCTTACGAAGTAACGTACGGGTCGTCTCTGACCTAAAATTAGAATGAATTGACATTCCTGAATAAAGTTGATAAAGGTATCATGACGCATTTTTTTAAAAATCAATTTTATTCACTATTTCAACATCCCTTTGACAGATCTATCCTCCAATAGACTCTAAATATCAAATATCAATATCATAAAGAATATCCGAGGTGATAAAGCTGTCATGTCACATACACCATCAATAATTTTTAGACATGTTTTGTTGATTGTTGATTTACTCGAAACCGAACTCAAAACTCTAAAAAAGCGACGTGACACCTTTATCCACTCATGTCTTCAATTATTTTAATAACAATTACACACCTAAAATCGATATTAATATGTGCGTTATCTGTCGCAGTTTCTATCCTAGCCAGTAAATCATTATCAAAATTATTTAGCGAGACCCAATCAAAGCCATCCGAATACCACTGACCATGTTTTAATAAAAATTGACCTTCATATTTCTCTACTGCTGTGGTTAAACATTCATAAGATTTTTTAGCACTTGCAGTCTAAAAGTGAAAAAATCACGAAACCTTTAAAACCAAGTTAAAACTAAAATTTACCTCTTCCATGAATTTCTCAATATACTGCTTTTCTAATGCAATGCGATCATCTTTTAAAGTACCATCTCTTAGCGTGTGCTCTGAGGATGGATGTATTACCAAAACTTCCGCCAAGTTGTACATAGCATGAATCATGGGTAGCTTATCTGTAAAAATTATTATTAATAAAATAATATGACATTTATATTGAAACATTTGAACTGCATAATACGCTTTGAATAAAAAGATTAAGGAAGAAGCATATCAAAAATCTTAAATTCTGGTTTATCAGTGCCGTTCCAATTTTATTCAAAACGTGTAAAAATATGATGTAGGGTAGACATGGGGTAGACTCAATAATTTGTTGTTTTATTTTACGTTGTCAATAAATGTTGGTCGTTATTAAAATTGTTATAAAAATATACGATTCTAATAAAAATAAATAAGTTATAATAATTATTTATTAACACAAACATACGATACGCTAATGAAACAGGTAAGTCAAATTGACTTATCTAAATTCTTTGACAAGTAGTGAATAAAAGCAAAAATGCAAGAAAAAATATATGAATAGTTAATTTTAACTGAATTTAATAAATGATTGGTTTACTAAACGTATGTATATTATACCGTGCTGGCAACTGTTACTTTTGGATCGGTATTGACATGTGTGGAAGTAAATCGCATAGGGATCTTATTAAGTCGGAGTGAGAGAAATGCGACGGTGTGCTGTTACGACGTTGCCGGTACGCCTTTTCCTACGAAGTAAAGTAAAATCGCGATCGCACATCGCTTATTTTTAAATTTTTTTCTCAAAAATTAACTAGATAAAATCATTAGATATGTTTCTGAGCATCTGAAATCGAATAATAAATCGTTCATTTTTTTTATAACAAAAAAACGTCACTAATCGCGATAATTTAAAAACTTAACTTTTTAACACATAACACGTCATAACTTAACTTTAACCACTTACTTAACGCCTAACCACTTTAGATATTTAAACTTTTTATTTTATTTTGAAGATGGGATCTTTTACAATATGTTTAAATAAGAAATATTCGATAAGGTTGTTTTTTCCATTCAAAAATTTTAAACAACCCATCCATTTACTTTTAGTGCATAGCAATTTTCAGCAATCGTGTAACTTTTTTATTTATAAAGATGTTCACATATTGTCTGCGAAGAAAATATGGCTGAAATATTAAGAAAGTTTTTGAAAAAAACTACAATCAATTTATTTCTAATAGATTTCGAAATATCGATTTTTGAATTCAGAGTTCTAATAGTGCGACCACTGTCGAACACCAACTCAATTCCATTTATTATTACCAAAAATGCAAGTGTTTCCAACTTGCACTTAAACATTTTCATGATATAGGGAAAATTACAACGACTCGTTAATAAATAAACAAATAAAGTATCACGAGACGTAATTCAACCGTGAAGTTGAACGCATGATGTACACCTTTCCCCAGAACTTTAAGTACTGACTGCCACAAATCTGCTTATCCCCTTTCACGTCTCTTAGCAATATGTGCACAGTTTCTCGGTTTATTTCATGCGTTTGGCAACGTATTTACTGTTCTCTCTTTGTTCGGTACATTATAAAACGCATTGTATTCTTCTTACATACGGAAATCTCGACCAAAGACTAACCTTTGCCAGCCCTTAGTATAGTCACTTACTAGCGAAAAGTTATTCCATTATTTTCCTCGATTATTGACCGAGATCTACCGCACGCTACACAACCAACTATTTTACAGTCTTTTCGATAAATAGGAATAGTATCACTGTTAATTTAAGTGCTGCTACAAAATTTCCTTCTAGATTTACTACCTTTAAACAACTATCAGTAGTAGAATAAATAATAAATAACATAAAATAAGCTCAGTAAAAACTGACAAATCCACAAAATTTCAAATCAAATTCAAAAGTGCCAAATGAATTGTCAAACAGGCCCTTTGTCTGTCTACCTTGCATGAATACATGCATAGCATTATAATCCTTCCTTAATCTTTTTATTCAAAGATAATATGTAACTGGTAAAGCTAACTAACCTATTGTCAGATTTCCCTCTTTTTCATCAAGGGAAAATCTTGCAGCTAATTGCAATACTTTACGATATTCTCCTATAGCTTGTTCAGGCTTCTCCATCAACAAGTATATTCCCGCTAGACCTATTTAATTATATATTTTTAATATTCATTTCAACATTAACAATATTAAAACCTAACCATTAATTGATGACACCGTTAGTCTCAAACTCTCTTCACAGTCGTTTCTGTTCTTCAAAATTAATGCTTCAAGAAGATCTTTCATTGACGAGGTTTTCTTTTTAAGCGACAAATATCGTCCTTTTCCTCTAACTGCACCCGGGTCTGAACAAGCTTGCCGCAAAGAAAGAAGCGGTGCCATTAACTGAAAGAATCAATGTTAATGTCACTCATTCGCATAGCATTTAAAAAGACACAATATATTTTGTCACTACTTTTGAATAGTGGCGTTGGAGAATACATCCTCATTCTTCCGCCCAAATAATGGCAGGAAATAAGTGTATAATTAAGTATATTATTATATTTTTACGTTATACATTAACACGATCAAATAAATGTATAAAGACTGCTTGAAAAGTTTCTGCTGTCGAAGAGACGGACGACTACGCATTATCACATAAGAAGAGTCCACCGTACTGGACAAACAAAGTTGGTTCATTACAACTCACTTATTATACTTGTCTTCTACTATGTTGTGGGCACAAGTTAAAATCTAGCCATTATGGTGCGTTTAGACTTGAGCACGCACGCACTGATCCTCCGCGAATGCTCAAGTGTAAACGGCTGTGCGCGTACGCTCACTCTGAATCTGTCTGTGCGCGAGCAGACGCGAACGTGAGCCGTCTGGTGTCGGTTTTTGGTCCGTTCTCAAAGGGATTTTATGCGTGCGCGAACGCTCAGTTTGCACCGGCAATTTGTTTTGTCTGCGTTCGTGCGTGCGTGTGTGATTTTTTTTCGTTTTCTTTATTAAAATTATGGAGTGGATCAATGAATCTTCGTTATTATTAATTGAAGAATATGAAAAGTTACCTATATTATGGGATGTTAAACATTCTTTGTATTATTAAAAAATAAAAAAAAACGCATGGCCAGACCTTGTAAATAAAATTAATATTGAATATGTCGATATTAATGAAATTGCTATTCTAAAATTTGTATCTTTTGTTCGTAATTTTTGGTGTTATTAAATTTTGTAAATATTGAAAGTCGGGCCTGGTCATTCTTGCAAAGTGTTTGAACTGATCATAGCCTTCCTCAGACACTAAGTTGTTGCAGTAAATTATATCAATTTCTAAAAAAATTGGGTTTGCCACCAGCGACGATGTTTTCGATTTTTCTCCTTTTTAATAATTAAGATGTGCATAACAATGACTGCAGCCTCGACTATTTCTTTGTCGTCCATTATTTTCGCCAACATAACTCTGCTGTGCGCGCACAAATGGATCACTTCATTCCTCGAAAAATAAGTTTTTAATTTGAACGGAGCCGAGAGCGCGAACGAATGCCGTGCGCGCACGCTCAGCTCGTGCGTGCTCAAGTCTAAACGCACCATTATGTCTATGATTCGGTGATCATCGGTTAATCTTCGCAAAATGCGATTATATCCTTGAACGACTGTTGTAAATAATATGTAATTTATTTTCTTATATTTGGTATTTTCATTGATACTTATCTTTTATTTTGTGTCGATTTTTAACTCATTGACTCGAAAGTCGTGTTGTCTATAGAGGCCGGCAGTTTGTTTGTTAACTTCCCGTTGCGTTTTTTGAAGTCTTAAGCAATTTTCATGCATCCCTTATACGTTGATACGATGGTCCGACGGCGCTCTGATTGGTCACAGCGTTTTCGCGCCACTTTTCATCCGTAAATTTTTTACTCCAGCCCGTCAACGAAGAAAGATCGTACGATAACGGACGTTTTGACACTTTTTTGACAAATTTAATCTAACCTTAATAAAAATATAATAGTACAAGAGTCAGGAAAACGAGAAATTTAAGAAAGCTGGTTCTTTAATATATGTTTTGCTATGCTCTTCTGACCAAAGTGCGGGCCGTCTGGCTGCGGTTAGACTACTACGGTTCACTACTGCGCATTACATCTGCACAGGGTATCCCATTTTCGTGTGTTTTATGGGATTTCTCGTTTATGAGTAGATATAAAATGATGCGATTTTCACATTGCTTTGCTATTTTTTTTATGGAACTAAAAAATATGCTACACATAAGTTTGTCGTAGCCTCCTTAGTTCCTGAAAAACAGGGCGAATTTGTGATGCGCAGTAGTGAACAGATGTTGAATACAGATATGATGCACAATAGTGAACGCAACGTCTACTGGCAGCCAGACGGTCCGCACTCTCCAAGAGAGCATAACAAAAGATATATTAAAAAACCAATTTTCTTAAAATTCTCTGTCGAAGACGTTGTTAGCTCTTAGACTATACAAGTAAAACAGCAGAACCGTTATGGAAATGAAAATATAAAATGACACCAATAATAATCAAATCATGAAAAGGCAATAAATTTAAAAACTGCGTAATTTTCTAACCAAACAAAGTCTTTAAATTCAACCAATCAAATTAATATCGTATCATCGTATCGTGGGATAACGGATGCATGAAAATCAAGCTTTAAAATGAAGTTTTTATATTGTCAATCACGTGGCAAAAATTAATACTTTTGGACGTTTGAAAAATAATCAGTGTGACGTTTAAAAGATATTTAAGCTTGCGCTAAGGAATTATTCAATTATCGAATTGCAAGTAAGGGGCGCTCCTGGCTCTTTCTTAATGATTCACTTCATTGTAACTGGAAATGTTAGTTTTTTCATGAACTACACATTATACACAAATTTATATTTGAAATTGAAATAAAATTTGAAACAAAAGTGAAAAAACTTTTTGCTTTTATCCGGTATATTAACTACTATATAGTAGTAATAAATGTCACTAACTTATACTATATAAGATATTTTTTACTTACGTTTTTCAGATCTTTTTTGTCCAAGTTCTCAAGAAGAGATTCCGGATCAAATTTTTCTGACATTTTGAGAAAATCGCGTGCGCTGTATTCATGTTCGCGATTATAATAGAATTTCTCTACAGCAGAAAGTTCTAGAACGTGAAGTTGATGAGTTTGCTGAGGTATATTAATCTAAAAAAACCCAAGTTACTTCTCCTAAAGTAAAACGTCTATATAAGAACAATACCACACACACACTTTAATATTTAAGCAATTGACAAAAAACTAATAAATTATGTTACCTGATCCAGCACAGACTCTTTCGTTGTTCGCCACAAAACTTTTCCTAAAAAATTGTACATTGGCTCTTTATCGCCCTTTAAATAGGGATCATACAGAATATGTTTCCATGTATCATAGTCAGCATAGGGTTCCATTTTCAGATAGTCTATTAAACCATATATATCTACAAGTTATAATTATATAAATAATTGAACAAATCGTTATAATATAATTATAATACAATTATTTTTTACTTTAATAGCTATGTATATAGCTAGAAACTGTTTCGCAATGTTTCTCAGTAGCGATTTTGTTTCGATTTTGTGTCTAAAAATGCTACTATTAAAATGGAAAAAAAAACAAGTACCGCAAAGAAAATATATCAGCAGCATTTTTATAAACGATTATATTATTAATTGAATTAAAATAGTGGTCATTACCTGTGACCCCTTTCGCCATAGGTGTTCCTGTAACGGCCCAACGATGTTGAGCGGGAATTTTCCCGGACATTAACGACACTATACGACCAGGAGTTTCAACTGTTTGGGCCTCGTCAAGACACAAACGCCACCAAAATACTCGTACCAGAGGACTACCTCCAGGCCAATATTTTCTCTTTTTTCGCAAATTGACAGGCTAAAAATAATCATGTCGTTAATCAATAACATGTCGTTAATGACATGTCGTTAATGACTAAAAACAATCAATACATGTTGTTAATGACTAAAAATAAACAAGTTGAGTAGATAGTTATTTGAGTGAAATGATAACTTTTTAACTTTTTTTAATTAATTATTATAAATTTTTTTTCGAAAAAATTTATGATAAAACAGTTTCTGTTGAACTTTTGGCACAGAAACATTCAAATTTATGATTTCAGTCTAATAACTATTTAGTCAACGTGTTTAATTTATGTCAATGATGACAGGTATTGATAATTTCGATTCCAAATAGTAGCGATTTTTACCAAGAGACCTTTTTTACGTAAAAAACGTCGTAAATGTATCTTTTTTCACTCATCAGTTTTATACAGGTATGGATGAAAAGTTATTACTCTACAAACCAGTTAAAAAATATGTAGGTAGCGCCCTCTACAAGTAGGAGTCATATTGACATCTAAATCAAATTTCTCATGTCAAAAAATTCACAGACACGAATTTTCGTCCAAATATTGACGTTATTTCAGAAATTATTTGGAAAAAATCGAAATAAAAATGAAACTTCTACACCCTGTATCTCCGAAATTAAGCATTTTAAGACATATATTTATACGAACTTTTTTACTTATTTTTATCTGCAGAATATGATGCCGAAGTTTTCGGAACACAGTTCGAACCACCCTGTATAAAACTTTAAAATACATGAAAATTTTAAGGTGCCCGTTTTTCGTGTCGGTGAATGTAGATAATAGAGAACAACGTCACAGGCTAAAAACACGTAAACGTTTACGTACGCATGCGCATTTCTTATATTTTTAATTTTTATACATGTAAAAGGTTCTTTACGTCTACGTATACGCGCTAGCAGCGGCCGACTCGACCGTAGGCCGTTGTTCTCTGACGGTGCCAAAGCGATACCGCTTTGTGTAGGAAACCGAAGCTTTAGGTAATTAAAATATAAATTGTTAAAAAATATTATGTATAAATAATATTATAGATTAGTTATATAACGTACTTGACCAGTTTCTGTCCATTTCATCTCTGCTTGTAACACAGCGTAGGTTGTTATGACTATGTCATAATTTTGCAATTCTGTTGGATAAACTGGAGTTGCTGTATATCCCTCATAATTTAAAACTTTTAAACTAAAATGTTACATTTAAAGTCAATAGCGGCATTTGAAAATTTATCTAATTACCTAGATCTCAAATGAGTTCTCATTTCTCTGCACCACTGGCTTCTCAGAGCTACAGGTGCTACAATCAATGTGGCTTTAGATTGTAGCAGTGGAAGGGTTTCCCAACATTGCGGACATACATATTTGCCTAAATTTCTTCTCCAGCCTAAACAAGCACTATGTTGCCATTTACCACATTTCTCACATTCTACTGAACCTTAAATAAGTGTCTAAATTTAGAAAAAATATATTTAATAGTATATAAATAGTGCTACAAAAGTTATAACGAAATGACTAGATAACTAGATAATTTCTCAATAATGTACAAAACCTCCGTTTTTTAACGAGGATCGAGAGATGGCGCTCTATGTTCCAAATTACCGTTTAGTTTACGCCGAATAGAATGCATACATATAGAAGGAAACATAACATTCAGAAGAAACCAGAAGTGACACCTGGTGGGTATTTAAGGGGTCAATGACTAATAAAAAGATATCGATGGTAAGATCGAAAATTAATAGTTGATAATCTACATTGTAAAAGTTTAGTGCTATTTTTAAGCAGTGTATTTTTGCAATGTATCTTTTCTACCCCTAGGAGATGCGAGACCTTGCGGTTTGTGGGGAAGCTCCCAGTCAAGTTTAAGGAGCTGTCATGTCCCGTCTCAGCGTTGTGTACATGCGGGGCTCTGTAGAAGTAGATCAGCTAACCCTTGTAGTAAAGCTGGAGAGAAACCCCCTACTGGAAACGTGCAGTGTTAGTGCTAGTTCCAAGAAACCAACCCCAAAGAGAACTACAGTATTTATGTTATTTGTATTATCAATGTCCCTGTATATAAAAATCTGGAATTTAAAATGTAATATAAATTATTTTAATTAAAAATTACCATCGTCAATAGTGCTGCCACAGATACACTGAATTCTGCATTCTTCTGGCTCTTCTCTACTTCCTGTGGTGCAATACTCTGACAGAGTACGATCATATATGGATTGTAACGCTTGAAAAGTAGCGGATTTTCTACTACCAGAAGAAACAGTTCGTGCAGACGTACATACCTTAAATAAATTGTATACAGTTTTAAAAAAAATTCTCTGTATAAAATAATATTACTTTATTCTTTTTTATTGCATTTTTATAATCTTCATGGTCTTTGTCTATCATTTTTCGTTTTTTAGGTTGAGTTTTTATAACAAGTTCTGGTTCAGAATCACTACCCCCTAAAAAAGAAAGGATGAGCATACTTAACATCAAACTTTACTTCATTTAAATACCTATTTTTTCTTTTTTAATTTGGGTATTCTTTAGCATTTTATTGCTCAATATAAGGGCTAATACTTCTACAGTTTTTCCAAGGCCCATTTCATCAGCTAATATCCCTCCTTTCCAATTGCCCTGTATTAGAGGACATGCTTTTTCAATCCAACCTGTATATTTATCAAAATAAATATCCTTGTTTGATTTTAACGTAACTTTTTGAAAAATTGGATGCATGTTTTCTAAAAATAAAAAATAACAAATAGTTATTAGTTAAGAAATATATCTCTATGTCAAGTATTTGGTTTGCTGTTTTCAAGTCAACTTTTTTTTAATAATATGTTGCCGATAGCTTGCAACTAAAGTATTATATTTTAAAACGTAAAAATATATACTATCTTATTTTTCGGTCTGTGGATTTACCAATAAATTCGCATTCATTCCAAAAATACCATAATGTCATATTCTATTTTTGACCAAATTTTCTGCAGATTTAAAGATGTCTTAAAGTTATAAAATATCAAATTACTTATTTATTTTATTTTATTTTTTTGATTGGATATATTTTCTACGTTCTGTTCAAAACTAAGTGTACAGGGTGGCTCGAATTCGACGCTCATCATTGGGATTTCGGAAACCGTAAGAGATACAGGATCGGTTAAATGGAGGCAAAGTTAAGCAATTTGATGCTCAATAAAATGCCGTATTGCATTTTTATTTTTTATTATTCTTTTTGCATAAAATATTCTGGTGATGGAATGTTCTGTACGAAACGTCGGCAAATATCAAAATGACTATATATAGTGTTTTAAGAGTTATGAAAGGATTTAATTAAATTGAAAAAAAATCAGGTCCGTATTTAAAAAAATTAAGTTGATGATGGTCGCCAGAAGCCGAAACGTCAGAGTCAATATTTAATCACACAGAGTTATAGAGCAGAAAAAGTGGCCATGAAAATGTGTTTTTCATTTTAAGTTATCTTAACAAATAAAGCCAGAAAACAATAGAACACAAAATTGAAAATTCCGGGTTTTTTTCGAATATATTCGGAAGTATTCGGAATTTTTCAAAAGGCAATACGGCATTTTATTGAGCATCAAATTGCGCAACTTTGCCTTTATTTAACCGATCCAGCATCTCTTACGGTTTCCGAAATCCCAATGATGAGCATCGAATTCGAGCCACCCTGTACACGAAATACACTATATTGTAGTAGGTAAAGGAAGACTCAAACTTAACGTGTATTTTTCGCTACTATTTCAAATCAAACAGCATGTATTTTATAGCATAAATGAACATATAGTAGTTTTTATCCAACTTTGTGTTTTGATAAATTATATTATTTTTATATCTAAAATTAATGTTTATACCCTAAAAAAATTATATTATATTTATTATACAAGGTGATTCAAAAAACATGTTCCATCTTTCGTGGAGAGATTCCTCACGTAAAAATAAGATTTATTTTTCATATCAACATAGGTCCGATTCTTTGTTTCGTAGCTACAGGGTGTTAGTCTTAATATTTTTTCGATTTATTATAATTTTCTTCCAAATACTTTTAGCGTTTCGAATGAAATTTTGAGAGTAAAAGATACTTTTTAAATGCGACATATTATAAAGCTAAAAAAGTGTCGACATATTCACGGGGACGTGCACATGGGTAATCACTGGAGTATTTGTCTAAAAAAGCATGTACGCCACTGACTTTTTATTCTCTTGTTTTCGAAATAATGTAAGCAATTTAATGCCGATTAAGTCTCTTGATATTTTGTCGATTTCGTTCTCATTGATGAGATAAACGCCGCTATTTTATTAATTTGTCTTGATCCAAGCCCTTTAAAACATTTTAATATTATTTGAAAATTATATTCCTTATCAAAAAATATGAAAAAAGGTTCCTATAAACATGGGTATGGAAATGCATAGTTTTAGAGTTACAGGATATTAAAACTTCTTAAAATTAGGTTTTTTTTAATTCTGTTAAATACCATTATTTTTTTATTTGAAATTGCTGTAGGTTGGACTAATAGTAATAATAACTAATAGTAATAATATTTAATAATAAATTAAGTAAAATATATGATTTATTAATTTTATTTTCAATTTAATTTTATTAATTATTGTGATTAATAAAATTGCATTTATCTCATCAAGGAGGCCGAATTCGACAAAATATCAAGATATAACTTTTAATTGGCATTAAACGGCCTACACAATTTTGATATCAAAAGAAAAAAGTCAATGGCGCACATGTTTTTTTTTTTAAATATTCAAGTGATAACCCATATGCACGTCCCTGATGAATTTATCGACACTTTTTTAGCATTAAAATATGTAGAACTTATAGTAACTTTTACCCTCAAAGTTTCATTCGAATCACTAAAAGTACTTGGAAGAAAATTATAACAAATCAAAAGATTATTAAGACTTTAACACCCTGTAGCTACGAAACAAAGCAGAATCGGACCTATGTTGATATGAAAAATAAATCTTATTTTTACGTGAGGAATCTCTCTACGGAGATGGCACATGTTTTTTGAAACACCCTGTATACAGGGTCGCTGATATGTATAAGAACGGTCGATTATTAGGTAAAATATAAGAGGTACCGCAAAAAGTTAAATATAAAAGTTATAGGGTTTTTAAATATCTATTAGCGGGTAATAAATTTAAGTATACAGGGTCGGTCATAAAGTTGTGGCACATCAAAGTTTTATATTTTTAAATGGAACCCCCCAAATATTATTGCCATATTTCGAATCCTCCTTCAATTCTGAGCAAAAATCGAGATACACACAATGTACCTCAAACCCAAGGTTATTAAAAGATAAGGTTGTCTCGTAACTCGATCCGCCATTACCAGAAACGTCATCAACTACGTCACAGGTATGCGACCGATCATTGATAAAGGGATAAAAACTGCCGATAGTCCGACAGTGCATTTCAGAATCGAGATTTGTAATTTACATTGTGTATGGCGTCCATAGTTGTTTGATGTTTGTTTTCTTTATTATTAAAATATCACTATTATAACCGTTTCCGGAGCATTGAATAGTCGCTGACGTTTTTTACCCAAGTGAGACATCCCTTGGTCTTTAACATTTTAAAATAGAAAAAATGGCGTTAATTAAAATTCTGTAAATAACTATCTGTTAACGAATGAAATCAAAATTAGGTATATTACCATAGAAACGCCTTTTGATTTTTAGGCCTCTAAAAAATTCAACCATTTTTTCATGTTTTTTTTTAATTTACTTTAAAACGGTATGTAAATTTAGAAAAGTATAAATGGGATTATCTATTTTAGAACAAGCAAAATTTTTTATGAAGAATGCTTTTTCACAAAATGTCAATAATAAAAAAGTTTCTTCTCTTGCAAAGACAATCCAGGAATATACTGTATATATAACATTAATAAATTAATGTGAAAATATATTTAAATCATCCTACAAATTGACAAAAAATAATTAAAATGTGGGTTACCATTACCCACATATTTTATAAGCAAGATAGCAGTAAAAATCTTAAACCACAAATATGATAAAGAGCTCTTTCAGAATGTTCGGTTGTCTTTTATAAAACCATTATAAGTATGTAGTAGTAAATAAACTTTTTTTTTCAAAATAAAACATAATAACAGAGCAAAAAGATTCTTATACCATTTTTATCAGAAGCTAAGTGTTCTCTATAAATCATCCATCTAACAGCTTTTTCTTGATAAGGTCTTAATTTTGGTTTTAACTGCTGAAGAGATAACTCCCCTTCAAAATATTCCATTTTATGTCGTTTTTCCTGGAGCTTAAGATATAAATCATTTAATTCTGTATTTGAAAGACTTTTGCAAACTGTATTTGGCTGTGGCTCTATATATAAAAATAGATAAAGCAAATATATAATATGTAAAAATACATAATGCATTAGTATTGTGTACCTGTATTACTTTCTATGTTATAAAACAATAAAAATGCACTCTTTATACATTTACGTAATTTAGGATAAAATTTTGGTAATGGAACAGAAATCAAATACAACTTGAAATATACATATTCCTCCCTACGTACAATTTTAAAGGAAAACATTCTTGTTTGTACAGCATCTATAAAATATTTAGTATAAAGTTAAAATATTTAGTCAGATAACGATAATAATACCTTTCAGAAAAGATATATCATCTAAAGCTTTTATAATCACAGAAGAACGTGAAAATGTTAAAATTACTGCTGAATGATCTTCAGTAGCCTTAAAACTAATTTTGCACACATTAATTTTTTTTGGGAGAATATTACTAGTAGATCCAATTCTTAGTTCTCCCATTAAGTAATCTTCGTGTTCTGGTTGTGCCAGAATTAATGAATAGGATCTTAAAGCTTTTTCCGACAATGATGCTTTCTTACTTCGTTTCTTTCGGAAAAGTGGAATGAATTCGCCTATCGTACTTAAACTACAGTTTCCTAAACCTAGATTTTCACGTTTATTTGGTGTTTTTTTTGTTCTACCCATTTTATATTATTATTTATTACTATTTAACACAAAAGAAATTTTGTCTGGCAGTAAAATGTGAGGTCAGTGATTATAATTCTTCTTCTTTAATGTCTTCTTACTCTTCTTTATTAAATTAATATGGCCTTAATTCATCCTTGGCAAGATAGTTGAAAACTGTGTTTGTCCCTCTGGTTGTTATCCTCTAGATCATATTATTTATATATGATCTAGGGCTAGGGTTGGTTCAAAAAGTATACCTAGCCCTTGTACTACCTTGTACGCAGCTTTGTACATAGCCAACGTTAGATTTCGTATTTTATGATTTCGACATATGTTTCGACCAAGGATACTCACAAGTAAACAAGTATTAATCTTTGGATATAATTTTTTTGTTAACCATCTGATTTTGTTTGACAATCTGATTAATTTGACAAATCCTGAACAATTCGTTTTGTCAGCTTGTGTACTAATATCTGATAAAAACAAAATTCTGAGTGTTTTATTACAAGTGGTTTTGTTTATTTGTGATAAAGATCTATGGATAAAGACCACAATCAGATTTAAATAATTAATGTAATAATTCAAATGAATATAGTTGTAAAAAATATGTGAAGAGAAGGAAAAATGGAAAATCCAAGTATGAATATTGAATTAGAATGGGTTGAACAAACAAATTCAACATGGGCTCAAAAAGATACTGATAATATAGCAAACAGAGATTTGGTGCAGTCCATGTATGATGTATTGTTGCAAAATAAAGAAGTACGTGTCATACCAACAACGTTATCTTCTTATAATGATGTACAAGCTTTGCCAAGTTTTCAATATGAAGCTCCTACATCCCTGGAACTAACAAACTATTTAAACACACTCTTAACATCTCAGGTAATTCTTTTTATATTTGGATTTTTTTTATTTATAAATATGGTATAAACCAACACTTGGACTGGTTTGAGGCTCCATTACATATTCAAATTAACCCCCCAAACCAGTCCAACTGATGTTGGAAATACTATACAATATGTTTATATTATAGTACAGTTTTTACTTATTTTATTATTTATTTATGTAGCATCAGTTAGCTAGAGAAATATGTTCATCCACTCAGTTTTCTGTTCTTTTAAAACAGAGAATGATGATTTTAAAAAGAATATATTATGCCTTGATAATAAAATACCATGATAAGGATAAGACATCTGATGGACAAGCAATGAATGTTAAAAATTCCCCTGTTGTTAGTACTGTAACTAGAGAAGTATTGTCAGGTAATAAAGTGAAATGTTATACTATAGTTTATATTTTTAATGAAATTATAAAAATTTAAGGATCTCAAGCTCTTCTAGAAATTGGTGTAAAAACAGGCCTTAGTCTCCTCTTCTCTTTGTTGCAACAGAACTGGCAAGTTAGTGGAATTTTAGGCATACCATCTTTATGTAATTCAGTGCTAGAAACCACAGTTTCCCTCATTAAGAAACTGCCACCTTTATGCTTGTCAAACGATGTGCAACTGACTTATTTAGGAATAACCAGTTTGGAACAAGTTTGTGATTTTTTGAAAAATGCAGTTCTTCACGAAACAGCTGCAGATAGTAGAGGAAAATTGCTGGCTTCTGAAATCTTAATTGGTTTGGCTCTTCAAAGAGGATCATTGAGATTTCTCTTGGAGTGGATCGACATGGCCTTAGATGCTTCTATGAACCAGACTATCGAAAGGTAAAATGTGCAAGCCAGTTATATTAATATTTTAATTTTTAAATGGAATTTTAGTGAGTTATTTACCAAGGCTATATCACAGCTTGAAGGTGTAAAGCCTCGTCTGAAAAATGAATCATGGAAAAAAGACAGCTCTGAACCAATATCAATGTATGAAGCTGCTATATATCTTATTGAAATTTTATCTCTAATGGCTGTAGATTATGGTAAGTTGAATAATTAATATTAATCAATTAAAAAACTGTTTTTTATATTGTAAATTATGTTTTACAGGCGGAGCTTGTTCAGTAGCAGAGACAACTGCTTGTGAATCTGAATTAGGTGTTTATGAAAAATCAGATGTATTTGTTTGGGGTTCTAATTCTTCAAGCCAATTAGCTGAGGGTCAACATGAAAAAATATTGTTACCTGTAAAATCTAAAATATTTAATCAGGTTCAACAAGTGAGTATCTATTAATGAAAAGAGAAGTGATAATTCATAAAACTTTATAAGTTTTATTAAATGGAAATATTCCAATAACTTACAGTTTGTTGGCTTATATTACAGTTCATTGGCTTAACTATTTTTTTGGTAAATTAGATATTAAGTGATTCAACCATCTATTGAACTTGACTTTAAGTGAACTGTTTTTTTTTTGTAAAATCTGAACATTTAATCAGATTCAATAAGTGGATATCTGTTAGAGAAAAAAGAAGTAATTTATAGCACTTTATAAGCTTTATTATTAAATGGATATAATGGTCCAACAGTTCATTGGCTTATTTTTTTATAAACTGTATATTAAGGTAATCAACCATCTATGAATTTGACCTAATGTGAACTGTTTTTTTTCGATTTCATATAAAACTCTGCTTACTCATTCTTAAGGAATTTTATTTATCCTTTAAAATTATAATATTCCTTAAAAAATGTCTATACCTCTGCGGCGGATTCATCTCTTCAAAAAAGTCTGATAGCTTTTTTTGAAGAGATAATATTCCTTATTAACTCCAAATCCTAAAAATATGTTAACAAAAAAAGTATAGAAAGTTATTATACAGGGTGTCCCAGAAATAAGTGCAAGTATTTTAAGTGCTGGTAGATCTACATAAAAGAAACATATTTTTTCTTTATCGTTTTTCAAATAAGTCCAAAATAACGGAGTTAGGTATTTTACTTTGAAAATCTCCAAAAAAAATGATTTTTTGTTAAAATTTGAGAACCACTGGATCTTTTCTGGATTTTCTTTCTTGTAAATTTAATCTAATACCTATGTTGCCATATTATAAAGAAATTGTGTTTTTTAACTACAAACTAAAAAAATTTCCAAAAACTTTTTCAAAAAATTTCGAATTCTCAAAAAAAAATTTCGCGAAAAGAACCTCATAGGCGTGTTTCTATAACTATTTTGAACTATACTACCAGTTAAAATACTTGCACTTATTTCTCGGACACCCTGTATATTATTATATACAGGGTGGTCCGAATTGTATTCCGGAAACTTCGGCAGCATATTCTGCAGATAAAAATAGGTAAAAAAGTTTGTATAAATGCATGTCCTGAAATGCTTAGTTTCGGAGATACAGGGTGTAGAAATTTCATTTTCATTTCAGATAATATTCAGATGAAAATTGGTGTCTGAGAGTTTTTTGACATGAGAAATTTGGATTTTGATGTCAATATGACTCCTACTGGAAGAGGGCGCCACCTACAGGTGTTTTAACTGTTTAGAAGCGTAATAACTTTTTGTCCGTACCTGTATAAAACTACCGAGGGAAAAAATATATAACTCTGTGATTTTTTACGTAAAAAATATCTCTTTGTAAAAATCGCTACGAGCAACCGTTCTCAAGATATTTAGAATGGAAATAGTCAATACATGCCATTATTAACGAAAAATAAACACGTTGAGTAGATACTTATTTCACTGAAATAATAAATTTGGGAAATTTTTATTTTTTTAAATTAATCATATTTTTTCTGCAAAAAAAAATGATGATAAAACAGTTTTGTTGAACTTTTGGTACAAAAACATTTTAAATTTATGATCTTAGTCTAATAACTATTTAGTCAACATGTTTAATTTATGTCAATGATGACAGGTATTGATAATTTCGATTCCAAATATCTCGAAAACCATTACTCATAGCGATTTTTACCAAGAGACCTTTTTTACGTAGAAAAAAAAAGTAAATGTATATTTACAAAAAAGAAAAAGCGTCGTAAATGTATATTTGTTTACTCAGTAGTTTTATACAGGTACGGACGAAAAGTTATTACTCTTCCAACCAGTTAAAAAATATGTAATTGGCGCCCTCTACGAGTAGGAGTCATATTGACATCAAAATCAAATTTCTCATGTCAAAAAACTCCCAGACACCTATTTCAATCCAAATATTGACGTTACTGCAGAAATTATTTGGAAAAAATCGAAATAAAAATGAAACTTCTACACCCTGTATCTCCGAAACTAAGCATTTTTGAACATACATCTATACGAACATTTTTACTTATTTTTATCTGCAGAATATTCTGCCGAAGTTTCCGGAATACAGTTCGGACCACCCTGTATATATAATATTGAAAAATAATTCCCAAATGAATATATTTTATATAATTGCATTCTTGGAAATTAAGAAACTATTTTTTTTTATATGCTTGAATTTGAACATCTTTGTCTTTTATTTAAGATTGAAGCAGGTCAGTATTGCACTTTTGTTATCCACTGGGATGGATATGTAAGCGCTTGTGGTAGAGGAAGCTATGGACGTTTGGGCCTGGGTGAAACTTCAAATCAAGCATTACCAAAAAAAGTTTTGCTAGATAGTGTTGTAAAAAAATTGTCTAGTTCAAAAGGTAGTACAGATGTCAATTATTGTAAAGTGGATATATTTTTTCGTTCTTTTTTCTTTTAGGTTCTGATGGACATACCTTAGCTTTGACAGATAATGGTCATGTATACAGTTGGGGAGATGGAGATTATGGCAAACTCGGACATGGTAATTGTGTGACTTACAAGAAACCGGAACGGATACTAGGACCATTTTCCGGAAAAACTATAAGATTTATTAATGCTGGATATAGACATAGCGCCGCAATAACAGAAGATGGGAGGTTGTGGACTTGGGGTAAGTTGATGTAAAAATTAAACAACATTTTGAATATGGTGATTGTTGTGTTATGTAAAAATTAAACACTGACTATGAGGATTGTTATTATGTATTATTATAGGAAAATGTAAAAATTTTGTGTATTTTATATCAACCTAATGTAGTAAAGTCTCTTCAATGTAGTAAGGGGAAATATCTCTTATGGGAGTTTATTTGAAAAAGTGGTCACAAAAATAGGAAGAATAAAGCTTGATTTTCATGTGTCCGTTATATGTTGATACGATGCGACGGTGCATTGATTGATCATAGCGATGTCGCGCCACTTTTCATCTGTAATTTTTTTACTCCAGCACGTCAACGGAGAAAGATCGTGCGATAACTGACGTTTTGACACTTTTTTGACAAATCTAATCTAACCTTAATAAAAATATAATAGTACAAGAGCTGGCAACGTCGGGAAAACAAGAATTTTAAGAAAGCTGGTTTTTTAATATATATTTTGCTATGCTCTCCTGTGCCCTCGTGACCCAAGGGCGGCAAATCTGGCTGCCGGTAGACTACTGCGGTTCGCTACTTCGCATCACATGTCCAGCATCACATATATCCAGTGTACAGGGTATCCCATTTTTGTGTGTTTTAGGGAATTTCTCGTTTATGAGTAGCGATTTTCACATTATTTTGTTACTTTTTTATGAAACTAAATATGCTACACATATGTTTGTCCTAGCCTCCTTAGTTCCTGAAATACAGGGCGAATTTGTGATGAGAAGTAGTGAACAGATGTTGATATGATGCGCAGTAGTGAACGCAACATCTACCGACAGCCAGACGGTCCGCACTCTGTTCAGGAGAGCATAACAAAAGATGTATTAAAAAACAGTTTTCTTAAAATGCTCTATCGATAACGTTGCTAGCTCTTAGACTATAAGTAAAACAGGGAAATCGTTATGGAAATGACACCAATCATAAGCAAATCGTACATCCGATGAACGAAGGCATGACAATGCAATAAATCTAAAAACTGCGTAATTTTCTAACCAATCGAAGTCTTTAAATTCAACCAATAAAATTAATATCGTATCGTCGGATAAACGGATGGATGAAAATCAAGCATACGGGTTCACTAAATGACAACAGTGACGCTAATAAGCAATATTCATAGTACGTTTTAGGCTAGTGTTTCTCTATTAAGACTTTATTATTCAAACTAGGCGAAGGCGAATATGGTCGTTTGGGTCATGGGGATAACGCTGGACGTCATATTCCGACGATGGTCACTGATCTAGTGGACATTGGTCAAGTCTCGTGTGGCAGTTCCCATACTTTGGCAGTATCTAGAGACGGTACAAAAGTTTGGTCTTTTGGTAGTGGCGACAATGGCAAACTCGGACATGGAGAAATTGCCAAGGTAGGTCGTCTAATTGTGGAATGCAATATAATTATTTACTTCGGTTTGTTATTTCAAAAATTTAAGTAAAAGAAAAACACTAAATCACCACAATACACCAAAACACTTTTACTTTTACACTGGACGCGCGTTTCGCTAACCATGTTAGCATCATCAGCAGATGATTATAAACTCACACACCAGTTTATAATCATCTGCTGATGATGCTATGCATGGTTAGCGAAACGTGCGTCCAGTGTAAAAGTAAAAGTGTTTCGGTGTATTGTGGTGATTTAGTGTTTTTATTTTGCTGTCTAACACCAAAGGTTCCAACCCTCAACTGTAATAAAATTTAAGTACTAGAGAGTATTTTTTGAAAAATTACAGCTCATACATAATTATGATTAGAGTGTTTTCCATAGGTTTTATTTATTAAATTTGATTTTAATCATTATTATTTAATATAGAATTATATTTTTCTTTTTAGGTATACAAACCAAAACTAATAGAAGCTCTACAAGGATTAATAATACAGAAAGTATGCGCCGGCACATCATTTTCTGTAGCGTTGACCAATATGGGGCAGGTAATATTTACATATATTTAAATATTTAACAATACAATTACATCTAAATTTTCACTTTTGAACAATTAATAGAAAAGAAAGATGTTCTTTCGTCTACAATTTTATTTATTACGTATAGGCGTTAATTTGCATTACATTAGTTTTGTAGTTTTAGATGATATGCTATCTATTTTCATAGAACAAAAATCTCACTGTTATGTTATTGTCTTGTTGGACAGAATATACTAAGGGCTGACAAAGGTTAGTCTTGGGTCGAGATTTTCGTATGTAAGAAGAGTACAATGCGTTTATAATGTACTGAACAAAAAAAAACAGTAAAAACGTTGCCAAACGTATTAAATAAACCCAGAAATTGTCCACATTGCTAAGAGACGTGGAAGGGGATATAGCAGATTCGACGCGGTCGACCGGTCATCGAAGTCATGCGTTCAGCTTCACTATTTAATTATGTCTCGCGATACTTTATTTGTTTATTTATTAACGAGTCGTTGTCATTTTCTCTATAGCTTGTAAGTTTTTAAATGCAAGTTAGAAACACTTGCACTTTTGGTAAAAATAAGTGGAATTGAGTTGGTGTTCGACAGTGATCGTACTATTAGAACTCTGAATTCAAAAATCGATATCTCGAAATCCGTTAGAAATAATTGATTGTAGTTTTTTTCAGAAACTTTGCTAATATTTCTGCTATACTTTCTTCGCAGACAGTATGTAATAATCTTAATAAATAAAAAAAGTTACACGATTGCTGAAAATTGCAATGCACTAAAAAAAACGGATGGTTTTTTTTAAAATTTTGAATAAAAAAAACAAGCTTATCGAATTTTTCTTATTTAAACATCTTGTAAAAGATCCGAACTTCAAAATAAAAAAAGAGTTTCAATATCTAAAGTAGTTCTTGAGTTATCGCGTGTTATGTGTTAGAAAGTTGAGTTTTTAAATTACCGCGATTACTGACGTTTTCTCGTTATAAAAAAATGGATACCCTAACGATATCCTTATAATTCCATTTCAGATGCTCAGTAACATATCTAAAGATTTTATCTAGCTATCTTTTCGAAAATATAAGTCTTTAAAAATAAGCGGTTTGCGATCGTGATTTTACTTTACTTGATAGAGAAAGGCGTACCGAAGAAATGTGGCAACGCCGCAACAGCACACCGTCGCATTTCTCTCACTCCGACTTAATAAGATCCCTATGCTACCCAAAAGTAAGAGTTGCCAGCTCGCAATGCAATAAATGTTTCATATTATTAATAAGGATGTTTTGCGTAATATCAACGTATTTTTATATTTTATAGGTATATACTTGGGGAACTGGGCCTGCTCTTGGTATGGGATCCGCTGATGTAATAGGATTACAACCTCTTTTAGTTGAAGACCTAGTTCCTTTTAGAATAATTGATATATCCGTCGGTGACAACCATTGTTTAGCCTTAACTGACGAATTTCAAGTAAATTATCTAGCCATTACCATTTTAGAAGTGAAAATTTTAATATATATTTTTTAAGATTTACGCTTGGGGCGTCAACACAGTAGGTCAGTGTGGACAGGGACACACTTCTAGTCCTATTACAAGACCTCTTAAAGTTATGGGTCTAGAAGGCGTTATGGTTAGACAGATCAGTGCAGGCACATCGCATTCCATTGCATGGACCAGCGTACCAGCTGAGAACCATCAAATTACCAGGCATAAACCATTCTGTCTTGATTTACACGAGAAAACATTTAATTACTTTAAGGTGTCATTCTATTATTTTTCAAATTTATAAAGCATATTGATTTTCTATACTTTTATAGGTGTTCTTGGAAAAATATACTAATTGTTTTACATATGAGAAACCTCCACAACCGTTTAAAACTAGGGAGGATCACGAAAACTTTATAATTTTAACCTTAAAGTTATTGTGTACTCATTTTCATCTTTGTATTAGTGCCAATTTGAACACCAATGTTTTAAATAAGCATGCCAAGGAGTTAAGGACTGCTTTATTTAGGTAATGCTTTAAGTAATGAGATTTTTTTCAGGCAGGTTTATAACCCAATAAATAATATTAATATAAATATAACTAGATAATACTATTAAACAAAATTGGCATGCATGACATGATTTTGATAGCAGAAAAAATGAGCTATCAAATACACTTTTAATATACAGTGTCTCGTTTAAATAAAAATAAAAATTGTGTGTGCACCATGTGCCGGGGCGGATACAGGAATTTATTTTAGGGGGGGCCCAAAATAAAAAGTAATGTAGAATATGCTTTTTAGGTCGCCATTTTTAACCAAAAAGCCTGATATTTAACACAATTTACAGATTTTAGGTATCCCTCTGTATCCGCCACTGACCATGTGCGCATATTTGAACTGAAACTTCTTCTTACTTCGGTCTGTGTCTGCCCGTCTGAGGATTCCATTCTGACCCATCTACATTCCGAGTTTTAGCCCTCTAGCTCACATAGAACCCGAGTTACACCGCTCCCAGATCGTTACCACTTTTCCTCTCACGTCTCGTGTCACGGCCATCAATTTCTACTTCCATCGCGCGTTAAGAAGTTTCACTTCAAAAATTAGAGTTTTAATACCATAAAATTTGTGAGTGTTACTTTCTGAGGCAGTGAGGCGACTTTTGGTATCGTGATGGGAAAAACCGATTAATTTCAATAATCGAGTACTCGAGTTTCAAGGGATTGCAAACCGAGTGATCGCTCGAGCGAAATATCACTCGTATTTAAAAATACGGTTTTTTGCCCGTCGCTTGTTATAAGTACTCGTTAACGCCAAGCTGTAAGTTGCGTGCGCAGGGCACATATTCTTTCGGTGATGAATGGCAAGTAGCAAGCGACGAGCGATTCGCTTCTTCGCTTGATTTAGTTTATTTCAAAGCATTGTCGATGTAGGTCCTAAAATTTTGTCCCTCAGATACGCAACGGATAAATATATATACGCCGTCGTATAAATTTTCTACCTGCAATGTATGTAGAAAATTCGCTTTTTATCGAGTATGTCACATTAAAATCGGATTTTAATTTATTTCATTTTAGGATCGCTTGCGTTCGTTGCTTGTAACTCGTGACTTGCATCGCTCGTTCATAATCGAGCGATGTCGGTTATTTCAATAATCAAGTACTCGAGCGAAGTTTCGAGTACTTTTGAGTTATTCCATCACTATATACAATATATCAAAGCTTGACTAAAAACTACGTTTTTAAGAATGTATAGTGCACTTGTGTTTCACATATTGAAAGGATCGAAACACGGCTTCTTACAAAGTCATATATCGTAATCAAAAATAGTTATGATAAAAATTGCTAAAATTATATTGTTCTGTGACATTAAAACGGCTCACTCACATTAAAACTTTTCTTATTAGAAAAGTATAATCAAGAAGAAAATAATTGATTAATAATTATTATTATAGATTAGTGGATATAGACGCTACAGAAGAAATTCATAATCTTTCCAAGGAAGTATTAAATATAGGCGCACCGTTACTTTTACCTTTGTTAAATGAAAGAGTCGAATTTCTACACTCTCATTTGTCCAGTGGCAACTCCTTGTCTCAAGGACAACAGATGCTCTTAAGTATTATTTTAAGCAGCTTAGAAGATCCCATTCATATAGCCTCATTATTAGGTAAACTTATTGATTGATTCACTTTTAAGTAATTGTTAGGATAACACTGTTCTGCAAAAAAATACATTTTTCTTGAGCACTGTACCATTACCTGCTGATTCTTATTTAAAATGACGTATCTGACCTAAATCCAAATATAGTTTTGGTTTTCTTCTAACACCCACCATTTTCAGGAGAACTCTCTCTCTTCATTTTTATACAGGGTGAGTCATAAATATGTACAAATATTTTTAGGTGTGGCATATTTTGACCCCAGGAACACGTTTATAAATTTTTTTCGCAAAAAAGTTGTTGAATACCAAGTGTATGGTACCAAATTATGCGTAAAAAATGCTTTTTCCAAATATGCTAATGAGCCACCCTTGTTCCATTTGAAAAAAATGATATATCATTAAAAATACGATTTGAGCATCTTTTAACTAGCCAAGACAATACAGGAAAAACATTAGATGATCAAATCTATTTTTCCAAGGCTCAATTGAAATTTAAAATACGATTTTTAGGCAAAAATGTCAAGAGTTGACGTATGATATGTCATTCTATTCAGAGCGTTTCATTTTCTGCCAAATAAAGTAAAAATATACCGAGGGTGTCATTTAAAAATCAAAAGTTGTAATCATTTCCTGTGAAACAGGAAGTGGCCGAAAACAATTGAATACGTCAGTCAATCCTAATTTATGTAACATACCAAATCTCTTTTTTTTACCTGAAGTTAAGCCTAACAGGTGAGCCACTTAGACTCACCCGGTATATACTTTTATATATAACAACATGTTGCTTTATGTGTTGCTATATACTTATAACTTTATTATTTACTAGGGTTAGAAGCTGAAATATGTAAAAAAGTAAGTGAAAAAAATGCAATAAAACGAGAAAATTGATCAAATTTATTGATTTTATTACAATTTGAACGGAAACACCTCCGTAAGGGGTTTCCCTTAAAAACGGGGGGTGATAGGAGAAAACGGAGGTCATATTTAGATTCAGTAGGTCATTTATTATAGTTTTACATAAGAATCAGCAAAAATGGTGTCAGGGTCGATTTCCATACAGACTGGTCTTTACTCTGTTCACAGGATATGCTGTCAGTACAGATAAGTCTAAAGAGTTAGATGGGAAAATGACATCAACTCTGATGCACACATTGCTGCAGTCGTTTACTAAAAACACCGAGGAAACCATGGAATCTATTTTGAAATATATGGCTATTAAAACAAACTATAAATGGCAGAAGCCCGGAAATTCAAAAGTTTGTCATCTTCAAAAGTAGGTGCTCCAAAATTAAGTTTAGATAATAAATTATTAGAATTTATTTATTAAAGGTTGCTTTCGTCACTTCAAAACCATATGCTCGCTCATTATATTGTATCGAACAAAATACAAGTAAAGGAAATTTCAAACGACAACGATTTCTTGGTCAATCATCTGAAAAGTTTATTCGAATTTGCTATACAAGTTCTAAAAAAAGGAGCTACAATTTTGGTAAGAAGCTTGTTAATTTAAGGTCCTTTTTTTAAATAATTATGTTTATTTTTAGGTGGTCTATCCGAATTCTCTGGAATTACTCTATAACGTTCTTTTAGACTCTATTGCTGGCGCAATGTTGTTTAAAATCTTAAATTCCTTATTGCTAATGCCTGTTGCATACATTAGAATAATTTATAACCCTCTTTTAGAAGTATTGAAAGCTTTGGATGCTTTCAACCAATTGTTGCCATCCGAACTGATAGTGGAAAACGATAAAGATGGCTCAAGTAAGTTCGAAAAAAAGTATTGTCTTTTTTATATTAGGAATCATTGGCGGCTTGTAACCTATAAAAGCAACCTATTTGATTTTGCGCAACTGCAACTGTTTGATTTTTATCTGGCCTCTCTATTTGATATCCAACCAGTTGATTTAGACAGATCGAATATGTCGTCTTTCCTTAACCTATAAACCAAATTTTATTTTTTCAATATGCCGAATTTATGATTTAACCAATTCTTATTCAAGATCATGTTTTTGTCAGTTTTACACATGGTTTATTTTTTGTATCGAAAACCATTAGAAATTAGATAGGTTAGTATAAAGAAAAATTTTGAGATGTGGAAGTAGTTTTGAAAAATATAATATACCCGGAGTTCCATGTAAAATAACAAAGATGCTACCACTTTTAGTATGAAGCGGCAACATTGTAATGCTGAAAATAATTTAGACAGAGGGAGCAGGTGCCTTTATGCAAAAATACATATAATAATAATAATAGCTCCCGTATATAGCGTTTAATGCCTTGAAAGTAGCAAGGTACAGCTTGCTATACTAGAGCCGTTCGGTATACAAGGAAGGTAATGTGGCTAGCACTACGCTTCAACCGCCTATTATTACCTCAGGATTGTGAATCCCAAGTACTCATTTAAGGCTGAGTCGACCTAGGTACCCAAACTATTTTTATTTTAATAAAAATAGTTGGCTGATGAAATGCCGGGTGTGGGAATCGAACCCACACCTTGAGATTGGTAGACGAGAGCCTGTACCTCTACGCCACCGGGCACCTTAGCAAAAATACATATTTTCAAAAAAATCACCGGTTCTCCATAAACGTATAACGGGCCATGGCCGTCAATCACCCTCTATACAGGGTGGCCCATCGAAAACGTTCCTCAAGGCATAACGACCAGGGTATTCTTTTTTTCAAAAAATCCAAAAACACGTCAATTTAAACGTGCAAAAATATCTACATAAATCTTACAAAATTATCAATTATGCCTGAATTTCCTTTCATTATTTATGTAATGTTATTTACATCCTTTTATTATCTATATAGTTCATTTTTATCCATCTTATGGAATATTTTTCTAGGATCTGAAACACCCACCTTAGCTCAATTAGCCGAACAATCGTGGATTTGGATCGTAGATATGCAAAAGACGTGTTCGCTTTTGGTCGGTCACTGTTTAGGAGGAATGGTTGTAGGTGAATTACACAGCAGAGAAGAATTATTGTGCCGCAATTGGCTCACAAGTGTAATATTTTCGTCTGGCGTCGAAAACGAAGATTTAGGGTTGGAATGCCTAGAAGAATTATCGTATGTGTCTGGGTAAGCAAGTATATAGTCTGTCCAACGACAAGATCCTTGACAGTGATAGATGTGTCTGTCATTTTATTTTCAAAGTAGTTTATTTTATTTTACAAAGAAATAAGTTGGTACAATTGGAACGCATAGTAGAAAATTAATATATTTAAAATTTAAGTGACAAAAAGGTGATACATCAAAATATTGTGAAATAAAACTGTATAAAATTGAAAAAATCTAATTGAGTTATTTTATTAAAAACAATTACAATATGCGTTAATACAAAACAAGCAAGGGTGTAGTTTAAAAAACACCACATACCAAAAAAAGATATAAAAATATTTCCTGCTTTCAAGCCATGTTTCAAGCTCAAGCAACTTCCTGCATTTATTGTTACATTTATCAATATAATTATTCAATATGATTATTATTTACCTATAGTGTGCTGTTATTTTACAGACACTCCAGTTTTTGGTATCATATACAAGATAGTATACAAACTTTATTTGTGGCTAATACAACTCTCTGGCCAACTATCTCTGGGCATCGAATATTAACTGTAAACTATGGTCTGGGTCAACACTTATTTCCCCTTTGAGTTTTCCTCCACTTAATTTTAAAATCCACGAAACACACGTAATAACATAGTCCAAAATGCAAAATTTATCATTTCTATTTGACATAATTTGACACAAAATTATAACCTATAATTTGGAATTTGGCAAGTGTTTGACAATTCTCAAAAATTTTAAGCCGAGTTCATACGGGTCCGTTTATCAATAATGTTGAAATATGATCTGTCATTCTTGAAATAAACCAATAAAGCTGGTTAAAAACAACAAGAGATGACGCATGACGGATTTATATATATGTATAAACCCATCCATAGTTAACTTAAAAAATATTTTTTTAGTTAAATAAATGGATTGGTATGGACGTCATCTCCTTTTTTTCTGTCATTGTCTGTCGAAATCTTGCCTGAGAAAAATAACAGAGTATACCTACTGTATGATGTGTATGTAAAATAACGACCATAAAAGTTTATATTTAAAAGTGACAACGATCTCTATTTCCATGCCAATTCTGACTCCATGTTTTTTTCCATCGTTTATATACTTTAGGATAAACGCGATTAGACGCAAAAGAAGTTACATAGAAAATGAGAACAAAACAGTTTCTTCTTGACTGTGTAGTAGAGTTGTGTAGTTCGTAAACGAATTAATTCCAATGAACATTGAATTCCGGAACAAAAGGAGATATAATAGTTCCCGGATAGTTAAAAAAAACTGTTTCCTCAGGAACTATTCGCTCCGCAGTTCTGAGTACCGAGATATATGCGACAGCGACGGATCGGTTAGTGTGATCATAGACCTTTGAATAAAAAGGTTAAGGAAGGAAATATGTATGATGAAGGAAGGAGTATAATGTTATCCATGTATTCATGCATGGTAGACGGACAAAGGGCCCTAGGGTGGGGATCCTTACAGTTCTGTTTGACGATTCATTTGACATATTTGAATTTGATTTGAAATTTTGTGGATCTTTTAGTCTTTTTTTCTGTTTATTTTCTGTTATTTATTATTTATTCTACTACTGATAGTTGTTTAAAGGTGGTAAATCTAGAAGAAAATTGTTACAGAACTTAAATTAACAGTGACATAATTGCAATTTATCGAAAAAGACTGTAAAATAAATTGGTTGTGTAGCGTGTGGTAGATCTCGTTCAAAAATCGAGGGAAATAATGGAATAACTTTTCGCTAGTAAGTGACTATATAATATACATAGTGTGGTAAACCAATCATTTATGAAATTCACTTAAAATTAACTAATTATATATTTTTTCTTGCATTTTTGCTTTTATTTACCACTTGTCAAAGATTAGATGTCAAAGAATTTAGATACGTCAATTTGACTTACCTGCTTCAGTAGCGTATCGTATGTTTGTGTTAATAAATAATTATTATAACTTATTTAATTACTTAATACTTAATTTTTATTAAAATTATATATTTTTATAACAAGTTTAATAACTACCAACATTTCAACATTCACAATGTAAAATAGAAAAAAATAACAAATTGAGTCTACCCTACATTATGTTTTTATACGTTTTGCATAAAATTATAGTCTGTCCAACGAGAAGATCCTTGACAGTGATAGATGTGTCTGTCATTTTAATTTCAAAGTAGTTTATTTTATTTTACAAAGAAATAAGTTGGTACAACTGGAACGCATAGCAGGAAATATTTAAAATTTGATTGACAAGATGACAAGTGATTACTTCAAAATATTGTGAAAAAAACTGTATAAAAGTGAAAAAATGTAATCGAGTTATTTTATTTAATAAAACCGGTATGTGTTAATACAAAACAAACTACATACAGAAAAAAAAGACACTACATACCAAAAAAATATAAAAAAGAACTATTTTTTACTTTCAAGCTTTATGAAACTACCCGCATTTATGATTATATTTATCAATATAACTTATGCACAAATACAAAATTTGTAATATTCCACAGGAATAAATAAAACAACATAGGTAAATAAAACAAACTATTTTATTAATAATAACACCTACCAAATTTTATACCTTGAAGGTTGATTAATTAACTTTAATCTTAATTTTTTTAAACCAGTACCTCTTGACATTATTTTTCTGCAGTACTAAAATCCATTATTTACCTATCGTGTGATGTCGATATTTTACAGCTACTCCAGTTTTTAGTATGTGTTTAGTTTGATCCTTCTACCATATACAAGATGCACTTATCTACGACGAGATGGTATACAAACTTTAACGATGGGGTGTATAAGACTTTCTGCCTGGGCAGCGAGTATTAACCATAAACTGTGCTCTGGGTCTACAGTTAATTTTCACTCGATTTTTCCTCCACTTGACTTCAAAAGACACAAAACACACGTAATAATACGAATCAAAATGCATCATCTTCCAAAACGCAGGGTATTTAACAAAAGTTGACACAAAATTATAACCTATAATTTGGCAAGACTTTGACAAGCGTCAAAAATGACAAAAATCTAAAGGCGAGTTCATACGCATCGGCGTCCGTTTATCGTTCATCGTTCCGTCAAACCAATAAAATTGAAATACGATCTGTCATTTTTTAAATAAACCAATAAAACTGGTTAAAAACAACAAGACACGACGTATGACGGATTTATATTTAAACCCATCCATAGATAACTTAAAAATTATTAGAAACTTTTTTTAGTAAAATAAATAGATTGGTATGGGACGTCATCTGCTTTTCTTCTGTCATCGTCTGTCGAAATCTTACCTGAGAAAAAAAACAGAGTATAGAACGGCACCGATAAACCGGAATTTAAGTCGGCCATTTTAGGAGCCCGTCGCGTTCGATCTAAGATTTTTAATATGCTACTTCCTTAATATTTTTATTCAAAGTCATAGACTGATGCTAGGCGAGACCGGGGACAATGTTGCCAGCCGTGTGTTACTGATCCCGGAAACGAAAGGAACTAGTTCTCAGTTTCTTAAACGACAAGTTCACAGGGAACTAGTCGGTCCGCAGTTCCGGCCGCGACCGGCGTTCAAAGAATTATTCCTCTGAAGGAACTCGAACTAATGAACTAGTTCTTCCCAGGGAACTAGAATTCCCACCTTTACCCTGTATCTTGTAGCGTCTTATGCCAGTTGTACATTTACCATACATTTGCCGTTTTAAAAATAATAAACTATTCATCAGTTCATTATTTGTTAATATTGTTGCAGGTCAAATAATTTAAATAGCATGTTGGTAACATTTGAGAACCTGTCTAAAAATGTACAGAAACTATGTAAATTAGCTTTTGATTTACCTTGCCAATACGACGAGGCGTGTGCCGTAACTCAAGATAATCAAGAATCCGAAGACATATTTGGTAAAATGTTACAAAATCTAGAAGACGAAACGTTCGAGTTTGACGAAGAAAAACGAAAAATGTTTGATCGTATTACGAGATGCTTCTTTTATGCGGTATTGAAAGTAACAGGACTGTTAGACAAGGGTAACAATGCAGCTGCATTTAAAGAGGTGTTTAAGGTAGGTTAAGTTATAAATAAAATTATTGACAAGGAAAAAAGATGGACAAGTAGCTAGGCTCATAAATCAGTTACGACCTGCCACGTTCCGTTAGACGCAGTGGTGTAACATAACGTTAAACTTGCTCAAAACGATTCTAATAACAGAAGCTTAATCAAGACAATTTTCTTTAATTCAATTGTAATTAATAATTACTTTTATTTACCATGCATTATTGATGCCAAAAAATACCCAGAAATCCGACAAAACGAAATCACTTTCAAACTATTGAAATAAATTCAGACTATCAATATGTTTTATAAAACACAAAATAACCTTTAGTTATATTTATTGCAAATATATGTATTAAAAATTAAATAATTAAATTCTAACGCCACCGTACACCGCGATTGATCGACACAAGCGAAAAAGCTATTATTTTCCAACTCCGCTTATCTCGACCGCCTTTTATGCTCGTAACAGGTTAAAAAACAACGTATCTAAAATAACTACTTATTTCCTAAATGTTATTCTCCACCCCGGTTATCTCGACCGACACGCGTTATGCTCGCAACTGGTTAACAAAAGCTGCTTATTTTGTATACGTTACTTTTAAGCTGTTACGAGCTCAACACGACTATCGACCAATTCAGCAACGTTCGTCGTAGCGGATTCCCCACTCCGCCGTATCACGACGTAACAGGTAAAAAACAACGTATCTAAAATAACTACTTATTTCCTAAACGTTATTCTCCAACCCGGTGCGAGCCCTACATCGACAATCAACCGATGCAGCAGCCGTTACTTTCCCACCCCGGTTATCTCGACCGACACGCGTTATGCTCGCAACTGGTTAACAAAAGCTGCTTATTTTGTATACGTTATTTTTAAGCTGTTACAAGCTCAACACGACTATCGACCGATTCAGCAACGTTCGCCGTAGCGCATTCCCCACTCCGCCATATCACGACTGCCGTCCTTTGTCGATGGTTGTCGAAATAACAGATTTTACATACTAGTTATTTTTTGGAATTGCTTCGACCCGCATAGAATTTCGTGGCGATGCCGATGCAGAGCGCCACATTTTATATCTGTTATTTTTTAGAAGTAGCAACGGTTACGTTATGTTATTTCTAAATAATTGTTATAAAATAACAGATAGTTAAATAACAACCCAGCTGTATCTACAACATTAAAATATGAACCATTTTTTTTATGATTTAACCTTTAAATTCTCCAACAAGTTAAAGAGGGACGTTTGTAATTTTTTAAATGTCAATAATTGTCATGTCTTGAATTGCAAATAGAATCGTAAGATACAGTAATATACAGAGCGTTGCATTAAAAAAAGATTGTAGCTAAGAGTAAAATATCGAGGCCAAAAATATTTCATGCATTTAACTCATGCATTCATTTATATACGATCTGAAACGCCTTGCTTTGGGTGACAATTTTCGTATATGCGAAGAGTACAATCAATGTGTTCAGTACAATAAGGCGTACCGAACAAAGAGAAAAAAGTAAGTATTTTTCCAAACGCCGCGCTGGATTAAGTGGTAATGAAAGAATATATTAATAAACGCTTTTCATTTTTCTCTCGACGACTTACTAGATTGCCATGGCCCATAGCGATTCATAAGCGTAGTATAGCGAGGTGTAAATACTGACCCAAGACTCTTTGTTACCGATAGGATATTATAAGCAATCAAAATTTCAGAATTTAGAATAAGTGACTCTCCATAAACGTCTGATAGGAGAGTATCGTAAATAACTCTGTATATCTGATGAACTATATTATTATACCGTATGATCGAAAAAAAACGGCGTCCAGTTGACTGGGAAATGACAATCGATGACATTTCCCTATAAATTTACATATAAAATGACAGCGATCTTCATTTCATAGCCATCGCTGACGCCGTTTTTTGTCGATCATACGGTACTTCTATACTATAGAATCAAAAATTTTTATGAACAAGTTGGCTTTGAATTTGACAGTTCAAAGCACTCTTCTTCGTAAAACTTTTCGATTAAGTATAATATAATGATTAAGCATATAATTATATTTATTTCTAGTATTCAAATACGTTAAGACAAAAGCTATTCAGTCTTATGTACAGCTCAAAATTTAGAGAGCAGGAACCGATGGAAGAAGATAAGGATAGTGACGAGTCTAAAGTAATATCGGAAGACAATACCCAATTGGTTTTGAGAGAAATCGACTTCGAGATATTTTGTCAGAAGGTTTTACAAAGATGTTTGTTTCTGCTGATCTACGTGCGCGGTACCAAAGTAGATATATCGTTAGGCGAGATGGAGTCAGACGAAGAGGTATCAGAGAAACCTTACATCGAATTTTATAAGTCTGAGAGAGATCCCACGTTAGCCGATTTGAGGCACGTTTGTTCGTTGAGTCTTAATTATGTTATCAGTGGAACTGAGGAAAAAGCAGGATGTAAGGCGTAAGTATATTACCGGTGATAAAAAAACACAGATAAGTAAAAATTCAGTTCATCTTAATAATATTCACTTCATAAAAACTTAATAAAGTTGAAACAATTTGATTTCTCAAAGAACTAGTTCCTCAGGACCTAATTTACAAAGTATTATCTTCAAAATCGAATTGCGAGAGCTAATGTGATTTGACTACTAATTACTAAGAGTTAATTATATATATTTTGAAACCAGCTTTCAAATTTATTAGATAAACATTAATGGAATTGGTGTCTGAGCAACGATTCAGTATGCCTTAATATTATCATCAATTTTTGGTTTTACCACGAGAGTCGATCTAGTGTATTTACAGATATACTATGAATATGTCTAAAGCTTGATTTTCATGCATCCGTTATCCGGTGATACGATGCGATGGTCCAACGGCGCTCTGATAGGTCATAGTGATTTCGCTCCACTTTTCATCCGTAAATTTTTTACCCCAACCCGGCAACGGAGAAAAATCGTACGATAACGTAGGTTTTGACGCTTTTTTGACAAATTTAATCTAACCTTAATAAAAACATAATAGTGCAAGAGCTAGTAGCAATGTCAGTAAGTAAAACAGCGAAATCGTTATGAAAATGAAAATATCAAATGACATTAATCACAAGCAAATCGTAAATCCGATGAATGGAGGCATGAAAATGCAATAAATTTAAAAACTGCGTAATTTTCTAACCAATCGAAGCCTTTAAATTCAACCAAGAAAATTAATATCGTATCGTCGGATAACGGATGCATGAAAGTGAAAGTCAAGTTTAAGTCATTATTTTTTAGCGATAATGGATGGTCAAATGATCCGGCGATTGTTTTGAAAGCTTTGTTATGTCACAAGAAAAGAGCTGCAAGTCGCTTCGAAGCTCTAGATCAGCTTATATACCACCTTACAAGTAAAGAACCAACTTTAACAGTGAGTTGATGACATTTCGAAATATTTGTGAATTAGTACCTATAATTTAATATGCTTTCTGTCAGGTTTTAAACTGTATCCATCAGCAACTATTGGAAGGATGTTTCGGATTTTGTAATATATGCAATGACGACTCCTGTACGCCGTTCCATCATTATTTGGAAGGCATTCAAAGTTCTCCCATGGAAATGCAGGAAAAAATTCGCACAATTGTACAAGGAATTTACGACTACCTAACGACGTCCTTAAAAAATCAAGTGTCCGAAAATTGTGAATACCAGCATTTGCTTTTGGTGACAGTATTTTCCCTTAGCACTCGATATCAACCAAACGATTTGAGCTTGATCATCAACAACGATCTAGTTCAAAATCTAATGCAACTGGTCAATATTGGTAACTTTGGATTTCAGCCTTACACGAAGTCAGAGATTCTCACGATGGCTTCGTTGAGGCTGATACATATATTGGCCATGTCTTGTTGCATCAACTCCAAAAATATTGATATAGCTCCATTAGAAATTATAATCGGTGTTTTACATAATCAGTTTCTAAAAACTATAGAAATTTTTGACGAGTGCTGCCAAGATTTCGTTTCGCAAGCGTTCCAGTGGGGCAACGAACGTCACATGGGCGATTTCCTATTATTTTTAAGAGTTATTTCGTCCGGTAGCAATATTCAACGCCTGTTAGCCACAAAGAAATGGATATATGCGTTTTTGACGATACTGGGTACCTTCAATATGAACTTGAGTTACAACTCCCAGATCAAGGTACTGAGACCGAAATTATTGATACTGCAACTTCTGCAAATAATCCTGCCTAACTTGAAACCGGTACATATAGACGATGCTTTAAGGAAACACATTGTAGCGAAGTTGTTCTGTTTCTTGGGCAAGGAGATATGGGCGGATTCGTCAAATAATTCGTTTTCCGTTTCATTTGGTAACAAATTCGACCCAGCCGATGATATTCTTACTGTCAAAGATTTTAAAGAAAGCGAGGGAAATGTTCCTGTTCACGACATGGGTTTTGATCCAGAAAAATGTGTTAACTGTACAATTGACGGTGCGTATTTAATATAATTCCTATTTTGCTATTCATTACATAACCAAATCTTTTTAAGACATTTATTTTAGATGTTGATATATTTGAAAATTACTAATCGGTTTATTTCAGGAAGCTTAACTTTAATTCATGGATCTGGTGGTCGTGGATACGGATTGGGTTTACAAGCTATAAAATCGGGTTGTTATCAATGGAAAATTCTTATTGTTAAAGAAAACAGAGGAAATGAAGGTACATACATACAAGGTGTCTCTCGCGGAGTAATTGTAAGTTCATTTTTTTAGGAACATGTATAGGGGTTGCTAGACTACCAGTTAGAGATTTTAGTCATAGGTCTACCACTGATATGTGGTTATATAGAGCATATAGTGGAAGTCTTTATCATAATGGGGAAAGAGATATTTGTTTCCAGAGTTACACGCAAGGAGACTATATAACTGTCGTGTTAGATATGGACGCAAAGACTTTAAGTTTTGGTGCGTACTCTAATAATTTTAATCATATATTTGTTGTTATGTGTTAAACGTTTGGTTTAAAACACCATTTTTACCACCATTAATTTTTTGTTTAAAACATGTTTAAACCTTTGTTGGTGTTGCTGTGTTTTAATGTTATTAATTTATTTATGTTTACTGAAATACATATTTTGATTAAAAGAAAATATGTAAAAGTGGGCAACGTTGTACCGGTCAAGTGAACTCCACTTGACCAACAGTCTATTTGATATGAACTATACTTCTTAATGTAGTATAAAACAGAGTTTGCATAAAGTAAGTGTTTTAAACTAGTTTTAAACAGAATACCAACTTTCGATTTAAAATCGTGTTTATAACAATAAAAATTCTTTTAAACAAAAATAAACATGTTTTGTATAAGAATAAAGAGAACATTTTTTTCGGCCCTGGATTATATTGAGTTTTAATATTACAGGCAAAAATGGAGAAGAGCCAAAGATAGCTTTCGAAAATGTCGAGGGTATGGAATTGTTTCCTTGTGTTATGTTTTACAGTACTAACCCCGGAGAGAAAGTTAAAATCACGGACATGAAAGTCCATGGTACACAACGGGATGTACTACCTGGAGAACCAAATTTGGCACCTCTGCATGCAGTGCTCGCGGAAGCCTATATAGGTAATTTGTAGTTTTTATACCAATGTTTTACACCCTTATCTACTTTACTTAAAAGATAAACTTAATATTTATGTAAGCATAGGAGTGAGTTTTAAAAGAATGCATTTTTGAATGCGTCAATTATTCCTAATTTTTGTTATATACTCACATACCAAATCACGTTTTTTAACACGTAAGGTAATCTTTTCCTCGGTATACTATACCTATTATATTCTTTTATTCATTTATCATATAATAAAAAAATCTTATTAAATGCATCTCAGTTATAATTTGTTAACAAACTTTATTTTTAGGACTTATAAGAAAGCTTCACAATTCGGTTACATGGACTAATGATGTAAATACCGCTTTGAAGCAGAGAATAAATAAAATTGAAGAATTATTTCCCAATGTCGAAACTCACAATCTTGACGAGGCGTCCTCTAGAAAGATGGTAGATTTAAAACCTGAGGTACAATAGAACAAGTAAACTGTTTTTTTTTGTATGACCTAAGGTGGTTTAGTAAATCGAAACTCACTTGTCAAATTAAGTTAAATTTCATTGCTTATTTTATAAATATTATATCTTTAAATAATTATTTATATCACCCAATTTTTTTAATTTGAATGAAGCCCTTGTAGCATATTTTAGAATCTTTTATTACATACATTTTTAGCTTGAAATTAATTTAGAAGAAATGTGCTCTGTAGTTTGGCCAGCGCTGGCTGTTATTGGAGGATTAGATAGAGGTTTAAGAATGGGAGGTTATTGTAAACATAAAACAACCGGTAAAAAGGCTATCGTTTTAGGTATCTTAAAGAAGGGTAATTATATACGAAAATTAAGTTTTTATTCCCATAATTTAAATGTCTTTAATATATTCTCTAGGTATAACTACCGTTAACGTTCAGTGGGAACATGACAGTGGCGTATCAAATGTGGCCATATCAAATTTGGAGTTTATCGAACCTGAACCGTTTTGTACTGCTAAGTTTACAGGTAAATTTTTATAATAAATACATGTGGTATTTTTCTGAAACTAATAATCTCATCGATAACATTAAATGTTTATAAAGTAATTTCATTAATTCAAAATTTGAGTTCCAAATTTGGGTCAAAATAATTAAAATATTTATGGATTTATATATTTTATTTGACAATTTATTGTGCATATTTCAGGTTTAAACTGTAACATTCTGCTTCAACTGGCCAGATTGTCTGGCATTACCAACGAAATATCGTTTCCGCTGTACGAGCTGAACGAAGAAGAGGAGGAAGCGTTTCTGCCTTCCGACATTAAGAAACGATCTTCAGGAGCCGAAGAAATGTTACATTCGATTTCGGATTCTCAGGTTAACACTAAAAGTACGATGGAAAAGTCACAAATGCCGCGGACAGTGGAAAGTCTGACTAACGAAATGGTGTCAAATATTATGGGCGAAGTTAAAAGAATAAGTACCGAAAAATTGACAGGTAATAGTTATATACAGGGTGGTCCGAACTGTATTCCGGAAACTTCGGTAGCATATTCTGCAGATAAAAATAAGTAAAAAACTTCGTATAAATGTATGTCCCAAAATGCTTAGTTTCGGAGATACAGGGTGTAGAAGTTTCATTTTTATTTCAATTTTTTCCAAATAATTCATGAAGTAACGTCAATATTTGTATTAAAATTGGTTTGGTTATGGCGCCTCCTACAAATAGGCGTCATATTGACATGAAAATCGTATTTCTCATGTCAAAAAACTCCCAGACACCAATTTTCATCCAAATATTGACGTTACTTCATAAATTATTTGGAAAAAATCGAAATAAATATAAAAGTTCTACACCCTGTATCTTCGAAACTACGCATTTTGGGACATACATTTGTAGGAACTTTTTTACCTATTTTTATCTGCACAATAGGCTGCCCAAGTTTCCGGAATACAATTCGGACCACCCCGTATGCACTCAGATGCAAAAAAAACGCGACGGAAAATATTTTGGTCACAAGTTTAAAATGTTATATTTTTTTATTTTTAGCTCTATTGCCATAATTTTTTTTAGCAAACTGTGTATAAATCTACCAGCTTTAATTCATAAATTCAGTTTTTTATAAACTTTACTATTTGGCTTATTATACAGGGTTAATCGAAGAGTTGTTTTTTACCCTATCTTTAAAACACCCTGTGCAATAATTTCGTGAGCAGATTTTCCTAAAATATTATTTTTCGGTCAAAAAATTGAGAGGTTAAATGTGAATCGAATTACATCATGACAACAGCATAAACTAAAGGCAAAAATTATTATAAACGCTAAAAATCAAATTCACAAGTTATTTTCACGCCGAATAAAAATTCACGATCACACAGTATACCTGAAAATGCCAATTCAGGTTCAGTTAGCTCAACTTTAATGACATTAATAAGCACACAACATGTCTAAAGACAAATTTTATTCACTTACTTAACTTTGTATACCCTTTCGGATTTTTTGTATAAATAATATTACCAAATATCCATCTCGTTACTGGATAAAATTGTGGATATCTTTTAGGTTCGCAAAGTGAAACTATACTTAGAGATCAAAATGCCGACGCCACTAAAAACCAACAGAACGACAGTGCCGAAACTGAAGAGCTTCAGCAAAAATTTGCATTAATGGAAGACGAATATATAAAATTGGCCTTTTTGCAGTTTGCTGCTTTAAAAGCTTTAGGTAATGATTTATACGTATAGTTCATATCAAATAAACTTTTAGTCACGTGATTAAGCTTGACCGTTGCCCACTTTTACATATTTTCTTTTAATCAAAATATTTTAGGAAACTAAAATAAATTAATTATTAACATATAAACAGTTATTATTTACATCTACAAAATTCACCTTAACAGCACTTAAGGGATATATAGGGTCATTACCACCGCTTTCCCGTTCAAATTTTTTTACGGCTATTAAGCTATTTTGTACACTTCGTACTAAAAGAGTTTCTAATAAGAACAATGTTCGACTGTAAGGCCTGCTAGTAAAAATGTTTAAGCTTAAACTATCACAACAAAATTCATTTAAACTAAAAACCCGTTATACAAAACTAAAGTGTCAAAACCAATAACAATGTCAGGAAATAAATAAATCAATGTTTGGTAACTTGACATTTTTACAGCAGAGCTATCACTTGAATTACCAGCGCGAAATTTCATTTCCAGTTAGTCAGCCCGGCACCGAATATGTCCATGTTTGACAACAATGAATTTAAAAATCACTCCCTCGATTACGTAGCTAAAAGTTTAATTGATATTCAAAGATATATAAATTTTACATTTCATATATCAAAATCATGCTTTTTTTAGGGTCATTTATAATGACAACTCAATTCACAGAATTGTTTTTAATAAATGCTAGCAATTCGGAACATGACGTAGACATTATAAAGGAAATAATGCATAGCATTGTCGATAAAAGTATTGATCAGTGTAAATTAAAAAATATCATTACAGTCGCTGACACAGAAAGGTAAGAGTACTAAAATAGTTTTTAAGTACTAAATTTCACGCTGTTTTCGTATACATGCTAACGTTCAAACAAAATTATTATTTACCAGCGCACTTCTACAAACCTGTTACATGCCAAATTCGCAGACTTGATCTGTCAGATGAAATTGGTCTAAAAAAACTAACGAAGGACAAAAGTCGGATAAACGTTTGTCTACAGGGTGATCCGAACAGATATAATAAAAATAAGTAAAAAACTTCGTATAGATGTATGTCCTAAAATACTTAGTTTCGGAGATACAGGGTGTAGAAATTTCATTTTTATTTCGATTTTTTCCAAATAATTTCTGAAGTAACGTCAATATTTGGATGAAAATTGGTGTCTGGAAGTTTTTTGATATGAGAAATTTGATTTTGATGTCAATATGACTCCCATTTGAAGGGTGCGCCACCTATATGTGTTTTAAAAAATGTCTATACCTATGTGGCGGATTCATCTCTCCAAAAAAATCCTATATGGGGTTTTTGCCACTGCACTATACAGGGTGAATTTGAAAACGAACAGTATTTAATATTGCCTCTCCTGATGATAGTATGAAAATTTGGGGAGAGAAACACGTCAATTTACATATCAAGGGGGACAATTTTTGAGGCATTTGTTGTCGTGTTACTGGTAGGTACAAACATTTTTAAATGAAGTTCTATGAGGCGGCGAATGCAATCCGTTTTAAAATTAGATATTAAATTCATTTCATTCATTTGTGAGGTTAAGTATCACAATTTTAACAAAATAATAATGCAGTTTATGTAGAATTTTACAAGGAACACAGGAAAAGAAATAGGGGTTGCCATTTAAAATTTTAGGGGTCAAAACCCTGGGGTCAAAGGGTTGAAAGTAACACGACAACGTATTCATAATTTCAATTCCAAATATCTCGAGAACCATTACGCGTAGCGATTTTTACCAAGAGACCTTTTTTACGCAAAAAACGTCCTAAATGTATATTTCATTATTCAGTAGTTTTATACAGATACGGACAAAAAGTTATTACTCTTCAAATCAATTAAAAAATATGTAGGTGGCGCCCTCTACAAGTAGGAGACATATTATCATCAAAATCAAATTTTTTATGTCAAAAAACTCCCAGACACCAATGTTCATTCAAATATTAACGTTACTTTAGAAATTATTTGGAAAAAATCGAAATAAAAATGACATTTCTACACCCTGTATCTCCGAAACTAAGCATTTTAGGACATACATTTATACAAACTTTTTTATTTATTTTTCTGCAGAATATGCTGCCGGAATTTCCGGAATACCGTTCGGACCACCCTGTATATGAAAACTGCTAAAAAAACGTCGAATTTTGTTAGAAACGTCGAAAATGTCGCAGACCAAAATACTAAAGTTTTGGTACGCGACAGGCTAAGTCCGCGGACTAAATCCGCAGGCCTGGTGTGTAGGGGGCTATTAAGTTCTTATAAATATACTCCCACTAGTGATAATGTCAAAGAATAGAGAGTTCGACTCTCTTGACGTATTTAATAAAATTATTACAATTAGACTGTAAGTTTTGGAATAAAAGTTTTCAAAAAGAACGCATGTTTGTGCTTCGTTTAAGAGCAAGACAACTTTGAACGTGAAATAATAATACATAATTTTGTAGAGCTCTAAATGTCCTTCATATGAGTTATACTAAATCAAAATGCAAGGAAGATGTAGATTGTCAGTTTAGAAATATCGATGAACTTTCTTCGTCCCAAAATGATAATGTAGGTAGTTACCAAGATGCGAGTAGTACGTCCATATCACATAGTCCAGGGTGTAGCTCTTTTCAAGACGTATCGACGATAAGGTTGTATTATATAATTGATTAAGAATTTTTTTCTAATATACAATATTTTTTAGAGTTCCAAAGTTTCCAAGGAAAATCATTAGACCCCCATCCTCTCTGCGAGCACAATGTCTTAACTATTCTAGGGCGATATCATTACAGCCAAGTCCAACCAGTGCTTTTTCTACAAGGTCAGTGCCTTTGGTGTTATACATTTTTAAATACAGGGTGTTTCAAAAAAACATGTGCCATCTCTCGTGGGGAGATTCCTCACGTAAAAATAAGATTTATTTTTCATATCAACATAGGTCCGATTCTGCTTTGTTTCGTAGCTACAGGGTGTTAAAGTTTTAATATTTTTCCGATTTATTATAATTTTCTTCCAAGTACTGTTAGCGATTCGAATGAAATTTTGAGGGCAAAAGTTACTATAAATGCGACATATTTTAACGCTAAAAAAGTGTTTCTCTGGAATATTTTTCTAAAAAAAGCATGTACGCCACTGACCTATTTTTCTCTTCTTAGCATAAGCCGTTTAAGACCGAAAAGTTGTCTCTTGATATTTTGTCCATTTCGGCTTTCTTGATGAGATAAACGCAATTTTATTAATTTACCCTGATCCAAATCTAATAGCAACCTTTAAAAAAATATTATCATTAACTTGCAAACGTTTTAAATAAGTAGGTACTCATTGATTCCTGATCAAAAAATATGAGAAAATGTTCCTATAAACGAGTATGGAAATGCATAGTTTTAGAGTTACAGGATGTTAAAACTTTTTAAAATTAGTTTTTTTGTAATTATCTTAAATAACATTATTTTGTTACTTGATATTGCTGTATGTTGGACTTTTTAAGAGATAACTTTTAATTGGCATTAAACGGTCTACACAATTTTGATATCAAAAGAAAAAAAGTCAGTGGCACACGTTTTTTTTTTGAAAAATATTCCAGTGATAACCCATATGCACGTCCCTGATGCATTTATTGACACTTTTTTTAGCATTAAAATATGTAACACTTATAGTAACTTTTACCCTTAAAATTTCATTCAAGTCGCTAAAACTACTTGGAAAAAAATTCTAATAAATCGAAAGATTATTGAGATTTTAACACCCTGTAGCTACGAAACAAAGCAGAATCGGACCTATATTGATATGAAAAATAAGTCTTATTTTTACGTGAGGAATCTTCCCACGAGAGATGGCACATGTTTTTTGAAACACCCTGTATTCACATTATTAAAAAGACAAAGGAGGAGCAGACTTTCTAGATGCATTTTGTCCATTTTTTCGAATTTTGGCAAACAAAGAAAAACTGCCACGCTTTTTGCAAGAAACTTACCGAAAAACGAATGAATATCTTTTAAACGGTTAATTTAATCGACTTAAAGAAACAATTTTTGTAGAGCAGTGAATTTCCTACAAAACCGTGAGTATTATAATGATTTTTTGTTAACGAGTTATACAATTCATAAGAAAAAAGAAAACTGCCCCAAAAATAATCCTTTTAAAAATAAAGACTTCAAACTTTAATAACTTTCGAACGGTGAGGTTTAGAAAAAAATAGTTAGAGATTTTTTTGTGGCAAATTCAATTTCCTACAAGTATATACAAGGTGTCCCAGAAATAAGTGCAAGTATTTTAAGGGGTGGTAGATCTCGATAAAAGAAACATTATTTTCTCTTTGTCATTTCTCAGATAAGTCCAAAATAACGGAGTTGTTTTACTTTGAAAATTTCCAAAAAAAATGATTTTTTGCTAAAATTTTGAGAACCACTGGATCTTTCCTATATTTTCTCTCTTGTAAATTTAATCTAATACCTAGAATAGAATTTAGAATAAGTGGGAGGGGGGTTAATCTCTGCGACCTTAGAGATCTATTGTGTCCCCCTTTCTTGAGTTATAACTCATCATACAGTCCCAGGACTTCCTACGGAGACCCGTGTCCCTCACAGTCGAGGAGCTACGACCCAGGCCGGGTAGACGAAACGGTAGCTTGTGTCGCCTGTTGGGTTTAGAGGTAGGAGGTAGGCTCCCGACCTTTGGAGGAGGTGGTAGCTTGTATGCCACTTGCGGAGGATGGTCTCACGCAAGTGTCAGCCACCTCTCCTGTAGTTCTCTTTGGGTTTGGCCCCTTGGAACTTTCATTGTTACTGTTCCCAGTGTCGCTAGGGGGTTTCCCCACAGCTTCACCGGTGATGTTTTTATTACTATTATTACCAGATCTCATAGTGTTCCTATGAGTCGCTAGGGACAGTCGGTCCACTTCTACAGAGCCCCGCATGTAGAAGTAAGGGGTAAAGTACAATGGGGTGCCCCAAGGTTGAGGCTGTCCGGAGCCCCGCCCGGTATCGTTATATGTCTTGGTACAATTCCCTGGCCACAACACTACAGTCAGGGACAAGACGATGAGTGAGATGCTTCTTAGACCAAGCTAAGTGCTAGGGGGGATTCCCCCCAGCACCTGACCAGGAGCTTCCCCACCAACGACGAGGTCTTGCATCTCCTAGGGGAAGAATCTAATACCTATGTTGCCATATTATCAAGAAATGACGGTTTTTAACTAAAAACAAAAAAAAAATCCAAAACGTTTTTAAAAAACTTTTCTGGGGTTGAACTATACTACCAGTTAAAATACTTGCACTTATACAGGGTGATTCCTGTAAGTCGGTCATGCTTTGGAGGAATAATAGGGGACGTCGAAATATTAATTTTGATATAGCACACTATGGGTCGGAAATGCCTCTTACGCAAGATACAGAGTCTTAAAGTTGTTGAAAAATTAAAGATATTCTTTAATAGTTTTGTAACAGTTCAAGGTATCGTTATAAAATTTTATTATAGGAGTCTGCCTAACAGAGACACTTTAAATGTAAAAAGAAGAGGTTTTAGTTTCAACCAGCGGCGTAGCTGTAATACGCATCGGATAATATTTTCAAAAAAAATACGCCACTGATAAAAATAAAAATTTCGGAGTTTTTTTTATTTACTCGGTTTATTTCCAAGAAAAAATGTCTCTTGCAGCTTTCTTCTATCTAACACCAGTTTGTCACAATTTAAAAATAAATATTTTTTTAATGAGAACCTTAAATATGCGAATTATTATAACTACCTTAAAACTACGAATTTTATTATTAACAATAAAAAAAATTTTAGTTTAAATTTGTAATTTTTTAAAAATTTATTTAGAGCTAATAGTAAAAAGTACTAAAGTTGCGCAAATTGAAGGGAGCTAACGATGCACATGTGTTTCTGCCCTCTAGTTATAATAATTCGCTGTATTTAAGATTCTCATTAAAAAATTTATTTATTTTTAAATTGTGACAAAATGGTGTTAGATAGAAGAAATTTGCAAGAGACATAAACCGAGTAAATAAAAAAACTCCGAAATTTTTATTTTTATCAGTGGCGTACTATTTTTTTTGGAAAAATTACCTGATGCGTATCACATCTATGCCACTGGTTGAAACTAAAATCTCTTCTTTTTACATTTAAAGTGTCTCTCTTAGGTAGATTCCTATAATGAAATTTTACAACGATACCTTCAACTGTTAAAAAACTATTAAAGCATATCTTTAATTTTTCAAAAACTTTAACACCCTGTATCTTGCGTAAGAGGCATTTCCGACCCATAGTGTGCTATATCAAAATTAATATTTCGACGTCCCCTATCATTCCTCGAAAGCATGACCGACTTACAGGAATCACCCTGTATAGCGAGATATTTTATAATATATACAGGGTGGTCCGAACTGTATTTCGAAAACTTCGGCAGCATATTCTGCAGATAAAATAATAAAATGCTTAGTTTCCAAGATACAGGGTGTAGAAGTTTCATTTTTATTTTGATTTTTGCCAAATAATTTCTGAAGTAACGTCAATATTTTGGTGAAAATTGGTGTCTGGAAGTTTTGGGAGTGACATGAGAAATTTGATTTTGATGTCAATATGACTCCTATTTGTAGGGGACACCACCTACATGTGTTTTAACTGCTTTGAAGAGTAATAACTTATCGTCCGTACCTGTATAAAACTACTGAGTGAAAAAATATACATTTCCGTGACTTTTTACGTAAAAAATGTCTCTTGGTAAAAATCGCTACGAGCAACCGTTCTCAAGATATTTAGAATCGAAATAGTCAATACATGTCATTATTGACAAAAAATAAACATGTTGAGTAGATAGTTATTTGACCTGAATTGATAAATTTGGGAAATTTTTATTTTTTAAATTAATCATAACTTTTCAGCGAAAAAATGTTGATAAAACAGTTTCTGTTGAACTTTTGACACAAAAACATTTCAAATTTATGATTTCAGTCTAATAACTATTTAGTCGACATGTTTAATTTATGTCAGTGATGATAGGTATTGATAATTTCGATTCTAAATATCTCGAGAACCATTACTCGTAGCGATTTTCACCCAGAGACCTTTTTTACGTAAAAAACGTCGTAAATTTATATTTTTTACTTAGTAGTTTTACAGGTACGGACGAAAAGTTATTACTCTTCAAACCAGTTAAAAAATTTGTAGGTGGCGCCCCCAGGCATATTGACATCAAAATCAAATTTCTCATGTCAAAAAACCCCCAGACATCAATTTTCATGCAAATATTGACGTTACTTCAAAAATTATTTGGAAAAAATCGAAATAAAAATGAAACTTTTACACCCTGTATCTCCGAAATTAAGCATTTCAGGACATACATTTACACGAACTTTTTTACTTATTTTTATCTGCAGAATATCTTGCCGAAGTTTCCGGAATACAGTTCGGACCACCCTGTATAGGCGAGATGTGAATTTTTCTTTCTAATAATAAGGAAAAAATAGAAAACTGAAAGGCGGAGGACTTTCCTATTAATATTAACAGCTCAAATTTCAAATGAGGCGGCAATACTGTAACGTTGAAAATAATTTAGTTAGATGAAGCAAGCGCCTTTATGTAAAATTCCAAATTTTCAAAAAAAACCCTAACAACGGTTCTCCATAAACGTCTAACCTACTATCGCCGTGAATCACCCTACATTTAAATTATTTTACTAATTCATTAGGGTACACAGGTTCGGTTCGTCGGAATCGGAAGACAATTTATGGACCATTAGACGCAGATCTAATTCTATACCGGCTCCTCCGATAGCGGTTCCCCTTTTGGAAATGGGCTTTACTCTCAAACACATATTGAAAGCTCTGTGCGAGACTCACAGTTCGGGAGAGGTGAGCGCCAGAACCATCAACACGCTGGCGACTTGGATGTGCGAGCATCCGTATCTGGAGGCTAGAGTAGAACCTAGTTCGAGCAACGTGTCTTCGTTTAGAGAACTGTGGAACAGAAGCAACGACTTAGTTGATCAACAGAACTTTATTATTGAAAGGTTAGAGTACAATTACTTAGAGTACACATTAATATCGTATGATCGAAAAAAAAAAACGGCGTCAAAGACCGCTGGGGATTATGACATTTGATGATAGTAGTAAATTTTAAGTTAAAATTTCTTTTTACTGCCAGGGATAATCTGGACGAGGCCTACTATGTTTACGCGGAATCTGAACCGCGGTCATCGGCCATATCATGGTCAATGGCCTACCATTGGCTAGTGTCTAAATCGACTCTTACTCACCAGATATCCGATCTCATCCGGCCTCAAACCGACGAATGAGCAGTGTGTGTCAATAGATTTTACACTCTTGCCATGGAACAACAGCACGACAGAGTTTCCTGATGGTCACCCGTCCATCCACTGGTATCGCCTTACGTCGCTTAACTTCGGTGACCTAACGGCAACCGGTGTTTCGACGGAGCTAGGCCGTTGCTACACAATCGAAGTAAATTTTGGCTAATTTGGAGAATTCTTCTTAATTTTTTTTTCTAGCGCTTACCGTCAGTTGGCGTTAAGAGGTTGTAATTTTTTTTATATTGATTAAAACTTATTTTTAAATGGTGTAGTAAAAAATACGAGAAAACATTTTTTTGAAGTAGCACAACCCTATTGGAAACATAATTAGTGCTAATTTTTGAAGTTTTATGTCAATTTTTAGTAACTGACATCTATCATCGATTGTTATTCCCTAGCCCGGTGCTGTTTTTTTCGATCATTCAGTACTTTGGGCATTTAAACTGAAAGAATAAATCGTAACTATTCCAGCTTTTTTATCGCCATATGACGAAGTATATGGCGGTAAGTAAATCTGTAATATTCTAATAAGGTTGCGATGAATTTTTTACGGCTATTAAGCTGTCTTGTACACTGCGCACTAGAAGAGGTTCTATAAAGAGCAAGGTTCTACTGCAAGATCTGCTAGTCATTTTTTAAGCTTAAAGTATCACAACAAAATTTATTTAAACCAAAGACTCGTAATACAAAACTAAAATGCCAAAACGAATGACAATGTCAGGAAATAAATAAATAAATGTGGCAACTTGACATTTTTTACAGCAGAGCTACCACCTGTATCCCCAGCGGGAAATTTAAATTTCAGTTAATCAGCCGCGGCGCTGCATATGTCCATGATTGGCAACAATGAATTTAAAAATCTTGCGTTCGATTACGTAACTAAAAGTTTAATTGGTATCGCTTATAGGTCCCAAGACTTACTGAGACCACAGACCACAACGTCAGCAACTAACGAAAATCTTCAACGAAGAGGCATGGGGCCAAGGCGACGTGCCTATGCAGAATTTCGAAGTTTGGTAGAAAAAGTGGACAGGTAAAAAGTAAAAAAAAGTTTTTATATTACCGATTGTTGTCACTGGTTTTATTAGGGCTCTACAAGATCGTGTTAGAGAAAGACAACAGTTTAGAGAAAGACAACACGTTAGAGGTGAAGCTCAGCCTTTATTGAGAGACCTAGGGGCAGCTTCTGGGATTATGGATGATATGTCATCCCAAGAATGCGAAGGTAAACATTGTTTATACATATCACGTGATTAAGCGATAGCGACGTTACAGTACATATAGAAATATTTCCATTCGAGTTTTACTATATCTATAGGCATATTATATATTTTTAGCAAATATCTGTTCCTGTTTAGCAAATATCTGTTTTGTAATCCTGTTTAAAATGGGTATAAAGTATGGTGGGTATAAAAAAAAGTAAAAAATGGGTATGAAGGTGGTATAAAGCGCTAGTATTTGTAAACGATTATTTGAAATTACAGTACAGATCTATACCCATGTGTGGTGTGGGGTAAAACGTTTATTTTAGTACATTTTGATTGATTTGTATTATAATTTTTTAATTATAATTTTCTCTTGTAATATCAAAGACTCCAATCCAAACTGTATTTTAAAGGCGCCACAGCAGATATTCCGACGGGAGAATCAAGCTCATCGAATTACGTCTATGTTAGCAAACAATGCGCCGTATGTCCTTACTGTGAACATTTGTCGCCCTACCTTGACGCTCATATGTTATCCCATCATCCTGGATGTGGAGCTTTGTGGGGACCTGGAGTTTGTGGATACGTCACTGACGGGTATGTTTTTATGACGTTTAAAATTTAACAGTCTCGGCCACCAAATTGTAAATATAGGAAACACTATACTGGACAGTATGAAATAAAAGTATTTTTTAATATCTTTTTAGCTTTTACATTATCTGTTACAAATGCAAGAACAAATACTTAAACAAGAACAAAGCCGACAATATTTTATTGAACAAATGCCCGGATATATTCTTTGACGATGACGATAATACAGAGACTGATATGCAGAGTTTGAACTTTTCTATATCAGAATGCGATAACTTGGAAGATATCAAAGGGTAATTATACTAAGGGCTGGCAAAGGTTGGTTTTGGGTCGAGATTTCCGTATGTAGGAAGAGTACAATGCGTTTATAATGTACTGAACAAAGAGAGAACAGTAAAAACGTTGCCAAACGTATAAAATAAACCGAGAAACTGTGCACATTGTTAAGAGACGTGGAAGGGGCTATTAGAACTCTGAATTCAAAAATCGATATCTCGAAATCCATTAGAAATAATTGATTATAGTTTTTTTCACAAACTTTCTTATTATTTCTGCTATATTTTCTTCGCAGACAGTTTGCTGAAAATTCCTATACACTAAAAGTAAATGGATGGATTTTTTTTTAAATTTTTGAATGGAAGAAAAACAAGACTATCGAATTTTTCGTATTTAAACATTTTGTTAAAGATCCGAACTTCAAAATGAAAAAAGAACTTTCAATATCTAAAGTGGCTCTTGAGTTATCGCCTGTTATGTGTTAAAAAGTTGAGTTTTTAAATTATCGCGATTACTGACGTTTTCTCGTTATAAAAAAATGGAGACCTTAACGATATCCTTATAATTCCATTTCAGATGCTCAGAAACATATCTAATGATTTTATCTAGTTATCTTTTCGAAAAAAAGTCTTTTAAAAATAAGCGGTTTACGATCGTGATTTTACTTTACTGTAAAATGTGACGGTGTGCTGTTGTGGCAACACCACAACAGCACACCGTCGCGTTTCTTCCACTCCGACTTAATAAGATCCCTATGCGATTTACTTTCCCACATGTAAATACCGACCCAAAAGTAAGAGTTGCCAGCACGGTATATCTAAATTATGATAATATTTAGGTTGATTAACATATCTATTTGTAGATTTTTGGGTGTTTCTGAGAAAGATTTCTCTTTAAAACCCATCAATTTTCACGGAACTGATCCATTAGGAACCAGCGCTGTGACAAAAATTCCTCCAGATAATGAAAAAACGGATGAAATCAAATGTAAAAGTATCGGCAACCAGGCATCGCTTCTTAGTACTCCTTTACAGAGAATTTTTGCATTTAAAGCCCTCTCTATATCAGTAAAAATATTACTTTCAAGGTAACACAATTTTAAAATGTTGTTAGAGCACTTCTCACATTTTTATTTGCAGACAAATTATACTGAACGTCCTTTCTTTGTTGTCCATGTCTACAAATTATGTAAGTTTGATTTCCTGTCTGGAGCTAATAGGTTTGAGTGATATGGCTAAAGTGGTTCGACTGATGACGCTCACTGCCATGAACAGAGTGGAACTGAGTAAAATACAGTCCTCTCCATATTTCTTAAGCCTCAGACTTCCAGAAGATTTTAATCACCTTACGACGAACTTACCGAACGCCGCAAATTCATGTTTGAAGTATCTAAGCGTTAGTATTGCAGCTCTTGCTCAAAACGAAATAGAAGCTTCGAATTTGGTGGTGAATATTTGTACTAAAGATCTGCTCATGGCAGCTTTTGGTGTTGCAGTTCCTAAATCAGGTATTGTTAAACGATAAGCAATAAAATTGTTTCAAATATAAAATTCTTTTGTTTAAAGCATTTGCAGTAACTCAGGCTCTTGTTAATATACTATCCACACACGGAGGATGTTCTCTGATGGATTTACCAAAAGAAGAAGTTTGTTTAAGTCCATCCATAGAGAGGCAAAATGTGGGTCCCTTGATATTAGCGAATGCTTTATCATCCTATATTTTGTCTAATAGGTAAGTTTTAATTTTTATGATATAGTTACGGATACCGTAGGTCCATATATTTAAACATACGATAACATAATTAATTATATTAAACAACTAAATACTTCACTAATTTAATTATACCATAAAAACTTACAATAGCAGCTAACTTTTTTGAGACTTTTTGGGACAACTGACTAACTCGTCTAGAGCGTCTTATGTACTCACGAATTTCACTTCTGGTAATTTGTTTCCTATTCTAACTATTTTGATTTGGGAATTTACGACGTCGTAGAGTAATAATATCTCTTGATTATCGATTATCATCGACTATCATCCTCTTATAGGACCTTACCGTTGATTGAAATAATTAGGTAGATACGCTATCTAATGGTCAAATTCGTGACAAGACTGATTTGATTTCTCCTTACGTCTCAAGTGCTGTACGGTGGAGCCTTACTCGTTCTGCGACCAACGCATAATACACTCATTTTCTTTAATTCACCTAGCGAAGACATATCGAAGGTTATATGCCATATTAAAATGTGTAATATCTGTAATAAGTTTGACGAAAATATCTTTGGATGAAAAATCCGTGTTCATGTATTGAACATTTATTCATGTTAAACATAGAATAAACAACAAAAATAAAGATTATTTTATTGGTACTGAAAATTTCGTATGATCGAAAAAAGTGGTTTAGTTGGCTTGTAAATGACGACTATTGACATTTACCATAAAATTTTACATATGAAATAAAGCGATTTTCATTTCAAAGCCAACTCTGACGCGGTTCTTTGTTTTATCATATAATGTTATATTAAATTGTTTAATGATAGAAAATCCGTATTATTAACGTACTGTACCCAAAATCCGTAAATCTACGGATTAATCTGTAGTTTTGGCAACACTGTCTCCGGCACACCCACTCTATCGAGTGAAAGCAGAACAACGGTACAGTATTATTTATCCGCTACGCTGTAAACGACCTAATCTAAGTCTCGGATATGTAACGGCAACGCCAGCTATATCTCGGGCATGTTTTGGGTCACGAAATCGCCTATAAGGTTGCGCATCTTCTTATTTCTTCAGTCAACGATCTTACATTACAGGATTATCGTTTCATATATTATCGAGAGATGTCGCTAATCATTTTATACCATTTTAGGGTTACTAACAAATCGTGAAATAGAGTATGTTTTACAAATTTTATGATCAAGTAGACAAAACTTGTAAACATTTTATAAAATTCTTCGTTTAGTTGAAAGTAAGCTATTTACATTTTTTCAAATGTAACGTTAGTGAAAATACTAATATCGAACACTGTTAAACTGTGAGGTATTATATTAATTATTGATTTTCTTTTTAACTGCCAATACCACATTTTAACCATACACTATATTATACGGTTTTTTATAGAGTGGCAAAACAAGCCAAAGAATGGGCAGCTCAGCAGCTCTTTAAATCTATTGCTACGAAAGTCCAAATGATGTCAGGCTCAAACCTAGAGCAAGTTAATTTTGCCGATTTGTCTGGAAGTATGCCCAAACAGAATATTAGTACCCTAGACGGTAAGTTGTAGACTTACCAATAATAAATATAATTAATGACCATTGTAATCCATCAAAATTTGTATTTTAGGCCATGACAATCGAGTAAGTACGCTAGCTTGGAATAAAAAAACTAGGATATTGGCTTCGGCAGGCTATGATGGCACAGTACGTTTATGGAGTTTTGTTAATGGAAAGATACCTATCTTAGATTCTACGCTTGTGTTCCATACTAGTATAAATACATTTGGTAATGACCTACAGGGAAAACTTATAGGTACATATCTTTTTTTTCGCGTAATAGTAGATTTAACTATATGGATAATTTTATCTTAGGTCACTTAGAGTGGTCGCCAATGGGTGACTATCTAGCAGCTGCTTTGGACAGTGTAATAAATATTTGGTGCATCAGAAAAACTGAACAATCTCAAGAATTTGATTGGTTCGTCGAGCACCAAAAGGAGTTTATAACAGTTATGTGCTGGCCTAAGAATAAAAACGAAAACGCCACAGATAAAGATTATTTATTAGTAGGAAAAATAGACGGTAATTAATGAAATAGTAGACGAACAATAAGTATATAAAAATATGTATTTATTTTTAGGCACAGTGACACTTCTAACGGTTCTGCATGCTTCCAAACGAGTAGAAACCTTAATGAACTTCTCCTTATCTAATGCAGTGGTTCATATGGACTGGTATCACGAAGATCATTATTATGCAATTGGATATTTAGATGGTAGTCTAAAGTTAGGAAAACTGGATTGTCAAGCGAATATAATTACTATGCAAGCTCACGAAAGTCCAATAAGTGGCTTATGTTGGAATCCAGAGGGTAAGTAACATTGAAAAAAAATTAGGAAGGAATCAAATGCCATTGTTTGTGACGTCACTGATTTTTTTGTTAGTTTTGTTTGACTTTTGGCAGTATTAAATATACATATAGGCTTGGTGCATTTCAGTTCATTTTAAAAATTCCGACCACAACGCCCGAACGGCAGAAATTATAGAATTATATAATAAATTTTCGTATACTTGCTATTGTATTTGTATACAGGATGGTCCGAACTGTATTCCGGAAACTTCACCAGCATATTCTGCAGATGAAAATAAGTAAAAAAGTTCGTATCAATGTATGTTGTGTGTTTCGGAGATACAGGGTGTAGAAGTTTCATTTTTATTTCGATTTTTTCCAAATCATTTCTGAAGTAACGTCAATATTTGGATGAAAATTGGTATCTGGGAGTTTTTTGACATGATAAATTTGATTTTGATGTCAATACTACTCCTGTTTGTAGGGGACGCCACCTACATGTGTTTTAACTATTTTGAAGAGTAATAACTTTTCGTGCGTACCTGTATGAAACTACTGAGTGAAAGAATATACATTTTTCTGATTTTTACTTAAAAAATGTTTCTTGGTAAAAATTGCTACGAGCAACCGTTCTTAAGATATTTAGAATGGAAATAGTCAATACATGTCATTATTGACAAAAAATAAACATGTTGAGTAGATAGTTATTTGACTGAAATTATAAATTTTTTTGAACTTTTTTTTTCTTAAATTAATCATATCATTCTTCGAAAAAATGATGATAAAACAGTTTCTGTTGAACTTTTGGCACAAAAACATTTCAAATTTATGATTTCAGCCTTATATAACTATTTAGTCAACATGTTTAATTTATGTCAATGATGACAGGTATTGATAATTTCAATTTCAAATATCTTGAGAACTTAGAGCGATATTTCCCAAGAGACCTTTTTTTACGTAAAAAATGTCGTAAATGTATATTTTTTACTTAGTAGTTTTATACAGGTACGGACGATAAGTTATTACTCTTCGAACCAGTTAAAAAACATGTAGGTGGCGCTCTCTACAAGTAGGAGTCATATTGACATCAAAATCAAATTTTTCATGTCAAAAAACTCCCAGACACCAATTTTCATCCGCATATTTACATTACTTCATAAATTATTTTAAGAGATTCGAAATAAAAATGAAATTTCTACACCCTGCATCTTCGAAACTAAGCATTTTATGACATACATGTTGCCGAAGTTTCCGGAATACAGTTCGGACCACCCTGTATAGCGTTGTTTACGATATTCTCCGATGATAACAGCAGCGGCAAAGAATGCACCAAACCTATACTAAAATTAAAGAAAGGCGTTTTAAAAATGAAAACATTTATAGGCGAATTACTAGCTACTATTTCAATTGATGCGACTTGCAAATTGTGGAAACAGGAAACTGAAAATATAGTTTTGATTTACACCATAATTTTAACATATGAACCAACAAGTTTGGCTTGGTCACCGGTTATTGGTGAGAACACTGGCTATATGTTATTAGCAATTGGAACTAGTTATGGAACTGTAAACTTGTGGAAGGTAAGTAAAGCAGTATATTTAATAACTAAACCTTCATAAGTAGTTTTAGGTACCGCCTTATTCAAACTCTAGAACAGAAATTCCTATGTTAATGTTCTCTGCACAAGGACATTCCTATAATGCAGTGACAGCGTTATCAATCCATTCTAGTGGCATGCTTTTAGCAAGCGGCTGTTTAAAAGGTTTAACATGTGCCTAATATAATGATTTTGCATATTAAAGTGCTTTTTTAGGTCCTAGTGGAGTGGTAAATGTATGGTCGTTGACTAATGGAAATTTAGTTTATACCACTACAGGTAGTGGTGGTGTTAACACCAATGGATTACAATGGATAGATGATAATGATGCTCTTGCAGTCGCCTTTTCAAGGTCCATCTCTGTTACTGTTGTGCCTTATTCAGTTGAAGATCTAAAAGTAAATTTACCTTTAGCAACTGTTAGGTGTTCGCTGTTAAAGAAAGGTGTTAGAGGTAAGGAATACTCTAGCTCATATCAAATAAACTTTTAGTCACGCAAAGTTGCCCACTTTTATATATCGTCGGTGAAATGTGTTAAACTGCTAACTCCATTATTCCAAATTTTACAGGAGATACAAAAGTAAAGAGTACAAAAAAATATGTACACATGTAGGAAGTATTTTCATGCGTTAATATGATAAAGAGATAAGAATTTTATTTGCTGGGGAACAATAAAACTCAATATTTCGTGTTACATCATTTTTTTTTACAATCGAAAGATAGCAGATATTCGTCTTGCGGAAATAAGAAATAAAAAATATACTTCTGGAGACAGCAACCTTTATTGCTTGAAATTTTGAAAATGGAATTGAATATTACCTAAACAGATTTAGAAATAATCAATTAAATTTAAAAAATATGATATTGTCAAGGTGTATGTGGCGCCATCTGTCGGAGAAGCGAGCAACTAAAACCGCAACGTGTCCAGAAACCTGAAGACAATATTTTGTTGTAGCGCCATCTCTTAATCAAGTCGACAAGTAAGCGAAGCAGACAATAGAATGTACTAGTAGATGGCGGACCCGTCCCGATAATTTTAGATTGTTCGCGAAACACTCACCACAGCTATATAAAAGGAGCGCTTACGACAGTTGGAGAAGTTTAAAAGTTTTTGAAATTTGAATATACCGCGTGGAAATTGAAAATCGGACAATTTGGTGAAGGAATCTTATAAATAGTTAGTTTGTTGTGTGTTATAAGTTAGTAATTGTGTATAAAGTGAGAAAATAAATTCGTTAAGTATTTTATCGTGAGTTTAAATAGTGGACCCACGGAATCCGTAACAATTGGTGTCGGAAGTGCGATTCAAGAGGATTTTAAGAAGAAATTAAGTGGATTGGACGATTTTTACACCGAATTTGGGAATTTTTATGGTTGGTACGAGACAGCAAGCGAAGAAAATGGAGGAAGTAAGCAAATTATTGGGCGATTTTATGGAGAATATGAGAAGAGAAAAGGCAGAAGAACAAGAGAGGCTGCGAAAAGAAAAAGCAGAAGATCAAGAAAGACTCCGTAAAGAACGAGAAGAAGAACGAGCCCGATTGGAAAGAGAAAAAGAAGAGGAAAAACTACGACGTCAAGAAGAACAAGACCAACTACAGAAAATGATTATGGAGAATCAAGAAATCAGACAAGAACGGTTGGAGAAAATTGTAGAAAATCTAGAAGTGCGTCGCCAGAAAGAAAAACAAGAAGAACAGGACCGGCTTGAGAAAATTCTGGAAGGCTTAGAGGCGCGTCATCAAAAAGAAAGACAAGAGGAACAGGACCGGATCGAGAAAATTTTACAAGGTTTTGAAGTGCGTCGACAAGAAGAAAAGCTTGAAGAGCAGGACCGTATCAAGAAAAGTTTCGAAAAAATGGAAAAAAAGCAACAATCAATGTTGGAACTACGTTGCCAGGAACAACAGAACCACTTCCAAGAAGCTGTAGAAGATCTGGAGGAGCGCCTTCAGCAGAAGATAGAAAGATTGGAGATGGACCTACAGAAGACCAAGGTACAAGTAAAGACACCTGGCGTTCAAGGAACAGCGAACCTTAAGGCCCCGACCTACGATGGACAAACGACATGGACAATGTACCACCGTCAGTTTGAAGCAGCCGCCGCTGCCAACGGATGGACTGACCAGGAGAAAGCAGCGGCACTTGTCATCGCGCTGCGTGGCCCTGCCCTGGAACTGTTGCAAACGATTCCTGCAGCCCAACAGCAGGAATACCAAACTTTGGTCGCTGCACTGGACAGAAGATATGGCGACCAACATCGACGCCAACTTTACCAGGCCCAGATCAAGACACGCCTGCAGAGGTCCGGAGAGTCTGCAGGAATTTGAAGCAGACTTACGTCGGCTGGTACACCTAGCGTATCCTGAAGCACCGGAAGGATTTAGGGAGGAACTCGCTGCTCAGTGCTTTATCAGCGGACTGAGGGACAACGAATTACAGAGGGCGCTGCAAATATCCCGATTTTCTACCAGCAGCGAAGCACTGGTCAGGGCGCTGGAGATCGAAGCTGCTTTTAGCGCCATCCCTAGACCGAAGATAAGATCGGTAACGGTCGAGGAACAGCCCGGAAGTTCTCACATACGTTTGGAGGAGATGTTTAGTAAACTATGTGAGTTACTAGTGAACAAGAGTAGCAACCACACCCAGACAGAGAGCTATAGAAGATCACAGGACATAAGGTGCTTTAGATGTGGCAGGAATGGCCACATCAAACGGGATTGCCGCGTCCAAATGCGATTCCGTTTACCATCGAGAGAACATAGGCACCAGGAAATCAACACTAATGAGCGAGTATTGGCTGAAGAAAACAGAGCCCCTAGGATGTTTTCCGTTAGGAGTCTAGGAAAAACCGCTGACAGTTTGGTGATCAACGGAAGGTCAATGGTAGAAGAATTCGAATGACTGTGGACACAGGCGCTATGGTATCGTTGGTGCGGACTAACTCGGTGCAAGGATTGAAGATGATGCCTCTTAGAAGAAGAGTGTATTTACGTACAGTTACGGGGAAATGGCCGTTGTACGGGGAGAGGCTTTCATGGAATTGGAGTTAGGGAATTTGAAGTTTCGGCATAGCGTTTTAGTGGCAGACGTTGAAGATGATTTTATCATGGGTATGGATGTGATCAGTCAACATGGTTTTTCGTTTGATCACCATAGAAACATCCTGAAAATCGGAAATGAGGAATTTTCTGTATCTAAAGAGAAGAGACCAGGAAATATGGAAGAAAGATCATCGAAAATTGTGATGATACCTGGTGATACCAAGAAGACTGTGTTCGGGAAACTAGAGAAAACCGCTGGGTGCCGTGTAGGACGGGTACAAATTATCGACAACGACCTAGATCGACGACGAGCTACCTTGGACAAGAAAATGAAACATCGCGAAAGCACTATCAGAATAAGGAATTTTAAGCTTAGAACTGACGAACCATGGACGACGATACAATTGAGGAAAGATCAAATGGAAGATCCAGACATCGGAGCAATACTACGGCTCAAGGAAGGTAACGGCGAGAGACCACCGTGGCAGGATATTGCGGACAGAGGGCTCGTTTTCAAAGCTCTCTGGGCTCAGTGGAATTCACTGGTGATTGAGAATGGATTGTTAAAGCGCACGTGGGAAAGTGCGGATGGCAGGACAGTAACAACTCAGTTACTGGTACCAAGGAAGAAAGTTATCCAGGTATTGGAAGAAATTCATGGTGGTAAAACTGGAGCCCATCTTGGGGTAAACAAGACCCTGAGCAAGCTGAGAGACCGTTTTTACTGGGTGGATTATTGTGAAGATGTTAAGAAATGGTGTCAACGTTGTAAGATTTGCGCAGCTAGACAAGGACCAAGTACTCGATCTGGAGGAAAAATGGAACAAGATAACGTTGGACGGTCGTTCGAAAGAGTCGTTAGGAAGGAAAGATTATTGGGAATTCATAAGGCCGTGAGAAGTAAGATTACGCTAGCCAGTGACCGGATGAAAGCTCGTTACGACCTCAGAGCTAATTCTACGGGATTTCAACAGGACGATAGAGTATGGTTGTATAATCCACAGCGCAAGAAAGGAAGGTCCCCAAAGTTAACTCCAGCATGGGAAGGTCCTTATACAGTCATCAAGAGGATAAATGATGTAGTGTACCGGATTCAACGCAGCCCTAGAAGTAAGATGAAAGTAGTTCATCTGGATCGATTGAAGAGATACCAGACAGGAAACCTTGATCGGGACGATCAAATTTGAGAAGGGGGCAATGTCAAGGTGTATGTGGCGCCATCTGTCGGAGAAGCGAGCAACTAAAACCGCAACGTGTCCAGAAACCTGAAGACAATATTTTGTTGTAGCGCCATCTCTTAATCAAGTCGACAAGTAAGCGAAGCAGACAATAGAATGTACTAGTAGATGGCGGACCCGTCCGATAATTTTAGATTGTTCGCGAAACACTCACCACAGCTATATAAAAGGAGCGCTTACGACAGTTGGAGAAGTTTAAAAGTTTTTGAAATTTGAATATACCGCGTGGAAATTGAAAATCGGACAATTTGGTGAAGGAATCTTATAAATAGTTAGTTTGTTGTGTGTTATAAGTTAGTAATTGTGTATAAAGTGAGAAAATAAATTCGTTAAGTATTTTATCGTGAGTTTAAATAGTGGACCCACGGAATCCGTAACAATATTCATAACCATATATTTATCATATCGTCGGTCTAGAAGCAAAACATACAAGTCCAAAAACGAATAAATTTTTAATGCATTTTTAAAGAACTGAAGTAGCAGCATTTTGGACTTAGTGAATATAAAAATAATTTAAAAATCAAACTTATAATTCTTAGAAGATATGGTAGAATCCTTCCATACTTATCCTAATTTTTATACAACGGTAGTAGACCGAGCTTGAAAAACAGTGCGTGATTTTATTCAATTTTTACTACTAGGAGAAATACTTATTTTTTTAATTTTTATAAAAATTATGTATCATTTATGATGGTTTGCTCGTATATAGAGAATTTCGTTTTTTCCCTTACCCTTTACGGATACCCCGTATTTACAGAACAGATCGACGCAGGGTCGGACTGGCCATTATAGGGTTTTAGTTCATTATTTATTCTTAACAATTTTCCCGTTCAAAATATTCTAATAAAGTTGCCATGATTTTTTTACGACTATTAAGCTATCTTGTACACTTCGCACTAAAAGATGTTCTAAAAAGAAGAGTGTTCGACTGCAAGTTTGCTAGTAAATATTTTTAAGCTTAAAGGATCACAACACTATTTATTTAAACCCAAAAACTCAAGTAATACAAAACTAAAGTGTCAAAACGAATGGCAATGTCAGGGAAGAAATAAATAAATGTGGCAATTTGACATTTTTTACAGCAGAGCTACCACCTTAATTCCCAGCGCGAAATTTAAATTCCCATGTTTATAGTTGGCAACAATGAATTTAAAAATTGCGCCCTCGATTACGTAACTAAAAGTTTAATTGATATCAAATACCGTGCTGGCAACTGTTACTTTTGGGTCGGCATTTACATGTGTGGAAGTAAATCGCATAGGGATCTTATTAAGTCGGAGTGAGAGAAATGCGACCGACCGACGCGGCGCGCGACGTTGTGCTGTTGCTGCGTTGCCGATACGCCTTCTTCACGCCCTATCAAGTAAAGTAAAATCACGATCGCAAACCACTTATTTTTAAAAGACTTTTTTTCAAGAGTTAACTAGATAAAATCATTAGACATGTTTCTGAGCAACTGAAATGGAATTATAAGGATATCGTTAGGGTGTCATTTTTTTTATAACGAGAAAACGTCAGTAATCGCGATAATTTAAAAACTCAACTTTTTAACACATAACAGGCCATAACTCAAGAACCACTTTAGATATTGAAACTTTTTTTTATTTTCAAGATCGAATATTTTACAATATGTTTACATAAGAAAAATTCGATAAGGTTGGTTTTTCTATTCAAAAATTTTAAACAATCCATCCATTTACTATTAGAGCATAGCAATTTTCAGCAATCGTGTAATTTTTTTATTGATAAAGATTTTCACATACTGTCTACAAAGAAAATACAGCCAGAAATATTAACAAAGTTCTTGAAAAACTACAATTTATTATTTCTAATAGATTTCGAAATATTGATTTTTAAATTCAGAGTTCTAATAGCGCGACCACTATCGAACACCCACTCAATTCCACTTATTTTTACCAAAAATGCAAGTGTTTCTAGCTTGCACTTAAAAAAATTCAAGCTATAGGGAAAATTACAACGACTCGTTAATAAATAAACAAATTAAGTATCACGAGACGTAATTAAATCGTGAAGCTGAACGCATGACGTACACCTTTCCCTAGAACTTTAAGTACTGACAGAGGTATTGATTAGGTCGACCGGTCAACTGCGACAAATCTGCTATATCCCCTTCCACGTCTCTTAGCGATGTGCACAGTCTCTCGGTTTATTTCATACGTTTGGCAACGTGTTTACTGTCCTCTCTTTGTTCAGTACATTATAAACGGATTGTACTCTTCTTACATACGGAAATCTCGAGCCAAGTTGCCAGCCCTTAGTATATGTTAGATATTTTTTTATACTAAATGTTTTGATACTTTGTAGGTTTTAAAAGAGCTCCATTTTTTAAAGGTTTGGCCAGCCTTTTGCCAAAAATTCTTTTAGATCAATATAACGCGGAAAAATTGAGCGTTTCTACTGGGGCTCAGTTAATGCACAGTGTCTATTTAAAGAGCTTAGCGTCTTTAGCTATAATCCTTAACTTAGATAAAGTTATTTGTTACAAATTGAAACCGTTCAATGACGACAATAAAATTGAAATCCAACCGGAATTTCATTGGTTGCATACCTTTAGCTTGGGATCTCAAATTGCGGAGAGTTTAATCAAAAGGTACAGAAGAGTTTAATATTGTTATTTCATCTACTAAGGGAAATTTATTTTATCACAGGACTGATTTGCCTGAAACCATAATAAATTTATCCCAAGTTTTGGATGAAGATACACCGCCATCGACAATACAAAATGCGTTTTGGACTTTGAAACAGGATGAACAAATTATGGAATGGTCTTCGCAAAGGCCTCAGGACTGGGAGATTGGTGGAAAATGCAGAGTAAATACGTGTTTTAATTTTATTACACAGTTCTTGTCCAAATTAATACATATTATAAAAGTGGAATTAAATGGAACCTTTTATATTTTCAGAAATTACTCAGAAGGTTTTAATCATTTTTAATAGTATTGATTAAGTTTGCAACTTAGTGTTACTTTTTAATACAACAATTTTTTTGTATTTTAATAATATTTTATATTAGACTCCATCTTACTTTGTCTTTATCAAGAACTTAGTTATACCGAGTGTGTCATAACTATTTTATTTTTTCCCTATAACTTTTTTATTTTTTCAGATTAAAAAAAACTAGATTTGGTATGTTAGTATATGACATAAATTATGATTGATTGACGTATTCAATTCGTTTCGATCACTTCCTGTTTCAACGGAAATGACTACAACTTTTGATTTTTAAATGGCACCCTCAGTATTTTTTTTTACTTTATTTGATAGAAAATGACACTCTGAATAAAATTATATATTATATGTCAAATTTTGACATTTTCGCTTTAAACAATTTTTTTTCTATCTAGAGTGCCATGGATGTGCTAAAAACAGTAATTTTTAATCAAGGAGCCTTGGAAAAATAGTTTTGATCGTCTAATGTTTTTCGTGTCTTGTCCTGGCCGGTTAAAAGATGCCCAAACCGTATTTTTAATCATCTCAGTTTTTTCAAATGGAACGAGTGTGGCTCTAATATATTTGGAAAAAGCATTTTTTTTACGAATAATTTGGTACCACACATTTGGTATTTTGAGTCAAGTTGTCTTTATGAACCGCATGTTACAATTTCAAATAAACCATATACGAAAATGTCAAAAGTTGACATATAAAATGTAATTCTATTCAGAGTGTCATTTTCTATCGAATAAAGTAGAAATATATCGAGGGTATCATTTAAAAATTAAAAGTTGCAGTAATTTCCGTTGAAACGGGAAGTGACCAAAAACAATTGAATACATCAATCAATCCTATTTTATGTCATATACTAACATACCAAATCTCGTTTCTTTATCTGAAAAAATAAAAAAAGTTATAGGGGTGAGCCACTTTTGAGACGCACCCGGTATACTGGTCTGGTCAGTCTAAATCCGTTGTCTGTTTGGTATTATGATCAAGACAAAGATAAAATAGTTGTCTTACGTTATAACCAGTTGGTAGACAGAGGTAAAAAAAATGCAGGGATGCCGGTTCCTACCTGCGGTAGGCATACTTTAAAATCAGGGGCATAAAAATAAAAATTAAATCAAGCAGGCAAGTCAAAAAAATGTAAAATATTATGTGAGGTATTAGCTGAATCTCTTTAATACTTTGAATTTCTATTAGGGATCTCTATCTTACATGTTAAAATCCAGACCACAAATGTATAACCAGGTCTGTATATAGTGTTGGATCTCAAATTTACTTTTAAAATGTGCATTAATTTTGACAAGATGTTTATCTTTACAATTTACGAATAAAAACTGATCAGTATAAAAGTATTAATTTGTCTTATAGGCTTTTCTGTGGGGATCCGATAGACACGGCCAATTGGCTGAACTAGGTTATAGTGCCTCGGCTCCTGCCATAGTCGAATCGTTTTCAGTAGCAAGAAAAATTGTATGCGGTCAAAATTGTACATTTGTCATATTAACAAATGGTGCAGTTATGGCTTGTGGAGAAGGAAGTTATGGAAGATTAGGTACATATTACGTATTAGGTTCAATGGCGATCAAAAAGTCGTATTATAAATTTTTGAAGTGAAACTTCTCTACCCGCGATGAGAGTAAAAATTCAAGGCACACAATTCAATACACACCACGGTCTCGACACCACATCGCCTTGACCATGCCTTGGCGCAGAAGGCTGGCGAAAAAAGGTGGTAAGGATCGCGCAAACACCAAAAAACATTTGATTTAAAGCCAAGAAAAGCATGAAAATAAACTTGATACTGTACCTGGGTACCATTATACTCTGGTTATGTACCAGGAAGTAAATTTTCATGCATATTTTCATCGATAGGTTTGTAGCTTCTGAATAACAGTCTAGGTAAAGCATTTAGCTCATTTGCTAGCTCAGAATTAGAATTATTAGAGTTAAGCAACTCGCATTTTAATTGGAGGACATCGTCAGATTTATTTCAAACCAATAATCAACAAGAATATTCGTATAATTTAACAAAATTACTGTAAACTACTATAAATACGAATTGTTGGTTAGGTTCAAAAATTTTTCTCTTCTTTAATAATTTTAACCGTTAACATTATTAGGCATTTGCAGATAAGTGTGTATTTTGGGTGGTATTCCAGAAAATTTGCAGGCTATTGACGAAACAGAAAATGTACAGATTACGGAAATAAATTGAAAATAACATTTATATTAAAACAGCATTATATGTTACTTTTTCAAAGATGTCCTTCAAATCCTCCACTTTAGTAGCTGTCAGTAAGAAGATTCACTTCAAATATGCGCACATAGCACACACATAATTTTTTTTAACTGTCAATGTCAGCTTGATAATAAAACTTTTTTGATCTTACAGTATGTCTTGTACGAATTTAGCGTTACTTCAATAGTTTATTTTAGGCCAAGGAAATTCGGACGATCTACATTCCCTTAGTATAATTTCGAGTCTTCAGGGATTTGTAATAACGGATTTGGCTACGTCGATGGGTTCCGACGGTCATAGTTTAGCTTTAGCAGAAAGCGGTGAAGTATTCTCTTGGGGCGATGGAGATTATGGAAAATTAGGCCATGGAAACAGCGACAGACAGAGACGACCTAGACAAATTGAAGCATTGCAGAACGAAGAAGTCGTCCAGGTAACTTATTGAATGATAAGTATTACTTCTATCCAGGATCCAAATTCTGGAACTTAGAAAACGTTAAGCACTTTTAGGCTTTCACCGTATGTAACGTAAATTTTCGCTTAGCTCGCACTTCTCATTTGACGTACTTAGCGTCTTTACCGATTGCGCTAAGCGATTCGAAAAGAGCTACCTTCACGGATCGTTTTGCCGGTCGAACACATAGAAGTAACCTAAAAATAGATACAACTGTCGGAGTGAAAATAGCAAAAATTGTGATTTTGTGTGCTCTCTTGCTCTTTAGTGAAAAAGATGGATTCTTCAATAAATTCCCGAATAAGTTATGGTTAATTATACGAAATGGCAGCTATAGGTATTGTTAGCAGTAGGAGCGTCGTCAAAATTTCCCTTGTATACATATACATACATACTGCCATTACTCGATGACGAGTATCGACACATATCAGAAGATGGTCACGCAAGGCGTTTTCTTTCATGAGCTTTTTTGTGACTGAAAAGCCCGATACGTGATGTTATCTGCCTACCGCACTCCGGACATTCAAAAATCTCATTGCTTTGTTGCCTCTTTATTTTTTGGTTGTCGCTGTTAAGTGAGTTTACAATTCTTCTCCATTGAGTTTTATTGTGAGCTGCTTCTTCCCACTCATGGGGGGAAGACATGCTCTCATGAGCTGCTCTTGGGGGGGGGGGGAAGAGCAGCTCACTTATGAGCTGCTCTTCCCCCCATGTTAATCCTCTTTAAGTTATCGTGGAAAATGTCCTTGTACCTTTTCAGTTGTCTACCTGGCCTCCTCTTACCGTCTACAAGCTCACCGTAAAGCAGAGATTTTGGTATGCGGTTTTCTTGCATTCTGCATACGTGACCAGCCCATCTTAAGCTGGATTTTGTAACCATGATTTCAATACTCTCGCAGTTAGCTTTTTCAAGGACCGATGCGTTTGAGACATGGATGGAGCCACCGGATTCTTAAGAGTTGTCTAAGGTGTCTCTGTTGCAACTTTTTTAATGCGTTCATGTGTCGGCGGTACGGCACCCAGGTTTCGCTTCCATATAACATGGTGGGGATTATAAATGCTCGGTACACTGCAAGTTTCGTTTTTGTACTCAAGTGATGATTGTAGAAAACCCTGTCTTTTAATTTCCAGAATGCTCTTGAGGCGCTGCTAATCCTGTGCTGAATTTCAGAGTCAATATTGGCCTTTTCCGAAATCAAACTGCCGAGGTAATTGATTTCCGCCACATATTCCAATATTTCTTCTCCGATTTTTATAGCATTGTTGTGATCTTCCGGGGGAGTGCACATGATTTTGGTTTTGTCGATGTTTAGCTTAAGGCCCAAAGGCTCGTATGCCCAGGTATATGTGTTCAACATTTCTTGTAATTGTTGTAACGTGTTTTCAACTAGAGCGCCGTCATCAGCGTATTGAAGTTCTGTGATGAATTTTGTACGTGTTTTTGCTCTGAGTCTTTTGATGTTGAACAGACCGCCGTCGTATCTATATCTAATGCCCAATCCTCTCTAGAGACTAATGCCCAATCCTCTCTCCTGCAATTTGCCGTCCACTATAATGGAGAGCGCGGCGATGAATATGTTGAATAGGAGAGGCGCTAAGACACATCCCTGCCTAACTCCTGTATTTGTTAGGAATGGATCGCTCAGCGATCCATGATGTGACACTCTTGACTTGCTGTTATGGAGGCTTTTACTCACTGTAAGAAATTTGTTGGGTACTCCGAACTTTTTCATAATTGCCCAAAGCGCATCTCTGTTCATAATAAGAATATTGACATAAGTCAACAATATTTTATGTCGTTGATGTAACATTGAACCATCGTTTCATATTCGCGGTATATTTTTGCCGTAATTCTCTGGAATGGTCGCTAATGTAACTCGACACAAGTGGACCTGTATTTCCGTCACTAATTTCGAAGTGATTTAGAATTAGAGATTCGATATTTTGGTTTTAATTATTCCATTTAGAGGCACTACTTCTAGAGGATTGGAAATGGAATTGTAATTATTTATCTTAAAGCTCCATTCAGAACCTCGCAATTAGTAGAATAAATTAGTAGTTTCAATTAGCGTAAAAGTTTGTTCCTCTAATATCAATGTAAGCATTCAAAACGTCAAAATTAGTGGTAGTAATCTTCAACTAGTGGAAACAGTTAACAAACTTTTAACTGTTCCACTAATTATACTTCAAAATTTGCGAGGAATGTCATTTTGACCTTTGCTTATCATCCGTCAAGAGAAATTGTGGTTAGAAATCAAAAGTTGATTGCTTTATAAACGAAATATTAGGCATTTACTATGGATACAACTGATTACTGCGAGCTGTTGCTAGGATATTCTATTAATTTTAATTGTAATTTGTGATTTTTTTATGACATTGTGAATGATCTTAAACTAAAAAGTATAAAGTGTAATTGAAACCACTAATTTATTCCACTAATTGGGACAAGACCTATTTTACCATAAGGCCCGGTGGTCTGGGGGCCCGTTAAAGGTTGTAAAATATTCATAATTTCTTGAATTTTTGAATTTTATTGGAAAATATGGCCCGAATTTTTGCTTGGGCTTTAGGGCCCGACCAGATGAAGACTAGAAAAAATAATTAATTTTGGTATATATGTAGGTTGCTTGTGGATTTAAACATAGCGCGGTAGTAACTAGCGATGGAAAATTGTTTACATTTGGAAATGGCGATTACGGTCGCTTAGGCCTGGGTTCGACTTCAAATAAAAAAACACCTGAAATTGTCATGTCTCTGGATGGTAAGTCTGAGTATATCTAATAGTCTAAAATCTTAGAAACTTTTTTTTCGTAGGATATAAAATTGGACAAGTCGCTTGCGGTCTGAATCATACAGCGTGTGTTTCCACAGACGGAATGGATGTATGGACCTTTGGGGAAGGCGATTTTGGAAAATTAGGTATTTTATTTTATTTTTTTCATTCTATTTTCAGTACATAGTTTTATATATTTTTCTCCACAGGATTGGGCCACACTACAACAAAATCGATTCCACAAAAGGTTGAAAGTTTGTGTGGCATCGGTATTAAGAAAGTCGGATGCGGTACCAATCTAACCGTTTTCTTGACAAAAAAAGGAAATCTGTTCGTGTGTGGTGTTGATAGGGTAAGCAATTTAAAGGAACAGTAAAGTTTTTTTTTATAAGCTCAATTTCTATTGTATTTTTTAGGTTCCTTGGCAAAATTTATCTAGAGAACGCCCTGACTTCTTGCCACATCAACTTAGTTCATTAGAAAACTACTTTATAGACGATTTTGCCATTGGAACTGAACACGTCCTAATTTTGACAAGCTGTGGAAAAGTTAGTGCCATTCTTATATGGTCTATAAAATGAATAACTTTGAATTTTGACCGTTATTTTTTACCAACATGGCAAATATAAAACGATGTACTTAAACAGCCGTTAAACGGTAGCCTACTAAAATGCCGTTAATAGATATTGTGACGTCGTTCATGTCGGCGGAAAGTAATGCCTAGCCTTAAGCATTCTGCAAGAGCACCTGTGGGTCAGTGGCTGAGGCTATCGCTTCGTAAGCGAATGGTCCGTTGTTCAAATCTCACGCCGACCAAGACTTTTTTATATTTTTTTTTGCTTATAGCGTGATCTTATTGCATTGGTTTCACTCTTTTTGGTTGGATTGGTTTAGTTATTTGGCGGGTTGGTTAGCGTGGTTATTTGGAGGGTGTTAATTCATTGGTTAGTTGGTTATTTGGTGGGGTTGGTTGATTTTTACTAATTTATATTTGTTTTTTATATTCTTTATCCTGTATTTCATAAAACCGTCAAGTGCGTCACATCAACGATGTCATACCTATTAACGGCATTTTAGTAAGCTACCGTTTAACGGCAGTTTGAGTACAGACAATATAAAATCCCTCTGTTAAAAAAGTTTCTGATATTCTTCAAATTGAGTGCCTGAACGGATCAGATAGGTAACTCTTTTTACTTTCGTGAAATAGAAAAGGAAAACAATAAAACAAGTGACAGTTCGTCCGCTTCTTGCAAAAATCAACACGAAATGTCATAATTGTCAAAAGTAAAATGTTATCAGCTTTTGACATTTCTAAATATCAGACAGCAAAGAAAAATGCATAGCCGCAAGTTGCTAACACTAGAAAAGCCCGCGCGAACTGTCAAATTCAAAGTTATTCTTTTCACAGACTATAATACTTATTTAACCTTTCCTAATATGTTTTATGTTTCAGGTATTTGGATGGGGTATGAATACTGAGGGTCAATGTGGTCTTCCACATGTTTCTTTAATTAGAGATCCTCAAATAATTACCGAACTATCTGATAAAGGAATTAGACAAATTTCAACAGGTATATATTATATAACATTTAGCCGTTTTTTTTATAAATATTCAATCTATTTTTTGCTGAATTATTTAGGACGGACTCACAGCGCAGCATGGACAGCAAATCCGCTTCCAAAAAGAACACCAGGTGTGAGCCAGAGTTTAACTTTTGGACTGCCCAAAGAAATTCCTCCTCAGTTTGACCACCTGCAAGGGTTACCTACTAAATCAATTCAAGCAAGGTAATCTCTTTCATCTCGAATATATTAAACTCAAATATGCCTTCCATCCGAATTGTATAATCAATATAAGTAATGGCTTTTCATAATTTTCAAAGTAATGCTGTGATAATGTTTAACCATAAACTTTTTTCACATAAACTTTTTGAAAAATACCTAAATAATAAATTTATCTCCTAGTTATTGCGAACTTTGTGTATATGATATAATGAGTAATTTTTTAAATTTTCAGGATAAAGGTGATATTGATATAAAATTGATATAATAATTAATTAAATTTTCAGGTTGAAGTTCCTATATAATTTTTCTGACAAGCTCTATTCTTGTTGGACGTTTATGCCGTTAAGTTCCCAGCAAGCCGAGTTCAACGTTCCACCTTTAGAAGGTCTGATTTCGCCAAAATTACGCCCTATACTCGCTCCAAGAGTGTATACATTGCCTTTTGTTAGATGTGTAGGGAAAACAATGGTCCAAGGAAAGAACTATGGGCCTCCGGTGGTTATTAGAAGAATATCTCAAGAAGGTTTTAATCATTTTTGTTCATTATATACTTCTCGAGTCACAAAACAGGATAATTGCATCATACGAAATATTCTAACGTTCGTCGACTGTCGACAACGTGAAGAGTACCACAACACAAGAAAAGTTTTTTTTTGCTTAATTGAGTTAAAGAAATATTTGTTCTGTATTAATTTTTCGGAATACTGACGCAATCGTCTTTTTTTGTGAGTCGGACTATAGTTAATTCATTAACTAATTTTATTTTCACATACAGGAAGAAAAGTTAAGCCTATATTTATTCAAACCGCAAAGCAAGTAGTGGACTTTAACCCTCACGATTTAAGACTTCCTTCTAGAGCGTGGAAAGTCAAATTAGTAAGTATAGAATAGCGAGTGAAGTTTCGTGCGCGTCAATGTTTGACAGTGTAGATATGCAGTTGCTTTAGAAAAAATATTTTGTTTTTTTTTTAATATTTTTATATTAGTGGTAATATATCTACTAATAGTTTGTTCTGTCTATGATATTCTTTCTATGCTAAAAATACTAAAGAATCATTATACCGGGTGCTTCTCAAAAATGACTGAATATTTAATTGTTTTTGGTCACTTTCTGTTTCACCGGAAATGACTACAACTTTTGATTTTTAAACTCAGTATATTTTGACTTTATATTTTTTGAAGATTGTATTCTTATGCTTATGGTCCGTAATAAAAATGTTTTTATATACAAACAAGTAAATCCAAAAAGGAATATTTTTACTTTATTCGATAGAAAATAACACTCTGAATAGAATGACATATCATATGTCAACTTTTGACATTTTCGTTTAAAGCAAAATTGTATTTTAAAGTTCAATCTAGAGTTCCATGGCCGTGTTAAAAACACTAATTTTTAATCAAGATGCCCTAGAAAAATAGTTTGATTGTCTAATCTTTTTCGTGCCTTGTCCTGACCGGTTAAAAGATTCCCAAATCGTATTTTTAATCATATCTCAATTTTTTCAAATGGAACAAGGGTGGCTCATTAGCATATCTGGAAACAACATTTTTTTATGAATAATTTGGTACCATACACGTGGTATTTCGAGTCAAATTGTCGTTATGAACCGCATGTTATAATTTCAGATAAACCATATGCGAAAATGTCAAAAGTTGACATATGATATGTCATTCTATTCAGAGTGTCATTTTCTATCGAATAAAGTAAAAAAAAAATACTGAGGGTGTCGTTTAACAATCAAAAGTTGTAGTGATTTCCGGTGAAACAGGAAGAGACGAAAAACAATTGAATATGTCAATCAATCCTTATTTATGTCATATACTGCATATTCATACCAAATGTCGTTTTTTATCTGAAAAAATAAAAAAGTTACAGGAGTGAACCGCTTTTGAGAGGCACCCGGTATAAACCAGCTTAGCGAAACTGCGCAGGAGTTTCACTATGGTTGGTGTTTGAATAATACAGTTTTAACAAAGTCACTAAGTAGTTTTAGTCAAAGACGTTTTTGAGTGAAATGAAAATTAATTAACGTCATTATTTATATAATATCAGAATTATAAATACTCTACTAGAACAATTAATTAAACTGACATATTATGTATTATAATAATTATTCTTAACAAGTAGAAACAAATACGGCATTAAAATAAAGACAAATGTTTTACTACTCATAACATAATTACTTACCAGTGAAAATTAGTTCCATCTTTTTTCAATTCTGAGGCTGGTTAAATCTAGTTGCACAAGCAGTGAATATAAAAATAGTATTTAAGTCCTTCCTTAATATTTTTATTCGATGAATCACCACAATACATATAATAAAACACGTAGCAATCAGTATAGAAACATGTTCTAACATCATCAGTAAATGCTAGCAAAACGTACATCTAGAAACAAATTGCAATACTATGGTTTCAGGGGAGTGCCGCTCGAATGGCTTAAGTCATATCTTGGCAACAGAAGGCAGCTTGTGAGGATTGATACGTCTATGTCTTCTTGTAAGCCTATAGAATGTGGTGTCCCTCAGGGTTCAGTACTTGGCCCTATTCTGTTTCTGGTGTTTATCAACGACATTGCAAATCTGGACATTAGCGGTAAAATTTGCCTCTTTGCGGACGATACTAGTTTCACTTGGAGCGGCCCAGATGTTGCGGCGCTATATGATACTATATCCAATGACTTACGCACCATTAAGTCTTGGTGCGATTCTAATCTCCTATGCCCCAACCTATCAAAAACTAAAGTTTTGTCATATAAAAATACTATACAACCTTTTGTACTTAATAACACTACTATTGACGTCGTGGACTCTGTGAAATTCTTAGGACAACTCGTTAAAATGGGACTCTCACATTGAAGCTCTATCAAAGAAACTAAGCGCTGCCTGTTTTGCGCTAAGATCAGTTTCTAAGGAACTTAACTTCTCAACCTCTAGAATAGCCTATTATGCCCTTTTTGAGTCACATCTTCGTTATGCCCTTCCATTCTGGGGTACTTGCTGCGCAACAAAATTTGATCGTGTTTTCATACTTCAAAAGAGAGCAGTTCGATATTTATTGGGACTGAACAGTAGAACTCACTGCCAGAATTTCTTTAAAAATTTGAAAATACTGACTCTTCCTTCTTTATTCATTTTTGAATCCGTTTGCTTAATCCGCAAGCACATACCTGCTATTCCCGAAAAGCCATCTCATAACTATCCACTTAGGAATGCAGAGCACGATCTTTATCTGCCAACCCCGAGCTCAGAACTAGTTAAGGGTTCAATACTGTACAATGCCAAAAAAATGTACAATCATCTGCCTTTGAATATCAAATCGCTTTCGTTCTTTCCCGCATTTCGCAAGGCTCTAAAATCATACTACTGGAGAGAGCCCTATACGCGGTAAACGACTTTTTGTTGATGTTTGATTATGAACAATTTTGAATTTTAAAATTTTGATCATCTCACACACTGGTCAAAGGTCAAGTATTTAATATTCCATAACTTTAAAGTTATATCTATTTACTGCGTACTGTTCTAAAATTGTCCATGTATATTCTTTTTGTAATTTTAAAGACTTAAATTTTTTTGAATTGTATTATTTGTATTGTGTATTTTTTGTTATTTGTATTTTTTTGTGATTTTGTTGTTTGTGAGTGCTTTGTCGATGAAGCTGTTTTGGCTTTTTGCACAATAAAGCGTTGTTTGTTTTGTTTGTTTGTTTGAATTATCATTCTTCTCTACATTTTTATCAAAATGTGTGCTGTATCGTGGTTTACTTGTGTAATTTTTTATTAGATGTCTCTGAGATTAGAAACGTCGTTGCCTAGTGAGACAAATACTGTTCAATTAATGCCTTTTTCGTTATATTAACAATATTACATATTAAAAAAAATATTTTTTGCTATACTTATTATATAGGGTATTTAACTATAAGAGACAGAAGGTTCTAATATGATATTCTTACAGGTTGGCGAAGGAGCGGATGATGCAGGTGGCGTTTTTGACGATACTATTACAGAAATGTGTCAGGAAATTACAAATAATACAGTACCATTACTGGTTCCAACACCAAACGCATTAAACGATGAAGGATTCGACAGAGACAAATACCTTCTGAATCCTCACTTAACTACCCCTCAGTATCTAACCTGGTTTAAGTTTCTTGGTAAATTAAATATAAATAGCGAAGTTTTATTTGAGCTGTAACATTTGTTGTAGGCATTTTGTTTGGTGTCGCTATTAGGACTAAAAAACCTTTAGCTATACCTTTGGCTCCGCTAATCTGGAAGCTTATTGTCGGGGAACCGTTAACTGTTGAAGATTTGGAAGACACTGACTCGATGTATGTTCAGACTTTGAGAAGCATTAGAGATATTGATAAGTCAGGAGTTACAGCTGAATATTTCTATGAGATTATTCCATTACAAACGTTTGAAGGGCAAAGTTGTACAGGAAATGTAATTAGAAACATAGTTTACCTCATAGATAAATGAAACAAGTTTAGATTGGAAAGTACCCATAAGGACAATGTAAATACTATTTGGCGCTATTCTTGCAACGGTCGCGACTCAAACCTTTTGATAATTTCGGATCGGTTCGGCTTTTTCCGGAATTATGTCGCCAAATATTGTTTGTTCAAATTTATTATTATTTTCTTTTAATTTTATAAATAAAATACAGTGTGTTGCATACAAGAAACTTTATTTTATATAAGGACATGTATGAAATACCTATGAAACATTGGAAACCGACGTTATGCCACGATTCACGATTGTTTTTGCAGTTCACGACACAGATTTTTAAGTGTTTAATGCCACTTTTTCACAATTATCACGGGTTTGAGTAAATAGAATTTAAATTAACTCACAAGTTATAGCAATAGTTACCTTCAAAATGGACGCTTTAAACACTTTTCGGTATTTTTTCAATGAGGGCGGTTTAAATTTTGAAAGATTTTATAATTTTTGAAGATTCTGACTGACAAGAGAAAATATTTCTGTTATTGTTTGCGGTTGTTCTTAGCAACGGCTATAGCAGCGCCAGATCGCGTACGACGGTCGCGACCCAAATCAAGTATATATTTTGACGGGCTTTCCAATCTAAATTTATTTCCTTTATCTATAGTTTACCTCAATAATAACAAGAATTAAATCGTTTATTATTTTTTTAGATAGTACCAATTACTCACGGTGGTAAAAATATTCCTCTGACTTTCGAAAATAGAGCACAATATTTTGAGCAATCTATTAAGTTCAGAATGCAGGAATTTGATCTTCAAATAGCAGCCATCAGAGAAGGAATGTCCGGAATTATTCCGGTGCCGCTATTGTCGTTAATGACGGCAGATCATTTGGAACAATTAGTATGTGGCATGTCACATATATCTATAAGTGTTCTGAAAAAAATTGTTAGGTAACGCAGTACAGTGTATATTTATAAAAATGTATATTATATTAAATGTAATTCTAGGTATAGAGAATTAGACGAAAATAACCAATTGGTAAAATGGCTGTGGAACATTTTAGAAAGCTTTACCGATAACGAAAGAGTTCTTTTTATGAGATTCGTATCGGGTAGATCCAGATTGCCGGCCAATTTAGCCGATTTATCTCAACGTTTTCAGGTAGGTTTTATTCTAAAATACAGTCCTGGTCATAAATTAGTGCTTTGGATTTCAAGGTGTAAGATAATATTGGAAATACCCTAATGGAAATCCAAACATGTAAAAAAAACGTGGTGCGCGCGCTTAACTCCACATTAGTTCTATCTCGCTATACAGGGTGTCATTGAAATGGTGTAAAAAAATTTTCGGGGGGTGATAGTACACCTAAGAATAGTAAAAAAAGTTCCTATAAGTATAGGGCGGTAAATGCATATTAAGGGAGTTAGGGGCACTCAAAGGGTGAATTTAAAAACGGTTGTTTTGAAATTGTAGGCTTAAAAAACGAGATAAGACTTCGAAAAAAAATCCTCTGTTATAAATTTTGACCCTAAATCAAATGGTGATACTGAAAAATTATTTGGAAAAGCGGAAAGGGTAGTTTTTGCAAGGGTAGGGGGTTATTTTGTGAATAACTTTTTTGAGGTTATTTTTTGTGCAACGTGGGTTTATTTTTTGAAAACTACATACTTTTTCCTTCAAAAAAGGTACTCTTGTTGCACATCGCCCAGAGCGATGGTTTTCGAGAAAATTGAAGGCAAAGAGTTTGCTCTGATGGGTTGCTAACTGGTTAATCAACATAAACTTATGAAAGTTATGGCGGTTCAAAAGTAACCAAGTAGTAATTAAATAATTAATTGGAAAATCAAAATTTCCTGATTTTTAAAACATCTTATTGCTTTAAAAACGAAATAAACTTTTTCGGTTTTAAAAAAATTTGGTTTGCTCATTGCCGATTAATACTGAAGAGCAACTACGGCAACGCATTATTGATTGTTCCAATCAAATTCGGACAACACCAAGGATATTCCACAGGGTACGCAGATCGTGGAGAAGAAGTTCAGATGTCTACATTGAAATGAATGGTGGTGGTCACTTTGAACGTTTACTATGAATGAATTAAGGAATGCATTATTTTAATAAGGAATTTTGGTAATTGGATTATTTCGTTTTTTAAACCAATAAGATGTTTAAAAATCGTGAAATTTTGATTTTTCAATTAATTATTTGATAACTACTTGGTTACTTTTGAACCGCCATAACTTTCATAAGTTTATGTTGATTAACCAGGTAGCAACCCATCAGAGCAAACCCTTTGTCTTCAATTTTCTCGAAAACCATCGCTCTGGGCGATGTGCAACAAGAGTATCTTTTTTGTAGGAAAAAGTATGTAGTTTTCAAAAAATGAACCCACGTTGCAAAAAAAATAACCCCAAAAAGTTATTCGCGAAAAAAAACACTATCCTTGCAAAAACTACCCTTTCCGCTTTTTTAAATAATTTTTCAGTATCACCATTTGATTTAGGGTCAAAATTTATGGCAGAGGATTTTTTTTCGAAATTTTATCTCGTTTTTTAAGCCTACAATTTTAAAACAACCGTTTTTTAAATTCACCCTTTCAGTGCCCCTAACTCCCTTAATATGCATTTTCCGCCCTATACTTATAGGGACTTTTTCTACTATTTTTAGGAGTACTATCACCACCCGATTTTTTTTACACCATTTCAATGACACCCTGTATTTTAATTATGATTTCCGCTCATAGGAACTGGCAACGTTTCTTTGTACCTCTATCTCTCAACCTCTTACTCATTAGAATATGTTAGAACACCGTTAGAATGACCAAGTCAGTAATCTTTAGCTATTGTGTAACTCTCGAGACTAAAAGAATTTCGGACTTCCATTGTCTTTATTTATTTTGCTTACACAACGTTTCGATCAGAATTTTCTCTCAGAAAGCTCTTACAACAATCAACATAATACATATAAAAATCTTACATTATATGTACTAATCTCTGTTAACATTTTTTTGTTATATTAAGGTAATGAAAGTAGACAAAGCAGTAAATGGACTTCCAACAGCACAGACATGTTTCTTCCAACTTAGACTGCCACCCTATACCAGTCAAGAAATTATGGCTGAGAAATTACGTTATTCTATCAATAACTGTAGATCTATTGATATGGATAATTATATGTTGGCCAGAAATACTGAGCAAGGAAACGTCTCTGATGAAGACTGGTCTTTTGAAAGTTAAACTAATTTAAAAGGTGAGTTGTGGCACTTAATACCCGGCGTTTTTCAATAGTGGCTCACACCTATAAGTATCTATTTTTTCAGATAAAAAAACGAGATTTGGTATGTTAGTATTTAACGTAAATCGAGATAATAATTTTCGGTCGGTTCCTATTTTACCGAAATTAACTAAAACCACGGCACATAAAACAATCGGCAGGACAACTCTGCTCAGATTCCATTGTTTAAAATTTCTATAAAATTTGACCTTGACGGCGCCATTAGCGTTTCCAAGTCAGGGCCGGATTAAAACGTATCAAAAAATTTCTCAGAAAATAAACTATTGATAGACAGGGTCGTATTAAAAAAAACTGTAACTGACTGAAACTGAATTGTATTTAAACAATAAAACAAACGAATCGTTAACCGCGCATACTCCTCGAAAAGTAAAAATATAAAAATCAATTAAATATTTCACTGTAGAGAATAGACAATTAAAATTAAAAAAAACATGCTAGGAGTTACAAACAAGAATTAAAGAAATACCCAATAAAATATCTATTGAACAATATAAAGAGGCTACGTACAAATTACGCCCATCAATGGGCGTAGCAAATTTTATTAATATTCAAATTTCACAAATTAACAAATCGGCTAAAGGAAGAAGATTCACTGATGAATTTAAATATAAATGTCTGGCGATTTACTTTTCTGGACCAAAATTATACAAGACGCTCTTGACAAATCTATTTTGCTTTCACACCAAGAAAGTGAATATATGACATCGATATCAAACCTGGCTTAGAAAATCTTAGTGTATTTGAGACTAAATAGAAAATTTGAAAGTTTCGACGAACCGGATGAACTTAATCGATATGTATTGATGATATGAATATCAGGTGCAATTTATTTTATAATAGTGGTAGTGGTCGTGATAATATTTTAGGTTATAGGCTTAGTGCATTCTCTGCCGGTGCTGCCACCATTAGAGAATACGTAAACAATATTTTTTAACTAAAATATGTTAAAATAATTAATCCCATATATGCATAACTAATAGGATCTCTAGAAAACAGTAAAAAACTTTTAATGCAGTTTAGTCCCCTACTCGGGCAGTTTTTTGTTGCACAAATTCGCCCAGGCATTGCAAAAACACGTAAAAATTAACTAATTACTCTATCAAACCACTGCTATATAAAACAACAACTATAAAATATATAACTCAAGACATAAACAAAATAAATTGATCCGTACGCTACTGACTCGAATCTGCCGTAACTGTGTGTAGTCGATGAAAAAAACTACGACACTGGTTACTTTCTGTTGATGGAAACTCAAATAGCGGCGTGCGCAAGGATATGCGCGTAGCGTTCCTGCCAAAGAGAGTTAGCCTGCCGATTGATTTATATCCCGTGCTAAAACTTTTGATTTTTAAATGTACGTATTTATTTTTTTTTAAATCGGTATTTTTTTACTTTATTATATTATAGAAAAATGACATTCTGAATAGAACGAATAAAAAGAATAGTATTATAAAACATGATATTGACTTTGGAGTTATAAGGGTTTTTAAAATAATAAAAATTGTTTTATACCATAAAAAATATGTTTTTTAAAAAATAAAAAGTAGGGTTTTTTTTCAGCCCTGGCGGCAGGTGGAGCAATAGACTGGGATTAAAATTTTACTATAATCTATGATAAAAATGCAATAATTCCTTTTTTCACCTGTTTGCACTAAAAAACGAAATAAGAAATTTCATATTGCGCTAAAGTTCGTTCCAATGGAGCTGAGAGCACAGACCGCCTATAATAAACGGAAAACGGAGGTCGGGTGTGTCAAAAAATTTTATCTCTTATTTATGTTTTGCAATGTATTTAGACTAAGAAGAAAGAAATTGTGACCCAGACCACCCTGTAATCGGTCAAATAACAATAGGTTATAAAATGCAAATGAAGCCATAAAATGCAAATGAAGCCTTAAAAATGTGAATGAAGGAAACGGTCCATAGTCGTAGAACATGATTTTTATTTATGATTTTTACTTAACGTTTATTATAATTATTATTGTAATGAAAATACAAAGTAATTATGCACTAAAATTTATATACACACATATATTATTCTTGTAAAAAATAACTGTCTAACAATTTGCAAAAGTTCTTTTTTCACCATTGTATCATCGAAATTTAAGGCTTTACACTGCAACCACTCAATTATCGCCGCTTTTTTTCATGAACTTGTAGGAAGCTTCTCTACTAATCGAGAATGATAGCTGGCGTTATCCATTACAATAACTGAATTGTGGGGAATATATTCGATCATTTGTAGGAAATATTCCTCAAAAACATCAGCCGTCATTTCTTCGTGGTAGTTTTTGCTTGAATTAGATTGACATTCCAATAATCCTTGATCCAAAAATCCGTTTTCACTGCCTATATGGGTTATAATAAGCCTGCGTTCCTTTCCAGACGGAAGCTTTAATCCCGTTGACCAACCCTCCATGACAGCTTATCGGGAATTCACTATATTTTTATCTTGCCGGACTTTCGATACGGTGTGTCCTTCATTTAGCCAGGTTTCATCCAAATAGAAAATATTCTTATATTCGTTGCGATATTTTCGGATTGACCTTAAGTATTCGTGTCTCCAGCAATCAATATCCGGCCTATCAATAAAAAAAGATTTTCTGTTCTGATTTTCCCACCGAAAGTTCATTCCATGAAGAATTCTCCATACTCTAGTTCTTGATAGTTGTGGCAGGTTTTCGTCATCCTGGGCGGCTTGCACAATCTTGTCCAACGTTGGTATTTCTTTTGTGAAATACATACCATGCACTTTTCTACGAACACTGTTTTTAACATCGTCGTCAATTTCTAATGATTTCTTTCCCGGGTGAGGAATAGGCTCACTGAGGTTCCGGCATTTTCTATCACGTAAAAATCTATAAATCGTTGATTCTCCTACCCCTATCATATTGGCACAGTAATTATGTCACGAACAGAACTTGCGGGGTTTTGGCGCAGAAGAGCATCATGAACGTTCAGGATTAATGTTTTTTCCCGCAAGGAATATGCACTTTTGCTAACTCGTTGAATAGGAATTGGAGAAAAACTTGAACTTGAAGCCATCTTAATTAGACGAATAGACGTTACTTGCTAGTTGCCGAATGCTAACTATTTCAAATTTTACTCTATACAGGTACTTATATATAAATATTACGAGTTTTTTTATTTTAATGACAATGGGTACAGGTTACGGGGCAGGTAGTTCCTGCCCCTATGGTTTACAACTATTTTATGGTCCGAACCCTCGATCTGTGCTATCAGCTCCATTGGAACGGACTATAACAAATCAGTGGTTACAATCAATTAACAGGCGCTTAATATGTTTTTTTTTGTGAATTTAATAAGTCTAATGGGTTTGACTAATTATAATTAGAATTTTGATGTTTTCCTTGTTGCTTGTTTTCCTTGTTTCCTTGTTGCTAAGTGTAGAAAAAAATATATAGAGAAAAATCTTAATTACTTGATTATATCAAAATATAAGATATTAATTATTGTTTATATCTATCAAAATTAAAAAAAAATCCTATTTTAAACTTCAATCTGGAGTGCCATGGGAATGTTAAAACCATTAATATCTAATCAAGGAGCGTTGGAAAAATAGATTTGGTAGTCTAATGTTTTTCGTGTCATTTCCGGGTCGGTAAAAAGATGACCAAGTTGTATTTTTAATCATAACTCAATTTTATCAAATTGAATGAAGGTAGCTCATTAGCATTTTTTACGAATAATTTTGTATCACGTACTTGGTATTTCGAGTCAAATTGTCGTTATATTTAGTGACGCTCTGGGCTTTCTCAAATAATGCAAAAAAAAAATACCGGGAGTACAATTTAACAATATAAAGTTGTAGTCATCTCCGGTGGGTGAAACAGGAAGTGTCCGAAAGTTATTGAAAACGTCAATCAATCCTGATATTTGTCTTTTACCAATATATCAAATTTCGTTTTTTTATCAAAAAAGATAAAAAAGTTATAGGGGTGAGTCACTTTTGAAAAACATCCGGTATATCTGCGAGAAAAAATTATAATCGATTTAAAATAGATCTCGTGTGTTAAGTACCTGGTAATTTAGGTTCTTTTATAATCAAATAGTATAAAAAAGGAGCTGTTCACTCTGTCATAATTAATTATTCAAAATTGTTATGTCAATATATCATGGGACATAAATATACAAAGGTTTAAATGAAATAAAAGCACACTTTAATAAATGCAATCTCTAATTCAAACAATTTTACGACGAAGAGTTTTGTGTTTTAGGTTGTAATTGGAATGATATAATCTAAACAAACGTCTGGACGGTCAGCCTGACATAGTTTTATAGCATGTACTCCAGAAAAGGCTGAATATTTTTTTATAACGACTGTATTTTTGGATTTCGTTTTTATAATTTCTTCTATTTGTTATGTTTTTATTGAAAATAAATATAAACTTGTTAAAGCTTTAAAATACGATTTGTTCGTTTTAGTTCAGCACCACTTGTACAAATACAGGGTGAGTCTTAAATAAGTGCACATATTTTTAGGGGTAGTACATTTCGAACCCAGAGAAAAACGATTATGATGTTTTATCGATTTTTTTTTAAATTTGGAATATTTTGAAAATTTCTTTAGTTGTTAATTAAAAAACATAATTTCATGATAATATGGCAGCAAAGGTAGTAGATTAAAATTACAAGAAAGATCCAGTAGTTCTTAAAATTTAAGCAAATATATTTTTTTGGAGATTTTCAAAGTAATATAACTCAGTTATTTTGGACTTAGTATTTGAAAAACGGTAAAAAGAAAATATAATATGTTTCTTTTATCGAGATCTACCAGCCCGAAAATATTTGCACTTATTTAATATTCACACTCTATAAATGAATATTTATAATAAAAAAATATATAATATTGTATACAACAAAAAAGTAAGTATATAAATATCATAAACGTATAATATTTAATCTATAGCTAATGACCTAAAACTTCCCTCCAACCCAAACATTGCTTTAGCTGAATTATTATTATTAGCAGGTCTTTTGCTTTCGTCAACTCTCCATCTTGTTTCATCGATTATGTAATCCCTGTGTTCCATAATTTTCTTCAACCACCAAGCTTTAATATCACATATTTTCCCAGCAGTACCACCGTATTCTTCTGGAAGTAAATCTTTAGATACATAGTCATATAGTGTTTCAGAATGAGGTAAGTGAGTGTGGATCTAAAAAATATGCAGTTTTTTAAAAGATGTTATCGTGGGGACTATAATAAAAAAGAAGAATGAAATTATTGGGCAACCTACAGTAAGATTAGCCATGAAACATAGTTGTATTTTAGCCATGTTTCATGGCTAATCTATTGTAGGTTGCCCAATAATTTCATTCTTTTTTTTATTATTATATACAGGGTTTTTCAAAAAACATGTGCCATCTATCGTGGACAGATTCCTCACGTAAAAACAAGATTTATTTTTCATATCAACATAGGTCCGATTCTACTTTGTTTCGTAGATACAGGGTGTTAAAGTCTTAATATTTTTACGATTTATTATAATTTTCTTGCATGTACTTTTAGTAAAAGTAAAAGTAAAGTAAAGATTTCAGTTAACGTCTCCTTTTTGCTGCCAGGGCTAATCTGGACGGGGCCTACTTTATTTACGCGGAATTCGAACCGCGGTCCTCGGCCATATCATGGTCAATGGCCTACCGACTTAGGAAGTGTCTAAATCAACTCTTACTCACGAGATATCCGATCTCATCCGGCCTCGAACCGGCGTGAATGAGCAGTGTGTATCAATAGATTTTACACTTTTCCCCTGGACAACAGCACGATACAGTTTCGAACCGGTCACCCGTCCATCCACCAGTATCGCCTTACGTCGCTTAACTTCGGTGTTCTAATGGGAACCGGTGTTTCAACGTAGCTAGGCCGTTTGTACTTTTAGTGTTTCGAATGAAATTTTGAGAGTAAAAGTTACTATAAATGCGACATATTTTTTTTTCTCTTATTAGCGAAATAGTGTAAGCAGTTTAATGCCGATTAAAAGTTGTCTCTTAATATTTTGTCAATTTCGACCTCCTTGATAAGATAAACGCAATTTTATTAATTTGCCTTGATCCAAGTCTTATAGAAACCTTTAAAATAAATTAATATAATAAACTTGCAAAAGTTTTAGATAAGTACTCATTGATTCCTCATCAAAAAATATGAAAAAAAGTTCCTATAAATATGGGTATGGAAATGCATAGTTTTAAAGTTACAGAATGTAATACTTTTTAAAATTAGTTTTTTTTTGTAATTACCTTAAACACCATTATTTTTTATGTAAAATTGCTGTAGGTTGGACTAATAGTAATAATAACTAATAGTAATAATATTTAATTAGGTAAATAATAAATTAAGTGAAATATATAATTTACTAATTTTATTTTTATTTTAATTTTAATAATTGTGATTAATATAATTGAGTTTACCTCATCAAGGAGGCCGAATTCGACAAAATATCAAGAGATAACTTTTAATTGGCATTAAAAGGCCTACACAATTTTGATATCAAAAGAAAAGAGTCCAGTGATAACCCATATGCACGTCCCTGATGAATTTATCGACACTTTTTTAGCATTAAAATATGTAGCACATATAGTAACTTTCACCCTCAAAATTACATTCGAACCACTAAAAGAAAATTATAATAACTCGAAAGATTATTAAGACTTTAACACCCTGTAGCTACGAAACAAAGCAGAATCGGACCTATGTTGATATGAAAAATAAATCTTATTTTTACGTGAGGAATCTCCCCACGAGAGATGGCACATGTTTTTTGAAACACCCTGTAGATCAATAAATTAATTAATTACATTGTTAATACACTCACCGACACGGAGATCGGGCACCTTTAAATTTTCATGTATTTTAAAGTTTTATAAATTGTGTTCTAGTGTACCGATTTTGATGATTTTTTTAAGTAATTTGTATCTAAATTAATTGGCTTTTAATTGGGTCAATTATACGAAAGAAAAGAACATGTTGATATTTTGGTAAAAGTTTGAATCATCCTGTGGAGTACGTTACACAAACGTCCGTTTTACAAACTTGAAAATAATTTCCAACAATTTCTTATAGCCCCTTTAGTTATAAATATTTTTTTCCGTAGGCTCTACGGCTAATAGTTTCCGAGATACAGCCGAGAGCTATTCTTAGTGGGACACCCTGTGTAAGCTTTCATTGATAGTTAGAAAATTACGCAAGTTTTTATTACAAACCCAGCTTGGTCACTATGTTATAGCAATATCAATAGATGACTAAAACCAAATATAGCTATTTAATTAGCTTTTTCTCTAGATAGAAAACACCCTGTAGCACGGATATTAAAAAGATCATGAAAATAGTTTGCACTAAAAAATAAAATTTCTCGTTTCATGCTGACAAATTAATGTTAATAATCAATTAACAGGCGCTTATTGTGTTTTTTTTGTGAATTTAATAAATCTAATTGGTTTGACTAATTATAATCAGAATTTTGATTTTTTCCTTGTTATCTGCTATATGTAGAAAAAAATATCTAGAGACAAAAAAACTTTATTAGTTGATTATATCAAAATATAAGATATTAATTGTTTGTATTAAGGAATAAGTAGCTGCTTGAACAATTTGTATGACATACTCAATAAATAATCTATGACTTAATTTGGTTAGTGCATGGTTAGGTGCATACCAGTGGCGTGTTGTGCAAATCACAACAGGGCAGGCAAAATAATAAAATAAAAATTACAGAGGTAATTAAGTAATCAAAATAATTCTTTTTTATCCTAAATTGGGGGAGAAATTCTCAGATTTGGTGTCACTGCGCACCACAACGGTTGACACCAGAAACACGTCTATGATTTTTTTTCGAGAAAAACAAATTCAAATTTTTTGATTTCTTTTTTGGGAAATTTGTTTAATTTTAAGTTAAAAACATAATATCTCAATCATATGATAACATAGGTTATAGATTAAAGTTAAAGAAAGAAAATCCAAAAAAGATCCAATGATTCTCAAAATTTAAGCAAAAATATACAGGGTGGTCCAATATTCCGTGCACGTAGAACTACTACGTATTTTTGGAATCAAAATAATTTCATTGGACACAATTTACCTCTATACAAAAGTGCTTCGTTTGTCCGTTAGAGGGCATCAAACTTTAAAAAAATAAACACTTTTTTTTAGATATTTTAAGAACCGTTATTCCGATTTGAATGAAATTTTGGTTGTCTATATTTTGCTACGTGCTTTAACATTTGACTTTCATAAAAACTACATTAATTTTAGTATAACTATTTTCCAACGCAACCGACCACCCTTTTTTTTCGTAAAAGTATTTACCACATATTTTGTTTCTAAAAAAGCGCCACCGCGTATACTTTTTGAGGAAATAATAGTATATTATTCAACGAGCATATAATGGTGGCTGTTATTCACGGGTATGAAGTTTATGGTTTGGTTTGGTTTGGTCAAATCATCCAAGTGAATCACCCAAGGTCAAATCATCCAAGTGAATAACAATCATTATATGCGAGTAGAATACTATACTTTATCCAGGACTATCAAACAAATTTAGATAATATTAATATAAGTTTTGAATTAAACTCGGAATTAAAGCAACCATAACAGCGCGACAACGCAACGTGACGTGGCATTTCAATGCTTTCATAGCCACCTTTGTTTTTTATTTTGTGCGTACAATCGCAGTCCAAGCAGTGGCGTAGCAAGGCGGGGGCGGACCGCCCCGGGCAGCGACCTTCCAAGTACCTGCGGGGCGACAAAAAATTGTTATAAAAGGCGGACGGATTCTGTAGGGGCGGAAAACCTCCCTCTTAGAAGTTCTCCGCCCCGGGCGTCCCTAACTCACGCTACGCCACTGAGTCCAAGGCGGTTTGGATCGAGCACAGCTCTTGTTTGGAGTTTGGATCGAGATATCCGTGGAAGCGGTGAATAATGAAACCATTATTCACTAGTGAATAATGAATATTATTATTATTTCATAAACTCATGTATAATAATCAAATTATAGACGAGTCGTGGATAAAATCTATTATGCTCTAATAATCTAGTTAGCGAGAATATGGAATTTTATGTTAGTAACACAAATTCTATTTAATAAGCTTCATAAAAAAGCTGAAAAAAATTAGTAAATTTTAAATTAATTAACGTTTGGGCTTATTTTTTATTGCCCTCTAAGGGACAAACGAAGCACTTTTGTATAAAGGTAAATTATGTGCAATTAACTTATTTTATTTAAAAACATACGTAGTTCTTCTATGTCCACGGAATATTGGAACTCTCTGTATATTTGTAGGTCTGCTTTTGAAAAATAAATTCTCCAAAAATTTGCGATGTGGCGCTTTTTTACAAGGGACAAAAAATATAGTAAATACTAGAGGGGCCATTTTACGAAATGAAAATTTGTCGCCGGTGGAGTTGGAAAATATTTACACTAAAATTTCTGTAGGTGTGGGGGTTGTTTTCACCCTTCCCGTACTTTTTCTTGATTTTTGTGAAAGTCAAATGTAAAAGCATTTAGCAAAACATAGTCATCCAAAATCTCATTCAAATCAGAATAACGGCGTCATAAAAAAATTGTATTTTTTTAAAGGGACTTTATATGTATATACAGGGTGGCGCCTCTCATACGCCGCGCAAGCTCCAAGGAGAACGGTAGTTTATATCGAAATGAAATTTTGGCAGCGGATGTAGGTTAACTGAAAGCATTTTATAAAAATATATAGAATTATACAGGGTGTCCCCAAAAAAAGTTACACATCAAAGTTGTGTTTTTTTTAATGGAACACCCTATATATTAATTGATTTTCGGATTCTAGGAAAAAAATAAAGGTGAGTTTTATTAAAGAAGCATATAGCTAAAATTTAAGGATTTTGACATATTTCACATTTTGCGAAAATGAAGAGTAAATTTTAAATTTCGATAACAGCTACCTAAATTTTAGTTGACCTTGTATAGCCTGATATTTAATTACAGTAACCAAAGCACACTGCATTCACCAACTAATAGAATCATATCAATTCTCTCTGATGTAGGATTAGTTTGCATTTTCGGCAAATTTCTGAGAAATTTTTTTGTTTTAACTGACACAAAATGATAACTAGTTGCTAAAGTTGGACTAATTAGACAGCTATGTTGAAGTAGTAACGTCAGACATATCACAGCCACCTAGATCAAATAATAAAGATCTACTCAGATCCAATCATGTAAGTGAAGATATCTAGACAAATCTGTTTGAGGGGTAGGCAACCTTAATAGTATTTTGAAGAGACATGAATTCTCCATTGAATATCGGAATAATATACTGGGTGTTCTATTTAAAATAAGAGAGTAACATGCCTTTAAAGGTGACCAATGTTCAATATTAATTTTGTCTCACCCTGTATAACTTTTTGGATCAAGTTTTAATTTAACTTAAAGTACAATAGTTAATTTAACTACATATTAGACTATACCGGGTAAATTCCAATTTAGGTAGCTTTTATTGTAATTTAAAAATTGTTCTTTATTTCTAGAAAATGTTAAATATGTCAAAAACCTTACATTTTAGACATATACTTCTCTTATAAAACTCACCTTTATTTTTCTCCCATTACAAAAAACGCAACTTTTATATATAACCTTTTTTGGGGACACCCTGTAGAACTCTCTATATTTTAAAAAAATGCTCTGAATTAACGTACAAAACAAACTGTCGTTCTCCTTGGAGCCTCCGCGGGGTATGAGAGGCGCCACCCTGTATAGTCACTGTATATTTTTTTAAAGTTTTGCGCCCTCTAGCGGACATACAAACCACTTTTGTATAGAGGTAAATTTTGTGTCCAATGAACTTATTTTGATTCCAAAAATACGTAGTAGTTCTATGCCCATGGAATGTTGGAACACCCCGTATAAAGTCTGTCCGACGAGTAAGGAAAGATTTCGACAGACGACGTCGAAAGAAATGACAGTAAATAAAATTTGCCTGTCCGGCCGCCTGCCGCTGGACAGATTTTAGTTAACTTCTTACCATTTTCCCCACTTCTGTTTTCATAAAAGGCCTAACCATATGCATGCATCTATCCAAAAAAGGCGGTGCGTTGAGAAGATGAATTTCTTTTAGATTTATTGGATGCGCTTCCTAAAACATAAAAAAATATATTTATTGACAAAATGATTAGAAAATGAGACTAGTATTATACCTGTGTATATATCATATATTTTTTCAAAACGTTTAAATTGATTTTTGGAAGATGCTTCATTGTAAAGTTCGTCATATCAAAAATCGGTATTTCTCCGTTGGGTATTTCTTTTTCGATAACCATTCTTACATCCGCGAAAATGAAAAACGCTTTTAATGCGTTTATAAAATGATATTTATCCGGATCCGGCGATTTTATATGGTACACAAAAATTTTATCGTTGTTTTTAGTCAAAGTGGGCATTGGAACAAAATCGCTAAAAATCAAAGATAAAAATTATCGAGCAAGTGCTAAAAAAGAATCGTTTACAAATTTTTGAAAATCTCTTGAATTTCTGCCGATGCGGGATCTCTGTTTGAAAATATTTCCGGAGTTTGTGCCCTTATTGTGTAAAACAAGTCTATTAAAGATTTTGTTTGCTCTATACTATCTTTGCAGGTATGCAAAAATCTATTTATTAATGCTTTGTCTGAAATGATATAATTATTAGATCGTACGAATACCATGCCGTAAATAATTCGTATTTACTTACCAATGTTTTGTGGTAAATGATGCTGTTTATTTAACCATTCTTTAATTATTTCCAAATCTGTATTTTCTGTTTCTGAAGACATTTTTTGATCTTCTTTTAATTAAGCCAAATTTTAATAATAAATGTTGAATTGCAAACTCTGTCCCACTTATAGATAAGATATTAAGCCCCACTTTCACAAAATCAACGAACTGTGTGGATGCAACTACAAAACTTTCTACTTTTTAAATCATGCATTAAATATTGTTTATTTCATCTGCGTTTATGGTATAAAATGTAAACTGTATTTTGCGACACGATTCCTTTCGAATACAACGGTTACTCTTAATTATATTCAATAAAAATAATAATTCAGAAATTATGTATAATTATGAAACATATTTAAGTAGTTATAGTTATTTAATTAGATATATTTAACTTAAAAAAAAACGACTAAACGTATTAAAATATTTTATTGCTCAACAAGTCCTACAGAAATTTTTGTTTGATTCAAATATTATTTTTAATTAATTGACCTTGAAATTTTCCCATTTGGTTCAAAAATTGAAAATGTATTTACCAATTTGCTCTGTGGTGATCTATCAAAATTTATATTTGCGAATGTCAAACGATGTCAAGTCGTAGTTTTCTAAATTATTTAGCAAAATTTCAAAAAAACTGTTTTTGTAATGGACAAACATTTGTGCGGGGTTATTCCAAAAAAGTGAATAACTCAAATGGACCGTTTAAAATTGTGAAAGGAAGAAAACCTGAAGCAGGTAAGTAAAGCTGAAAGGTTTTATTTTGCTTTACACTTAGGTTAGAAATGATGCAACTGTTTTATAAAAATCTAAATAAACATGTATTAATTTTATTAAATTCCTCCCAGAGTCAACAGATTTAGTATGGAGAGACCCAAGTTTCGAACTGTTAGCATCAAATGGGTTTCCTTTGTTTTTACGAGGAAATATAGGACTTGCTTGGTACGATACACAAACCACATTAAAAACTCATCACGAACTGATAATGGAACAAATTGATGATGTAAGTAGTTTAATATATTATTAATATTTTATTTTATTTTTTCTGAAATATTAAAATCAGTCAGGTGAAAGTCCAGAAGCAGATATGATCCTTCGAGTTCAGACATGCCCCACAGTCTTAAGACAAACTGTTTGTGAATTATTCCCATACAGAACGCTAGAAAAAAGTGAACTTTCTGTTATAACTATTAATTTAAAACCAGATTTAAAGCAAGTAAGAAGTAATAAAGAGGTTGAAACTGAAAGAATGGCTCAAACAGTAAGATAGTACTTTATTTAAGGAAGTAGGTATATGATAATACTTATAACTTGTTTTAGTTTTTAATAACTGCCAAAAATATTTGTTCCAAATTAAGAAATAATGGTTACTGGGCAGATTTCATCAATCCATTCTCAGGGAGACCTTATTTAGTTCCAACTGGACCAAATGAATTGTATAAAACAGATGAAAAGTTTAGATGTTTGGATTTTCAAATCTTTGACATTGAAGAGTGTAAAATTATTTCAAATGAAGGTAGTGTACAAAAGAGGTTTATAGGTAAGTTTTATTATTAGATTAATTCACTGTTTTATATCTGTATGTTCTTCTTTTAGGTAGTCTTTTTACAAATGCCCCATGTAACAAGCATCATTTAAACGAAATTTTTACATCCCCGACAAATTAGAATTTCAGAAATTATAAGTAAGTCTTTTAAAGACAATGCATAAATGTATATAATTTTATTTAAATAAATATACATATACCTAGTATTTATTGTGTTATGTTACTGTGAGATATTTCCTTTGTGATATATTCTCAAGTTAAAACTGAAAGACAACACAAAAATAAAGAAAGGACTAGATTTTAAAGGATATAAAATTATCTACTGCTTTCAGTTTCTATAATGTTTTAAATTTTCATAATTTTAACCATAGATCGTATAGACACAAGAATAGATATCTATTCTGTGGTATAGATCTCAAGTTAGGAAATTTGGGATGACAGATGACAGGGTTTTTGACTTTGATAGCTTCCATTTCTTATGTGATTGCTCTATCTTTTTTGTATTCTTTTTTGTCCCATAAATCTGTCTCTCTCTAAACATCGTTAGCCGCCATTGTGGCTAGAACAGTATTGAGTGGAAGAATTGCTTGTCGCGCCTATTTTATTGTATTTTTGGAAACGTTTTTGAGAAAGCACTGTGAAGCCGTAATCGTATTGAAAAGAAATGTTATTGACGAATAGTAGTGCCTAAGTGAAGGATATTATTATAAATATATAATAGAGAACTACAAATGTCATTAAGAGTTAACCTAAAAACTGTGGCTTGGGGACCTCTGATATTTTATAGTTTGTTAGTTTTTGCGAAATCCCATCTAAAGCTGTTCCTTATAGGTGTGTAAAAGTGTTTGGAACTAATTTATCATATTTTGGTGCGTGTAGAAAACACATCTCGTATTTTTAATGGATTATTATAGTCAATAAAGAACTTGTATACATTGTTAGGACTGTGAAGTTTTGAGAACGTTACCGCCGTTTTCTAACATAAACTTTACAAATATTCGTATTTTGAGTTTTGCATTATGTGAAATACATCTATGTTCTCATTTCTTGATTACTGTAAATGGTAGTGAAGATACACGGGTGTATATTTTACTACTAAGTGCTTGGAAGGATTGTGTCCCAATTAAGTTGTTTGGTGTATTTTCAAGCAGTACGTGTTTGGGTTATAATGTTTTTATAGTACAAAATATATAATAATTTAAATATTAAAAGAAAACATTCCATATATAATTTAATCTGCTAAATATGATTTCATAGTAAAAGACTACTAGATTATGCGAGAAAACTAATTGAAACATGAGTAAGAGAAGAAGAACTAGCTCAATTGCTAGTCGTCAAGAAGAAGACTCTTTAGATTCCAATGAGGCCTCTACTAGTAGCGGGCCTACTCTGAAACGAAGAAAAAAGCAATCTGATCCCGTAAGTTAATATATTGTTACACTATTTATATTCTAACTGGATCTTTTAGATTGAGATATGTCACCAGTTGTATGATATAATTAGAAACCATAAGAAAAATGATGGTAGTCTACTTTGTGATTCATTTATAAGAGTCCCAAAAAGGCGCCAGGAACCAGGTAAATAATTATCATTATTGTAATTTTTGTAACTTGTGTAAGATGTATTTTTTTTAGGGTATTATGATGTAGTAAATAACCCTATAGATCTATTAAAAGTTCAGCAGAAACTTAAAACGGACGAATATGAGGATGTACGAGATTTGGAATCCGACATAGAATTAATTGTAAATAATACGAAAGCATTTTATAAAAAAAGTACTCAAGAATGGAAGGATTCGGATGAAATGTGGAATTTATTTTTGAATACTAAAAAGAAGTAAATTGCTCAGTCTGTTTTGTTAAGCTGCGAAAAATGTTAATATATTTATTTTTAGATTGCTGAATAACGAAGAGGATAAAAAACATGAAACAAAATTAGAAAGCCGACGGTCTAACTCTAAAGTTACTCCCAAAAATAAAGTGATAGTAAAGAAGCCAAATAGTATTACAAGAAATAATTCAAATCACAATAATAGTTTGAATAATTCTAATTCCAGTTTTAATGACAGTGAAGGTCTGTGTATGAATCAATTAATTTTTGACTGACTAATTTTTAATTCTTGTAGATTTTAATCCATTTGAAGAATTATTCAATATAGTAATGACTGCTGTGGATGACAACAAAAAATTGCTCCACACCCATTTTCAGTTATTACCTTCGAAAAAGAAGTATCCAGAATACTATGAGGTATGTTGTTTGCGATGGAGGTTGGTTAAAATATCTTTTCAATATGGTATATGTTTTAGGTGATAGAGCAACCGATTGATCTAAAAAGAATAGCAATTAAAATTCAACACAATCAATACTCTAATTTACTTGCTCTGGAAAAAGATCTCGTCGTAATGTGTAAAAATGCATGCTTATTTAATGAACCTAATTCTCAGATTTATAATCATGCAAAAGCACTAAAAAAGGTAATTATATAAATTATTTGTAAGTGAGAATCACAACTAAATGTGTATACAGGGTGTCCCAGGCTGAGCGTGCATTAGAAGTTTCTAGAGAGCTACAATATCTAGATCAGAGATTTTTTGCACATCGTTTTACAACGTGATCTATTGATTAAAAATATTTTCAATATGGCGGCACAATACCAGAAGTTGACAGCAACTTTCTTATTTTAAATGGGTGCCCTCGTTTTTTATTACATAATTAAATTCTTTGTAAAATTTTATGAATTTTGATATCAAACACTCTACCTAACATTAACCGTTTTTGAGAAAAAATATTTTTGGACAAAAAAAACTGCCTTTCAAAAATTAAATTGTACGATTGTCATAAAAGACGATAGCTGTCATGGAATTGAGCTATTAAAAAATTATCATAAATCATTTTTTTTAAATAGAAACCCCCTTTTTTATTTTACTAGTGAAAACGTTTTTCAATTCGTTACTTTTTGACTATACATGTTCCTATATATCTGATATAAATCGTTTTTAAGATATTTAAGATTTAGTTTTAAAACATATTTTTCTTCATTTTATCTAGCTTCCTTTGACATTAAGTGTCAAACAATCAGACAATTTGTTTCCTACTGTCAGAAAACTAATTATTTGAATTTCCTATATTATAAATACTGCCTGCTTAAAAGTTTAAAAAGTGTATTTATAACAATATATCTCGTATTTTCTCTCTTTAGTGATATCTAATAATTGATATTATTAATAATATACCGTATAATCCAAAAAAAAGACAGCGCAAAGATGGCTTGGAAATGATGATCGATGACTTACTGCTTTCTAAACAAAGTGTCACAATATGACATGTCCAGATCTATTGTTTTATATCACTTGACGTTTAAAGTCGTAGGTTACTGGTTAAAATCAAGAAAAATGTACGCTTTAAAACTAAATCTTAAATAATTAAAAACAATTTATTTTCGGCATAATCAAAAAGTAATGAATTCAAAAATCTTTTCACTAGTTTTCATTTTTCTAAGTGGGTTTCCATTTGAAAAAAATTATTTGTGATAATTTCTTTATTGCTCAATTTTATGACAGCTGCGGCCATTATTATGACATTCGAACAATTTAATTTTTGAAATAGATAGCCACATGTTTTCTCTTTATGTCACAGTGGCCGTGGTAATCACTAAATTTGACGTTTAGGCTATACAATTTTTTTTGAAAGGCAGTTTTTTTCGTCCAAAAATATTTTTTTCTCATAAACGGTTAATGTTAGGGATAGAGTGTTTAATATCAAAATTTATAAAATTTTACAGATAATTTAACTATGTAATAAAAAATGGGGGCACCCATATAAAATAAGAAAGTTGCTGTCAACTTCCGGAAGTGCCGCCATATTGAAAATATTTTTAATTGATAGATCACATTGTGAAACAATGATGTGCAAAAAATCTCCAATCTAGATATTTTAGTTCTCTAGAAATTTCTAATGCACGCTCAGCCTGGGACAACCTGTATACAAGGTGACAATGAAATTGTTACATGGGCTCTCATTGTATTTTTTTTTATTGTATATACATAAAAGATCTTAAAATCGAAACAATCTTTATTACAGATTGTAAATCAAAAAAGGATAGAAATAATGGAACAGGCCAGTAAACCTCCGCCACCTCTTCCACCTCCAACAAATAGAGGTATTAACAAGTTCAGTGAACGAATTAAAATACGGAAACAAAAGAATTATAGTGCAGCAGCTGCACAATTAAAAGATGAGGAATCCGACCATGATATCGAAGATGTAGATAACGGGAAGCCAGTTGAGAATCATAATGATTTTGTAAGTTTTACCATGCTCCTCAGAAGGATTCTTGGTTTACATTTTCTTAAATTTTTAGGAGTGTCCCGATCCAGATAATCCACAGTGGAAGCTTTTTGAAACTGTATGTAAATTGGAACATCCCAATGGATCGTATTTATCAGATCCTTTCTGGAAGCTACCCTCTAGGAAGTTTTACCCAGATTATTACAAAGAGATTAAAAATCCAGTTTCGCTAACCCAAATCAAGAAAAAGTTAATGAACAAGGCCTATGGTACCATTAGCGAAGTCGCGGGAGATTTGACTATTATGTTTGAGAACGCGAAAAAGTACAACATGCCTAATTCTAAGATTTATAAGGTAATAGTTCATATATACCGGGTGTGTCTCAAAAGTGGCTCACCCCTATATCTTTTATTTTTTCAGATAAAAAACCAGATTGGGTATGTTACTATGTGACATAAATTAGGATTGATTGACATATTCAAGTGTTTATGATCACTTCACCGGAAATGATTACAACTTTTGATTTTTAAATAGCACAGTCAGTATTTTTTTACATTATTCAATAGAAAATGACACTCTGAATAGAATGACATATCATATGCCAACTTTTGACATTTTCTCTTTTAAAAAAATCCTATTTGAAATTTCAATCTAGAGTGTGTTAAAAACATTAATTTTTAATCAAGGAGCTTTGGAAAAATAGATTTGATGGTCTAATGTTTTTCATGTCTTTTCCTGGCCGGTTAAAAGATGCCCAAATCGTCGTCTTTTTAATCATATCTCAATTTTTTCAAATGGATTGAGGGTGGCTCATTAGCATATTTGGAAATTTTTTTTACAAATAATTTGCCATATATACCATACACTTGGTATTTCTAGTCAAATTATCGTTATGAAACGTATTCAAATAATTTCAAATAATCCATATAAGAAAATGTCAAAAGTTGACATATGATATGTCATTCTATTCAGAGTGTCATTTTCTATCGAATAAAGTAAAAAATTACCGAGGGTGTCATTTAAAAATCAAAAGTTGTAGTTATTTCCGGTGAAACAGGAAGTGACCGAAAACACTTGAATACGTCAATCAATCCTAATTTATATCATATACTAACATACCAAATCTCGTTTTTTTATCTGAAAAAAATAAAAAAGGTTATAGGGGTGGGCCACTTTTGAGACGCTCCCGGTATAGTTGTATCATTATTACTATTTTTTTCTTGTAATTTTTATAGGATACCGTGAAACTCCAAAAAGCAATGCAGGCAAAGGTCCAAGAACTACTTGATATCGATCAGGTAACACTAAAGAAAACTAACAAACATTGCAAGGTATGCTACTGCACTGCTTCTTGTTTTAACTTGTACTACAACAGTTCTTCAAAGAATTGAAACGTCATAAATGCTATTGCTTTATTAATTGCTTGCTTATGCTTATGTGATCTTTAATGTTGTTATTTAATCAACAGCATGCAATCAACATTCATTTTTAACACCTTTAGAAAACACAATTTAATTATGGAACTTTTTTTAAATGTTCAGGAGGAAACGTAACTAAAATTGTTCATGCGGTTCTGTTCGTCGTTCATTCATGTTCTCGCATCGACGCATCAACGCATAGTGTATATAGGGTTTTAAACACTATTTTCAATATTGTTTTTTTTTCAAAAATTTGAATATTCTTTATTTTTTTTATATACTAAAACTTCCAGAGTTTATTAACACATATGTATATACAGACGTGGTTATCATAAATTTGTGGTCCGTGTACTCTAATGGAAATCAAATATGTCAAAAGGGACAAAAAGTGAGCAGACATATTTCTCTCTTTTACTATTATTATTTCTTTGTGCCTATGGTTATTCTAAAGAGAGGATACAGAGTTGTGTCTGACTGTATTGGATCGTTCAACTTCTAACTTTTAACAGCTTCTTTGTTTTGCCCATAAAAATACAGACCACCGATTTAAGGTGACCCAAGGCGGTATATTTATAAAAATACAATCATAACATAGAATTAATACTGGTAATTATTAGTAATTGACATAAATTTTAGAAAAAAAATGTATAGTTTGTGACTAAAACTTAATTAAAGAAGGTTCAGCTATTGTTCAACGTCACGTCATATATATTGTCGAACTCTCTTAATCATTTGACAACCAGATGAGAAAGATTGGTGACGTCATTACGGCATTTCGTAAATTACTGCACATTCTTTCTAGTAATTATTGTCATTATTTGGGGCTATAATTTTATTGACGGACATCGATCAATGTGAAAATTAAAATTTGATTGTTGCTGTAAAACAAAATTCAATTTTTTTATTGCAAAAAGGTCTCAAAGATTTGACCAAAATGAACAAGAGCTCATACTAAGCTTATAATTATATTTTCTCGAGAAAGAGGCGCTGGTAGAACACTCTTACCCGTGTACACCGTATATGAAGTAAGTACAATGCAAAGATGTAATATTTCTATGTAAAATACAAATTTATAGCGTTTTTAAATAATATAGCGAATTGCTGATGCTATACAAATAGGAATTTCAACAGTCGAAAGGATTGGAATTAAAGGGATCATAACTGATAAAGAGTTCAAGAAAAAGTGCCGAAAAAGCGGAACTCGCTCAATCCATAATGTAGGAACGTACTTAAAATTTTCTAAACAATATGAACTGATCTCAGACACACACTAAAACTCATATTTGACAAATAATGATGACGTAACGGTGAACGATGGCTGAACAGACTTTACTTTCTCTTTATCTATTTTAAGTAAGTCTTGGATTACTTTGTTCAGTTGTAAAGATATATTTAGAGGTGGATAGGATAGCCAACCTAAAGTGAATTAATGTCAATTAAGCTACCTTCTAAGTTCTCTTAATAATTGAAAAACACCTTTAGTATCTTTTGGGAATACATTTTGACTTTTATGATGTAAGCACGGACACTTTTTTTTCTGTATTAAAATCTATTCTCGATTTAATATCTATAATATGTTAATAATATTAATTTTGTTGCATGCTAACACAAATGAAGGGTCCAGGGGAAAAACTTAATAAGCACCAATTTCTTAATTTTAGGATTTTACAATATTATAGTAGGTCTAACTGTTCCCTAGAAAATGTATAAATTCTGTAGGGCAATAAGTTGTTAAATCCTACGGTATATGCCTAGTAAAAATATAGAATACACGGATCACAGAATCTGGTAACTACCAGCCGTCCAGTACTCTTCTGTAAAATTAGTAAGATGGCGCTTATCATGTTTTTCCCTGGACCCTTCAAATGTAATCTGATTTACTAAAAAAGACGATGGCGGCATACGAAAATTTGTTAAAAGTTAATGAAAATAACTTATATTGTTTCAAATTCATGCATTAATCCTCTTGATTGTGATGTACAGATGTGCCCAGTGAGAACGAATATCAGATTTTGACAAATGACATGAACAATGACAAGAAAGTAAGGCAGGCTTTCGAATTAAATTGACAGAAAAGTTGTCGTTAATGTCATACATTCTTTTGGGAGATAAACTATAACCAGTACCTGTATCGTTCATCAATACTGCCAACAAAATAACATTCCTAGTCTAGCATTTGCAGTCTTAAGACATCAAATTAGAACAATTCCTTTGAAAATTTCTAAACGTAATTTCTGAGTTAAAATATTCTGATCCAATTGTCTTTTTTATGAATCACTTTATAGTATATTAGGTCACAAGAATAAACTTTATCTTAAAATTTTAATTATAGAATAGTGACGTGGATTTGGATACACCATCTAAGAAGAAAGCTGGGTCTAAAGTTAAAAATGTAAGTCCTCTGGGTACTCCTCTCAGAGGTAGACCTCCAAAGGATTTTGTGCCATTAAAGAGGAGATTGCATGCTTTGGCGAAATACATGTTGGATTTTACTGTAAGTATAATGTTTCCTAACATTTGTATACATTAACGTTATTTTTTTAAAGATCAATAGTTTTATTTGTTAAGGCAGATTCTGACGACTCGTGTACTTCGCAAGTACGCCAATATTTGTATACTTGGCAAGTATACTATCTTTGTAGACAACATTTTTTTTTTCAACCAGCTTGGCGCTCACGCTCTGCGACGGGTGACAAATAATTGCACAAGAAAACCAGTCGCACAACATGGCAAAGTATATCCCAATAACAAATTTTTGTACAAGTACACAGTATAGTCGTCAGAGTCCGCCTTTACACACAAGTAGTTGTACAGAAAAATAAATTTAAATTAAACAAAAAATGTTAATATAATTCAGAGTAATAATATAAATATTGTGTTCTAAATAAAATTAATTGAATTTTTACTAGTGTGAGGATGGTCGCCAACCTATGTTAGCTTTTATGGAAAAACCATCAAAGAAACTGTACGCTGAATATTATGAAGTTATTGATGAACCCATCGATTTTTTGGAAATTGAAGCAAAAATAAAAGGAGATCAATATACTTGCGAAAAAGACGTCGTAAAGGATTTTCAACTGATGTTCTCAAATTGCAGGTATTTTTTTATTACTTTGTACAGTCCCAGATAAAAGCAGGGATTTTTTATTGTAAATTGTTATTGTATTGTAGTTAAATTTATTCTTTGTTGTTCAATGAGATATTAAAGAAACTTGACTTCGTTTTTATTGATTAGTAATATACTGATTTGTGTTTTTTGAATATAGACAATTTAATGAAGAAAATTCGCCCATATATGATGACGCAAATCTGCTCGAAAAACATTTAATGGACAAAGTAGGCCCTTTGCTGTTATCTTCGGCAGAGAAAGAGAAAAAAGAGAAAGCTACTCCTAGAGTGTAAGTTAAAAATTTAATAATTGCTAGAAGTTTTAACAAACTCTATATTGTATGTTAAGAGTATATTAATGTCAAAATAAAGGATTACTCATCACGGATTTTCTACTGTGAATAATATATCTATATTTATTATACCGGGTGCGTCTCAAAAGTGGCTCACCCCTATAACTTTTTTATTTTTTCAGATAAAAAAACGAGATTTGGTATGTTAGTATATGACATAAATTAGGATTGATTGGTGTATTCGTTTGTTTTTGGTCACTTCCTGTTTCACCGGAAGTGACTACAATTTTTGATTTTTAAATGGCACCCTCAGCATTTTTTTACTTTATTCAATAGAAAATGACATTCTGAATAGCAATATCATATCAGTCATATCATATGTCAACTTTGGACATTCTCGCTTAATATTTTTTTTTTAAATTCAATCTAGAGTGCCATGACTGTGTTAAAAACACTAATTCTTCATCAAGAAGCCTTGGAAAAATAGATTTGATGGTCTAATGTTTTTAGTGTCTTGTCCTGGCCCATTAGAAAATGCTCAAATCTTATTTTTAATCATATGTCAATTTTTTCAAACGGAACGAGGGTGGCTCATTAGCATATTGGGAAAAATCATTTTTTTACGAATAATTTGATACCACACACTTGGTATTTCAAGTCAAATTTTCGTTACGAACCACAAGTTATAATTTCAAATAAACCATATGCGAAAATGTCAAAAGTTGACATTCTATTCAGAGTGATATTTTCTATCGAATAAAGAAAAAAAAATCCCGGGGTTGCCATTTAAAAATCAAAAGTCGTAGCCATTTCCGGTGAAACCTGAAGTGACCGAAAACAATTGAATACGTCAATCAATCCTAATTTATGTCATATACGAACGTACCTAATTTCGTTTTTTTCACTAAACAAATAAAAAAGTAATAGGGGTGAGCCACTTTTGAGGCGCACCCGGTATATGTATGTCTATATTTTGAATGATATTTGTGTCAACAACTTAATCATGTCTTTATTTTTTGATTGTATAATTCGATTGAAGTTTATTTCTTATAAAAATAAGTTTGTATGAGTAAAAACAGTTTTAGGGTTAATTTCAATCGATTAAATTAAAATTACATAATTGTAATTATTGAAAAATATATTTAAGTTGTTCTTTCAAAAAATACGCATATTAATTAGTTAATATATTAGTTTACTATGGAAATCACAATCGTACTAATGTAGTGTCTATCTCAGAAAACACATTTATATCTACTGCCTAGGGATTTTTTGTTGAAGCTGTGGTTACCAACGTGAAATGTCAAAATGCGGAACAGTTTTGTAAGAAGCGCGCTATGATAAAGTACATATTTGTTTTAATAAATTAAATGATTAATAATGTACATCTTGTGTTGAAGTAAAGTAATTTTCTTCTTTCAGTTATAAGCCAAGGAAGGTATTAACACCTTTAGAAAAAGCGTTAAAACATTTATATGAAGCAGTAAGGGACTACAAAGATGCTAAAGGGGAAAGACAATTGTGTCAGATTTTTATGAAATTACCTTCTCGAATGGAATACCCCGATTATTATGAAGTAAGCGATCATTACTTGGAATATTAATTGTAATGTTTTTTATAAATATTTCCTTTTCTTTCAGGTCATAAGACATCCTATAGATATGGAAAGAATAGCGCATAAAATGAAAAATAATTATTATGAGAGCGTAGACGATCTTGTAAGTAAATTAAAGATTTTGCTTGCAGGATATTGTTTTTAAGAAATTTTTACTTTTTTAGGCTGCTGATCTCAGTTTAATGTTGGACAACGCTTGCAAGTTCAACGAGCCCGATTCTCAAATTTACAAGGACGCTCTTGTCCTACAACAAATCCTTTCGAAGAAGCGCCTACAGCTCAAGGACCAAGCCGATGACGAGCCGCCAGACGTAGCGGAATCTGTACAAGATATTTTGCTCACTTTGTTTACTACAGTGTATAACCATCAAGACGACGAGGGCAGATGTTACAGCGATTCGATGACAGAACTACCTGAGCATGATGAAGTTGAGGGAAGAAAGTACGTTAATAATATAACTTTACCTCACACTAGTAGAATACAGTAGCATAGTAACATTAAAAAAATGATCCAACTCTCAAATTTTGGTATAGTTTGTCCAACGAGTGAGGGAAGATTTTAACAAATAATGACATCCTGTTGACTGCCATTCATATATCCTTTATGTTGGCCAAACTTTTTAACATCAAAAACACTATTTTTTTTTCTAGTCTATTACAGACGCCCAGCACCATAAATTTCAACGCAAACTCCATGAATTTACTCTTGTTGGGCATGACAGTGACATTTGTTTGACATTTTAATTTTGAATAATTAAAAAACTATAGTTCATATCAAATAAACTTTTAGTCACGTTGTTAAGCTTGACCGGTACAGCCTTGCCCACTGTTACATATTTTCTTTTAATCAAAATATTTTAGGAAACAAAAATAAATTAATTATAAATATACCGGGTGCGTCTCAAAAGTGGCTCACCCATATAACTTTGGTATGTTAGAATATGACATGAATTGGGATTGATTGACGTATTCAATTGATTTCTGTCACTTCCGGTTTCACTGGATATGACTACAACTTTTGATTTTTAAATGACACCCTCAGTATTTTTTTATTTTATTTGATAGAAAATGACACTCTGAATCGAATGACATATCATATGTCAACTTTGACATTTTCGCATATGGTTTATTTGCAATTGTAACATGGGGTTCATAACGACAATTTGACTCGAAATACCAAGTGTGTGGTATCAAATTATTCGTTAAAAATGCTTTTTCAAAATATGCTAATTAGCCACCCTCGTTCCATTTGAACAAATTGAGATTTGATTAAAAATACGATTTGGGCATCTTTTAACTGGCCAGGGCAAGACACTAAAAATATTAGACGATCAAATCTATTTTTCCAAGGCTCCTTGATTAAAAATTAGTGTTTTTAACACAGTCATGGCACTCTAGATTGAAATTTAAAATACAATTTGTTTTTGAGCGAATATGTCAAAAGTTGACATATGATATGTCATTCGATTCAGAGTGTCATTTCAATCGAATAAAGTAAAAAAATACCGAGCCATTTAAAAATCAAAAGTTGTAGTTATTTCCGGTGAAGTGACAGAAATCAATTGAATATATCAATCAATCCCAATTTATGTCATATACTAACGTACCAAATCTCGTTTTTTTATCTGAAAAAAATTTAGGGGTGAGCCACTTTTGAGACGCACCCGGTATAAACAGTTATTATTTACATCAACAAAACTCACCTCCTTAACAGCACTTAAGGGACATAAAGGGCCATTATTACCTCTTTCCCATTCAAAATATTCTAATAAAGTTGCAATGAGTTTTTTACGGCTATTAAGCTGTCTTGTACACTTCGCACTAAAAGAGGTTCTAAAAAGAGCAATGTTCGACGGCAAGGTCTGCTAGTAAAAAAAATTAAGCTTAAAGTATCACAACATAATTCATTTAAACCAAAAACTCGTAATACAAAACTATTGTGTCAAAACGAATGACAATGGCAGGAAATAAATAAATAAATGTGGCAACTTGACATTTTTTACAGCAGAGCTACCTCTTGAATCCCCAGCGCGAAATTTAAATTCCAGTTAGTCAGTATGACGCCGAATATATCCATGGTTGGCAACAATGACTTTAAAAATCGCGCCCTCGATTACGTAACTAAAAGTTTAATTGGTATCGAATATAAATTGTTTTCATCATTTTTGTGTCGTCTGTCAAATTCATTATTTCTCTCGTTGGGCAGATCTTTGAATGTCAATATAAAGGATTGTGTATAAATCATGAAGAGAGCTTATTAATATTTAATACATGCTGATCTCTGTTGGAATGATGCAAAAGAAATATTTCCGTCCAATATCTTAAAATGAACCTTTTTCTGTGTGTTACATGTTTCTAAATTATATTTTAGGGTACGAGCCTTATCTTTAGATCTGATCAAGAGAAGACTAGACAAGAACCTTTACAAGCGGTTGGATACCTTTCAGTCCGATTTTTTCGCTTGTTTAGAACGAGCCAGGAAGCTTTCGAGAACCGATTCTCAAATCTTTGAGGATTCGGTCGAATTACAGATGTTTTTCATTAATCTAAGGGACGACTTGTGTAAACACGGGGAGCTATTACAATCGCCGGCTTTAAACTACAGGTAAAACTTAAAAAATACTATTTTATTGATGCATTTATAACATTTTGATTGTAGTGCTTTAGATGCCAGACACGCCATTGAGAAATTACGCCATCAGAAGTCTTTGCAAGAGACGATCGAAGAGGAAACGGAAACGCGTAGTTCTGATGACTCGATTATTAAGGATGCTGGAAGTAACGGGTCTACAGAAGAAACGATGACGTGTAATCAAAAAACGTTCCAAGTCGGTGAATTTGTATATATGGATTCTAAAGAAAAGGTATTTGAATCCTTTATTTTACTTTAAAAATTGATATTTGTTCAGTTTTTTTTTAAATAAGTTCTAACTAAAAATAATATCAATGTTTACATATAAATTCAAGAACGTTGGTAGAGAAAGTTATTATTACGATTCTGTTTGGTCATTTTATTAATTTCCATCATTATCTCAATAATATCCATTACTCTGTGTTAAGGCTCCCCTGAAAAAAAATGGCAACATTGATCCGGCTCGAAGGACCAATGTTTTGGATATTGATTCAATCACTCTTTGTGGACTGGATCTATTTATTTTCACTTTATTCATGGAAATACAGGAGAATCGTCTACATGCTACAACAACATGTCACACTCACACTGTTGTCAATTTTTATTTTTGTTTGGAGAGCCTTAACACTCTGGTGGGTTTAAAAAGCAAATATGGACATAGATAAATACTTTTATGTAAATTGTTTTTTTAGTTACATTAAGCTTCATTCAGAATCTTGCAATTAGCGTAATAAGTTAGTGGTTTCAATTAGCATTGAAGTTTGTTCCTTTAATTTTAATGTAAGCATTCAGAACGTCAAAATTAGTGGTAGATATTTTCAATTAGTAGAAAAGTTATCAAACTTTTAACTTTTCCACTAATTATACTTCAAAATTTGCAAGAAATGTCATTTTGGCCTTTGAAACTAACTAATATACTGATACTATTAATTTTAATTAACTACTGATATTCTATTAATTTTAATTGTGTTTTTTAAACATGATCGTAAACTAAAAAGTAAGCTTCATTCAGAACCTTGCAATTACTGGAATAAATTAGTAGTTTCAATTACACTCTATACTGTTTAGTTTACGTAGTAAGAGCATAGATTATGCAGATTATAAACTTATCGTCAAAAGCATTGTTTTTTGTGTTTCCAATTTTCGGAGTCGCGCACTAGTTAAGTTACTAGTTTGCGCACGTAGCACGCCCACTTATGGCCTCTAAAATTGCGCACAGCGCCTGACCGGCCCAGTTATTGCACTGTTTAAACGCGAGTTTATTTTTGCGCACAGGAAATTTTACTCGTTTGCGCATCATCATAAAAAACAATTTTCGCACCACGAATTAGGGACAAGATTTTTATCTGTTTATATATAGTATACCTAATCTGTGGTGTAAAGAGTCAGTATTCATAGAGAAAGCCTAATATTTAGATTATAAACCAATAAACTTTTGATGTCTAACCAAATTTTGTCTTGACGAATGATAATCAAAGGACAAAATGACATTGGTCGCAAATCTTGAAGTATAATTAGTGGAAAAGTTAAAAGTTTGTTAACTTTTTCCACTAATTAAAAATTCCTACCACTAATTTTAATTTTATGAATGCTTACATTCAAATTACAGGAACAAACTTCTACGCTAATTAAAACCACTAATTTATTCTACTAATTTGGAGGTTCTGAATGAAGATGTGTAAAGTGTAATTGAAACCACTAATTTATTCCACTAATTGCGAGGATCTAAATGAAACTTTACCCTTCAATTTTTCATTTTTAGAATTGTGAACCTCATATACTGAAAATCGAGCGACTGTATGAGAAAAACGGACAGCAAATGCTCTACGGAAATCACTATTTGAGACCTGACGAAACCTATCACGCTCATACCAGAAGATTCTTAGAAAAGGAAGTTTTTAAATCTGATCGACACAGTCACGTGCCGTTGGAAGAAATCAAAGAAAGATGCGTTGTAATTTCCGTAAAACAATATTTTAGTATGAAACCTATAGGTAATATTTCTATTTTAAATATTCATGTACCGTGGTTAATTCTTTTATTTTATTTATTTTCCAGGATATGATGAGAAAGACGTGTTCGTTTTGGAGTCTAGGTACAGTTCGCGGCACAGAGCTTTTAAGAAAATCAAGATTTTTCCCGAAATATCCTCAAGTATTAAACTGGAACCTAGAGAAGTGTCTTTGGAACCGAAACGAGTAATGTCCGTTTTCAGAGAGAGGTTAGAAAAACACAAAGATGAGCTGGCGGAGCTTCAAGATTTGGAAAAAATGATCGATGACGATAGACCAGTGAGTAATGTGTTTTTGAATCTTTCATTTTTATTAATTTTACAATGCGATCTTTAATCCTTTAAAACGGCTTAAAAAACTAACTGTTGAGATCTATAAGGTCCTACAATGTCAACCAACGACGTATATTTGTAAGTTGCTTGTTAATTTATTTTAATTAATAACAAATATTGCCTTGATTCAATTATTTCTTCTATTTTTTTATGTATTTATGACGCAGTGGTGATAACTGTTTATTTCTTTTTTTCTGTATTTCCAGAATGTGGTTGCCTTTACATCAATGGAAATTGAAGATGGAAATACTTTTTATGAGCAATATAATACAATTTGTTCTGGCGTAGTCAAAACTGGCGATTTTGTATATGTGGTTGTGGATGGAGGAAGACAAGTAATAGCTCAAATAGATAGCATTTGGGAGACACAAGAGTATGTATATTTGCTTTAAAACTAAAAACATAATGTTCTAAACCTGTATTTATTCACATTTTGTAAATTTGTTGTTGTTTGCAGTGGAAAATGCTACTTCCGAGGTCCCTGGTTCATCTTTCCTTCAGAAGTCCCCAACGCAACAAATAAATTGTATTATCGAAACGAAATTCTTCTTTCGACAGAAGAAGATGTGAATCCTATCGTCAGTATTATAGGGAGGTGTGTCGTCTTAGACTATAATGACTACGTGGCCTGTAAGTTTACTTTTTTCCGTTTAAACATTTTTTAAATCTGTTCTTGTTGTTTTAGTCCGTCCAACAGAAATTCCCGAAACAGACGTGTACATTTGCACGTCTGTCTACGACGAAATCAACAGGCAAATGAAAAAGCTCCCGCCAGAAGGATTGAAGAAGTATTTTCATTTACCTGAAGTAGTCGAAGACGAGCTCTATTATTTTACGAAGCTGTTGAACCCTCCAAAGGTAAGTGAAAAATATATTTAATATTTTGCTTCAAAACAAGAACTAAAAGGTATCAGCTTTAACTAACCTATTTGAGTAAAGTACGTAAATTTATATTTTTTACGCTGTTATATGATTTAAGGGTGTAAGGACTGCAGTACAATGTAGTAAAATACTGTATATAGATCTCAGCAGTATAATTATTTATCCTCCCCGATATTGATGTGTATTGTAGAATTTTTTTTTAAATGCTGTGTCTAAGCGTACATTAACGTGTACTATATAATATTTAGATACACGGGAAAACGTCATCACAGTTTGAGTTATGACAAAAGTAAAATGCATGCACTGGCTTAGCGGTGTCCAAGAACGCTTTGTTTTTCGATCCTTGGCTGTTACATCTCAGATTGTCACTTTCTCTTGTCTATGTTTATCACATAAAACGAAATTTTTTCGTCGTAAACGTAAGTTTTTTATACCTACTGATCACCATCGTTATGGAAAAAAGATCGTGCTTCTTTGTTTAATGCAAACGAATAGAAAATGACGAGCATCGTATTAGTAATTACAGCTGCCAATAAATACTTGACTAAGTCTCAAAATGGTATAGGCTTGGTGCATTTCAGTTGATTGCAAAAAATTCCGACCGCAGCGCTGTATACGACAGAAATCAGAAATTTTCGCTATGTATTTCGCGCCGTCCAAGTTACAGTTCATGTTGATCGCATTAAAATAATATTGAAATCGTGGCTTTGTCATAATATTTAAGTGTTTTAGTTTTTTGCTAGTGCAGTTATTGAAACTATAAAACACTCAGGTACAAGTTTTTTGGGATGTAACGCTGTTTTGGGTAGTAAAAAATAACTGAAAAAGAACCCCAACTAGGCGTCAGGTGGTGTTGTGACAATTTCAAATGTCAATAAAGTTGCTGAAAAAATGTTAACGCGTAAAGGAGAGCGTTATAAGGGCGTTGTTGGGTGCAATAACACGCAATAACTCAACTTTCCTGGATATTCAACTCTCCCGAAACAACATTTATAGCTTCATAGTTTCTCATACCGATATTATCAAAAGCAAAAAATGGATTCAAGCAGTTCGACGAAACAAGTGAGTAAACAAAGTGCTCGTTACATAATCAGAAAATTAAACAGACATATACTATGAGAGTGTTACGTTTTTCGTCGGTTCCGTGTGGATAGAAAGTCACAATTTATTTAAACACTATTTATTTAACACTAATTAACAAAAACAATAACGATAAAAGACTTATAGAACTATTTACAAACGATTTATAACTAAGGATTTATTTTGAATTTTAGCGCGTCAACTACACTGGTATATTTATAACTGCCCTCTCTAGGCCACAGCCGCCGGCTTTTATACCTACAGCAAAAGAAATCTAGAATAGTCAATAGATCGTTAGGCGCATAGAGAAGGTTTTCGAATGTTCTCGTATGTACTAGTCCATTCCAGTGGGACTCGATTCTTCTCGAACGAATGAATCATTACGGTGTCTATTCTTTAATGCGATGTTAAGGTCATCTGAGGGCGGAACTTTTAGTTAGGTTAGGTCGAGTCCACACGGGTCCGCAACAAGAGGATAAAATATAATTTGCAATATTAATGGTATACTTTCTTTAATCAACTAGTGATTAAAGGTTTTATGAACATCTTCTAAAATTATAATTATGTACCTTTTCGTTATGGCCGACATAACTCTACTAGCAAAACCAGTGCGTAAAACTATGCTCGCTACCATAGTTGAACTCATCTAAAAAGTTTTTTAGCTAGAATAATAAATTATAATACTAGATATAAGTTAGACCTTCTGAAGATATCAAAATATTTATTTGTTATTTTTAGACTTTTCACAAATTATACTTCCCAACACTTTTAGAATAAATTTTTCGTATACTCTCTATTTAAATCCGTGTATTTGTATATATCAGTTGTTTACGATATTCTCCGATGGTGGCAGCACCGGCGGAGAACGCACCAAGCCTATTGTTTAGAACTTAATTAGTAGAATGCAATGACTAAAGAATATAATAATAATAATAATAATAATAATATGTCTTTATTTTAATAATCCTCGGCGAATTTCAGTAAATAACTGCTTAGTTAACCGAGTACCATTACAGTATAACCTAACAAATAATATCAATATCCACTACCTTATCTTAAATTAATATATCAAATGTATAAATATAATAACAAAAAAAAATAATGAAAATACAAAAAATAAAAAAATATAAAGCATTAACAAAACTATTAGTGTAACACATAGAGCACACATAGAGAACAATTAATACTTATATGTAAGTACATTATGCAATAACATAAGGCAACAGGCATGTATTGGTGTTGATGAAGAGAGAGCCAAGGAGAGGCATAGTTGGCTGGTTTCAAAAAGAATACTCAACTCACATTATGGAATAATAAATCTCTGAACCCCGATCTAAATGAACCGAGGGACTTAGCTATTAAAGCACTTGGCAGGGAATTATATAACGAGACCGCAGAATACGTAAATCGTCGATATAAAGAGGTCTTATATTGAGGTAGATATAACTGATTAATATTTCGAGTGTCTCTGCTATGAACAGTTTGGCGCAGTTTTAATTTAGATTTTAAATATAATGGTGTCTGTAATTTAATTAGTTTGTGTACAAAGGTAGCCAAATGCAGTCTACGGCGTTCATACATATTAAGCCACTTCAATTCTTTAAAAGCCAAGGTGAGATATGCTCCCCTCTATCCAGAGAACAAATAAAACGTACACATGAATTTTGAATCTTCTGTATTCTGGAAGAGGAGTGCACGTCAAGACAAGGTCCATAGACAATGTCAGCATAGTTGGCATGGCTAAGAACCAAACTGTCACATAGACTACGTTTCAATGCTTGACTCATAATATTTTTATTCCTATACAATCCCCTCAATGCTGTATAACTTTTCTGCACAATCGAATTGACATGATTTCGAAATTCAAACCCAAATTCTTGACAGTTTTTAATGGATGGATTATTTCGTTATTCAGTTTTGCTTTATTCCCTTTGCTAAGGGATTATCTGTTAAACTGAATAACGAAATAATCCATCCAAATAATCCATCCCTATAAGGTCATGTAACGCCCATATACGGGCTGCAGCAGAATTTGTGTCATTAGACGCCATTTTTTTGATGGTAACGAATGATTCATCAGCTGGTCATCAGCGACAATTTTAGCGATTTTTAATAGTTTGTGTATAGTAAACTTTGTATACATTTTATTACAATGGCGATTAGTTGTTCAGCTTTCAAGTGTAAAAGCCGCAGCGATAAGAAAGAGCCAGGAGTTACGTTTCATATGTAAATAAACAGTCCGCTCCACCTTTTTAGCCTTTTCTTAGTTTTCTTATTGAATTCGATAATTATTTTTCTGATATTATATGTACTTGATGTGTGCTATACGTTGATACTAGTTTTGTATCTTGTTAACATTTTAATACGTTTTTTTCGTAATTATTTATTAAACCATAGGCGTAGTCAAAACAATTATCAAAAAATATAACCAAACAGCTAGGTTAAGAAAAATATGTGTCACGGCACTGTTTGGTGACATGGTCACAATTTGCTCTCGGGTGTTATTTGTCCGTGAATTTTTTAGTCATTGGTAGAATGAGTAATCTAACCTTAATTTTCTTTAACGTGTCCGTTTCAATATTTAGGTACTTTGAACTTGGTACACATAAAACTCAATGTTATAAATTGTAATGACATTTTTTGTGCACCTAACTTTTTTTGTTTAGTACACTTTAACGTGCACCTGGACACAGCGTTTCTTAAAATCTGAATAATCAATAAACGTCGGTTTATTTTGTATGATACCCTACTATTTCCTTTTAACCGGTCAAATAGAATAGATTATAACAGGACTAACTGCATACTTTACCACTGAATTAGACAATTTAAAAATGAATATTTATTTTTTGAAAATGTTATTGGGTCTAAAATCCAGTCTTTTACCTGTAAATAAATTTCTTAACGCCCAAAAAAACACTTAAAGCCAAACATTGCATATGGGGTATCGAAACGTTTAGAGTTACAAATTTTTAGTGTTAAATTATAAAGATTTTTTATCACGCTACATTAGGGTTTCTATACGTCCAGATTTACCTGGACATGTCCAGATTTTTAAAGCTTCCGGGAGCGGTCCGGCACCGATTTGGAAAAGCGTCCGGGAAACCTGACCGCAAAAACAATTTAACTTTGTAAAATATTTTACAGTTACAGTTGAATTAATTTCTCAGTTACTTTGTTGAATATTTGTGTCTCTACGATGTTAAGCCGCGTCCAAGCTACTCGAACAAAATGTTCGCGAACATATATAATTAAACAGATACTAAGTGAAAATTGTGAGATAGGTAGATTTGTAAATAATAAAGCCAACAAGTACAGCTAGCCTAGGCCTATTAAGGAGCGCGGAGCGCCGAACGGCTAGCTTGTACGCCAGAGCGTGCGTCTGCCTATGCTAGAGCGCGTGCGTTCTTTTTCCGACGGGTGTCGGTAAATCAAAAGGAGCAAACGGCGTGCATTTTGGCCTGACATTGTACCGGACACTTAGAAGGGTCTCATTTAATTTCGGGCGTCCATCTGTGATTTTTATTTTTTACCGAGTATTCGACAATGGGAGACGCAGTTATTGACTGGGATCGTGAAAACATTTACAACTAATTTGTTTACACAAAAAAAAGATTTTATAATTTTAAATTTATTGTGGGTCGAGTGTGTTAAAAGCTGTAGCCAGACTTCGTCCATATAATTTCATTTTTGTTAATAATGACCTTTATGATTATTTTTACTAAAAACCGGAATTATTATGGGATTCTGAAATTAAAAATTACTACTTAATAGGAAGTTTGACATCGGAAATGAAATTTTACCATTACATTTTTAGATATAAATATACCGGGTGTTTCTGAAAAGTGGTCCACTTCTATAACTTTTTTAATTTTTTAGATAAAAAACGAGATTTGGTA